CTCGTCCCCGACTCCAGTTGATCATGTTGCCATGTGGTATGAATGTACGTTTGTCTCTGCTATTGCAGCCGGTCTGTTTTGATTTCTTGTCGCGTTCCAACTTGTTGTCCATCTGAGGCTACGCTTATGATATCGCTCTGGTATTTATTGTTATGAATTGGACGGCAAGATAGGCTTCTTCATTTGTTCTGGTCCATTTGTGTGTAGAAGGCGTTACCATATCGCGCCTACCTTGGTATAATTGTAGTGCCGCAAGACTTAGTCCAATTACGCAGCAGTGATCCGTTTGGCTTGGATGTTGCATACCGTGCCTGATACTCCAATAGTAAACAGGACCTGGAAGCTGTGGCCTGATTAGTAAGGTAGACAGGAAATCTTGCCTGATATTTAAGGTGGAAAGGCACCAAGGCCAACAGCGGCCAACACGCCAATTCAGACCCTCCCAATTCCATCCCGAACCAGCCGGAGCTCTTCAGGTCTTAACTTCAATTGTGCTATGGCCTCAAATAGCTCTGCGTCAGGGCCTTCCTCGACGCCGACGGCCCCTGCTGAGAAACCTTCCGCTCTCCCAGTCAACATCCTCCCCTCGCCGGTTGCGCGCATCTACTCCATAGTGCACCCAGCACTCCTCCTCGCATTATGTGCCACGCGATTTGAAGCATTGGTGGAAAACCCTACCAAGGAGCTTCTCTCGACCCTGCCATGGCTCGCTCTTATTCAAATCTCCTACGCGGTGATCTGCCTTCCACCCGCTGGGTCGACACCGTCAACAGAGTCGAGCGCGTCCTCTCCGGCTGAGGGCAAGACCAGCCCTCGGTTGCCATCTGGACCTAGTGGTGCTCGCCATGGAAAAGCCAGCAAGCGCAAGCAGCACACCAACAGCTGGGCGTGCATTTGGTCCCGGTTATTGGTAGGAATATTTCTCAACTAGGTGGAAGTGCTCGATGCTAACCCTTTTTCTAGCCGGCCACACTATCGCTCTCCCTGACCTTCCTCATGGCCACTCCAGTGCTGGCCCTCCTTCTCGTCCTATTCGGCGCCCCGCTCACAACACACAATGCCGAGACCGTCCTGTGTGCAGCCCACATGGCCGTTCTCAGCGCCACAGCTTTGATCTATGCCCACGGTACGGACCGCGGGGTGTGGAACGAAGTCTGGGGTATTGCTCGTCCAGCAGACGCGGTTTGGGGTGGTGCACTCGGCGCTGGCTTGGGAGCGTGGTTTGGCGCCATCCCCATCCCTCTTGATTGGTGAGTCTGGGGCTATAATCTATTCCGAAGCGTGGCTAATGTGGAAACAAAGGGACCGACCATGGCAGGCATTCCCGATCACGATCCTCGTTGGAGCTTACATTGGATACGCACTTGGCTCTCTTCTATCTCGCACCCCCTTGCTCTATGGTAAGCGAGTCCAATTTACGGCAGAGGAGCTGGGGAACAAGGAAAAGAAGACCAACTAAAGATGTTGGTGCATGGTGGTTATATTATATTCGCGCCACATTGAATGTTTCTGATATTCTGGCCTGTATTAGTACAAAGTCCTTGTACGACTGTATTCGTCGACTCGGTCACAAATTCAAACAATAAACTTATTAATATGCACTGTGATTTACAGCTTGCTGAAGTCTTGGAAACTGCCATGTCGCCCTGAGCCTTTGCTGAACTTGGCCGCACCTGCAATGGCTTCCGCTGTAATTACCTTCCTCCCAGATCTGAACTCCTGAGACATGGCATCCTGGAAAGAGGAAGCATCGAACGCACTGTAATAGCATGACCGCCGGTCTGTATTGAGGCATAGCTCTGGGAATGCAATGAGCTGCTGTGCTATCTCAATCGCCACCTTCAATGCTTCCCCGTTTGGAACCACGCGACTGGCCAGTCCCATTGCAAGTGCTTCCTGCGCACCGACAGGCCGACCAGTCAAGATCATATCCAACGCACGACCAAGACCGACAATGGCTTGCAGACGGACAGTGCCTCCGTCGATTAGAGGCACACCCCAGCGCCGACAGAAGACACCGAACACCGCATCTTCTTCGACAACGCGCAAATCTGCCAGCAGACTCAATTCGAGTCCTCCTGCAACGGCGTATCCAGAAACAGCGCATATCACAGGCTTCTGCACAACCAGCCTGGAAGGACCCATAGGTCCTAAGTTGCGACCATCCACAGGCTGTAGATTTTCGCCGGATGTGTTCTGGGCAATACTATGAAGATCGGCTCCTGCGCAGAATGTATTGCCAGCGCCAGTCAAGACACACACTTTCTGGGTTGGATCATCTTCAAAGGCGCGGATGGCTTCATAGAGTGCTTTGGCTGTTGGGGGGTCGACGGCATTCTTTCTTTCGAGGCGATTGATAGTAATTACCAGAATCCCAGGATATGAGCAATCAGTGGTTACCAAGTCCATTCTCAAAGGTATCGAGTGCGTGAAGATGAAGTTGCGTGGACTTTATAGTCGTTGGTTGCCTCGGCAAAACCCCACTTGACTTCCAACCATCTCCGTCATTCGGCTCTGAGCTGTCAATCAGAGCGCCATGTCCTCGGCATGTATTATATGTCATAAAAGAAAGGTGTTGCAAATAACTTCACTTCACTGTTATGGAATTTGCTGACTGGTTTAGGTCAAATGCGACTTCGCGACGCAGGACCCATGCACCAACTGTAAAAAGTCCGATGTGGAGTGCAGGTAAGTAGACCCGAGTTGAGGCGATAGACAAGGCATTGATCGTGTACAGGCCATATACAAGGAAGCGCAAGAGGTTCACCAACAGTCTGTCGCCAGGACGGAATGCGTCAATCTCTGCATTGAGTCAGACACCGCGGAGCTCTCAGCCTGTCGACTCAGACCTAACGTCAAGGCGCATATCCGCCAGCAGACCTGCTGAAAATTCAATTAACAATGCAAATCTACCTACCAACGAGCCCTTTATCAAGGAGGAGAGCTATCGTGGTCGCAGCGAGTATTTAGGCGGCAGCGTCCCCTTTGATGAAAATATGGTCAAACCCGGTCGCGAGACCACATACACCAACCCCAAAGCCTCAACAACAGATCTGCAAATGCTCCGCGACCAAGGCGCGTTCGAGCTACCACCTCTATCAGTTCAAAATGAATTGATGGCTAGTTTTCACGCGCACTGTGCACCCTGGACACCAGTCGTCGATCCCAAATGGCTGGACGAAAGCACGCCACCGTCAATGCTGCTCCTTCAAGCGATCTTCCTGGCAGGGAGTAGAGTATCCAAAGCGCATTTGGATTACGGGTCTAGCGAGGTGTTTTATCGACGCGCCAAACTGCTTTTCTTCTTTGGTGGATGCGACCACCCTCTCATCTCTATCGTGGCTGCCTGTCTCTTGCATTGGTATAATCCGGTTGGACCCGAGGATGTGTCGACTGATACCAGTGGCTTTTGGATTCGAACGGCTGGCGCGATGGCGTTTCAAATCGGGTTGCATAAAGAGCCACCACCGAATTCTCGCGATCGGGGTCTTCGCCGGAGGCTGTGGTGGTCTTTAGTGGTGAGTATGAATAGTCTATATGAATTGTAATAATCTAACGTCTTTAGGTGCGAGATAATATCATCTCTGTTGGTGTTGGCCGACCGCGAACTATCAACCTTCGGGACAGCGACGTACTCCCTCCGTCCCTGAATGATTTCCCTGTGAATAATTTCAAGGCACAACTGTTCCTGGCTTACTGCACAATATCTCGACTTCTTGGAGATACAGTCGAATCTCATCTCCGGCAAGAGATTTCTCGTCAAAGACAGGTTGATCTTGAGAATGCTGTCTACAGATGGGCAAAGCAGGTAATTCCAAAGCTGCAATCAAGTGTTGCGGTGCAAGAAGATGCAGATATTTGCAATTTGGAAGTCCACCAACTACTAGTGATGTATTTTGTGGTGCTCACGATTCTACATCGCTCACCTACACCAAATAGCGTACCACCCGCGGCATCGCTGGTCGCATCTTCATTTATTGCTGGAATATACGAAGAATTCCTCCTTCGCGACGAACTCCGATACCTGGGCCCAGTCTTCGCTTTCTACCCTCTATGCGCCGGACTCTCGCTACTCTCCAGCTGTCGCTATGCACACCTCCAGAGCACAGCGGAACACGAATTAACAGTCATGAAGCTCGCCCTCCAAAAGCTATCCGAGCGGTGGCTTTCGGCAGTCGGTCCCCTGCGCGCACTGAACAAACTAACCGAAAAAGTCCGAGAGCTAGGTCCCTTCGATGGTCCGTCACCTACTGTGGACTCAGACGCGGCCTCCTTTTTCGAAGGCTTCGACACGAAATTGTGCAAGCAATGGCGGCTCATCGGTCAATCATCGGAACCGGCAAATGGGAACACGGGCATTGAGCCTACGTGCTCTTTGGCGGAAATCCAAGATCCCAACGATACTCTTCGGTCTCTTGATGATCAGCCCGGGCAGGATAATTATGACCTCGCCGCTATTGATGTTAGCTTAGACCCATTCAGCAATAATTGGGAAGGGGCTGGATTTGATTGGAGTGGCACTTGGTTGCTCAATGTTTGACCAGTTAATTCGGCAATTGGCGTTTCAGGAAAATTATGGCTGATGCCTAGCTACATGTATACTTACTGGTTTTTCCCTGGCAGGGGCTTTCCTGCTGCTGCTTTTATGAGGGTGCTCAGGTTCAGGCTGACTAAATGTCAGCGAATTCCTTACTAGTTTGAACTGTCCGATGACATGCTGTATAACAAGAAATACCTAATAGCCTGAGAAGAACCAGGACGGCTCTATATTGGTCAGTGTGTGCTTGATATCTGACGAGGTGGATATACTGAGCGGAACGATTCGACTGAGAACGTAATCTGTTGTTATGCAGCCGGGTGCATGTACCCGACCTTGGTATACTTGCCCGAACCCCGAAAATATCAACTTCAATCAAGCCCACTGATATGCCGTCTACCATTTCTGAATCAGATTTGGACTTTTTCCTCACGCGGGGAAAAGACTTGAACGCATGGCCACTATGATTGACCATCACCGGCAGTTCAACAAAGGATTCCGCACGAGCATCAAAATAGAACTGTGTGAGCATCATGCTGGCAAACCTGATTTCTATACTACTGGAGACTGTATCGATGGCTATGTGTGGATTACCATTGATCACCTTCTCGGACCAGAAATGGTTGAGGTTGCCTTTCGTGGTAAGTATTTCCATTCGGCCTTGCATGTTCTCATGTTCAGAAGCTGATTGTGTATTCCAGGGCAATCACGAATCGTGGATGACTGGGTGCTTCTACCTGTTAGTACGTTCAGGCAACAAAGCTTCCTGGAGTTACAACAGCCCATCGAAAATGACGCATTCAAACCCGACCAAGTCTTGAAAGACGGGTTCGTATACAAGTTTCCTTTCAAATTTATAGTGCCAGATGAGCTGCCTATTCACGCTTGTCTGAACAAAGGAAAGCACTGCAAAATTGATCGGAGTCATCTGTTGCTTCCACCGACCCTCCGCCGAGACGACGAGAAGAGTCCCTTGAGGTTGAAGGATTCGTCCTCTGGCAAAATCGGAATCACATATTCTGTACAGGCAAAACTGTTGAGACAGCACGCAGAGGAGGATCAACCAAATGAGCCCTTGGAATCTGCGTTGATGCTTGTTCGAATCATTCCTGCGCTAAAGGAGATGCCTCCTGCCTATACTGTTGATCACTTGCAATTTTGTCCCCCGTCCTTACGCCCTTTGAAAATAGCTTCGTCGCAAACTATCAAAGGGGCCTTCAAGGTTTGCACATTGGAGCCAAATCCAATATCGCTTCTTACCTTTTCCTACGAAAAGTCCAAGGGCCCCGTTACTACTGTAACGATCGAAATGGAGTTCCAACCGACGCATGATGAGCCACCACCAGCAATAACCCGGATTTCCAGGAAGCTGCTGGCCCATACGACCACACACGCGGTTCCTTTCCGTACATCTCTATCGGGACCAGTATGCAAAAGCAAACAAAAAATCGACACCCATACTGTGCGATTAGGCGACTTGAAAATGTCATCTGTCCGATGGGCGGAACAACCACCTGCCAATAATGTCGGCCGTGATACAAAAGAATACGTGACTCGCACCGGTGATTGTGTGAAAGATTCAAAGCAAAGACGTCTTTACGTGGCCACAATTGAGGTCTTAATATGTCTTCCCAACACGAAAACGTTTGTGCCAACTTTCGATTCATGTCTTATATCACGATCTTATGCGGTGGAGATTTGCCTTTACTACTCTCTCCCAAGAAAGTCTATCAGATCATCGTCTGTCAGTGTTCGAGTCCCTTTCCAAATAACGGGACCAGTTCGATAAGTCCCAGACTTGGGCTTAGTGGCGTGTGTGTTCTCCGAGATTGTCGTACTAAGCATAATTTTTGTGTGGAAAATTGAATAGAAAGGATGGATATATTACAGGGCGCCTATCTTGACTGGTGAGCACTAAAATGGAAGGGGAAAGGTGTTGGGTGCCAGATATTATCCGGGGCATATGTACAATATTTTTCTAAAATTGCTCAAAATATCATCTTAGGCTGTTTGGATGGAATATCCTGGCTATAGTTTGCCTCTATCGCCACTCTGTACCTCAAGATCATAATAGTGCCTGAAATGATCCAGACAGCCTGGGTTCGCCACGGTGCTGCTGATAGTCTTCGGCAGTTGGCCAGACGAGATGACCTGCTTAACCAAGGTCTCGACCTTTTTACCATTCACCGTCATGGGAACTTCCTTCACTCCAACCACGAAGCGAGGAACGTGTTTACTGCTCAACCCTCTGCGAATTGCATCTTTCAACTCGACTGCGAGTTGACCGGTGAACGACTTGCCGGGCTGCATGACGACGAACAAGAAGACTACTTCATCGGAATCATGAGGTCTTCTCCGACCGATGCATAAGGTCGCTGAGATGACCGAGTTAAAAGGAGCGGACTCAGTGACTGAGTATATATCAGAGCTTCCGAATCGAATACCCTGCGGGTTCAGGACACCGTCGCTGTTGGTACCAGTCAATATACGGACCATAACATGCTATCTTGACTTGGAAAATCATACCTTCGCCCATGGATTTGCCAACCCTTTGTTTGCGGGTTATAACTTGCCCAGTCATGCTGAGCCCAGCAGTTCTCAAACTTGTCAAAATACGTGCTCTTATATTTTGCTCCATCATTATCACCCCAGAAAAAGACAGGCATCGATGGAAATGGCTTGCGGCAGACAAACTCGCCATGTCTGCCAGTATGTTTGATTGATTCTCCAGTGACCGGATCAGCAACATCTACATCCTGCCCCAGCATAGGCAACTGGATTTCCCCAGGATACAACGGACCAGCTGGGTCGGTTCCAATCCAAGAAGTGACCAGATCAGTGCCTCCCGTGACACTGGTAAGGTGAACGGTTGGCGGGAATGCTCGGTAAAACCAGTGATATTGATCTTCACCAAGATGCGAGCCTCCTGTTTGCACCATGCGGAGAGAGGACAGGTCAAACTCATCCTTCGGGATGCAACCAGTCATCTCAAGCTCTTGCAAATAACGAGGTGAACAGCCCCAGTAAGTGACTCGGTGGTACTCTGCAATCTTCGCCATCCCTTTTGCACTGGGCCACAAGGGCGATCCATCGTATAGAATCAGAGTTGGGCCAACGGAGAGATGACCGATCATGATATTCCATAAGACCCAAGAGGTACTGCTATACTGGAAGACGACATCGTCGGATGTGAGAGAGTTGTGCAGCACAGATGTCTTCTTGTGCTGTAGAATGACACTGTGGCTGTGTACCAGGCATTTTGGCTGGCCGGTAGTACCACTCGTATAAAGGATGTAAAGGGGATGAGAGTAAGATACTCTCTTGAACCCGAGCTCATCTTCCTGCCGTGAAATCGAGAGCAAGTCTTCCAGGCTGGGAAATGCTGTCTCATGAGCGCCAGTGATTGGAATCAAGAACACCTGTGGCTTTGTATTCATAGCCTTGAAGATATTTTGAATCTTGGCAATATTCGATCGCATCTTCCCTTTGTACGTCGACTCACTATCGGCGAAGAGGATGCGAGGAGTGACTTGTTGCAATCGAGATATACAGCCCTGTTGTCTTCGTTTAGCTTCATCATTGGCGTACGTTCGAATCATCGCTCACTTCGTCACCCAAATCCGGTGCAATGCTAGTCCAAATGGCTCCAATGCTTGCTGTCGCCAGGAAAAGGCCAACCGACCAAACACTCGTGGATATAATTGCAGCTACACGGTCACCTTCTTTGATTCCAAGTTGGAGGAGAGCGCTCCTTGCCTTTCGAACATTCTCCCTCAACAATCTCCAAGTCCAAACCTCCCCACCTAGGTCTTGACCCTCACGAACTCCAACAAGAGCAGTCTTGCTCAAGTCCCGACCAGAGACCACATTTTCCGCATAGTTGACACTTGCTCCACGGAAAAATTCAGGCACATTCTCCATAGGTATGCTATCATCAAAAGCAGATGTCACAGTCGAAGGCAGCGACGGAATAATCCCCGTATAATCATGAAGGTCGACCCAGAAATCTTGCAAATTGTCAACAGACCATTGATGCAATTCTTGAGAGGAGCCAAGTCGCTGGTTAAACTTTTGGTTGATATAGGCGCGATAGACGTTCATGGGGATTTGGTCTGGTGGCAAAATGGGCTGCCAAATAGGCTTGATATTGGATGATTTAGTCATTGTGTTCTTTAAGCTGTTCCAACAATAATGTGCAAATGGAAATTACGAGGGAGAATACAGGTTCAGGATAGCCGCATTAATAGCCCATCGGCAATCGGCACATACCTATGCGACCCCCACATGGATGATCTTTGGAGACTACGCGTCTCCAGTCAACTGCCATCATACGGCTCTCCTCGGTGATTGTCGGTGCAAATCGGTGACTTTTCCGGTGACTTGTTGCAGTAGATCAATCCCCGCACGGGGTAAACGGGATAGACGGGGTGAAGTATAAGATTGGACTTGTGGCAGTCTGCATCTTATACGAAGTTGTACTCTGCCTCTTGTTATTTCAACATGTCTATTCCTCTTAAACCCTCCACTGCAGATGAGGGATTCATTCTTTCGACGCCGGCTTTGGAGAACCCGGGCACCTCGGATGCAGTTTTCCTTCGAATTCTCCAATGTAAAATTTTCTCATCTTATTTCGGGAGTGGTCAAGAATACTTACTATATTATAGGGCATCTACCCCGTGATGTGCTGGCAAAGATCTCCCCAGACTTGCAGCACTTTGGGTCTGAAGCAATCTCAGACGTGACCAACAGTTTGATTGGAAATGCCGAGACTCAGTTGCCACATATAAAAACACGCAATGTGTGGGGAGCCCGGTACGATACCGATCGCTTGATTACTAGTACTGGCTGGAAGGAGCTGGGTAAATGGGGGATCAAGAATGGGTTAGTTCCTCTTGGTATTCGTCTGTTCCATATACTGACTCCTGATATAGTGTAGTTGGTCTTGGGTATGAAGAAGAGTTCGGGCCATATCGCCGGGTTGTACAGCATGCATTGTAAGTATGTGATCCACTTTGCGTGGAGCTATACTTACAGTCCAGTAACTACATCTTCTCTGCATCTTCTGCTGCCTATTCCTGTCCTGTCTCGATGACCTCTGGAGCGGCACGTCTAGTTCGACACCAAATTCAAGACTTGCCTTCGGATCATCCATTTCATGAGCTTTATGCACGTCTTATTGCTCGCGAGAACAACTGGATCTCTGCGCAATGGATGACTGAACGCCCAGGTGGAAGTGATGTTCGAAACAGTGAGACCATCGCAGTTCACTCTCCGCTGCAATCGAAGACTGGCCGATTTGGCACCATGGAAGAAGGTGACTACCTTCTATCCGGATTCAAGTTCTTTTGCAGCGCGACAGATTGCAACATTGTCTTGCTGCTTGCAAAGACCGAGTCAGGCGAGCTGTCCCTATTTGTGGCACCAACATCTATCACAGCCACCGATGCCAACGGGAAGAAGAAGCAAGTATCGAACGGAATCCGCATCCATCGACTGAAGCAGAAGATGGGCACCAGAGAGCTACCAACGGCCGAGGCTGAACTCAAAAACGTCCGCGCCCATTTGATTGGCAAGAAAGATCGCGGTATTGCGACTATTGCCTTGTTGCTCAACACCACACGCACCCACAACTTCATCACAGCTGTTTCGTGCCTTCGTCGTGCCCTGGATATTGCCAAAGCATTTGCCCGTGCTCGCAAGACCATTGACCAACCACTGTGGACATTCCCAATGCACTTGAACGTGCTTGCCCACCTTGAAGTCAAGCATAGGGGCTGGCTCCAGCTAGCTTTCTTCACCTCGTCTCTTCTCGGTTTTGTGGATAATGGGTTCCCAAAGGAGCTACCTGCACATTACAATGTGCTCGCCACATCACCCGCCACAGCAACACTCGTACTTCGAGCTCTTACCTCGATGTCCAAGGCCGTGATCTGCAAATCATCTACATTAGCATTCCAAGAATGCCAGGAAGCAATGGGCGGAGTTGGATACATGGGTGGGTCTTTCTGTTCAACGTATCTGTTATTTTAAATGCTAACTACTCAGTAGATGAGCCCGAAGAACCGGAGTTCAATGTGAGCCGGTTGTGGCGCGATACAGCTAGCAACAGTGTCTGGGAGGGAACCACCAATGTCCTCGCCAGCGAGACTGTGAGACATCTTACCAACAGCCGTAATTTGGAATCATTCAGCACCTGGATCAACGAATCAATCAGCCACATCACCGACAATGCACTACGAACCACTCTACAGGTCGTCTGGGCAGCTCTAGAGAAAAAGCTTGCAGCTGGGCAAGATAGCCTTGGTTTGGCAGGTGTTCTCGGAATCGGTCGTCAGATAATGTTCACACTTGCTTGGCTCATCAGTGGTATGTTGCTCGCAATGGACGCCCAGCAAGATAGTAACAGTGTTGCCGGCGAGGTGGCTCGGAGATGGATTCTTGATGGGCAAGGTGTGCCAGGAGAATTTGCATTCCCTGAACTCATATATAAGCGCTCCGCATCCCAGCCTCGTGTGATGAGTGATAAGAGCCGGACTAACTGGGATTGTCGCATTGTTTGGGGAGTTGAACTTCCGGTGGGTGCTTCGACAGGATATCGGGCTAAGATTTGAATTGAGGCCGTGCAGATGGATGGGTTTCGTGTAGCAGAATATCATCTTGGGCCTTTAAAGTTACCGACTCGAATATCACAATGACACAAACTATTGACTGTTCTGTTACGGACGAAAGAAACAATGATAGAGATAAGAGAGCGCAGCTACATTTTCATACTTCACGTACGCAGTCTGAGGTTACCTCCTTAATTATAGCTTTGCACTTGCATTTTGCAACGACCGATGTCCAGATGCACGATTCGTAGGCAACTCGACACCCCAGGCAATGCGACAGTCCCATTGCAGATGTTCCTCGCCCGAAGAGGCAGCGCTAGCAGCATCGCGGGATGTAACAATGTCATGGAATACCATGTCTCCCACGCCACCCTCGGCACACAAAACCCAGCGACGGGCAATCTCCGTGCTTACAGGATCGCGATCGCGTTCAGAGTCAAGAGCCAGAAGGGCTCCGGACAATATCCAAGCGAGGGTGAACATGTAACGACGTGCATCAGCGACTATCGTAGCAGGATCGTTCTTCGAGAACCGAGCGCGAAGGGCAAACCAGGCAGAAATCAAAGCGTCGCGCAGATTGGCTGTTTGAATCAGAGCCAAAGTACGATCAAGCCATACTCGGAAGATGTTTAGATTGTCCTTCTTCAGAAGGAACCGAACCATCTCACTGGCGAGAACATTGGTAGTGCCCTCCCAAATTGAATTCACAGAAGTATTCCGCAGGATGCGAGAGATGTTGAACTCGGGCTCGTCAGCCTCATCCATGTAGCCTACTCCACCCATAGACTCCTGGCATTCGACGATCCCGAGAGTAGCCATTTTACTTATCACGGCCTTTGCGGTGGCAGTCAAAGTACGGAAGACCACGTCAGCCTCCTTCCCAGGCTGCGGAAGATGTGCGAGCTTCGTGGAAGCTGCCAATCTATTCTCGACGAGCCCGAATAAAGCGACCGTGAACCAGCATAGTGCCATGCCACCCCGATGTTTCACTTCCAGGTCCGCCAAAAGTCGCAAATGCATCGGTATTAGCCAGAGAGGTTCCCCGACGGTAGTCCGAGCCTTGGCGAAGCTCTTTGTGATACTAATGGCCCGACGCCAACCAGCCAGGGATCCGACAAAGGTATGAATGCGGGTGACATTGAGCAATGGTGCAATGGTGACAATACCCTGGTCCAATTCACCAACAAGATGGGCGCGCATATCCTTGAGCTCCAATTCAGCCGTGGGTAATTCCTTCGTCCCTAATTTGTTTTTCAGACGGTGGATCCTGACTCCATTTGATACTACCTTGGAGACACCGTCGGGTCCGACTACTGTCCGTCGTAGTGGTGCGAGGAATGTGCTCAGCTTTCCAGATGGTGTTTTTGCCAGCAAAAGAGCAAGGTTGGCATCTGTCGCTGACGAGAAGAATTTGAATCCGTTGATGAGATAGTCTCCATCGCCCAGGGGATCAGCGCCCGAGTCTTTGGCCAGTGGTGAGTAGGTAGCCCAGGTCTCGGTGTTTTGTACGTCGCTTCCACCAGCTCTCTCGGTCATCCACTGGCCAGAAGTCCAATGATCATCTCCCTCGGAAGTTAGCCCTTGAAAGGCAGCATGGAAGGGATGGTTCACTGGAAGCTTTCCAATTCTGGAGGATAAGATAAAAGCAGCTCCATCGGTCATACTAATCGGACACGAGTAGAGACCCGAAGAAGGAGAGTACAGATAGTTCCTTTGTCGTAGACTGTAAGTGACTGCAGCTCAAATTCATCCAGAAAGAGTACTCACAATGCATATTGAACCGTCCTTCTGTCAACGCCCAAGGCTGGATCATAGCCTGCAGACACGATTCTAATAGAATCAAATTAGACAACAACTTCGCAGACTAGTTTGCAGTACATACCTGTTACGAGCACCCCATTTGCCCAGTTGCTTCCAACCCTCAGTGGTCATCAATCGATCGTAGTCATATCGTTTACCCCAGACATTATGGCTCTTCACGTATGGTTGATTGCGCTCAGCGTCCGCACTCCATTCACGGATCTGATTGGAAATAGCCTCGGCACCGAGCTGCGTGAAATGTTGTTCTACTGATTGCAGTGTAGCAGATGGAAGGTACCCTGAAATAGTGAATATTATATTTTATTTGATAATGCAAGGAATACTAACATGATAGCGCCCGTTTAAGGCTCGTATCCGACGTGTACGTGTTCTCCAGCGGACCAGGCTCGGTCATATAGCCAGTATCCGCGGTCGCCGGCTGAGGGGCGGTTGAAGGAGACATTTCACGTTGAAGTTATTGAGTAGAAATGGGAAATGATATCTCGAGTGTCAAAATGCGGGGGGGAAGCTTAAGCTTAGTTAACTGGGAGTTGTACCTCGGTCCCGGTTGATGTCGCTTGGCTCGTGTACATCTCCGCAAAAGCGCCGAATGCCCACGGGGTACTTTAATGATTGTAAACATGACCAAGATTGATATTGATATCTCTGGGGCTGATAAAAACAAAAGAATCGTTGGTCTCACCATGGATTGCGTCGCCCAAGGCATCTTCCAAGGCTGTTAGTCTACATAATGTGCTATTTTCATAAAAATAATTATTTTCAAGACCTAAAACTGAGACTTTTGTTTTGTTGGCGATGATCTGACGCCATTCACATATCGTGGAGTGTGTTGTAACCGGTTTCGATCAGGCTTCTTGGCCCACGCGCATCGGAGCAGACATGCCAGTAAAACAATCCTCCTAGTTTTGACGATGTCACAAATTTTGCTTTCTGTTGCACTGTCGGCGGGGTATCGTATGTGACAAATCCTCCATCTGCCCCAACGCAGAACGATGCAGCAGCCTGTTTGTCGTGGTATTCCTGGGTTCCTGGCCGCGGCAAATCGCGATAATCAAAGACACCCTCCTCTCCGCCATGGCCAGTGTATCGCTGACCTGGTCCGGTGCTACCCAGGAATGACCGTCCATAGACTGGGACACCAAGGATGACCTTTCGACGAGGTACTCCCTGGGAAACCACATAGTCCACTGCCGATTCACCAGATACACCTGGACCGGAAAGCTTGGCGTGATGACCAGTTTCGGGGTCCCATGGACCAGCGAAATCGTATGCCATCAGGTTGAACATGTCCAAGTGTTTGGATGCCGCGCCAAGATCGATATTCCGCAGGGCCCACTGACCAGCGGGAAGGCAAGTAGCAAGGACGTATCGTGGGGTGGGAAGCACTTCACGCAGGCGTGAAAGCATACGGACATAATCCTTTCCTTGTTTAGAGTCTGCCGGGTGCTCCCAGTCAACTATGCAGCAACATGATCAGCTATCTCTCGCGATCGTGGCAAAAGATTTGATGGCAACACGGGAGCCTACCATCGATACCGTCGAGTCCGAACTGATCCACTAGTCCCCGCGCGGTACGAACAAACGTATCCAGCGTAGAACGACTGCGGGCAACAGCGGCGAAGTTCTCACTTCCTTTGCCACCTCCGCCAACTGAAAGAATGACTCTCATTTGGGAGTACTGTTGCTTCAGCTGGACAAAAGCCCGAAGACACCCCTCGGTGCCGTCAACCGGCATCTGGGTATCAGCCCACTCATCACTCAACTGCAATACATCAGCAAATGTTCAACTATGAACCAATTCCCGACACACATAAACAGTACCATCTTCTTTCACCCTGCATGAGACCAGTTCGAGGTTAGCGCATCAGCCAATCTCGCACACTAGATGACCATGATTGGCTGTCCATACCAGGCAAATGCATAGAAAACATGTGATATAAATCCGAGTCTCAATGACGAGGGAGGCTCCTTTCGATAGATTCTCCAGTTTGGATAGTAAGCTGCGTTAGTGTAAAAGGGCACTTCATAGGCACTTTCCGAGGTGGGGTTGCGGTCCCGACGGCGAAAGAGTGCACTGGCAGCCGAGAACATTGTGTGCTTGTTCAACGAGGGATATCACGATGAATATAAGAAAAGAAGGAGATGAAGCAGTGGGGAAATGCAGTTTCCTGTTTTGGAATTTGTCACGTGGACCCTGTTTGCTCCTTATGATGCAGGAGTAGCAGATGCAAACCTCATCTTCTTTCTCCCCCAACCCCTTGGCCTAAACAATCGATCAGTATTGGACACAATGTGCGGGGTGGATGCGCGGCATGAGTTCCGCATGCATGAGGTTTCCAAAGTACCCAACGGCTGATCCTTGCATCTCAGCCACTCGGCTGCCTTTGACTCGTGATGCTTTTCGCGGGTTACTAGACTGGGAGGACCAGGTCCCCAAGCGCCCAACACGGGGTACCGGTATATACCCGTGTTCCGGTGAGATCTGACCAGGGTAGTGAAATGAGGCATTCCAATTGGTGTGTTGATCTGCGTCAGCAAGAATGTACCCCGTGATACTTGCAGAGTTTGCACGACGGCCGATCACCGGAGCTCGTATGCTCGGCGCCTCGCGCATCCTGCGTCAATTTTTCCCCGGTGGGCAAGAACGGCACTTCGCTACGACTTGGCTTTGGGACTAAGGTTTGCTTTTTCGATCAGTTGGAAGATCTGTGATGACCAAATCGGTTAGCAGCGGGGATGATTGGCTGGGAAAGAGCTTATTATATGAGGCTAAGGAGGTATGGGCAGGGATTTCTATGGCCCCCAAGGCAATTCGCTTTTCCGTGCTGATCCCCTCGGTCTAGAATGCTGACGTCTGCAGGGGTACTGTCTAATTACAGCATTGCAGATAATTCTGTGAACCATCTTCTAGCTCATAGCTTTGGGTAATAAACATGATACCCAATAAAGGCAGCTGGACACTTGGCGCTTTTCCAAAACACCAGTTCGGTTTAGAGGCGATGATCAGGAGATGATCGGCAAGTACATGCTTATGTATACCTCGATTCTCTTATGGTTACTCAAGCTTCACGGCATTGTTCAGTTGGGCCCATTTCTTTTCTCCCTCGGAGCCAGGTTGTGGTGGCACCAGTCCACTCTTCTTCCACAAATGTCTCGAAGCTTCCGCGGTGAAATATTCCCATTCCATTCCTTTTGACTCAAATACCGGGTCCAGGATATTGTCAACGCCGGACAAGAATCGCTGCTTCGCTTCTTCACTCTGGAAAGCACGAGCAACATGGTAGATCGTCACGGCGGCGAAGTTGGGGTGCACTTCACCGCCAACGAAAGCTGTAGAAGGGACATCCTCGATAACGTGGGCTTGGACGTAGAAAGCAGGGAGTCCGTAGGAGACGTAGAGATTAGTGATTGACTTGGCGAGTTGTTCTTTCTCGGTCGGGATAATGGTGTTTGGACTATGTTTGATGTACCAGACAGGCATTCTGAGGTTATATCTGTATGGTTTACTTGAAAAATGATATAAAAACTAAGTTCAAAGGGATGAATGTATCACCAGCTGGTTCCTATGGCATTACTCTTATGGTTTTCGAAAGATGAAATGCCCCTTTAACATAGTATCCTGGGCACGATCGTCGCACATCAGTGCATTGTTTATGCATAGCTTCAGAGAGTACTCTAGATGTTAGTTCGGGCAGATAGTGTAATATAAAATTGTTTAATTCGTTGGCGATCCAATGGGTGGCACCGAACGGCTTTGATCATTTCATCAGCCTCGGCCGAGCTTAGATTACAATATCAAGCAACGTTATTTTTTGAACAGGCCACGCCAGCAAATGGTACGCGATAATTAATGATTACTCTTCATTACTTTCTTCAATTGATCTTTAGTATACATTGGCAAATCACGCCACCGCCAGATCGAACTATCGGAACTGGATCTTTCGGGGCTTAACTCCACCGTCCTAAACAATGGATTGCAGATGACAAATGCATAAGTTGAATATAAGAGACGCTTAGGGTACGGATAGACATGATTTTCTACACCTCGAAGCACTCAAGAAATTATACATCACCATGTCTAAAGGATTGATCTTCATCACCGGAGCCACCGGCTTTATTGGCAGTGCCACAGCCGCGGAAGCACTCAAGGCTGGCTATCAATTGCGAATTTGTCTTCGCAAGCCCTCTGAGCACCTGCAATCTGTCCTCTCCGAATACAAAAATCAAATTGAATTTGTTACCGTTCCAGATCTCACCAGTGAAACGGCATTCGACGACAAGCTGAATGGCGTGGACTATGTCCTCCATCTGGCATCGCCCCTTACTCATGGAACCAACAAGGAGACTTACTTCATCCCGGCCGTGAAAGCTACGACTCTCTTGCTGAAGGCAGCAGCCAAGGTTCCCAGCATCAAGAAAGTCGTGGTGACATCCTCTATCGCTGCTCTCATTCCCATGACCGGTATTCCCGCTGGGGGAGTAATCAAAGGTAAAATACTTCATTAATCCCACTATAAGCACGGTATTAACAACCTACCTAGAGGACAATGACTGGGACTTCTCAGTGGATGAGAACGGATCATTTGAAGATCCCCAAGACCCAGCTGGAACGCCCATGCGTTTATACCGGGCTTCAAAGCTCCTTGCCAACAACGCAACCTGGGACTTCTGGGCAACAACCAAACCACACTACGCATTGGTGACGCTGCACCCAGCATTTGTATTTGGCCACAACCTTATGCAAACTTCAGCCGAGGAAGTTGCAACAGGATCCAACGGCCTTCTATGGAGTCTGGTCATGCAAGGTAACCCCGCTGGAAGCAATGGTGTGCACATTCAGGATGTTGCCGAAGCGCATATCAAAGTGCTGGACCCGGAGATTCCTGATGGTTCGAAGTATCTGTTGGCTGGACCAATGGCGACTGGATCTGAGATTGCAAGCATTGTCAAGAAATTGTATCCTGATTCTGGGGCCAAAATCACTGAGGATATTCAGCTTTCTCCGATGCCAGTCGATACTGCTAAGGCGGAAGCAGAGCTTGGGATCCAATGGCGTTCATGGGAGGCGATGGTTAAGGAGGTGATGGATCAGCAGCTTGGATTTTATCATAAATTGTAGATCTATAGCATGTGTTAGAATTTGGTAGTGCAATCAATATCACTCGAAAGAGAATATATATTTGCCTCCTGCTTAGTCAAAACTGTCGGAAAAATAACTCAAGACCAAAGCGAAGAGCTTGGCAAATCAGATTAGACTATTATTGGTCTGTGACTTTCCAAGGTAGAGATGACAAATGCAAACTGCCCAAACATTTGCCACCTGATTTCTAAGGCGACAACCGGAGAACATCCTGGACAGCTCTTTCACAATAACTTACCAAGAGTTGCTCCTCAAACATCTGCACATTTGCCTCCTCTCTTAACCAATTCAACCTCTGGGAGATTCAGAATCTGACCTCGCTATTTTCTCACTGAAATCTTACTCTCAGGAGTGTCGCGATCGCATCGAGCGCCTTCGCCTGCCTGCGCACTTGTTGACTCCTTGAGCTTTCGCTCAAGCTCAGTAACATCATGGCGGCCGATACACAAAGTGCTGCTGCACAATTCATCTCTGCCGAACCTACTCGCGATCCCAGCTACAATAATTTCACTTTCACACCCTTCCTGCGCAAGAGCTTCGGCTTCGGACTCGCCAGCGATGTACCCGTCTGCAAAGCCTACAGTGAAGGGCACTGTCCATTGGGACCTGCCTGTCCAGATCGCCATCCCACTCCGTCCCGTGTGACGACCTCGACCACCACGGCATCCGGAATGGCACCATCTACCACACACGGATCGCTGGTCTGCAAACATTTCCTCAAGGGCCTATGCAAGAAAGGACTGAAGTGCGAATACCTCCACGAATACAACCTGCGACGAATGCCCGAATGCCAGTCTTTCTCACGGTCGGGATACTGTACCAATGGCGACGACTGTCTTTACCAACACGTCCGCGAAGAGGCACGCCTGCCACCTTGCGAACACTACGACCGGGGATACTGTGAACTGGGACCTCTCTGCGCCAAGCGCCATGTCCGCCGACGCCTATGTCTCTTCTACCTGGCTGGATTCTGCCCGGACGGAAAAGGCTGTGCGGATGCTCATCCCCGATGGACGGAAAACCTCCCACGACCAACGATGCGCACCGAGAAGACAGAGGAAGAGTTGGAACACGAGAAAGCCCTCATCCGGGAAGAACAAGAACGCGAGAAGGAACGGGAAAGGGAATGGCGAAGCGAGAGGGGGCGGGGTGGTGGTTTCGGCCGTGGGCGCTTCCGTGGGCGAGGCAGGGGTTAGCTGGACTCATATCGGTCTGTTTTTATGGGCCACATTGCATGGTATGGAGTGTACCCCGGCAAGGGGGCTTGTTTTACGGTTTTGTTGGGCCAGTAGATACCCCAATTTGGATTTGACAACTCAGATAAATCTAAATATGTTCAATTATTCTGTGTTCTGTGTTAGATTCACCGCCATCAACGTACAGTAGATGTATAACTACAGTGCTAGGACACCAATATCCTTTTTAGGTTCCCCCACCGGAGCTAATCCACCTGAAGTCAGCTTACAAGGTAACTTGCGTTACAGACCTAGACATGCCCACGGCGATATGCCATGCAAACTTCGACGAATGCAGGTTTTAGCTTCATGATCGGAGTGTATGACATCATGACACCTTAATAATGTTCATGTTAGCAGAATAGCCAGGTGAAATACTGTAATTCCTTCCACCAAAGAAGGGTCTCTTAATCCGCTAAGAGCTATCTAGACTAATGCGCCTACGCCCCTGTCTTGGCAGAGATTTTCCATTTGTCAGTTCTCAGTAAGAATCGCCTAAACATGAGCTATATCCGGGTGGGGTCGGGTGGACCTACTCCAGCCAATCACAGGCTGCCCCTGCTCTGTCATCGATGACTGATTTGCTCTGCGGAGCGCCCAATGTCTTGCTAATCGCCGAATATGTGATCATTCCGGCGTTCCTATATAATAGAGTATTTCCCCTCCTCAAATATTCAGTTCATTATACCCTGAACATCATCATCATGGCTCCCAAGGTTGCAATTGTCTACGTATGTCTTCCCCCAATTCCCTCTCTTCTGTCACTAACTTGTTGCATATAGTACTCGATGTACGGCCACATCAAGACCCTGGCCGAGGCTGAGAAGAAGGGCATTGAGTCTGCCGGTGGTTCCGCCGATGTCTTCCAGTGAGTCTGATCATGACCTCTTACTGGACTACTACTCACAACCGGACTAGGATCGCCGAGACCCTCAGCGAGGAGGTTCTGGCCAAGATGCACGCCCCTGCTAAGCCCAATGACCCCATCATTGAGGCCACCGACCTCCAAGCCTACGATGCCGTCCTGTTCGGTATCCCCACCCGTTACGGTAACTTCCCTGCTCAGTGGAAGACCTTCTGGGACAAGACTGGCGGCATCTGGGCCTCCGGTGGCTTCTGGGGCAAGTATGCCGGTCTGTTCGTCTCTACTGGCACCCAGGGTGGTGGCCAGGAGTCCACTGCCCTTGCTTCCATGAGTACTCTGTGAGTATCACCTTACTCTCCGTCACTGGACCGTCACGTACTCCCTCACTGGTCTATCACTTACTCCCTCACTGGACCATCACTTTACTTACTTACTGGACCATCTCTGATAACGCTGAATAGGGCTCACCATGGTTTTATTTATGTCCCTCTTGGGTATAAGACTGTGTTCCCCTTGCTCGCAAACCTTGAAGAAGTCCATGGCGGTAGTGCCTGGGGTGCCGGTACCTTTGCTGTAAGTCAGATACTCAACAGTTTCCCGACCTTTCCTAACAACTATAGGGTGCCGACGGCTCTCGTCAGCCCACAGCCCTTGAGCTCCAGCTTGCTGAGGCCCAGGGTAAGGCCTTTTATGAACACGTCTCCAGGGTCCAGTGACTACATGGTAGTACCGAGTCAAACTCGACCCCGGCTGCTGCGGAGCCAAAGAAGACCGAGGCTCCCAAGCAGCAGGAGCCAGCTAAGAAAGAGAAGGATAACGAAGGACCGTGTGGTCTGCCCAAGAAGTGTATCATTCAATGATCGCACCTTGTCTTTTTCCCTTAGTTAGCTATTGTTAGTAGGGCGTCCTGGTTTAATGATGAGATAATACATGACCCTCAGATTCTAGATGATTTTATACTGTCTAATGGAACGATTCAATATTGTGTCAACTGGAGCTTGTAGCTTGTAGTATATAAACAAATCTCAGGTAGACAATTGGACCACGGTCTTGTGCGCCATCGCGCTCGTGTTGAAGGTTGATGCTGGAGCCGAATGTTTTGTGGAAGTTGTCTCCGCGTTAATAAATACAAAGAGTAGAGCAACATAAAAATAAATGCCCTGATTGCAAACTCCGATACTGGTTCCTTACGGCTGCAATTTAGACAGAATTTACTTCTGCTTCTTCTCCTCTGTAACCTTGACTGTTATTACGATACTATTAGCAGACTATCATATGATACGAATGGTACGATAAAGAAAAGATTTCAGCGCGGATCTTGACTTACATTTCTTCCCTCCGTTCCCGGAGTGTCCCTCTCGACGAGGGCGACGAATGCGCCGGGCAGCAGCGGCTTCTTGGACCGCACGCTATATATCATCAGTCCTATCCTTTATCGCACATTCAATATCAGCCTTACTCGGGCGTGCGCGGCAGCCATCTGTTCGATGTGAAGTCATAGTAGGCGTCACCCTATACTCAAATTATGTTAGTGCTGTTTCACAACTAAACAGAACTTCAAAACGAGCATCAGAAGGGGCAGTGAGTGAAGCAATAACTTACTGGTGATGCAGGTGTACCGGTTGGGGAGAAAGAAGAAGAAGAATCGGAAATGAGGAAGATGAGCCCTTTTATAGGGGACTGGTATAGACACAACCCTTAACTTAGCATCCAAAGGGGGGGTGTCTGTATCAATCTCCTATAAGTAGTACGACAACATAAAATTTAGTAGGCGCGAGTTACGAAACGTTGATAAAAGGGGCTACTTTCGCTTATCCTTCTTGGTGGCTTTGACTGTTATTACGATACTATTAGCAGACTGTTATATAATACGAATGATACGATAAAGAAAGGATTTCAGCGCCGATCTTAGACAAGACTGTAACCTCGAAAGAGATCAACCTCGACTGAGATCAACCTCAAACGAGACCGCAATCCCGAATAGGTGACACCTCGCAATATGGCAATAGAACTCGCATTCCTGAACAAATAGGCGATTATGAAAGTACAAGAATTAAGAAAGGGATCTAGACTTACATTTCTTTCCTCCGTTGCCGGAGTGTCCCTCGCGACAACGGCGACGAATGCGCCGGGCTATAACGGCCTCCTCAACAGCACGCTATATATCATTAGTCCTATCCTTTATCGCACATTCAATATCAGCCTTACTCGGGCATGCGCGATAGCCATCTGTTCGATGAAGTCGTAATAGACGTCATCCTATACTCAAATTAGTGCTGTTTACTTCACGTGTATACATAACAATAAGGTATTCAAATTGAGATGAATGTGCTCAAACAAGGTCGGAAATGCAGAAATGAAGTGATCCTTGGAAACTTACTTCATCTACCCATTTATGGGTATCGGCAAACTTTGCCTGTGTATATGAAGTAGTTAGCGCAGTTCAATAGATGTGATTGAAAAATAAACGGAACTTACCTTCTTGCCTCCCTTGGAGGGGGATAGAGCATGAGCATGACATTGAATCATGCAAGCGTATCAGTTGGGGAGAAAGAAGAAGAAGGAATTGTGAAGCATGAAAAGGGTCCTTTTATAGACTGCGATGCTGAGAGGCAGAACATGCCTTATTTTTGTATTGAGATAGTAGTAGGTTGTCGGAGGATAGAGCATGAGCATGACATTCAATCATGCAAGCGTATCAGCAGGGGAGAAAGAATAAGGAATTGTGAAGCATAAAAAGCGTCCTTTTATACACTACGATGCTGAGAAGCAAAACATTCCTACTACTCAGCCCTACCGGAATACTTTATAAAGCTTACCGGAACGACTCTTCTTATTACGCCAATCACATGCTTCCTGCGCATCGCCACTACCACCTGGGATGCGCCACTTCCTACGCGGAAACATCTATGCTGGGATGTCGGAGAATGGGCTCTGATCTTGCCTAGTGTTTACTGGGTAGGGTCTTTGATGTGGTGTCTGTATCAATCACCTATATATATTGATTCATGAATTGGAAAAGGTAATAACAAATTGACGGGCTGGCTGACTGTTTGAAGTACATGAGGATCTGATTGTCTGACTGAATGTCTGGAATACAAAAGTTTATTACATAACTGCTGGCTGCTGGCTGATGAATCTAGTTTCAACGTGTGTTGGTGGATTGACTGTGAATCTGAAGAGAGTCTGAATGGATTGTCTGGTTGGCAGGCTGATATTGGACAGTGTGGTTTTTGACTGTGCGTCTGAAGAGAGTCTAAATGGATAGTCTGCCTGGCTGGCTGATATCGACTGTGTGGTTCTTGACTGTGCGTCTGAAGAGAAGGCGAAAGGATTGCCTGAAGCATTGCCTGGCTGGCTGATATCGGACTGTGGTTCTTGACTGTGCGTCTGAAGAGAAGGCGAAGGATTGTGTGGTTGGCAGGCTGAGCTTGAGAGCTGATGATGTGGGTCTTCGTGTATTGCAAGTCAGTATTCAGCAACTGTCCAGCATTGGGGCGCCGACTTCGGCGTCACAGAGTAGGAGAAGAGCCATGCCGCCACTGTTGTAGTGGCAGCAGTAGTTGGCGGATTTGCTGGATGTGTCGGCCAGATACACTCCCTTGCCGAACATGTAGCCGTTGACTGGGGCTTCTGGGGACGCAATGCGGAGACCTTGGTTGAGGATTCCACCGAAGTTTGTACTGCGGGAGCCGTGCCAGAGGAGGCGGCGGTCGCTGTTGGCGATACTGGCGTAAGGGGATGTGTTGAAGCAGTCGTTTTCGCCTTGGCGTTCGATGCGGAAGATGTTGACGACTTTGTATGGGAGGCGGTGAGTTGCGCCGCGAGTGTTGGAAGCCTCTATTCTAGGCTGTTTGCCAGTCGTAACGTGCTTGAAGTCCGCGGTATCTTCATGATTGACAACCAGTGCAAGTGGAGTGGGAAGTGAGAATGGCATTGAGGCTTATTATGCGTATACTACGACTAATAGTGTTATCATTAATTATGCTGATCCAGAGGAGTCTCTGGCTATGGATGACAGGTTTGGAGATGGGGCACAGAAGGTTAGATACGGGTGATTCAACTGATAGTATTCAACGTGTATGCTGTTCTCAATATTAAACATACACGTCTTCACGGAATGATACCGATGCCATTCACGTCCTTACGCAATCGAGTCCCCAGCTGTTGCCAGTTGTTTGATTTCGAATAGCTGTTCTAACGATATGCGGGGAAAATCTAATCTTCTGGGACAGTTGCCAGCTGAGCTGGTAGGGAGTTGAAGAATAGATCCATGTTCAATTGCTCGACTTGAACTCGTAAGTCATTCATGTTCAGCCTCTACTCTACCTCCGTGGAAGTAAGAAAGAACTAAATTTCGTATCTGCCATGTGTACAGCAATAAGAGCTGCCTGAATGATCCAATATCAGTCCTGAGGTAACGGAAGAGTCAGATTGCACTCACCAGTGACAAGTCAAAGTTTTCAGCCACGAGTACCTCCAAGATTTGTCGCGGGACTAACGAGTGATCACTCGCAGCTCTTGCTCTTGCTGTGGGGAGAGACTTGTTCATCGTCAGGCTTTCACGCACATCAACGACTTTCTGGCCATCCACCATAGCCGCATATGCTGTGCACGCCATCGATTCTATTACTTGCACCTGGACCGTAACATCTTTCTCGTCTTCAGATGCCGCATTGCGAAATTTGAGCGTGTAGCCTTCCCAGCCCATTCGGAAGTCTACCAGCTCTTCATCTTGTTTGCCTGGTAATCGTACGAGCAATGGTCGTCGCCAGGCTAATGCTGTCGGTCGCGACTCGAACATTGGCAGTCCTGATGCATCTCGGAACTCGCGCGCTCTGGTGTCACCGTATTTGCGACCAGTCACTGTGAAGATGGTGGAGTCGTCCCAGTATTTCTTCAGGGTATATTCATCCGCCGAGTGGGGGTCATATTTAGGTCGCAGATACAGCAGGGTTTCTTCTTCGGCGATGTGTTCCTGTCGGATCCCTATAGGATGTGCGATCTTCTTGACGGCCTTTGTGGGTGGACGGGAATCCATGTTGTGTTATGTTGGAAAGGAGATGAGACGTTGACGTCGGGATCGACACGCCCCCATGGCCCTTACGTGACTATGATCACCATTGTAGAGATCTTGTATCTTTGAACATAGCAATTCGTGCAATTCGTAGTAGTTGACATTTTATAGCATCAAAAGAGATATAAAAACACAGCCGAATTGGGGTTGATTGCAACCCCTCATTCCCCTCAGATAAGCAAATTTGCCCTCTTTTCTCTTCTTCACCTCTTCGCTCTGCTTTGTTGCCGAATTGAATACTCACACCTCTCGAAATCATGGACCCTTATCTCTTATGGTTAGCTGGCAAAGAGCAGGAAGGACATGCAGACATGTGGGTACGCCGAGATGTTAACACTGTCGCTAAACTAACGAGGCCACAGTATTCCAATTGAAGACCCAGCAACAGGAGAAATATTCGCCAAGTGAGACCACTCAAATATTACAATGCTGTGTGCTTGGCCTAACGCAGGACAGATGCCACGCCGCCTCTCCTGAGGACGTAGAGATCGCCATCTCCTCCGCCCATGCCGCATACAAGTCCGGCATATGGTCGCGAGCGAGTCGCCATCATCGCGCAGATGTACTCGAGAAATGCGCAGCACTCCTTTCTAACGCACTCCCAGAATTCATAGCACTCGAGTCGAAACAAACAGGTCGAGTTATTCGAGAGATGAACGCTCAGGTCCCATCGTTGACGAGATGGTTCAAGTATTATGCGTCGTTACTCCGTGTTGAGGAGCGCTCTGTTCTTCCGACAATGGGGAAACTGCATAACTTTGTCGATCGCGTTCCTTTGGGTGTTGTGGTTCAGATTACGCCGTTTAATCATCCGCTGCTGATCGCCGTGAAGAAGTTGGCTCCTGCGCTAGCCGCTGGGAATAGTGTTGTTATTAAGCCTAGTGAGCTGACGCCGTTGACTACTTTGTTGCTTGGGAAGATCCTTGGTCAGGCGGGCATTCCTGATGGGGTGTTGAGCGTGTTACCTGGATATGGTGCTATTACTGGTAAAGCGCTCGTTGAGCATCCCCTGGTCAGAAAGGTGGATGTTACTGGTGGTACCGAGGCTGGTAAAGCAATCGGGAAGATTATAGGAGGAAACTTGACCAAATACACAGCAGAGCTAGGGGGCAAGGCGCCTCTGATTGTGTTTAAGGATGCCAACATCGACGCAGCGGTTAACGGGATTGCCTTTGGAAGTTTCATTGCCAGTGGCCAGACTTGTGTTGCTAGCACCAGAATTATTGTGCAGAACAACATCATGAGTGAAGTTCTGGGGAAGCTCACGACTAAGATTGCGGGAATTACACGACGCATGGGGGCTCCAAGCAACCCAGAGTCAATGATGGGCCCTCTAATCTCCGAAAAACAATTGCGGCATGTCGAAAAGCTAGTCAAGGATGCTCTAAGTGGACGCAATGCATTTTCGCTTGCCGGAGGAAAGCGCATGACTGGTCGAAGCCCACTTGACGGATTCAACTTCGACAAGGGATACTACTATGAGCCAACTTTGCTAGTGTCTGATCAGGGCAACAACAGCATTGTGAACACCTCTATCTGGCGCGAAGAAGCCTTTGGCCCCGTAATTGTCGTGGCTGGTTTCGACACCGAAGAACAAGCTATCGCCCTGGCAAACGACACCGAGTTTGGATTGGGAGCTGGTATATGGACAACCAACCTCTCCCAATCGTTCCGAGTGTCAGAACAGATTGCTGCTGGAATCACTTGGGTAAATACCCATCACCGCAATGACCCTAGCAGTCCCTGGGGCGGTGCAACCAGTGCAAGCGGAGTGGGAAGTGAGAATGGCATTGAGGCTTATCATGCGTATACTACGACTAAAAGTGTCATCATCAATTATGCTGATCCAGAGGAGTCTCTGGCTATGGATGACTGGTTTGGAGATGGCGCACAGAAGGTCAGATATGGGTAATTCAACTGATAGTATATATTCTACTTGAATATCTCCATAAATATGCTGTTTGACTATGTTCAACTATAAAGAGGGAATGCATGATGTCATACCCGCAAGGTTGGCCTGCCTTGCTTTCTCACGAGCCTGATCTGCCGGATCTGCATCTGATGTTCAATCTGTTGTACTTAATTTATGAATTTGTGAATCAAACTTATTATCCATCTTCAATATGTCCATTCTGTGGGGGCGCAAACACTCAGTGAGTGAAGGACCTTCCAACCATGATGATCACCACGATGCGCCAGAGCGAACCGAAGAACCTACTGAACACACAAGGCTCCTCCCTGGAGATAACCGTGGATATTTGAGTCCTGATGATCCCGCAGTCAGTCCAACTTGTGAATATAGAAGTAATATGTTAATAACAGAAACAGGTATCGCCCTACAATCTATGGAGTGTCCGCGCTCTGCGCGCTGTCTCCCTCTTGGCACTGGGACTTAGTTTCATCTGGTGGACTTTGCTCTTAGTATCTATCTTTGTCAGTCCGCCGGTGATTCACCCGCGAGGGTCGGGTTTCTTCGCGTTTTCATATACGACGCTAGCGACTGGATACCTAGTCCTGGGACTGCTATTCTTCGCGGTACCCTCCAAGCCGATGACCATCTGGGGTATCTTTATCGTCGCGCTTCTTCTGGTGGATACGTGCATTATCCTGGGCGTGGCGCGGATCCGTCTTGAAGAAGGCTGGGTTGGGATTGCCTCTGTCGTCTGGGTGGTTATAATCTCTATCTGGCAAGTTCTTTTGAATCGTGCTGTCGCTTGGGGGAAGAAGGAAGAGGAGGAGCGTTTGACTGGTCGGGAGGAGACTCGTCGCTCGCTTTTGGAGTGGATGGCTGTCCTTGCTGAGACGGTATTGCTTGTTGTCATGGCTATCGCAGTCGTTTTATTCACGTCTACGCTTATCATTCGTGCGCGTGACGTTTCTGTGCCTCCTCCGGGTGAGCGATATCTGGTTCATGGTGATTTATACCAAGTGCATCTTGCCTGTGTTGGAAACAAGACTGCCGATGACAACTCGTCGACGATTCTCCTCGAAGGTGGCACTGGACCCGTCGAACATACACTGCAGCCATTTATGGACGATTTGTACCGCCGTGGCTCTATTGACCGGTATTGTTACTGGGATAGACCAGGGTTCGCATGGTCCGACAATGCACCCTCTCCACATTCAGCAGGGATGTCGGCAGATGTGCTAGCAGAGGCACTGGCTCTCGCAGACGAGACTGGTCCCTGGGTAGTTGTCTCCGCGGGTGTTGGAAGCCTCTATTCCAGGCTGTTTGCCAGTCGTAACCTGCTTGAAGTCCGCGGTATCTTCATGATTGACCCGCTTCACGAGGAATACTTGAGTGACCTCGGGAAACCAGGTCGTGGCTTTGTGCTCTGGTTCCGCGGTATTCTGTCTCCGCTTGGACTGGACCGACTTGCTGGAGCCTTGTTCCGGGGTCGTACTCGTCAGGACCGAATTGCAGGACGTTCGGCGTATCAGTCTGGCAAGTTCATCAAGGCAAAACTGCAAGAGAACCTCGTTGCGGTTACTATGACTGCGGCTGAGGTGCAGTCTGCTCGTCATGTTCAGATGGGACATGTTCCGGTTGTCGTTGTGAGCTCTGGTCAAGAGGTTCGCAAGGATTCCCGTTGGGCAGATCGACAAGAGGATCTGTCTCATATCACAGATAATCTCTATTCCTGGGATGTTGTCGCCGATGCGCCACACGAAGTATGGATGGATGGTGAAGGGCGGGTGATGATCGAGAAGCGGTTGAAGGAACTTGTTGAAGCAGGGCAGTCATTTGGGCCATAAGCTTTTTGTTAATGTTACTCGGAGTTTTGGCGAATACGTTTGGGAACTTGGGAAATTGTATCATACACATACTCGCGAATGAAGCCTTATACCAGGGAGATCGACCTCGACCATGGATAAATGCCCTTACTCAATAACATACTGTACTGCGCAACTCAAGCAGCTACTGGTAGTCCCATAAAATGTAGAATTCAATGCAGGCCATTGGGTCTATGTGCTATGTAAAACTAAGCCGACCCCAGACCATGCAAACCTCGCTCGATCCAGCCGAAGTCCACCGCAGATGTGATAATCGTTGGTATAAATGGGCGACACTATTTCCCTCCACTTCCCACATTACCCGGGTAACACGATTGAGAAGACGGTCGGATGGGGGGACTAATGAAAACCGAGCGGCGATAAGACGAAGTCACTCTAGACTAGCTCCCTTAAACCTCTTAGCAAGCTGTTCACCCTCTGTATTGGGAGTATTGGAGCGGGATGTATGGGAAGAAGGGGGGTTGCGACGTCCTCGGGATTGGGGATCCGGGCGAGAAGACTCAACCGCGGTGGGCCAGGGGCGCTTAGGGGGGCGCTCACCACTCTCCTGAAGGATGGTCATCAACGTCGCCCATCCTGAGGTACTCAATAGCTGCATTCCTTCAGCGGGGGATTGTGTTCTCGCGACGCGGCATAGGAGGGATTCCTCATCCTGTGAAAGTCGGGTTAGTATCTGATGTCGAGTGATATATGAAGGATAGAACAGACCTTGTTGAAAGTGCCGAGTCCGTGCAAGAAGCACAGCAGGTGGAAGTCGGATACGCCTTGGATGGCCTTTTGTGGGTCTCCGGACATAAGTTTCTGGGCGACATGTCGTAGCTCCTGGCTTTCGCCAATGACTTCGCGGTTCTCGATGGGGAAGCGGCTGTTCGTGAACAATGGGGATGACTCAGTGGGGAATCCATGGGTAAGGGTAACTAGCAGGAAGTCGACTGGGAAACTCGGCGAGGCGTTCTCTTGAACACTGGCGCCGTACTCGTTAATACGGCGGTAGAAGACCTCGGGGATGTACCGCGTTCTGGCCCCGAGATCCTCGTCGGTCTCTGATTGTACCAGCATCACAGACGGGTCGGCGGAAGGCTCAATGATGTCTCCACGAACCATCTCGACCGCAGACACGGAGGCTTGGTATGAGCTGATGCTGATAGCACCTGTATCATCGCCGCTGAGCACACATGTGACGAAGTCGGAACCGAAGCGTCCCGTGCGACTCCATTTGGTTAATTTAGGATTTTGCGCCTGAAGACGTGCGGCAAAGGCGATTTCCAGCGAGGACAGGAAGTACGAGTCGATGTGACGCTTGCATACCACTGAACCGTCTCCCTGGCCGCCATCGAGAAGATCAGTAAATATGACACCAACCTTCTGCAATCCGCAAAGACTGGCCACCTCATCCACTTCCTTCTCGTTGTGCCAATCGTGGAGTGTTACACCATCGACTTCACCCATTTGTGGGGGCTCGTAGATTGCTTGCACGACAGCCTTGACACCTAGTGGTACTTCGGTGTACTCCTCATACGTCCCGTACAAGAAGCCGAGACGTTGGGCACCAGACTTTCGCCAGAAGTCAAGAAGTGAGTTGATGAGATCGGGAGAGGCGAACTCCACGTGATCGACCATGCGGAATTCCTGGGGTTGCAGACTGATGGCGCTGGGTTGACACTTTGTGCAGATACCCTCTGGCCATGGCGAATGTCCCGATGGGCAGTCAGTTCGAACTCGGTAGTATGGTTCATTGAGCGGTGGCATGAAGGAGGTTCCCATTTCGGGCTTATTGGTTGCAGCATTGATCTTCCGCAGATATGAGTGGAAGGAAAGATGCTTGATCTTCTTTTCGGCCATATATTTCGCATCGTACGGTTCAAGTGGCATGCAGTAGTCACACATGCCTCGGGGGCCATGCTTGCACATCTTCTGGTCCATATTCCGCTTGATCTTGCCATCTTTCTTGTCCAGCAGGTTATCCAGTGGGGATTGCTTCACCACGTCCCACGGATTCTTGACTGCGGCGGAGGAGGTTGCCTGGGGGCGAACCGGAACGGGAGGTTGCTGGGGAATTGGAGCACCGTTTAATCGTCGCTCCGAAGAGACAGATGTGTCGCCGTTCGAGGGTCCATTCTGTTGTGTCTGTTCCCGGTACCCGATGAAGAGCTTGTCGCCGTGTCTTGAGGGAGCATGAGCAAATTCCCTATCATTGCAACAATATTTAGCACTTACTTGAGACCGACTTGTTGAATTGAAACACCTTGTAGGCCTTCTAGTTCTCTCTCTTCGCCGCCTGTGCCGATAGGTTTGTTTGAGATGACGATGGATGAAGGATCGACACCTGCCGGAAGCTGTTCCAGGATCTATCGTAGACAGCAAGATTAGCCTACGGACTGGACCACATATTTCTTGAGAGAGAGCGACAAAAATACCTTTTGCTGAAGGGATGGGAAGAGTTCCTGCGGGCTGACGGAGAATCGGAACTGCCCGTTGCGACTTTCAAATCGCAGCAGGATAGGCCGTGATGCCATGACTGAGAAATCTGGATCTCAAGGAGAGCTGGGAAAGGACAGAGTCATAGATGTGAAGGAAGACGAGCTCAACTCGAAGCTTCCCTGGTCACGTCACAAGTCGGGCGGTGGGTAATCTGCTGAATCTCAGGGCGGTGAACAGACCCCCGCTATACCCTTTTGACGTTCACTCTCCATTGTTATTCTTTAAGACAGGTAACAAGCTACAGTTAACCCAAAACCACTTTCCACGTTAAGGAGCAAGCAAGGGTTCAAAGATATAGTACCCGGTTACCTATGCGTATGTATGTACACTGTCACCCCATACGAACTCCGGCCACATGGATTTCCATTCACCCAATCTGTTAAGGATCAGCACGGCGAAACAGCACTTGGGCAACTTAGGGCAAAATGCCAAGTTTGGATCGGAAGCGCGAAACAGGATGAGAGATTGCCCACGGAGAGGATGTACTCCGACATCGTGATTATGGGCTGTAACAGTGACTGGGTTCTGACCCAGGTAAATCTACATTAAAGAAGTTCGTCTACTACTCCTTAAATAGTCCTTGGATCCGAATAGTTGTTAGATTTAGGGGGATTTAAGCATCTACCCTAGCGGCATTACCGCGCGTTAATAGATACAGATAGAAGAGCAACATGAAAATAATTAAGCGCTCGGTGCAAACTTGACGGCTGATTCGACGGAGCTTACTTCTGCTCCTTCTGCTTCTTCGTTGCCTTAACTGTTATTACGATAATGTTAGCAGACTGTTATATGATACGAATAACGATAAAGAAAAGATCAAATGGGCATGAGCACTAAGAAGGGGCAGTGAAATATGAAGACTTACTGGCAATGTAAGCGTACCGGTTGGGGAGAAAGAAGAAGAGAGATCGAGAAGGAGGGAGATGAGCCTTTTTATAGGGGACTGGTATAGACACAATCCTTTAACTTACATGCTAACACAACTCCTGGCCTGATTTACCAGGCACTAACTCCCCGCTTAGGTACCTCTAATTACTATGTAAACTACTAGTAAAAATAAGTCACTCCTGTTCCACTGTAGTACATAATTGTTGTTTACAGTACACCTTCAAACCTCCCATTTTTCCACCCATTTTTGCTACATTTTTGATGCATTTTACTTCTCATTCTCACCCATTTCACTGCCTTTTACAATGGCTTCCTTACAGCCTGATTCGCCATCCGATTCTGAGCCTGAAGCTATTCCCGAATTCCCGCGAGGATTCCTGGTCTGATCGCCTTAGGAAGCGTCGGAGAGCTCCATAAATGGCTGATTCAATGCAAATTCTTCAATTTCTTCATTTCTATAAAGTTTTCGAAAACAGCATCTATTTCCTATTTAGGACTAGTATCTTGCTTTCTCTTCTCCCACAATATGTGCTATCGGTCAATAACCGAGTCATAACACAACCGAGCCATGAGAGTAATAGGAGCTAATAGGGGAAATGAATAGAGGATAAGAACTTACTACCGCCGTTGCCAGAGCGACCGATTCTGCGGTGGCGAGTGCGAGCAGCTGCCACCGCCACGACCACCATTGCGCCGCCCAAGGGCAGCATCCTCGACCGCACGCTAACAAATCAGTATTCTACCGCATTCACTACATATCAGATCACTTACTCGAGCGCTCCGGGACAGGAAAGCGTCCAGGAGGTCATGATAGACCGCATCCTGTACAAATTGTTAGTTTTCAATGTTGCCAAGTTTATGCACCAGACTGGTCTCCTTGCTCGATTTCAACACGCTGAGCAGGAAGAATCCGATGATGAACCTGAAAGCCTTGCAGCCATGAAGCAGAGTCCCTAAGACGCTGGGTAATGTTTATCATTAGATTGGTGTTTCCGTGGCATAGAATGTGCACTCCTCGGAGGCGGTAGCATAACCGCTTCGTGTTGGATATCTAGATCGTCATCGGAGTCTGAAGCGGTCTCTTCGTCGAGCTCATCCACTTGAGCTGCTGCTGCGCTTGAGATTGGAGTAGCGCTCCCGGTGCTGTTCACTTCACATGTGTACCTGCTAGGGACCGTGCTTTCCGCGGGCTGGTCATGAGATCGTGCAGGTGAGTTCCAGTCCACCTCTGGTCATCCTCGTCGTGGTCATCAGCCTGCTCGTCGGTGTTCTGGCCATCTAGCCGTGCCAGTCCAGCTTTCTGCCGTTTCCTGAAGGCCTCACGTTCTCGTTGTCGTTCCGCCTCTTTGGAAAGAGGAGTGCGGCCATCTGTTGGCCTCTCAATCACTTCACCACAGAATTACACAACGACTGAGGAAGGAGAGAGCCTCAGCCAGATATTCCAGTACACGATGCCTGACTAGGCGGTAACCGACAACGATGACCATCTAATTGAGGATAAAGCGAGAGCTCCAGCACACGGGACCTGATCTCGCTGCATGAAATCTGCGGAGGTTGAGAGTGTGGAGGTATATATCTATCTATTATGTATCTATTATGTATGTTTGCCTGTCGATGTTTCGACTCGGTTTTTACGCTTAGACTTTAAACCGTTTTTTAAACCGTTTTCTTAAGCGTTTTCTCAAGCGTTTTCTTAAGCGTTTCTCTGAACTTTTCTTTAGACTTTCTTCTAAACGCTCCTCTATATATTTTTTAATCGTTCCCTTCAGCGTTTTTTAAATTCTTTCCTTAGTTCTTTCTTTAGGTATTACTTTCAAAGTTATATTAAGCACAGAGAGATGAAGCAAGACTAGATCCGGCTGAAAGAGGCATGCATGACCCGTTTCGCGCTGCCTCAAGAAGACCCAATTGCGAAGATCGCCCGTATGGAAGAGCGAAGAACTGTACGAAGCCACAAAGCAAGGGTGCGACGAGAAAGTCACCAGCTATCTGGAGAACGACATGACAGGGATCATGTCCATGTTGAGGATCTAGGTAAATCTACATGATTAAAGGAGTGCATCTACTACTACTTAAATAGTCCTTCGATCCGAATAGCCGTTGATTTTAGGTCGACAAAGTGCCGCTGCGCTTTAACAATACAAGTAGTAGGACAATATGAAATTTAGTGGGCGCGAGTTACGAAACCGTTGATGAAAGGGACTACTTTCGCTCGTCCTTCTTGCTCGCTTTGCCTGTTATTACGATACTGTTAGCAGACTGTCATATGATACGAATGATACGATAAAGAAAGAATTTCAGGCCGACCTTGGACGAGACCGTAACCTCGAATGAGATCAACCTCGAAAGAGATCAACCTCAAACGAGACCAACCTCAAACGAGACCGCAACCTCAAATGAGACCGCAACCTCAAATGAGACCGCAACCTCAAACGAGACCGCAACCTCAAAAGAGATCAACCTCAAACGAGACCGCAACCACGAAGGAGATCAGCCTCAACTGAGATCAACCTCAACTGAGACCGCAATCCCGATCAAGGTGACACCTCGCAAGATGGCAATGGAAATCGCATTCCCGAGCAAACGGGCAATTGTGAAACTGCAAGAATTAAGAAAGGGATCTTAACTTACTTCGCTTCCCTCCGTTGCCGGAGTGGCCCTCACGGCGAGGGCGGCGAACACGGTCACCCGAGCGGCGGGCAGCAATGGCTTCCTCTACTGCAGCCTATATACTGTCAGTCCTATCATTTGTCGTATATTCAGTATCAGCCTTACTCGGGTCCGCGCGGCGGCCATTTGTTCAATGAAGCCATAATAAATGGCATCCTATACTCAAACTATGTTAGTGCTGTTTACTTAACCGCGTATGCATAACATTAAGGTATTCAAATTGAGACGCATCGATGCACGGCCTGCAATATAAATTGCAGCGATCGGGCATATCTTCTTGTGGATCAAGTTCTGGTGGCCAAATTGAAAATGGTCAACGTATGGCTTGCACATGGACTTGAGGCAAGCGTCCCCGCAGATGAGCATCAGACAATGTATCAGATCACACTGATTGCATCAGCTAACAACCGGTTGGCGAACCCAGAACACGTCAACTTTCAATTGAGCGTGGACTCAGCATGTATCGAGGCATGTTGGATTGCAGTGCAGGTACGAGCAACCGAGAAACGCAAGCCCAGGACACGTTGATTTTTATTTGCGCACCGCCTCCGCAGGTCCAGCCTCGGAGCCTGTCTCCATGGACACATCGTCCTCAGAATCAGCCGCCGGAGCAACATCATCCTGAGCTTCCACTGCTGCAGCAGCTTCGGCCTCAGCCTTCGCCTTGGAGAGACGACGATCCTTGTTGAGGGCCTCAGTACGATTCTTCAGGGCCCGAGCCAGTTCCCACCGTGGGCCCTTCGTCTGCAGCACCTTATCCTCGGGTCACGGCAGAGCAATGCGCGAGCATGTGCCTCTAGGACCACCGGATCGTAGGGTGGCAGCTCACAGGGACGACGTTTGTCTGAGCACCGGTCACACTTCAACAATGGCGCGCCTTTGCGAAGCTTGGTGAACATACAGCGGGCACCCATCTGGGCACAGCCGAGACACCGGAATGCGCGTTCGCCCGGGTGAAGCTCAGGGGCTGAACCTTGGAGGTCAAGGCCAGCGGGAACCACAGAGGAAGATCCACCTGGCGCAGATTCAGACGCCACCGTTCCAGGAACTATGGGTTCCAAACCCACGGACTCCAGAGACTCATCCTCTACCGCAGAAGAAGCGGAAGCAACTGCACCGGAACCAAAGCTGAGGGCAGCGATGGTGGGGTTGTCAATGAGGAAGGCTGCATACCCGGAGGCAGCAGACGGAGCGGCCGACAGGGACGCTGGTGTTGGCGTGGGAACGAATCAGAATCCTCACCCCCAGACGACATGCTGGACTCAGCATGTATCGAGGCATGTTGGATTGCAGTGCAGGTACGAACAACCGAGAGACGCCAAGCCCAGGACACGTCAACTTTCAATTGAGCGTCGACTTAACATGCATCGAGGCATATTGGATTGCAGTGCAGGTACGAGCAACCGATTGAGCAACGGGTCGCTGAACCCAGGACTTCTTGGTCTTGAATTATGCGTGGATTGATCATGTATCGAGGTATGTCGGATTGGGTGCAAGTGCGAGCAACCGATCGAGCAACGGGACGCTGAACCCAGGACTTCTCGGTCTTGAATTATGCATGGATTGTTCATGTATCCAGATGTGACACCAGCATGGTCTCCTGAACCAACAGCCGGTCGGGGAGCCGGAGAGGAATCGAGTTGCGATTCAAGCATCGAGACACATGGTATTGTAGTGCAAGTACCAGCACTGAACATTCGGCAAATTCCGGACAGGTTGATCTCGAATTCAGTGTGGACTTTGCAGGAATCGAGACACGTCGGATCGCAGTGCAAATACGAGCAGTGTACCCGCATCAAATCGCATCAATTGAAAGTTGGTCGGCCCACTTCAGGACACGTCGATATGCCGAGCAATGACCGTTTGTTACAAAAGATTGTGCATACAAGATGAATGTGCTCTAACAAGGTCGGAAATGCAGCAATAAAGTGAAACTTTGGAAACTTACCTCATCGACCCACTCATGTGGGTTGGCAAACTTTGCCCGTTTCTATGAATTAGTTAGCGTAGTTCAACAGACCAAACAATAAATCGGTATGTCATGTGGGGCAACTGGTTTTGATGCTGATATGCGTATGGTTCTCAATTGCTCTATGCGGAGTATCAGACGCAACGAGCTGAGCGTTAGACACTCTCACGGGAGTGAGCGACTTTAACTGAAACGCGCAACTTGTTGTGCGCAAATCATCAGATGCAACGCGAGAGACCCAGTTTAAATACCTGGCTGCCGGTGGAATGTGCAGTTCAGGCAGTCACTGAACGGGCTGTAAAGCTGGAGAGGCGACTCACGCGGACATTGAAACAGGCGGGATACAGTGATAAGACTGAACAATCAAGCTCACTGATCATCGACAATCAGCTTAGCAGACCATACAGTCTACCCAAGCAGATAAAGCGCTGGATGCTGAACTTGGACATTTGAAGTGCCGGCAGGGCTTGCAGTTCCCCCAATTGAGATTGGTGTGAAGCTGGACGATCGGTGACAGTGACGGTGTACGATCGACGAAGGTGGACGATCATTGAAGCTGGACATTCAAGATGAATCATGAAGCGGAAGGCAATGCACGACGGCGATACTGGACGACCGATGAGGCAGGACAATCGTTAAGCGGGCCATTCAGATGTGGTGATCAAGCGAAAACCAATACCAGACCGGTGGATCTGGCCACTCGGACGGTATGACCAATCTGGAGGTAGTGGCTGAGCTGGAGAATGAGGCTGGACGATCGTTGAGGCCGTAGGACCGGTGAAACTGGACGACGAATGAAGTCGCAGAACCAATGAGGCTAATCGTCCAGACTGAATAATCAAGCGGGAGAATGTGAAGATGGACGACCACGGTTGTTGATCATCAAGTGTCGAGGTGACCATATTGAGGTTCCTCAAACGGGCCATTCAGGCGGAGGTTGAAGAGCAGAGGAAGTGACCATGCGAGATACATGAAGGTGCTACTTTTTGGAAGATGTGAATGAAAACTAAACAGAACTTACGTTGTTGCCTCCATCGGAGGTCTTTTTGCCTCCCTTGGAGGTCTTGCTGCCACCGTCGGTGGTCTTCTTGCCTCCCTTGGAGGACTTCTTGTCGGAGTTCTGTATTAGATATTAGTATTAATCCCTCTCGATGCTTCTGTATATATAAAGGCAGTAAATTGAAGTCTTGGATGCATGGATATGAGGAGCTACTTACTTTATCGGCCCTATCGGCCGCGTCACCAGCCTTGTCGGCTGGGGTTCCTTGCGGGGAGAAGGAGGGGGAAGAGGGGAGGGAGAGGGAGAACCCGCATCGCGGAGGGTCATGTCGACCATAACGGTATTAGTCATCTGTATACGCCCTATAGGTGGGGAAGTATGATGTTGTCAGACTCGAAAGATGAAGCCGGAATTGGAGTGGTCCCACAGCATTGGATGTGATTGAGAGGGGATCAGCCAAGTAAGGCCTGATTGAGTGGAGCAGACTATCTACGGCAATTAGCCCTAGTTAGATATGTATTGTTATATACATTATTTTCGCCCTCTTTTGGCCTCTCTTTTTCACCTCTTTTTTGGCCCACTTTCGAGTCCCTTAGGTTACAGTTTTTTAAAATTGTGTATGTTATTCATCTCATCTACTACTCCAACAGATCCGCATAACTATTTAAAGACCTCTCGATCAAAGCAACCATCTCCCATATATAATCCGCCGTAAACAGCCGCGCCCCTAAGCGGGTAACAGCCGCACTAAGCCGTGTATTTGTAGCAAGCAGCCATTCCCGTGATACGCCACGTAGATGCAAAGAGACATACAAAGAGATATACAAAGAGAGATCACTCAATTGTTTCGGCTACTAAACCACTGGCCCTAAATAAGATCGCAACCCCGAATAAGACGGGCAAATGTCACAGTGCAAGAAGGCAATAAGTAATACAATGTACCTTTCTTGTTTCGCGCTTCGCGGCGCCAGCCTACGGTGTCGCTGCCAGCGGCGGCCTCTTCCTTGTATTTCTGATAGGTGAAGCCTTGGGCATGGATGATAAGCTAGATTGGCCGAACGTTGATCAACCTATCAATAAAGCTACCTGGAAATTATTGCGCACTGAAAGCGTAGACCCCCTCGTAGATTGTTTTAATCGTGCAATCTTAGTTGAGACTAAGCGTATCTCTGAGCACCGTAAGATTCGCAAGACTGATTTGCTCTGTCTTCCCTATGCTCGTAAGGAGAGCAGATCTGGGGTGTATGCTGAAATTTGCAAGAAGCCATCGCGACCAACCCCTTATGTCGGGTGCGGCCATGATATCTCCGGACGCGTGCCTTAGCAGACGCGTCCAGGAGTTTGGAAAGGCAACAAATGTTCCGGCTTTATCAAAGGCCGTCTCAAGGTGTTGAGGTCCAATTTGGTACGCTTGTTGCGTTCAAATCCTCGGTCAAGAAAGTATATCTCGAACGAACTCATTGAGGGAATTTTCATGTGAATTTCTTGGGACACTTTAGGCACCCAATGTCGATAGTGCCTATAGAAAGATCTCCACGTGGCAGCTGTATGTACAGAGCTCATGTTGCTGTTTTGCAACGTGCGTCACACGAAATGAAGAGGCAGAAACGCCTTATTCGTGCCGACAGTGTTGGTTCTCCGCCGCTGAGCCTTCGATATATATTATCCCATTTTCGGGTAATTTTTTCGACAGAACCCTTCATGAAACAAATTATTGTGGACTGGCCACGGTGCTGGAACGTCCATGAGTTCTAGTGAACATCAGCTTCTAGCTTGGGCCTCTACGGGGCGCTGATGACTAGTAACCGAAAGGTGAAGCTACCACAAGCTCAGAATACGTTTATTGAAGCGTTGATGATACGAACATTGACCTACGCTGACCAAAGTCCTTTTGCGATCCCAGCAGACTTTGAAGGGAGCCTCCTGAATGTTCAGGGAGACCGACATGCCCATTGGTGCGTTGCGAATCAGATGCAGGCGCGATTAGTCCTGAGTTAATTTAGGACATCTGACCATGCGCGTCTGGAGGACTTGAGCTCCTCTACGTGTCCTTGGAATCAATATGAGGTGCCTACTTGTGGTGGCGAGGAAGCACAACCTCTGGTGAGTTATTTTCTTTCAAGTGGATTGACTTTGCTAACCATTTGAAATAGTGTCTCAAATTCAGATCTCCTCTTACTCCGCTGTCGCCGTTTCAACCTTTCACTCTAATCACCGGGCTCACATTTTCGATTCGACTCTAACAGCTATCCTTGCCATTTCAACTGTTGCGCGCGTGGGAGCAATCAAGGTGCAGTTGAGAGTTGGAGCGGCGACCACAAAGCGCCGAGATCGTCGCCTCATCCCAGCTTCAAGGCTCACATTTTCGATTCTTTGGGTTTTACCCGTTATCACCTTTTAACCTTCAACCTCAGTTCCAAGACTCATATTTCCAATTCATTCCTCCTCTTACGCCCATTATCACAATTTGAACCATTCCGCCATGGCCCTGCAGCTCACATTTTCAATTCATTCCTCCTCTTACACCCATTATCACCTTCCAACCCTTCAACCTCAGTTCCAAGGCTCATTTTTCCAATTCATTCCTCCTCTTACGCCCATTATCACCTTTCAACCTTCAACCTCAGTTCAAAGACTCATTGTCCAATTCATTCCTCTTCTTCCCCCATTATCACAATTCGAACCATTCCGTCACAGTCGTAGAGCTCATATTTTCAATTCAACTATCGATCGCCCGTGATCGCGAATTCGACATTGCCTTCTCAGCAAAACAATACCCATTCAGTTCAAGCTCGTATTCAGCACGGGACTTCCATTCGAACCTATTCCCCCTACGCCCCCTATTCAAAGGCATGCAGCCGCAAATCTTTCTACACCCAATGCCTCCACTTCCATTCAACCCCCTTCAATCAAGCTGAGGCTTTCCCAATTGTTGTCTATCTTTCGGTTTGTGTCCAATGAATGGCTCTCTGTTTTGTGTGGTCTGATTCAATTTCCTTGCTTCTGATGTATGTGCTGCTTTCCGATATGCTTCTGCTCCATATTCTTTCCCCTTTCGATGTCTGGATGTTTCACATTTTCAGCTTCAATCACCCGCTCGCTGGCGGTGAATCTGGCAAGCTTGAAGTTGCTCCAACTGACAATTTCTGGCCCCTAACCTGACTAACACATTACCACAATTGAGCAATCAGCCAACAAACCAGGATAACACTCAGTTTCTTCTTCAAATATGCACTCAAGTGCCTACACATTGATGTGACTTTTTTCGAAAGACTACCGAATCAAATCATTCAGTTGGCTTCCAACCTGATCCAAATCGGTCAACAAGACCGTTGCTGAATACTGACTTGCAACACACGAATATCCACATCATCAGCTCTCAAGTTCAGCCTGCCAACCAGGCAATCATTTCGCTCCTTTCGCCTTCTCTTCAGACTCACAGTCAATCCACCACCCAGTCCGATATCACCCAGCCGGCCAGGCATCCTTCAGCAATCCTTTAGGCAATCCTTTCGTCTCTTCAGACGCACAATCAAGAGCCACACAGTCCGATATCAGCCAGCCAGCCAGGCAATCCTTTAAGACTCTCTTCAGACTCACAGTCAATTCACCAAAACGCGTTGAAACCAGATTCATCAGCCAGCAGCGAACAGTTACCCAATAATTTTTTGTATTCTAGACATTCAGTCAGACAATCAGGTTCTTATGTATTCTAAGCAGTCAGCCAGCCCATCAATTTGCTATTACCTTTCCCAATTCATGAATCAATATATATATCACGCCAATAAAACTCTTCAGCTTAATACGGGAATGTATTTGACTTTCGTATCGTAGATCGCGTATCGATAACATTATAAATCCTTTTATTCGACTTAATCGTGGCATACCTTCCATTCTATAAGATAGATTTACTTTTAGGATATTAGCAATAGTCCCAGTTTCCACAAATCCCTGCCGCTATTCCCTAAGCGATTAACTTCAATTAGCTCTAGGGTGTCATAAGACAGTTGCAATCCCGGGCTCAATCACAGTTTAGACTCTCGCAACTGGGCGTTAAATTCAGACAACAGGGCCTTCACTATACGTTCATTCAAAAGCAGCAGAAACAACAAAAGCCCATGCCCCAAATGCCATTTGTCTCAGAAATCAGGAAGATCGATGTGCGCTCGGCAACATCATGGGTGGATTCGAGTCCTGGCTCGGTCTTCGCAGTATGCGGACACTAGACATTCGTTGCATTCGACAAAGTCACACATCCCTATTTACGGAGTACAGATAGCAAGATTATGCAGTCATACAATATAACACACGGGTCCTCGCGCCTCCTATATATGTAGAGCACGCTTCCACTGAGGCTCAAGGTTCTCGCCAATCGCACGAGCGGCTTCCTTCTCCAATTCGCGGCGAGACAAGATATCGCGCTTAGAGACCTTGGACTGCGAATCTTCGCGAGACATTTCCACTGTGACATAACTTGGTTAGCAGTCTTCGATATGGTTTATAGTAGGGTATGTTTACCATGGATATAGACAGCAGCACGCTTGCCACTAAACATAGCGTGTGGGACTGATATTGGATCATTCAGGCAGCTCTTATTGCTGTACACATGGCAGATACGAAATTTAGTTCTTTTCTACTTCCACGGAGGTAGAGTAGAGGCTGAACATGAATGACTTACGAGTTCAAGTCGAGCAATTGAACATGGATCTATTCTTCACCTCCCTACCAGCTCAGCTGGCAACTGTCCCAGAAGATTAGATTTTCCCCGCATATCATTAGGACAGCTATTCGAAATCGAACACTGGCAACAGCTGGGGGCTCGATTGCGTAAGCACGTGAATGGCATCCGTGTCATTCCGTGAAGACGTGTATGTTTAATATTGAGAACAGCAGCACGTTGAATAGAAGAGTGGAAAGCTGGAGTATCACATTCCACTACACGGACCCTTACATGAACTGGACATTCCTCTTCCAATGGATGTGTCAAGGATTCAAAACGAAGTAGAACTAGTGAGCATGTGGAGAAATTAATAAGAAGAATGAAAAGATTAAGAAGATTAAGTTATATTAAGTTATAACGGGATCGGTGGCTGCTCCGGGCCGAGGCGTCAACACACTCTTGGTTTTGTATATTGGTGATTTTGATTGGATTTTATCTTGGTACTACGGGGGAATGAATTAATTACATCCTCAGAGCACGTTCCCACACCTTGTCGAGGTTGTCACCAATGGCGCGGTCAGCCTCCTTCTCGAGCTCACGGCGGGAGAGGCCTTCACGTTTGGAGACCTTGGACTTCGACTCCTCACGTGACATTTCAACTGTGATCAAGTCTGTTAGAAATAGGAATTTGGATTTCACGGTGAAACTTACCATGAAGGTAAACAGCGGCCTTCTTGCCACTGAACATGGCATGAGGCACATTTGTACTTCCGTCGCTATTCGCGTCACCAACAGCAAAGACACCAGGTTCGCTGGTGCGCATTCCGCTGGTAACATTGATCTTGTCGCCGGCCATGTCCAGACCCATTTGGGTAGGCAGCGACGAGTATTGGGCCGTGGGAACGTTGATAATGAACGCATTGCGCTCGACTGGTTCGCCAGTAGTGAAGTGCACGCGGAACTTGTCATACTGGGCATGCTCAGTGTCGCTGCGGTTCTTGCCGCCGTCCTGAAGGCGCTCAATCGAGGCAATGGTGCGGTTGTCGATCTTGGTGCCCCAAGCCTCGAGCTGCTCCTTCCAGTCAGAGACCTTGGCTGCGGCACGAGCTTCGCCTTCGGGGGTCTGAGTGCCGTTGACAAAGGCAATCATGTCGCTGTACAGAGTGTGCACCTCTAGGACGTCGGAGAGCATGTCCGTGATATCACCAATCATGCCGAGGGGCTGGTCGCGGTGCTCATAACCATCACACCAGGGGCACCACCAGATACCCTTGCCGAAGCCCTCTTTCAATCCAGGGGTATCGGGGAGGATGTCGTAGACACCAGTACCGAGAACAATCTTACGTGCAGTATAGGTTGTTCCGTTGGTTATCTTCACATTGAAGGAAGTGAAGTCTCCCCCTTCAATCGGATCGATGGACTCGACGGTATCATCTTCAATAGTGGCAGTGTCATACTGCAGGATCTGCTCACGCGCAAGGCTTCGGAATTTGGCCGGAGGAGTGCCTGGAATAATTAGCTAAGTGATGAGACGTGCAGCACCTCTATGCTTACCGTCATTGCCAATCACATCGTGCATCTCCCGAGTTGGATCATTGCGGTAGTGGCCGCTGTCAATCATCAACGCCGTCCGGCGCACACGAGAGACACCACTGAGCGCACTGAGACCAGCCGGACCGCCACCAACGACAATAACATCATAGTCAGTGTCAGGCACAGTCACTGCGGCAGTGGAAGCCAGCAGAGAGAAGAAGGCGGAGAGAAGGGCGGTTGATTTGACCATGATGGCTGGCTGGAATACAGAACTCCTCCATGACTGTAAACCGAGGGCTTTATATAGCTCTTCCCCTGAATGTTTGGATTTCTCGAACGGGTAAACCCGTGTGGGGAAACTAGTACTTCGTGCGTCTCGGCGCTGGGCTGACAAGATCATCGCGATCGTCCATCCCGATCGTCCATCCCTTGCATATTTATTGCATGAAGCAGAGAGACCGCAAGGACTTTGGCCACTGCATCACTCTTTGATTGGCTGAAGCTTGAAGATCAGCCAATGCACATTCATTCAGCATTGCACAGATCACAATGCAGGCTCGGGATTGTACATGTATGTCTGCCATAGGTGATTCTCTGTGTGGCTCCAGCAACAAGGTATGTCTAAGTATGTCTAACTGCAACCTCAATGCCCCAGATATAAGTATTTCCCAACGAAACGATATCAAAGAAGTCGTCCTAATTGACAATTCTTGGACTATACTCGTTTGGGATTCGGAATTTTGAGTACACGTAGATTCTTGGCCTACACCCCTGACTGCGAAATCTGCGCGCGAAATTAGATCTCGGTTGATCCCATTGAACTTGCATACTTGCATCTTTGAACAATGCGATCGGCAAGGTTTTCGGTTCTCTAAACGATCTCGATTTTGTTCTTCAATAATCCGGATTCTACACCGACATGATCTTGTTACAGTAGTTCTCTTTTAATCGACCCTCACACTCGATTCACGGCCGTTCGGAAGCTTTTTTAACCTATCTATGCTTCACTTATTGTATCTGGTTACCGCCCAATTTTCATTGCTAGTCATAGAGGTGCCATATTCGCTGAAAGTGCTTTGGCCAGCCTATTACAAGGTTGGGGTTGATATATATATTTCTTTCACACAGCTCTCCACAGCAATTCAAAACTTCCAAGGCTTAGTCGGGTCGAGCATACTCCCCAGGTACCTGGAGACATGTGTAAAACTCAGTCATTCAACTGTGATCACATCGGATAATCAGTTGGAAGTGACACAATTGAATTGTCCAAATTCGGGTTAGACATCGAGTACCCGTGGTAATACTTGCATTGAAAATATTATTTAGGTGACATTGAAATTGAATGTTTTGTTTCTGCAACTATCGAAGTATATTCCCTTCTATATATCCATGAGGCCGCTTTCAGTTGGCTTGAATAGAACCATAATCATCCACCCGTTAGAAAAAGAATCTCGATAGGACCACCAAGTTATATCCATCCGTGTGATCCAGATGCCTTCAACGCTGTGGAACTGTCATGATAACACTCCTTATTGCTGCTTATAGGTGGGCATAGGACTCTGGGCCTCATCCCATACCATCCCACTTTGCTTTGAGAATGCTCTTCAAAGCACCTACGTGTTCAGAAAATAGTGAATTAGACGGGGCCCATTCAATGTTCAATTGTTGGCTGATTGCATCGTTAGCAGCCAAGCAATCGCCATATGAAGCTGGTCCCATCTGGCACTCGTGTGTCCAAATATCTGGGAGGGGAGCTACAATGCTCGGCTCTTGCTCATGGGTTAATCCTGAACAAGTGAAGTCAGGTGTCTTAGGGTCAAGGGTGATATCTGTATCGACTGAGGTCTCCAACGTATTTGGCTCGTCGCCCTCAAACGATATGTCTCGCTCTGCTTTTCGAATCTTACTCTTCGAGGTGGTGTACGAGTGAGGATGTAACTTCTTCGGCGATTCAATCAATTCATTGTAATTTGGGGAGGTTTTGGCAGATTCGTCCTAGAAAATCTATGAGAATCACATTGATTGTTCTCGATAAGGCAAGACATTTTACAGGATCATCCAATGTCCGAGCAATGCCATCACTGAGCGTGCATATTGTCGTGTGTAGGCTCTCCAATTTTGTGTGGCATTGTATCAAGCTTTCACGAAGCGAATTATTCTCCTCTTCAAGTTCAATAATGCGCTCGTTGTCCGGTTTGTAAGCCTTGGCCTTGCGTTCAAGCTGTTTGACATACTCCGACTGTCGACGACGAAAAGCCTGTTGAGATACCCGGTTGCGGAGTTTCCTAGTTGAGGTCAGATAATTTCAAGCATGCTTCTGTCGCAAAACCTACTTTGTCTCAACATCTCCGCTGTCCGCATGTTGTGCCTTGCGCTTGGGTGGCATTGTTGTTATTCAGGATGTACAGATTAGAAGATGTCCATGAAGTCCATTTTCAATCTGCGAACAAAAGAGAGGGCCGATCAGCTGACTCGATCTTCATACAGCTATTATTCGGCCTGAATCCCGATATTTTCATTCCGATCTACAACCCGCGTAAGGTGCGGAGTCGTCAGTCACCGAAAGAGGCCAATGCAATCCTACGATACCTTATCATTCTTTATTGGATTTACTAAACGATTCAATTAAAGTAATTAAGGATGATTCAAATTTTGATTCGCACTTGCATGTGGCAATAATTGCATGAGACAGCCATCCTTGGCTTACACTATAAGTAAATGTATTCAGACTATCTAGTATCTACAGACTCGCTTTTTAAAGCGAAAACAAATCTAAAACGAGAGTTATCTTTCTCTAAGCACGACCTATATGTGATATTGGGAGATCTCTCTGAGTAATTTGCGCTGGTCGCCCGCTGATTCTACCTCCAATTGCAGGTGGCTCAGAGTATATGTGAAGGATTACTCGCTATTCACCAGGGAACAAGCAGGAGCATGTCAATGCAGAAGCAGCTTGCCCCAGACGATTAGAACACTAACAAATTGGAGCCCGCAGGGACCAAAGCTGTGTTGAAGAAGCTCTCTAGTTCCTGGATCAGGATTCAATTGACGGCTTAGATAATACGGGATTAGTGGTTCAAATCAAAAAGTATTCGTAAATGGCATCATTGCCCCTCTAGATCTTCAGCATCTCCAGCGAGTTTGCCATTGCAACTATCTCGTCACGGCGCAACTCCGGTGTCGCGCGGACGGGGAGGCGGAGACCCGCTCCGCTCAGCTGAGCGGAAATTGTATACTTGACGAGCCCGAGTAGCACAACAACAGCAGGAATATACTCAGTCAATCATCCTAGTAACCCAATAAGCTTGCTGTTTTTAATCCGGCCTGATTATAATATAAAGTAGCTGGAATCCCCGTTTCCACCGTGTGTTGCGGCGCATAGTAATCTAAATCCGAGAATTGCGTGACAACTTGATAACCATGTCCATTTCTCTTGCTGAGCTAGAGACGCAGTTCTCTATTGCAACCAACTCCATCCATGTCGACGACCGATATGCCGGGCCCGAGTTGGCGCCCGCGATGCATCCAACTACCACCTTCCGATACCCTTATAACCCCGACGAACTAGAGCCCCAACAGGCTCTGTCGGTGAGCTGACATGATCAATTCCTTGGTATCTGTGAGCATATCTAACTATATTGCATTAGAAAACAAAGCATGTTTATGCAAGACTCGCACGACCGACCAGTTCGCGACTGGAGCTTGTCCTGTCAACAATTCTGAAAGGAGAATGTTTGACATATGCAACAGGACTCGCCGCCATTCATGCCTATCTTACCTGCCTTACTCCGAAGAAGGTCGCTATCACCGGTGGTTATCATGGCGCACACGATGTGCTCCAGATTCATGAGCGGTTGACAGGAGTCAAAAAGGTCGGATTACACGAAACAGACCAACTCGAGAAAGGAGATGTGATCCATCTTGAAACACCTCTCAATCCAACCGGCGAGGCGCGCAACATTGCTGCGTATTCCAAAATTGCCAAAGAGAAGGGACTATACCTCGTTATCGATTCTACTTTCGGGCCACCTTCGTTGCAAGAACCGTTTCTTTGGGGCGCCGACTTGGTGATTCACAGCGGAACCAAGTATATTGGCGGCCACAGTGATATCATGTGTGGTATTATCAGCACATCTCCCGAGCGACCAGAGCTGTTCATGAAGTTATTCGAAGATCGATGCGTGCTCGGTAGCATCATGGGTGGATTCGAGTCCTGGCTCGGTCTTCGCAGTTTGCGGACACTTGACATTCGTTGTGTCCGACAAAGTCAGAATTGCACAGCACTCGTGACGTGGTTGTCTGAGATGATCAACTCTCCTACACCAAATGAGGTCAATGCCACAGTTGAAAGTCTCAAACATGCCAGTCTGCAAAAGAGCGATATGGACTGGCTTTTAAAGCAGATGCCAAATGGCTTCGGGCCTGTTTTCATGATGGTCATGAAGGATCCCCACCAGGCCCGGCGATTGCCAAGCAAGTTGCGTGTCTTCCAACATGCGACGAGTCTCGGCGGCGTGGAGAGCTTAATTGAATGGCGGAAGATGACCGATCCCACGGCTGGAGAGAACATCATGCGGGTTAGTGTGGGCATTGAGACCTTTGAAGACTTGCAGAGGGATCTGCTGAATGGTTTGCGAACTTTGGTTGAGGAAAGTGGAAATTAGGACGTTGGTGCTGTCTCTTAGGCAATATAATCCCTATACACCGTGACTATAGCTCTTTCGGTTGCACGTAAAGCACCGCACAGTTTCGATTAAAATGCAAAGTAGCCCTATTTTCTCACTCGGTCTAGTTTAAAGACCTTGATTTGGCAACTTACACTATAACCCCCAAGCCACGCTCGACAGCTGCACGCAGAGAAGAAGATAAAGCTGCGGTTATTGATCAATGGGCCTTGATCGCATCGCCCTGGAGCATTAGGAAACAAGGCCGGATGGGTGACAGCATATTAGCATGAATCTGGCTTCAATTATCGTGCTATCGAGATCAACGGCCCTTGAACCTGTCAAAGACAACCATGGTGGTTGTTTCGGGCGCATCAAACCATCCGATGTTGGGATGTTACTTAGTCAGCATCTTGACCTGACGACAGAATGGCCCGAATGTACTTCTCGAGTTCTCTAAGACTTGTCAGTGTATCAGATCGAACGTTCGGGGCAATTTTGCCCCTGCTTTTGATCGACGAGTATCCACCTCTATGAGCGACCTCCAGAGATCCTTCGTCAAAGCCAAATTGGCCAAACTTCCACCCGAAGGACCAATGCCCGAGTCAATGAATGAGGATGCATGGGAAGAGGGTTCCTCTGCCTCTTCAATCTCCTCTACGGGCACACTTGTCCCATCACCGACACGGCAGCTCTTTGCCCGAGCGGGCCCACGGTTCGTTTACTTCCCCCATTTTCGAGTCGCTCTGGACACGACCATTTACTTGATTACTTTCCTTTGAAGCAAAACTAACATCGAACTGCAGGCAATCATCCAATGCGTCTCTGTCATGGACAGATTTCTTCGAGCAGGAGCTCTTCCTACCTGAAGAAGTGGGAAATCTTCACGTCATCCACCATGTATATCTCACCCCTCCAACTGAGAAGGGTCCTCTCTTTGTGATGCATCATGGAGCTGGCTCATCGGGTCTTTCGTTTGCCACATGCACAGAAGAGATCCGAAAGATCCTCCCAAAAGCAGGTGTCTTATCGCTTGATGCTCGAAGCCATGGTCGCACCGTTATGACCCCCATAGACAGCAAAACAGACGACAAATCCCCGTCTACTGCTACTGCTGCTCACATTGAAGCCTCCGGTCAGGCTGAACTTGACCTTAGTCTCGAGACTTTGAGCCGAGACTTGGTCTACGTGATCCGCCAGACCCAAGCGAGGATGGGCTGGGAGATACTGCCGGATATCGTACTTGTTGGTCACAGCCTGGGCGGCGCGGTGATTACAGATGTCGCAAAGAACGGGGAACTGGGCCCGAAGCTGTTGGCATATGCTGTGTTGGATGTTGTCGAAGGTACACTCCATTCTCATCATCTCTATTGGTATATACTGACCATGGAACCCAGGATCCGCAATTGACGCACTCCAAAGCATGGAAATGTACCTCTCAAGACGACCAGTCCGGTTCCCATCATTATCGTCAGGGATTGAATGGCAGTATGCATCCCCAGTTCTGATTTCCCCTTTTTATGCTTACCATGCAGTACTCGTTCCCGTACAATCCGCAATACTACGTCCGCCCGGGCCTCCGTTCCATCACTTTTATATGAAGAAAGTGAGCCCACCGATTCTGCCCGTCCCTGGTTATGGCGCACAAATCTTTCTGCAACGAAGCCCTTTTGGGAGAACTGGTTTGTTGGCCTCAGTCGAAAGTTCCTTGATGCGCGCGGTGGAAAATTATTATTGCTCGCTGGCACCGACCGGTTAGACAAAGAGTTGATGATTGGCCAGATGCAAGGTAAAGCACTTTTTCAATCCTTTTCATCCATTAGATACCATACTGACTTATCTGCCACTCCCCAGGTAAATATCAACTGCAAGTATTCCCCGAAGCTGGCCATTTCGTGCATGAAGACCAGCCTGCGAAGACTGCACAGATATTGGCAGATTTTTATAGACGGAATGATCGGAGTGCATTAGTACTTCCGCCGAAGGTCGCTGATATGCAGGCATCAGCCGCGATGAAGAAAGGGACAGGCGCTTCAGGTGGCGCGACAGGACACCTGAAATAACGGTAAGGCGCTTTGGATTCTTTGATATCTGCAGTGTCATGCGTGTAGATAGCTGTTTGGTTGGTGTAATAGACCCTTGTCAATGCCCCTTGCAGCTATGGCGTGAGGTATTTTACTGGCGACAGTCCAGGGGACAGAATTCAATAAGATAGTTGGTTTCTTGCGGGCATACATGTTTTTCGGGGTTCCGCTTCGTCCGAGCCACAAGCAAGGATCGATGGTAGATGCACCCGAAAGGAAAAAGCTGTCCACTATTAACAGATAAGAATAAACTGAGAGCTCCCTTCTGCCGGATCCGGTCCATCTAAAACTACACAGTATAGGTGTGATGGATGGTCCATCTGACAGAGGAGAGCTGACCTCTGCTAATACCGGCTCCGGTCCATCAGAATCACACCCAGGAGATGTTATCAATAGCCCACCGGTAAAAACAGGAGCAGACGTCTCGCCGGTTGCGAAAACATAAAATAGAAAAAAGCACAGGGCTTCGGTACTAAGCACAAGCACCTAAAAGATCCATGCCACTCCACCGGAAAACACCATAGATGAACTTTGAGATTCCTAACGCCACCAGGATCCCGCTGATGATGAGCGAGTTGAAAAGACAAGCTTAGTAAAACAAATTGTTGAATGTAGTGAAATGGGGTATTGTGTTGTCTGAGAAAATGGCAAAAAAAGGAAAGGTCGTCAAGAAACACAGACGAGAATGCCATCTAAATGGGAAGATAGGCACCACCCGCAATGACCAAGTTCATGTTCGTGAACTTGACCTTGTAAACAGGACTCTTCTTGGTTGGAAAAGCGCTGATCTGATCAGCAGTGACGACAACATCCTTGCCCTTCTTCTTCTTGCTCTGAGTGGTGGAAGTAGGACCAGCATCGAGCTTGGAACCAGCACCACCTTCACCGATGACGCGACCCTGGGTACTTTCCTGAGAATCAGCAACATCCCAGACACGAACGGTGCCATCAGCTCCACCTGAGACAAGCACGGTGGACTCCACACTCCAGCTGAGCGACCAGATGCCACCCTTGCCATGGCCACGCATGCGCTTCAAAAGTCGACCAGGTGCCAGATCCCACAGAATGATAGTGCCCTGGTCATCGGCCGTGGCCAAGAGCTTGCCATCACGGCTGCATTCCATGGAGGTAACATTGCCAGCGTGGCCAGTGAACATACGAACAGCATTACCAGTGGTGACGGCCCACATGCGAACAGTGTGGTCGGAACTGGCGGTGAAAACATAAGCCGAGTTAGGGTGGAAACAGACGCAGTCCACGTCCTGATCATGGCCGACAAAGATACGCTGCTGACGAATGTGGTCGGTCACCCACAAGCGGGCGGTACGGTCCGATCCACCGGTCACAAAGTATTGTCCGAAAGGTCCCCAGCGGAGATCCCAAATAGGGCGGTCGTGGCCCTTATAAACAACCATGCATTGCCAAGCGTCCAAAGACCAGAGGCGAACGGTCTTGTCGGCAGACGAGGAAAGCAACCAACGAGCATTGGTGGGAACACTCTCTCCTTCCTGTTGATCCTCACGAGCTGGGGCGCAGGGGGGGAAAGCGACTGCGTAGACAGGACCTGAGTGGCCGATCAGACGGCGAGAGTTGGCGGGCGCCAAGTCGTCAATTTCTGGGAGAGCACCCTGAATGTTCTTCCCATCAAGGCTCCAGACACGAATGTAGGATTGGGCGAAACCGCAAGCGACGAGCAGGTTGTCATCGGAAAAGTCCATGCAGTTGATGCTGTTGAAGTGTTAGTGAAGCCATAGAAAAGGGTGATGTCGAAAGACGTACTTATCCAAGGTATTATGGAAAGTGAACATGCAAACACTGACGCCAGGGCCAACACCACCCGTGCGACCCTTGATCTCGAACCGATCACGGTGCTCCATAACCCTTCTGACCTCAAGTTCAACGTCACGGGCATTCGAAGGCGGGAATGGGATATCAGCGCGAGAAGGAGCCTCATCCTCATCTTCCTTCTTAATCATTTGTTCGAACTCCTGGGAAAGAGTGTTGCGGCCAGCGACGGGAGGCTCTTTCGCATCCACCTCTGCAAGCTCAGCGCGCACATCCTCCTCCAGTGTCTGCTCCATTGGAAGCTTTCCGAGCCTCAGACGTGGAAGTGTTCCAGCCATGGCAGGGTTGTCACCGGTGTAAGCGGAGCCAGGGTGGTGACCAGGGATACCTTCATCCTCGGCAGGTGAACTCTGTCCGGGCGCCATCTGGTTCAACATAGAGGCAAAGCTGAATCGATCATCGGAGGCACGGTCCATGGTCTTCACAGAGCAGAAACTGCTGAGGATTGCATTCATCACAGAGCCGCCCTCCTTGTCCTTGCTCTCCAGGAATTGGAGCAGGTTTGTGTATGCGGGGTTGCTCAGAACAACGCGGTACTTGTTGTTGCGGTAGAGTTTAGCGACACTGTTGTCCTGCAAGTGCTCTGGCAAGCTAATAGGCTCGAAGTGACGGATATCATCCGTATGCTCAGGCAGAAACATGTTCTTGTTGGCCTCGAAAAAGCTCTTGGCATCTTGGGGGTAGAAGGATGTCACCATGTTAAAGAACGAGTAGACGAACAATGGCCACAAAACACGACGCAGCTCAGGCTGTAAAACGTTAGCATGTGTTCATTGAAATGCTTATGTGTGTCCCACCTTGTACAGATCGAGATTTTCCTCAACCCAGTTCTTCAACAAGTCTAAACAAGGCGTTAGATAATATTTTGGAGGGGTTGAGTGTAATCATGCACATACCGAATCCTTGCCGGGTCTTGGGGCGAGAGTCCTCTCCCAGCTGGGGAAGGGGACGTCCATCGATCTCCTGGTTGGCAGACTCCATTCGCAACATGGCTTCGGTACGGCTGTAACCCTTCTTGGCCAGGTAATCTATGACCTAAATGATTTCAAACGTTAGTAGATGGTTGTGACAAATACGAAATGAAAAGCAGGCAGTAATATTAGTGGGAAAACAAACAGCTTCTTCCCTACGAATTTCAGAACGCGAGAGAGATGCTGGGGTGTCCGACAAGAAATTGTGGGAAGATGAAGGGAAGGATCGGACAGTCGGAGGTCGCCCCAAGAAAGGGTTGGCAATCAGGATCGGTTTCGGATCCTGAATTGGAATTTGGGCAGCTAGCGGTGACGGTGACGGCGTTGGCACGCTGGCACTGGCACGAGGAGCGCGAGCAGGCTGTGAAGTAACCCGAGGATATCGCACAGATGATCCTCTGACGGTAGACCTGGTAGAAACACCGGGTCCTCCTCTCAAAGTAGAGCGAGTAGAAAGACCAGGTCCCCCCGAAACGCGCACAGGAGGAGAAGTAGCGGAAACCAGACGTCTCCTGCTAGCAACTGGAGACGAGGTCGCCATAGCCTGGGGTTCAGTGGGGGCATTGGGAGGGGCATTCTGGCTAGCCCGAGGGCCTTTGGGGGCTTCAGGTGGAGGCTGTGCTGACAATTCCCTCAACTTTCTGTTGCGCTCTTTCTTCCCAGCTCGCCAGATTCTGGCCATGATGGCGGGTGTTGATAAACCGAGGTAGGAGTGAATGGGGTGAAATGACAAGACGAGTCCCGGACTGGACAATACAGGAGTGGAAGGTAAATATGAGGATGGAGGAAAGATGGAAACGTTGAGGGTGAAGGTAAAAGAGCACAAATGGGATTGGGAAAGAAAAGCTCAGAGACGAAGCGAGCTCGTAGTCAGATGGTGAGTCCGAGGAGCAAGAGAAGCATCAATCGAAGAGAGTTGATACGGAGCGTGTCCTTCTATCAGATAAAAGGCGCCTGAATTTCCAGGAGGTAATAGGCGCGTCCTTCAGGCGAAGTAAGAGATCACCCGATGCTTTTCACGCCGCATCCCAATTTCAACTTCTCCAACTGCGCCTTCCGACCTCCAGGGCTAAGAATCGACCACATGCCGATTTTCGAGGTGAATTGCCACTCTCAATTCCTCACATAAATCTCATATCATCCATGACTAAAACAGGAAGAATATGATGTCGTTGTCGTCCAATATCAAGCACGTTCACCAACGAGCTTGCTCCACACCTGAATAGCATAGGCTGCTGGGAATAGTGGCGTTCCGGCAAGCAAGGGCCTCCACAGAAAAAAAACAAAAATCGAGCAATACGGGCGAAGAAAACACTGAACAAACACCTACAATTTGATTCAAGTTCTGTTGCGACATGGCACCGCTGGGTGGAGCAGATGGTCCAGTTGGTCCCGGCGTGGAAGGCTGATGAACCGGTGTGCCAGACAAAGGCTGCTGCGTAGCCATGGACATGCCAGTGCCATTTGCACCTGGTCCCATACTCCCACTGCGAGGAGCAGGGCTCGGGGCCCCGCCTGGGGCGGACATTTCGGGCGAAAGGTGGTCGGATCCGCCTCGATATGGATTGCGGACAAGCGGCGGCGTTAGGGAAAGCGACGGAGACGGTCGACGAGGTTAGCAGCGATGGGTTTCCGACGTCAATTGCAAAACGACGATCTGACGATGACGGCGACGATGGGGTGGAAATTGATATCGCGACTCCGAGCGCGCCTCACCGCCTATCGAGCTGCCCCAGATTCCGCACGTGATACCCTCCAAGACCTCTTTTTTTGATCCTCTGCCTGCACTGGCTTCAAGAAGCTTCTGTCTACAATTGCAATTCGACAGCTACGTCTTTTGGATTCTTTTCATCGGCAAAAATGGGCGATAAAGCACAGCCAGAGCAGGAGGTCTTCACCTCCGCGGACCGCATCCGCCAGCTCAACGAGGTGGACAAGGTAACCTCCGCCTAACTCAATTGGTGGTATCAACAGCTGCTGACAATAATTTAATAGGATGTGACGAGGCTAATCCACTCAGCTGGCCTCGCAATCCAAGCTTTAACCAACGCCAAACCCATCCCCTCCGATTCCTCCCCCGCACCAGATGGCTCCCTCGACTCTCACAAAGCACGATTCAAAGAAGCGACCAGCCAATACTTTGCACTTCTATCCTCGATCGATGTTCGTCTACGTCGCCAGGTCTACGCACTCGAGGAAGCTTCGGCCCTTGCACCGGAGCGCGACTGGGGCAAAGCGGCCAGGACCGACGTCAGCGCTGGTGGATCGGGTGCTGCGAACCCACTGGATATCAGTCGGCTTAACGCCCGGAAGGATACCACTGGAAAGGACAAGGAGGCAGAGCTCTGGGCCGCTGCTCGACAGTTTGTTGAGGGAATCGAGAAGCCACACGCCCAGGACAAGGCCGATGATCCGGAGAAGATGCAGACAGATTGAAGGGGACAATGTTTTACGCGCAGTTGGTAGTGGTTGATTTATGTTTTTATGTGATACCCCAGGCTCTCTGTAGCCACAGGCATTGAGACTCCAGAATACATTGAGTCCTGTTCAAGGATGACCATTTACAAGTAACCGGATTGAATGGCAATCGTATGGACCAGTATTCGAGCATGTTCACAGAACTAAGCTATGCAAAACGAGAACGCAACAGATCTAGTTCCGAGGTCATCGGCCTAGCGGAGTGACAAGTGTCGGACCGAAAAAAGGACTGCTTCTGCATGACTACTTCTGCATAGAAGCGATCATCTCCCGCTGTGTCGCCCGATCTCTGTTTGCGTCGGACAGGGGTCCCAAGCCTGGTTTCGAATTAGCATGTTGCTCGATCCTAAAATTATGCGGCAACTTACTTCGGAGCTCGCCAACCACATCCTTTGCCTTGCCGAAGTAGACCTCCTCTGTAAACGAGTCACGATTAGCATATACTCAAAACCAACAGAGCCAGGAAACATACGCAGCAAGTTCCGCATCTTCAACTCCATATCCTCGACTAGCCTGCCAACGTTGGCGACATGGCTACCGTCTGACTCCACAGGCAGATCGACCTCAACCTGGCGAGTCATGTTCCCGCTCAAGTCCATATCACCCAGGGCCTCAGTCTTGTTGGCAAGGTGGAGGATAACCGTGCTGGTAAGCTTGTAGTGCGACATGCGAGCGCGATCAGTAGCCTCGAATACGTGAATGCTGTCCCATTCACCAGAGCTCTGAGCGCCGGGGGTGACACCTAATAACAAGAAATGGTCAGTCGCAATTTCAAGCAGGCGATTCCCCCAAATCCAATTCCACTCCCACTCCATTGAATCGACGTACCTTTCTTCAGCAAAATCACACCAGCGAATCCATCATCCAAATCCCAGAAATAAACACTTCCAACACCACCCTCATAGTACAACTCGCGGTAAACATCAAACGACTCATTAGCCGCAACCTCAAGCTTGCGCACGCGCTCACTAGGAACAGTCCCATCCTCAAGCGGAGGATCAAACTCGTTACTCCATGGTGAGCGATAGCTATCACCGTCGCGATTGTAGTCGCAGAGCAGGTAGTCTCTGTTGGTCTTGGGGCAGCGGCGGATCTCCAGGGGCTGGTCAACGGAGGAGAGGAGGTCTTCGGTGAGGTCTGGGACAATTGAGGTGATAGCTTGTAGGTTCTTCTTGGTATCGCGCGGGTTTAAGCGTCGAAGGAGATCGCTAGGAGTGGTCAGCTTGGTTGATCCCGGTGCATGGGGCGGGGTTGTGTCGGGTTTGGGGGGGTATGCTCGGTGTCATGGATGTGGGAGGTGATTTGAATGGTGTCGGGAATTGTGGAATGTGTTACTCACAGCGCGCTGTCAAATTGTGCATCGGCCATGGTCGCGGTGGGTGGTTGTATATAGCTCTGTTGCGCTGCGGGATGGCGGTGATCTGAGGCGGAGGTGCGTGCGGGTTTCATGTGGCTCGTGGAATTACACACCTACATCGAGAACAGGAAAACTAAGTACACCAATGAATAGGTAATTGTATTCACCAAGTTGAATTTGTTATTATGTACAGCCAATCAATGGCCTGGAATGAATCCATATGCAAACACAATTATCCAACACCTGTCGCTATGGTCATAATTCATCACTGTCAACAATCGACCTGCTCTGCTTTCGGGAACTACTAAGCTTCGCGCCACTGCTAAAGAAAGAGCTTGGGTCCGGAAGATCATCGTCATCAAAGTCATCATCGAGAAAATCAAGAGGATCCAGCTTTCGCTGTTCGCGATCTGGTTGATTGGGAGACAACAAAGATAGAATACCACTGTCAGCAGGGTTCGCGGATTTCTTCGACGTCTTTCGAGAAGCAGGCTTTGATGGAGTCTTGAAGTCTTTTTTACCATTTCCAGCCTTCTTGGTTGGTATCGTCTGGGGATGGCTGGACTCGTCAGAAGACAGAGGTTGCCGAGCCAGAATCTCTTTGAATCGACGATCACAGTCTGGTCCTGCTTCGTCCATTTTCTGCAAAGCTGATATCATGCGCTTTGTCAGAGCTCCATGTTTAACAAGCTTTGTAGGCCTAGGAACAAGTTGAAGACGAGGGAAAGCATCGTTGCGAGGGAATCGAATGAACTGAGGAGAGGTGGCTCCGATATTCTGATAATGGTTTTCAAGCTGCTTCTGTTCGCTGGCACTTAAAGTAACATCCTCCAACGAGGGAACATCCACAGGTTCAGGTGTAGGGGTCCGTGGTCGCTTTTTTGGGGTGGCGGCTTTCTCCTTCTCGGTCTTAGACTTGCCGCCAGTGAGGGTTGAAGCTCGAGTAAATCCTGTCTCCACATCGTCCGGCATATGGAAGACTTTCGGGGGTCGCTTCGGTGCTCTTCCTTTGCGTTTGGGCTCTGGCAGGTCTTGTTGAGAGTTCTCCAGGGGAATCTCGATTTGTCGTTTATCAGGCACTGGACGGATTCCTGCGGGCAAGATTCGAGCAGAACGATCGTCATGGAAGGTGAATCGGGAGCCGCTGGCAATCATTTGTTGCATCTTCTCGTAGTTATCCTTGGCCTTGATGTAAGAGTCCTCCTCCTTGCCCTTCATCAACAGCAGTGTGATGTTACCAGCCCGTTTGCGACCAGTTCGACCCATCCGCTGCAGCATGCGAATTGGCGACGCTGACGAATCGTAGCACACGATAAGGTCGACCTCTCCAATGTCCAGACCCTCCTCACCAATAGAGGTGGCCACAATCGTGTTGTAGGTGCCTTTCTTGAACTCTTTGATGATCTGGAGCTGTGTCTTCTGGTCCATGCCCTCGGAGCCTTTGGCACTCGATTGACCCACGAAAACATGAGGCCGAATCATGGGTTCGTATCGTTTGAGCACTCTCGTCACCTCTTCTGCACTGTCACGGAAGTGCACAAAGATCATGACACGGGTCGCACTCTCAACGCTTCCTTGGGTAGTCTCCTTCCCTTCGCCTCTGTCCATGAAGTGATTCAAGATCACCGATTTAAGATATTCCAACTTAGGATGACCAATGAACTCCGAGTTCTTGGACCACGGTTCAATATGGCTCATCAATTTCTTGAAATGCTCGTCTTGAACGACTTGCTTTTGCCATTTGCCACCTCCGCCTTTCTGTCCTTCCGTGCTTGACTTGAAGTGAAGAACATGGCGGTAGAATGGCACGATGCCATGATACTTGAGCAGGTCGATGGCGTGGGCCAAGCTGGCAAGGACAGAAAAGATGGCATTGACTTTGCCTTTGAGTCCAAAGTTGGCATTCCTACCCGCATCGGACAGCATCCATTGTTGTCTGGCTTTTGTCAGACCGTAGGCGGTTAGGCCCATGGGGTCTCTTCCCCAGTAGGCGTTGAGAGTGTGAAGCTGATCGAGCAAGGGTCGCAAGGCCTCTGACATAAGGTCCATGCAGAAGACCATCTCATCCGAGTTCTCGAATGTTTCGATTTCGATGTTGCGAGCGTGAACGTAGTCGCGAATATCAATCGAGTTCTCGGTCCGAATCTCGACTCGTGATATGTCCAATCCATCGATGACCGCCTGTACCGATTCCACTGTGGAACCCGGAGTAGCTGTCAATGCGAGAACGCGGAAACTGTTGTTATACCGCCGCAGGAACTTGACTACTTCCACATAGGCATATGCACCAGTCGCACGATGGGCCTCATCAACGACCAGTAAAACGATCCGCTTAGGATCAGCAATCCCAGTCTTCAAGTCGTTGATCAAAGTCTGAGGAGTCATGAAAAACACCCGCTTTGCCTTCCATTCCTCGGCACGAATACCAGGTGAGGCACCTCCAGTGAGCATGGTCGTCTGGGATCGAGGGATTCCGGCAATGTCTAAACATGCCGTTACCTGCTGAGAGACCAGAGGCTTGGTTGGGGCCACAAAAATGATCTGCGAGTCTTTCGTCCAGCGAAACCAATTGAGCATGATTGTAGCGGCAATAAATGTCTTTCCCAGACCGGTTGGCAAGGCCACAAGCAGGTTGTGGAAGAGGCCTCGCTGGGTGATATTGAACTGGTAATCTCGGGTGCTACCCAGGTTTGTGGGGTAAACCCAGGTATCCAAAGCATCTTTGACCAGTTTGTGTTGGGTTGGAGGTTCGGCTTTGTCCGGCGGGCCCCCGTCTTGCTCACGCGGTGCTGGGTCCTGGGCTGCAGTCATGCCGAATAATGTTGTCTGGCGCATATGTGCTTGTCGACCTGGTGCTCTGGTCGTACTCAATTTTGGGGGTTGAGTAGGTCGTGCTACAGGTGACAATGACGGCGATGTATCAAATGCGTCGTCGGGTATGTCGTCCAGCTCAAATGAGACGTCCTGTTGTGGGAGCGCGAGAGTCCTGGAGGCAGTATTCCGTGCTAAGCTCGGTGGGCTAAATGCTCCTCTGATCTCTTTCTCCTCCTCAAATGAGTCCAATGAAGCAGCAATAGCCGCTCTTAACTCGTCATCTTGGTTATAATCCTGCGCCTGCTGCACACCCTGTAGAGCCAACGGCCCACTTCCCTGTCCAGCAGATTCGAATTTCGGTGGAGGAGGTTTTGCAACAGGCTTCTGCCATCGTGGACCTCGTATGCGTTCCGGGCTTGAAGACGGTTGCGTGAGTTGCGTGACGAACATATTCTCTTGGAAATTATTCTGTTTCAACAGATAACTCTTATTTTTAGGGCGTTCTTGGTATTCGTCAAAGTCCGCAGAGCCTCCCCGTTGTGGAGGCAAGTCCTCCATATCAGAAAACGAGTCGATCGAGGAATCATTGTGGTTATCGCGTTCTCCCCGCTTCGAAGCTTCAACGCGGCGACGTTTGGCGGGGCGAGATGCGGGCTCATCGGGGACTATAAAGTCATCATCGTCGAAATAGTCCGACTCGGAGTCTGTCGCAGACATTGCAGCTGAGCATTGAGCCTATGTCGAGACTATGTCCCTTCTTCACCGTGAGGCGCGACGCGACACGAAATCATGTGATCTGTTTGTGTGGTTTGCACAGGAGCCCTGCAATATCTACAGACTTGAGAGGTGCAGTACAAGTATACTGTACACCCTTACACAACGTCGGAAGTACTTCGCCAAGCTGCATGACCTGCTGCAAGTTGGCCCTGAATCCTGGGCATACTGTACAGTACCGTGACATATTGGGCTTGTACGGTCTACAAAAGTCTATCCCAAAGTCTGGGAGAACACTTCTATACGTGAATACTGCCATACATCGAACATAATCTCAAAATGAAACATCTACTCTACGGAATCTCAAACAAGAGATTAATTTGACTGTAACGATATCCTAGTTGATCGACAGTAACATAGTGGAGAGTCAAAATAGCTAGTGCAGTCCCTTGCTCGGCCGCTAACGCCCCTCTGCATCTGACAGATCCACTCATACTAGGGTTAACAAGGACAATATCCTGCTCTAAAGGGGGGATCGACCTCAGTTGCCTCTGGGGAAGCAAGGTGACTACCATGCATCGGCTAGAGAGTCTTGGTTCTCTGTAAATGAGGTCGAATGACCCCAAACCTCGAATCAAATCTGAGACATGTCGAATGGAAACCTGCGCTATGTCTTTTTTTCATCTCTGGGGTTTGATTACCTGGGGCAAATTCCATGCCAGGGTCCGTTTGCTATATTTAATCAACTATCCTCCCGCAGCTATCTCTCTCTATATCCGTCACTCGCTACTGTCGTTTCATACTACTTCTGATCTTTTTTTGAGTCAATCATTTATTTTCATCCACAATGAAGTTCAACGTCCTCGCCCTCTCTGCTCTGCTGGCCTTCGCTGCCGCTGAGACTACCACCGCGGATGCCTCTACCACAACTAGCAACCCATCGGTCGAGTGTGCTAAGCAGTGTAAGTTATATACGTAAACGACCTACCTTCCAACCTTACTAACGATCTATTGTAGGTGAACCCACAGACACCTGCTGCATCGCCAAGTGCTGGAACGTTCCCTGCCCCAGCGACAACCAGGCCAACGACACCAACAGCTGTGTCGCCGCCTGCCCCCAGGGCACCGGGTCGCCCGCCGACGCCCAGAAGTACGCCAGCTGCGAGCAGTCCTGCTACAGCTCCCACTTCTGGGGTGGCCACGGACCCACGGCCACCCAGTCTACCTCGACTAGCACTGCCACCGACGCTACTGCTACCGAGACCAGCTCTGATGCGTCCACCACCGACTCTTCCAAGAGTATGTCCCCTCAGCCATATCCAAATCAACCAAGTTCCCTACTAACAAACCCATGAGCCTCAGATAATGGCAATGACTCCAGCTCCACCAATGACTCCTCGGATGGCACAGCCACTAGCTCCTCAGGCTTCTCAACCGAGACCACCAACGCCGCCGTCAAGGTTGGTGCCTCAGCCGCCGGCCTGTTCGGTCTGGTCGCTGCTGCTTTTGCTCTGTGAGCGCATACCCGTAGGTCTTGGGTCTAATGTTTTGTAATACTGCACGGGCGCAGATCACTGCCTCGGATCTGGATCGTCCGGGGTAGCTGTGGACCTGTCATTTTGTACTTTCTTCCGCCTGTAATGGTTTGAATATGGTTCTGGAGCCCTGTGAATGAAAATTGTTTTGAGATTGTCGATCTTCTTTGGATTTGGGTTTTGGTGTAGTTGCGTTGGGAACATTCTTCGGCAAATATTTCTACATCACACGATGTACTGATACATGTAGATCGATTCCCGCGTGAGTTAGCCCCCACAGGCAGGATCCAGTCAACATTTGGTCGGGGGAAAGAGTGAGTCTAGAAGAGAATTGTAATATGCACTGAGTTCGTATCGTGCAGGTGATTTGATGCAGGACGTTGTACTAAGTTCACCGCCAAAGTTTGTTTACTGCGGGGGAAATGGCAGTTTCGACGCGATGTTGCTACGCGCGACTCACCACGTAACCTCAATATCAACCACCTCCCAGATCTTCAATCCAAGCATCCCCAAAATGGACACAACAAGCCAAGAATTCCAAACGCTATACAGTGCAATGTCGGCCTTCGTCACAAAATGCATGTCAGGGCACGACCCATCCCACAATCCAGCCCATGTCCACCGGGTAGTAGCCCTAGCCGAGAAGATCCTGGCCTCAGAGCAACGTCAAAACCCAACCAAGCATTTCAACGCCGCAGAAGTCAAACTAGGCGCACTACTACACGACATCGGCGACAGAAAATACATCTCCAATCTTGAAACCGCATCCGGAACAGAAGTCGTAGACCCAACGACGATGGTGCAACATGCACTACTCGCACAAGGCGCGAGTGCAGAACTCGCAGCACGGGTACAAACAATCGTCTCGCATGTCTCCTACACAACCGAGTGCAAAGATCCATCTGTGATCAAGCGACTTATTGAAGAGGGATACGGCGAGTTGGCGATTGTGCAAGATGCAGATCGGCTTGATGCCATTGGGGCGGTTGGTATTGGGCGGTGTTTCACTTTCCTGGGTGCTGTTGGGAAGAAGTATTGTGAAGAGGGGAAGTGGGAGATGGGGAATTCGATTAAGCATTTTGGGGATAAGTTGGAGAAATTGGAGGGGATGATGAAGACTGGGACCGGGAGGGAGATGGCGAGAGTTAGGACGGAGAGGTTGAGAGTTTTTAGGGGGTGGTGGGAGGAGGAGATAGATATCTGAAGTTGATATAGAGAGCATGCTTGCAGAGTGGAATATATATTTTGACCTGACGTGTTTTTTGCTTCTTGTACGTTTAGACTTTCTAAGTTAAGTGCGAAAGTGAAATATATATTGAAATGAAGGATTTATTTTTTTGGTGCTTTGCAGCTGTTTGTTTCTTGATACACAGTGACTGTATTCCATTCTAGCCAGGGCTGTTGAAGGGTGAATAGCCCATTCCATTGCCTGAAGCAAAACGAACCTAAATCAAAAAGCCTCCCTTCTATCAAAACTGAAACGCCGAGAGCTGGAACTGAACTGGGTGCTGGATCGGGGTATTTGGGGTTGTGAATATCAAGCAGAGAACGTCAATCCGAGATAGCATATAAATCAAAGGGCCGAAAACCACCTAAGTCGTCGAAAAAGACAGTATGGGTTTATGCAAGTGTTTAGTATGTACGAGCAAAAAGCAAAAGGGTAAAAAAAAAAAGAAAAGAAAGCACCAAACTCCGATTGCGATCAGCGACGCTGCGCGAACACAATTTCTAAATCGATGCAAAAGTGTAAAATTGCCGAGTCAGACGCGGTCCCGGGCGAAGTCAAGAACCTCGCAGTCGTCTTCGAAGAAACCGTCATCGGCTTTCAATGGGGCAGAGTATTTCTTCTTCCGGCGGGTGGTGATGACAACTTCTTCGATATTGCCTGTGCTGTTTCCAAGAGTGATGAGGTTTTCCATATCTCCACCAGCTCCAAGCGAGTGTCCGTGAATAGCGGCATTCTCATCTTCGTCATCTCCATGGTCGTCACTGGAACTGTTGAAAGATCTCAGGTGTACTTTGGTCACGGGGATGTCATTTCCGAACACCCACTGTCCACTAGGCTCGCTTGCATCGCTGCTAGAAGAGAAGACGCTCAAGCCAACTCGTTGATCTGTGTGGAAAGGCTGGTATGGAGTGTTGGTCTCGATCTCTGCCTGCGAGAGGGGCTGGCAAAGTGGTCTTCCCGCACCGGTTTGGGAGCTAGCCGAAGGAAGAACAAGAGAAGCATGCACTGTAAGTTCCGGGTCAAATGTAGCAACAGGAGCCGGACCACAAGGGCTTTGAAGACTGTCAGGCAACTTGACCTGGGATTCACGGCCACCAACAACGGAGTGCGGCTGTCGGTTCTTCTGACCAGACATAGCACGCTTCAAGCGATACAGCTTGAAATATCCGCCATCCACCACTCCCAGAAAGATAAGACCCTTGGTGCAGATCCACGTCACTCGACATGGTGCAGGATCTCGAGCGAGTCCGGGAAGATGCAGGCGGTTTTCTCCTACATGTCGAAGGGTATTGACAGTACCCGTTGCAGCACCCATGGACTTGCTGAGACCGGCAGCGACAACCTTTCCACTCTTGACGCTCGCAGCAGAGGGCAACGCAAATCCGCTCATGTTAGGGAATGCGGCACCTCCAGAGGGAACACGACCCCGAACGGCAGAGAAGAAAGGCTGCGTTTTACCGCCCACCAACTTCATGGCTGCTGACAAGGGGTTGCCACCTGCTGTTTGGCCTACCTCTTCCGCCATGGGGTCAACGGCCGGCGATTTGCTGACAGAAGGTCGTGCACGCCGGAAGGGTGGCCATTGGAATGCACTCCGAGGTAGATCGAAGACGTGAATAGTGCCTTTGCGTGTAATGACTGCCAGTCGATCACCCACCGGTGCAGTCCAAATCACATCAACGATGCTCGACGTGGTCAGGCGGGCATATCTTGCAATCTGTCGCACGTTGGGATTCTGTCCAACCTGGTCATCAGCCATGAAAGCCATGGATCGGCAATACTTGAGTTGCATCAGATCCCAGACATATTGCACATCACCCTTCTTACTCGCCGTGAATAACATAAGACCATTTGGCGAAAGAGATAAGAAGCTGCAACCGTTGGGAACCTGGAAAGTTGACACGGGGTGAGTGAACACATTTCGTATATCCGAGCCATCCTCGAATCGTTTCAAGTCGATTATGGATACGGTGTCGGGTTCGATGGCCGAGGATGCTTGTGTATCGTGACCATGAGTTGGTGGAAATAGTCCATATCCCTGTGCTGGACTATCAAGCCCCTGAACTGATCGACGTGGAGAAGTGCCTCCTGGTTGCTGTGTATTCCAGTAGTTGTTCCACGCCTGCATGCCTTGGTCACCCATCCAGCGGGCGCCTCTAACAAGTTCTTGGGCCACACCTCTTGCTACTTTATCGAAGAAACTCTCCCCCTCCCCTACGTCTGTCGCGCAAGACACCGATGGGATGGTAGGAGGGCTGCGAGTTTCAAGCCCAGGAACCTTTCCTTGTATCAGATTCTGCGGCACAGTTCCGTGAATGGAGCCTCGATAAGCCGAAGACGGGGGGACATATGCCAACCACCTTCCCTGCACAGCTAAGATGGGTCTTTCGAAGACAGAGGCGCCATGAGGAGGATCATTGCGAGCACCCTCCGGATCAGTGGTGGAGCTCGAAGACGTGGAATAACGACGAGCTTCCTTGACCTGGATACCGGTCCATGTCTTGCCCAAACACTGATAGGCACTTTCGCCTAGCCCAGAAGTCAAGGCATGTCTATAGATATAGACTTCGCCACTAATACCAGATGCCAAGATGATATAAGCCCCGGCCGTGAAAAGCTTCAAGCTACCAACAGGCGGCGGTGCAAAGGAAGGCATGCCAGGAAGGCTGTCCAAACACGGCACGGGCTTGCTTGCAAAGAGAGTCGAGACGTGTTCGCCGGTCCGGAAAGAAAAAACTTCGACCCTTGTTTGGTAAAACTGAGGGGTTTCATGCGAGCGCCTGTCGCCTGAGTGGCCACGGGCTGTAGAAGGAGGGATCTCATTTGCATCCGAAGTTGCGGAAGAGATACGACCTTCTTCCTCATTTGGTGGCAACGGCCCATGAACGATGACAGCCACGTGGGGTCGAGATGATGCAAAGGGATCATTTGATGAATGACCAGACAGAATCTTGGCTTCGATTACACGGCCGTTGAGTCCAGAGATTTGTCCTACGAGCCGAGTCCGACGATCTTCGATAGCGAGGATCTCCACAGCACCATCTGTCCCAACCAGCAAGACGTTCATCCCGGTCCGCGAGGCTTTGGGGGACAGAGTAGGGAGCGTATCAAAGCTGCAGAATGAGTAATTCCCGTCGGTGAGGGGTCGGTTCTGGGCCGGATGGATATCGATCTCTGGGGCTCTGAAGAAGTGCGGTTGGGGGAGGTGAGGCAGAGGTGCGTGGTTGCTCATCGGACTCCCATAAGAATAGCTCTTTCTTCTATCCACAGACTGCTGTCGCGATTGCATACTGCTCCGGTACCCATTGCCATAACTGGATGGTTGGTTACGAGTTGGGGGGGATGCCGAGGAAGGATCACTGAAACCACCCCTCTCCTGGATGGTGGGAAAGTTGAGGGGCGATGCATTCGGAATATCTCCATCCATCAGATCGGTGGGAGGGCTCTTTCCATACGGTACTGATTGAGCCCAGGTATCCGTTCGCGAGGTGAGATCATTATCTGCAGGTTCATCGAGCGAATCGAGAGCGTCAAGAGCCGGCAACATGACGGATGGTTTTACATGATGCTCCAGGGGTGGGTCTGGGCAGGAGGATGGCTCCGCAGGCGGAGCAGATGGTTGGATGCTATGCATGGATTCTGGCGTTAACGGCGCAAGCTCAGGAACAAAACAATTACCCGATACGTACATTTCATCCGGTGGTGACTCTGTCGCTGCCTTGGCCTTGGCCTTTTTTGCCTTCTTCTTCTTCTTTCCACTAGGCTCATGCTCTGAAGTGACTCGGTTCTGATCCGGGGTGAAGGAACTATCGTCTTCAAGGGACCGGCTGTGCTGGCGGATGATATCGTCAGGCGCTGCCGGGGGCATTCAAATGATGATGCCTCGGAGGGAGGCGATAGGAGAACAACGAGGAAGACCGCTCTCAGGACCTTTACCGAGGCCTGAAAACGGGATGCAGAGTCGCGTACACGCCCTGCTTGAGGTGACTCCTGAGTACCGTACCGGACCGAGACCGGACCGGGACCTTGGGGGCACTAAAGGAGTGACTGTGGGAATCAGTCACAATGAAGGTCTGTTGCCATAACAGAATGCATACCTGTGTTGTAACTGTCTGTGATAGACAAGTAAACGAAGTAACGCGGTAACGGCGTATCTAGAGCGGGGATCACTCTAGAGACGCGGGGAAGCTTTGATAAGATAGGCGTACAGCTTGATCTCAAGCTGTGCACAAGTTGATTTTCAAAACTAAGTATGTGTATGAGAGTGCGCCGATGTGCACAAGTGTGTAAAGAGGAAGATGAGTCAAGATGGAAGATGATGTTATGGTTCGCGATAAGAGGAGGGGGAGGGGGAGGTCACCAGTTACAGGTACGGGGGCCCCGGGGGAATAAGGGGGTGCCTGAGTCAGAATCGGAGAGGGCTGATGCTGTCATTCCCTAATGGAGCATGATCGGAGTCTAGCCCTGAGCTCCCTCTTAATTCTCCCCTACATAGTTATTATCCCTCCAATCCTGTTACTACGAAGGCCCTTGTGCTTGTCAGGGCTGATGAGGGGAAGGCAAACATTGCAAATCACGATAAGGAGATTAGTCATCTTACGCCTCCACCAGGGCTGGACTGCCATCCTTTGGACCCCTTTTGCCTCTTTTCTTTGCCTTACTGAGCCCAAAATCCAAAGTGAATCCAAGGAACCGACAACAGAGGAACTGACCGAGTCCAACCGTCTCATCCCTCTTCCCTGTTTTGTGGCTGAGCGTCATCGCGGATTCAAGGTCACGGGGCATCGCGGAATGACGATCAAAAGGCAACTTGTCATTTGCTGAGACACTAGGCTTTGTTGACCATCTGATTATCTGAAAAACATGGACAAAGCGCTCAAAGGCGATTAAGTAACTGAGATGTTTTGAGATCCTTCCGGAATAATGGTACAGCGGTCCTCCCCGATGTGACGTCCATGCTGCACTTAGGTCTTCTTCTTAGCGGCCTTGGCCTTGGCCGCCTTCTTCTTGTTACTGTTGATCATCACAATTCCAATAAAGGTGCCCACCACAGCGGAGCCCAAGAGAGTGAGGATAACGGGGATGCGGATGGCCCAAACACGGGGTGGGAAGATATCATGGAGAGGGTGGCCGGGGTCGACAAAGGGCTGCAGATGTTAGTAAACATAGATGTAGTGGAGGTAAAATCACATACCATTAACAGGGTCCACGCGGTGTAGTAGAGAAAGATCGCGGTTGCGACCAAGAGCATGGCGGATCCAACGAGTTGGCCCAGCTAGACGCGGTTAGCGGGAATTAACCATTGGATGAGATGGAAGGTTTACCATTCTGATAAGGAATGAGGATCAGAAAGATCAGGGAAAGGAAAGGAATGAACGTCGATGAAACCTGAGCTTGACAAAACAACAAGGATCTCAGGAGCTCCCTCCCGCTGTCTGGCCTCTGGTCACGTGCCCGCGCGCTAGAGCTTTCTCCTGTCCTTGAATCTTTTGCAACCTCAGTCGAGATTCGCAACCACCGTCTCTCCGGTGTATCCCAATCCTTTTCCACACCCCGGAGGCTCCTCTGACACTGAGAATGTCGGAATCAGATCTTCTCCAGTCCGCGGTTCGCGTGCCCACGCCTCCCCCAGGCGTGTCTTACTCGCCAGCCGCAGCTTCTCGGAAGCGCTCCCCTCCGTCTCGTTCTCCCTCTCCGAATCGTCGACGATCGCCACCCGGTGATTCGACCAGGGATGGCACCGACGTGCCCAAACTCGACGCGGATCGTGCCCTCGACAGAGAGCGCCAGCTCGCTGAGCGCGTTCGCGAACATGAAAAGCGCGAAGCAGCACGAAAGCCCTTGAGCGAGGAGGAAAAGCAGGCCTCGGCAAAGGCAGAATATGAAAAGTTACTCAACATGCGATCGGGTGGTACTTATATCCCCCCAGCTCGACTCCGCGCGCTACAGGCGCAAATCACGGATAAGACGAGCAAGGAATACCAGCGCATGGCATGGGAGGCATTGAAGAAATCGATCAATGGTCTGATCAACAAGGTCAACGTTTCAAACATCAAGTTTATTGTGCCGGAACTTTTTGGTGAGAATTTGGTTCGGGGCCGTGGCTTGTTCTGTCGATCTATCATGAAGGCGCAGGCGGCCAGTTTGCCCTTTACCCCAATTTACGCGGCAATGGCATCAATTGTGAACACCAAGTTGCCCCAGGTTGGAGACTTACTGCTTTCACGGTTGATCGTTCAATTCCGCAAGGCTTTCAAGCGAAATGACAAGGCAGTGTGCATTTCATCCACGACATTCATCGCCCACCTCTGCAACCAGCAAGTCGCCCACGAGATGTTGGCAGCTCAGGTTTTGTTGCTACTCCTGCATAAGCCAACAGACGACAGTGTGGAGATTGCTGTGGGACTGACCCGAGAAGTTGGTCAACATTTGGAGGAAATGAACGCCCCGATCGCACTCGCCGTATTTGACCAATTCCGTAACATTTTACACGAGGCCGACATCGATAAGCGTGTGCAATACATGATTGAGGTGCTCTTCCAAGTGCGCAAGGACCGGTACAAGGACAACCCAGCGATCAAGGAGGAGTTGGATCTCGTGGAGGAGGAAGACCAGATTACCCACCGTGCCAGCCTAGACGACGAGCTGGAAACGCAAGACACTCTTAACATCTTCAAGTTCGATACTGAGTGGGAGGAGCACGAGGAGGCCTACAAGAAATTGAAGGCCGAGATCTTGGGCGAAGACAGTGACGAGGATGACGAGGATAGGTCAGATGAAAGCGAGGAGGAAGAATCAGACGCCGAAGAACAACAGATGGACATCAAGGACCAGAGTAACACTAACCTGGTTAATCTTCGACGAACCATCTATCTTACGATCATGTCCAGTATTGATTTCGAAGAATGCTGTCACAAGCTGATGAAGATCAACCTGCCGGCCGGGTTGGAGCCTGAGCTGCCATCTATGATCATTGAATGTTGCTCTCAGGAGCGGACATACTCCAAATTCTATGGTCTGATTGGAGAGCGATTCGCCAAGATCAACCGACTGTGGTCAGACTTGTTCGAGGCTGCCTTTGCCAAATACTATGATACCATCCATCGTTATGAAACAAACCGCCTCCGCAACATCGCACAATTCTTTGGCCACCTGATCAGCAACGATGCTATTGGTTGGCATGTCTTGTCGGTGATTCACCTCAATGAAGAGGAGACCACATCCAGCAGCCGTATCTTCGTCAAAATTCTCTTCCAAAACCTGGCAGAGAACCTCGGTCTGCCTGGACTACAGGCACGCTTCAGAGATGAGATTCTCCGACCAAGCTTCGAGGGTCTCTTCCCTACAGAGAATCCTCGTCACACCCGTTTCTCGGTCAACTACTTCACCAGTATCGGCATGGGTGTGTTGACAGAGGACATGCGCGAACACCTCAAAAATATCCCGCGGCCCACCGTACCAGCACTGCCTGTACGGGCATCATCTCGTTCCCTTTCACGCACCCCATCCGATCGATCCCGATCACGATCCATGTGCTCTACCTGCACAGGATCTCCACACTCCCGCCGCTCCCGGTCATATTCATACTCCCGCTCTCCTTCCAGGGACCGTGGTCGTTCCTACTCTCGCTCTATTACCCCATCTTCCCGCGGCCGAAGCTACACACCTTCCCGCTCTCGGTCCGCCGGCCGCCGTCGTGGCGCATCATACAGTCGGTCCCGGACTCCGTCAGATCGTTCCCGATCCCGGTCTGTCTCTCGCACACCGGCCAAGCGCAGCCGAGCGCGTTCATACTCGCGAAGCCCCAGTCGCAGTCGCAGCCGCAGTCGCAGCCCATACCGGTCTCGTCGCTCTGTCACCCGGTCTGTCACACCGGCAGACAAGAGCCGTCCCAAGAGGAACCGCAGCTACACCAGATCAATCTCCCGATCTGTCACACCCCCACGTCGCGGCCAAAGTCCTGGCAGAAGAAACCGAAGCTATACGCGGTCAGTTTCTCGATCTGCATCGCCTCCTCGTCGCAGACGCGACGCTTCAGCTTCTCGTTCCCCTGCTCCTAAACGCCGGGCAGAGTCACGGGGTCGGAGCTACTCTCGGACACCACCTCGCCGTAGATAAGCCGGCGGTGGTGATGTGATGGTCTATCCTGGATATTTAGGGTATTGGCTGATGGTTAATATCTCTTACTGTGTTGATAATGAAATAGCGCAATCTGGAATGGAAAAAGAATATGAGGTTGTATTTTTTTCTTATTTGATTTGGTGCAAGAACTTGCTCTATGATGTTGGTGTAGTCAATTCTTACACTTTACATCATTAAGCTATGCATGGTTCCTTGATTCTAATTCGCATCACATTTCACCTAACAAGCTCTGTACCATGAGTAGACTATGAGCATTAAATGTCCGTTGTCTAGCCTGATGCCTCTTGTGCCTCTTGTGCTTCTTGTGCTTCTCGTAATGCCTTTCGTCGGGTCGGCATGTGCCTTTCGACATTATGAAGGTACTCAATGAAAACAGCGTAATCCTCGGGCTCGTCGGGGTATTTATCGGCTTCTATAAGAATTGCAACAAGCACAGCACCCCTCAGACGGTCTTTTCGTTGCGTATTGTCATACGGCACGAGGAGTTGTTGATGTTGATATTCGAGTTCTGCAGCAAACTCACGAACCGACTGAGTATGCTTCTGGCGCATGTTTTCATAGAGGGAGGATGCCTCAAAATCGCGATCGATATTTTCAGGATCCTCATGTATCACGCGCAGACAGAATTTCACGAAATTAGACCATGGGGGAATGGTCTCGAGGCTTTCCACATGGGTTTTCCATTGTTCGTGTCGTTGTTCGGAGAGGTGGTGTACAGCACAAGTGACCTTATTTGGAGAGTATGCGAACCAGTTTGGATACTCCTCGAAGTGACTGTTCAAGCGATCAACAAAGGTATTGAGTTCACTGGTGGTGCACCCCTTGAAGGTAGGGATAATCCCACTGGGTGGTGGGGGACTGATGTTCATTTGTGCAAACTCCTGTTCATTGCTAGAGGATAACAGTGCAAGTTTCTCCTCGAGTTTGCGTTGCTTTTCGCGAGCTTTTGAGAGTTGATTCAGGAGCTCAAGACGTCTGGCAGCTGCTTCATCCACATGCTGGTCGTGCTGCTCGTTGGTGACATCTTGTGTAGGGCCAGTTTGGGCTGTACGCAATGCCGTGGAATCAGCTATGTCTCCTGAATGGGTCGACATCATTGGGAGGCCTCCCCGTAGACAGCAGGGTAATCATCGAAGTCATTTCGATATCATGTGACAAGCTATCAAGCCCCACATATTGCCTCGACAATATCAGATGCAGAAGTAACTAGATATATATTCTCATGTGCTAGGTCCAAAAGAATGGATGCAACGATATGGTTTGGTCGGTACTTACTCCAAATAACCAATTCTAAATACATTCTCTGGAGAAGTTGACGAGGACTAGGAGACCTCAGTTCACGGCTTTGTCTAATGGTAAAGAGTTCTATTTACGGTATAAAATCGAGCAGTACCCCTTCGTGCCGTCTATAAAACAAGTTCCTCCCCAGCCGGATCGCTATACCGAGGCCTTTTGCGTCCACGGGCCTTCTTGGTTTTCTGCTTGCCACTTTGAACTTGCGATTCAGGATTTGGACGTGACATACGCCAGAGAAGGCTGCGGTTGGGTGGTACGTGGGGAGCACCAATGTTTGCTCTGGCAGACCTTTTGCGCAGCATGTTCCGCCGTTTGCGCAATACCCTTTGTCTTGCTGGTAGGCGATCTTCGATCCTGCGAAGGTGGCCCATATAATCCATATATGACATGGTGTCGTCGGGGTAGTACTTGGCATCTTCATCGCGAATTGACCTGAGGACTTTACGCCCTAAGAACTCTTTCCGAAATTCATCATCATTCCGAGGTGGGTGCTCCAGTCGAAACCAAAAGGCGTCGATCCGGAAGAAGAAATCGAGAACCGTTTCGGAAGGTCTTTGTCTCATGCCATAAAATGCCTTCGAAGCATCAAGATACCGTTGGGTATCAGATCGAGTATCGACCAGGCTCCGGCACCATTTCTCGAAGGCCGTCCATGAGGTTGTCGTGCATCCTCTCTCATGGATAGACCATTTGTACAGTAGATCAGAGGACAAATGTGAAGCTGCTGCGAGAATTTTGTGTGGAGGGTACGAGAACCACATTGAATATGCCTTGAAATAGGTGGACAACTCGAAGAGCCAGTCTTCGAATTCCCGGCTGCTATGCCCATGGTAGGTCTTAATATCCAAATCGGGAGGTCTATCATATTCCGAGATGTGTTGCCGCGCCGTCTCATCTTCAATGGTATTTCCAGCTAGTGGAATTTCGTATGAATGTGGTACAGGAAGTTCCTGGTGGCGTTCATTGTGGCGCAACTTTGGGGGTTGAAGCGCCGGCGTCGCGTCCAATTCAGCGACCTCTGGTTTCACATCCTCCTGGGGGGTTGCAGACCCGCGTGAGACAGTGAATGGCCCCATGAGCTGAAGAGCAGCCGTTTGTGATGGGGTTCGAGGCATTGGAAGTGTGAGGATAAAGGGAAAGCGATCTGACCTAGCGAGAGATCTGATCTACCACCTGGTCATGTGATGATGAGTCCCCATAGAAGTATAAAGTGGAAGGCCAGCGTAGAAAGGTATATGTATTCGCACATTTAGTGATCTGTATCTACTACACCTCCCCGGCCTCCCAAACACATCTCTCACAAAGACAAGTACCACCCAAGGCACCAGAAGCCCATTCCCTCCTCTTCTGCACCGGCAACCCAATATCACAATAATGATTCCAAATCTCACTATCCTTAGCAATACCCCCCGGCTTAAGCTCCTTAATCTCGCTTCCACGCGACCAAACAGCTGTCTCATCATCTCGTCGCGCACGGAAGGTAATCTCACCACCCCATTCCCAGCACACATTAGGATCACACGAGTGGTTCGCAAGACACCACAATGGATGCACAGCACAAAGCTCAGGGCCACCATCCCAAGTAGATAACCGGCCGGACGCGGTTCCGCGGAACTTAGCATACAGCGTATTGAGAATCCAGGTATCGTAACGGTGAAGGTTGGCATAGGGGTCGATTTCCATTTCCTCCAGGAAGCGAGTTGGCTGCAGGATATTGAGTTGGAAGGAGAAGGGGAGGGTAGCAGTACCATCGGATTTAGGTGTTGATTCCTTTTCTGCTGCAATAGTGTTGATATCGAAGTCGTGGAAATCACCCCAGATGTATTTCACTTCGGGCATTTCGAGGGCATGCTTGTCCTGTGTAGCAGACATGGCGAGGGCTCGACCAAGGAGCAGGAGGTACAGGTAATCCGCCTTATCCTTTGGATCAGGAATATCCTTACCGATAGATTCGAGACCGTCTTCCAGACCGCAGATTGCACCGTGGTAGACGTTCTGTGCTCTATCATGGCAGGCTTGGCTACAGAATATTGTGTCTGCACATCCGCCTTCACAGGCGACCGGGGGTTCAGCAGCTGATAGTTCAGGCAGAGGTGCATTGCAAGCATCGCAGAGGTCATCGTGGAGACGGTTGGTAGCAGTGAGGAGAGATGATTCACGGAGAATGATCTCATCAGGAGCGATATCTTCTTTGGCAAAGAGACCGAGCTGCACGGAGACTTCCATGCTTGAGTCATCCTTCGTATCATGCAGAACAGGCAAAGCCACAGCACGGACCTCACACTTGGGCGCAATAACCGCCAGCCTATCATTGAGCAGGTTGAGTGTCTCCGGTGCGCGGCGATCAGGCTCATGTACATTCCAAGGGTAAAGCACGCGGTGAGCGAAACCCTGCGCGGGGAGAACACTGGGATCAATAGATTCCAGATCAGTATCAGAGCCAGTGCGCGATTGATAGATCTGCTTGATGCGATCCATCTGCTCGGTTAGGGTAATAACTGACGCAGCAGCAGACTTCTTTTCACGTAGCAGCCCCAGCCCGCGCACGCCAAATTCAAACGCATCGCGGTAGCAACCGCAGCGGACGAGACTTCGCACTAGGAGTACGTATACCTGGTCAATCAGGGCATCGTACTCCTCTTCAGTGACAGGGATTGTATCTTCATCCTCGTCTTCGTCATCAGATTCATCAGTTTCCTCCGGGGCTGGTGCCGAAGGATCGATCTTCTTCTTTGCGTGGAATTCAAATCCATCTGGATCAATCACTGATTCTAGTAGTGATAGTGCTCGGTAGGCGTCTGCAGCTGCCAGATCGGGGAAGCCTAGCTTTTCATAGATGAGGCCTCGCTCGAGGTGGATGTGTGGGTTGTGCGGGTCTGCATAGAGTTTTGTTGTCACCGCATTGCGAGCCTCCAAAAATTGTGAGGCAGACATATTTTGGTCGACTTTGCAGTGAAGCAGACGGTCGAGTCCGTTTTATATTGCGTGATTGAGGAGGTATATGTTCAATTTCCAGGCTTGAAATCAGACTAAGCACTGAATATGCAGACCAAGCAGATACCAGACCAAAGCAATTGCTCTAAATCATCGACCCAGTAAGTGTTCAAGTAAATGTCTGCCCCTCTGTAGTTCCAGTGCGGGCAGATTTTCTTATCGTGAAATTTCTACGATAAGGGTCACGTGGTCGTATACAATATACACCTTAGGCCAATTTATTCCTGACAGAAACAAATAAAAGATATGAATGAAGTTCATGCCTAGTCATTCGACTAGGAAACAGAAGGGAAACAGTTGCGCCATCTTTTGCAAATGCAGATCCAGCTCACATCACCTACAAAATATCAGCACTGACAACATACGAACAGCCTGGGAATATTGTGCTCACCGAACAATTATCATCCAAAACAACGGTTGTATCCCCATCGGACGCACCTAGACCCTCCATTCCTCCAAGGCCGCCTTGTCGACCCCGTAGAGTAGCAGCCAGGCGAGCAAGCATGCTCCGCTGTATAGACAGTTAGAACGGACAGAACATTCAGTAGAATCATTGAAAACATACAGTAATGTAGGCCTCACTCATACCTCCACGACGTTCCACATCATTTTCGCTCATGATACGATAACTATCGTGGATTCGCTTGCGGCTTTCCAGACCACCGGTATGAGTAACTCCAGGTCTGTTACCTCTGAAGTCAGGATCAAGGATATTGATACCGAGACTAGCATCGGATTGAGCGGTGCGGTCTGACGAGAAGATCTTGATGGTATTATCAATTCCTGAAGCGGCAATCATCGGTTCGTACGGGTGGCCTGTAAATGTTAATCCTCATATTCAGTACATATAGAGAGAGACATACCTTGCACAACGTTGACAACCTCACTGTCACCTTCCAGGATATTGACCAGGTGTGACGTTTTGCGATCCCATATAAAGATATGTCCCGAATCGCTACCACTGACCACATACTCATCATTCAACCCGAAATAGTTGACATCCTTGACAGTCTTGATGTTACAATGGCCTCGATAGCTTCGCATGTGAGACGAGCAAGGTGTGTTGAGCTCAACTTTTTCTTGCCGGGATCTGCGAAGGGCATATCTTCGAGTAGTGGTCTCGTCGTCGTCGTCATCATCACTGCCATCGCCATGTTCATCTTCGTCCGACGAGCCCAGGGCCCAGCCGTCCTCGCCTTCATCACTCGAGCCTGCTTCGTTGTCATCACTGTCACTCTGACTTGCATCGGAGTCTGTATCGGGGGCGGCTTGATCGGCTTGGTGTGAAGAACCCGCTCTCACCAACTCAATTTGCCGAATATTTTGCTCTTCCACATTAGGGTCGATATCATCTTGATCTCTCTCCTGCTCCGAGTCACTCTCCGAATCGTCTGTCGTGGTATGTAATCCACCAAACGCATTGTTCACGAAAGTGTAGTTCACTCCACTACCAGCCTCCATCAAGATCCCTCTGCCCACACGGAGAAGCCAAAACCTCTTCGCCGAAGCACGATCAAGAGAGCGGACTTGTGAGGAAGGATTTGAGACCCGACGCCTGTCAAATCGAGCTGCCGAACCCCCAAGATCTTCCAAGGGCAATTTGACGGCGTTTCCAAAGGCAGTGACGGCAGCCCGTTGACTCTGGAACAGAAAGCGGGTACTATTATGCTCAAATCGTGAAGCGTCCACATTCACAATAGGTGTATCGCTCGCTAATTCGAGGATGTAAGGGATCAGCACACTGTCGATAGCATCGTCCCCGGACTCGTCCGGGATTGGATACCGGTCATGAACTCGCCCTCGTCGAGGGCCACTGCCACGACGGAAGCCTTCCAACAGCCGGGGTCTGCCACCCTGCAGCCAGAGAAGGATCGCCCGAAGGAAATCGTAGCAGAATTGAGATTTTCGATCAATATGTGTCTCCTCGCCTGGCGCAGGCCGAATCATTCCAATGTTGAGCTCAGGAGATGGATCTATCTCTCCTAATTCTTGAGCGAGGTTGCCAGCAGCCTGGACAAATCTCCAGGATGACTCGCGGTTTCGGCGGAGAGACTGTTGGAAGGCAACGATCTCGCTAGTCGGATTCAGAGGATAGCTCCATTCGCGCATGACATTCTCCATCTTTAGAAGGCATGTAGTAGCAGTTTGTGAAGCGGAAAAGAAAGCATCCGAGTAACGGTCAGGCTCAGCGTCGGCAGAGTCTGTGGCCTCCCGTGCAGTTGCTTCCAAGGAGAATAGAGTCTTCCGAAGTTTTACCAACCCCTTTGCGATCTCCATGCTCAATCGCTGAGCATCACTCAACACGGAATACCGAGCCCGCTCGAGTATATCCCCCGGGGTCTCGGGGACACTATCCGAAAACGATGGGAAAGGAACATCTTCAGCTTCGCCATTCTCATATTGAATCCTAAACGTATCTGGCTCGCCCGACCGGCGACGCGACTGATGCCGACCGCCGCTCCCCTGAGACTCAGGCGTTGCAGGCTTCTGGCGCTTTCGCTTGCGACTTCGTGAGCTCCGACGAGCCCGTCCATTTTTGCCTTTGATTGATTTCTCGTCCTTCATTTCTGCGGCGTCTGGACTGCGGATCAAATCGAAACTGTAGATGTGATCTCCGGACCAACTGACAATCATCTCATTTGGGTTTGCATCACTGATTTTACACGCCGTGATGTGCCCGTCATCGAGATGTCTCATGCGACGTTTGCCGCCCGGTGCAAATCTCCGCACACATCGCGTCGCCTTGCCCATTTCCTCGTCATCGATACCGACAGCACCCCTCTCGGCATAGGTGTCTCGGCCAAGCATCCGTCTGTCATGTAAGAAACAGTGCAGGTGAGCACCACCCAGAGCGATGTAATGAGGTTGACTAGGGGAGCAGGAAATCGTGTTGAGATCCAAGCTGTATGGCTTGTAGGAGATGAGAGGAGGCGGCACGTTAGAGTCGTCATGGTTCAAACCCGGTCGGTATGCCATGAAGCCCTGGCCACCCCGTGGCGGAGGATATGCACTAGAAGGAAGCCGCAAATCCCACTGTCGGACCTCGCCATCCTCAGAACAAGTGAGGAAAAGATACGGCGAAGACTCCGTAACAATGCGCTTCACGCGATCGGCATGACTCCGATAAACCCTGGCATTGGTATTGCCATCACTTAGATACCGCGCGCCACTGAAGAATTCAATGAAGCGCCGACTTCGAGCAGAGGCCTCAAATGCGGAGGTGGCGGCAGTATTTCTGCTTCCGCTGGAGTATTCAATATCGAAAACGCGCACTTGCGAATCACCGGCGCATGTAATCACAGTCCCATCATTCGATTGTGGCATAAACTTTACCGAGAAGATGTTGGCCTTATGTCCGGTGAAGACGGTAGTATTAAGCGCAAATGGAGCATTCGAGGATTCGGGTTGGTATGAATAGATATTGAGATACTGATCATCTGAGCCGGATGCTAGGAGCTGGCCAGATCGCGACCAACTGAAGCTGTTAGTACGTAACACAACCTGGGATAAGCTAGCTGAACACACCTGAGAGCATTGACACATCCTGTATGTCCACCGAGCTCATTCACAATGTCGAGATCATTGACCCATTCCTTTGAGCCGTAAATTCCCCGAAGCCCGGAATATGCTGATCGCTCCCCGCATTCCCTGCGCCAAAGGCGATCGTACAGCGAGTCTTTCATGATGATGAAAAAGACAAGATTGGTTAGGTATGATCGACCATCATGAGCGGAAGTGGGGACCTCTTTGGTTACAGTGAACGGAGCTGTATATGACGTCAGGGGACGATATTCACATCAAGGGTAAGTGAAAATGTGAAGAGATGAAGATGAAGATGATGAGAAGAAAGAGAAGAGAAGAGAGCAGAACACGAACAAGAACCGGTGGAGCTTGTACTGAGCGTCATCCGGGGTCTGGATTGACGCTGACTCAGCATTTGTATGGCCTCACAATAGATGAGACACGCGACAGACATACGTCAAGTCTTAAGACTTCAACACTCTACGACAACATAGATGCTTACATTACAAGAATCCTCTTCTCCAAGCTCGAGCCACTGGCCCAAAGAGTGATGAAATGAAAACAGTCCACGGATGGAGAGTGCTAAAAATTACGCCTGTCAATGACCCGAAAGCCACTGAACGAACTGGTCCGCCGCGCAGTGCAATGCAGGGGCCAATCTGTGGTGAGCCGCCTTGATCAACCCACCCAAACGATTTGAAGTATGAAGAAGAAAGAGAGAAAAAAAAAAGAGGAAGATAAGTGAGGAGAGCGAGTATATATAGTCGTGTAGGGGGCGCTAGTCCAAGACGCTAGACGGAAATGTCGAACGGTGATTGGAGGAACTGTACGGTACTTCGCTATGTATTTTAGAATGTTCCCTACAGATAGAGAGAAAGCACTTGTACAGTGGTCCTTATTTCCGTTTCACACATTACGTTGCGAATTACAGGATGCTCATCGGCACGGTAAAGCTAACTTCTCCACACCCCAACTCGGGGAGCTCTTATCTCTCTCGGAGATCCTGCAAGTCGTGTCGCAAGAAGACTAACGGAATCTCTCTCCGAGCGCACCACCTCTGCCTCGAGTGTTCGCATTACGCGAATCTCTTGTGTCATGAGCTGTACCAATTCTCCCAGATTCAGGATCACCCTCGTAAGGGCAGCTCCTTCCAGTTGCTCCACTTGGCCGAAGCCCAGGATGTCAAGGGTTTCTAAATGGCGCGCACAGAGCTCCAGTTTGAGATTCAACTCACGTAGTGACTCCTTCCAGCTGCGTGGTAAGGGGTCAATGAAGACACCGGCATCACTCTTGTTCACTTCACGGTTCTGGCGAATGAACTCGGCGTGGTCAATCCAATCCTCAAACGATTTGACAGCACAGGAGTATTTCCCACTTCCTTCAACAGCAACCATATCGGAAACTTCTTGTATAACCTGTGATAGAATTTGAATTTGCTCAGAAAAGTCATGTGGACCAAGATGCTCCTGGCAATTAGAAAGCCAAAGACCAAGAGCCTGTGCATTAAGGTCACACTGCCGTCGCGTTTCATCTGCTATCAACGACCGGTATTGACCAGCTACTTCGTCGTACTTCTTGCGTAGATGGGTCTCCGAAGCAGACATCCACTCAGCCTGCCTCTGTAACGAACTGGAATGGAACAAGCTTAGTTGAAGGAGTTCAGTCTGTAGAGCTGTAATGTCCGGCCACGACGCAGGAATCAATAGATTTCCTGTGTCGATTGCATCCGCAACAGGCGTCGGAGGCTTGGATGATTTCTGGGGGGAGTAGTGTTGCTGGTATGTGGAAAATTGGGCTCGTGACTTTTGAGGAGATGGCGGCACTGGCTCGATCTTTGTAGTTGGCACCATCTGACTCCGATGCCGGGTATGGCCTCTCACCGTAGGTCGTGGCTGGGTAGCGCTGACAGGCTGTCTAAGGGAAGAGGAGCGGGTTGGTCGTGGCGGGGGTGGCATGTCGCTCCTTTTAGGCGAGGGAGGTCTTCTGGATGGAGGAGGCTGGACTGGAGCTCTGATTGGCGGTTTTCGGGGTGACGGGGGTGTGGCCGAGCTCTTTGATGGGACAATAGGTTTCGCGGGCATCTTCAAGGCAGGTCGCATGAGGCTTTGTCGGCGGTTGAGTAATGTCGTAGGCTTCGCGGCCGAGGAGTCTGGTTGTCCTATTTTCTTGTCTGGGGATCTATCTCGTCTTGTCGGCGAAGGATCCCCGCGTGGGAGCTTGCTGGGCTGAAGCCGCTGACCGGTTGGACGGTCTGTCAGGGTCCTGCGCTGAGGGAGCTGAGTCCTCCCACGGGCTCCATTGTCTTTCGGGGCCTCGACCTGCGAGGAGTTCGATGGTGAGCCGCTCTTCTCATTCTCAGCCGTTTCTCTTCCAGCGATGGGTAAAGGTTTCGTGGTAGGTCGTGCTATAATGGAGGTCTGCGCAATTAGTATGGTTTCATAGGTATCGGTGGTTTGGGAGTACACATGGGAGTCCTCCACTGACCTGTTTACGTGGCTCGCGCAGCGAGGCTGAGCGTGTAGGAATAGGCATCGTCAAGTCATAAAGGCATCGCTGGAGTGTTGTTTGTTTAGGGATCGAGTGAATCTTGGTCGTGATCTCCCTGGTCCGTGCGCAACTTTACTCTGAGGGCTGGCGATGTTCAATTCAAAAACAACAAAGAAAAGAACCATGGATAAGCTGCCAGGTCTGTTAAATTATCTCTCGCAAGCCTTATAGTTGGTCACAGCTAGTATAAGGTCTTATCGGTTGCTTTTCTTCGGCTTATTCATCCCAGCTTTTCTTTAGCTGGATTCCAAATATGCTCAAGTATACTTAAAACGATGGGTAATTGGAAAATCTCATTCTATATCGTAGCCTACCAAAAACAGCCAAGTATGACAAAATCACTTTTGGTACCTTACAGACTTCCACGACGGGGGAAGGAGACTCCGTCAATTGCTGGGTGATCGGTGAACCAGCTGACCCTCTCACCTGCACCCTGGTTGACCAGAGCAGAGGGTAGGCTGCTACCCTCATCAAGGTCAAAGATCTGCTTGAGAATCTCCTTCTTGCCTGCACCAGTAGCGACAAAGGCAATGTTGACGGCGTGCGTCACAACAGGCAGAGTAAGGGTAATACGCTTGGGAGGAGGCTTGGGCGAGTTGCTCTCGGCAGCAACCCAGGCGTCCTTCTCACGGAGCAGCTCATGACCAGGGAAGAGCGAGCAGGTGTGGCCATCGGGACCGCAGCCGAGCAGAATGAGGTCGAACACTGGCAGTTTGACGCTATCCTTGGCGGCGAATTCGCGCATCAGATCCTCCTGGTAGAGGTCGGCCAGCTCCTGGGGGTCGTCGTCGTGGACGTGCTTCTCGTCGATGGGGTGGATGACCGGAGTACCGAGCTCCGCGGGGATCTTTGCGATGAGCTCATCCTTCAGGAGGCGGTAGTTGCTCTCTTCATCGTCGAGAGGTACAGCACGCTCATCAGCGAAGAAGATGTGCCACTTGTCGAACTGAGGAGTGTCTTCGGGGGTGCCATTGCTGGGGGCAAGAAGGGCTTTAGCCAGGTTGGCGGGGAGGGAACCACCAGAAACAGCGAGGCGGAAGCTATGGTGACGGTTCAGGGCGGTATTTTGGGCACGGAGGACATAGACGCGCAATTGCTGAGCCAACGCATCAGAGTTGGGAAAGCTGAAGAGGTTGGGGTGTGCGGTGGCCATGAGGGGCAATGGTGGGGTGATCAGAACAAAGTGAGAGTGACACAATAGAAGTGACGATCTCGATATTGAATGAAATTAGAGATTGGACCCGATGATTGGTAGTTGTATGTATGATTGGATAGTTGTATGATGCAGAGGGAAAGCTAAGAGAGAGAAAAGCCAAGAGCCGGATGAAGAGGTATGACGTTGCGAGTGTGTATCCGCCGCCTCCATTTGCGGGTTTGCGAGTCTCCATCACTATCTGTGTATCGCCACACCTTATTCGACCTCATCGTGCTTGTGTATACTGGTGCACACTGGTTGTGTCTGCACTGTCTACGTATTTCTCCCCTAATTGGGCCTACTGCATAACCGGATCTTAGTTATGACGGCATTGTGCATATACTCAAGGGAGAAGCGACCGTTGACAGAACGGTTGAATGATCTTCGGAAGTGTTGGAGATCATGGGAGATCATTCAAAGACTTGATATATACAGTGGAACACATCCATGTCGTCAAAATCTGTGAATTTCCATGGGTAGGGTAAAGGAGGAGCCTGGGGAGATGCTTAGCGCCAACACCCATGCGCATGAGGGGGATCAGGCAGACGGATCTTCAGGTTATAAAGTGCGTGGAGTCCCTAGTCCCTAGGGCTCCTTAGTTTCTCAAATCTCTAAATTGCGTTCAACCTTGAAAGGGGGGCGGGCTATCATCAAGTCCTATAAAATATGACCCTTGGCCTTGTCTTCTTCTTCCAAACATGACTTCTCCTCTTCAGATTTCGTCTCTCCCACGGCCCTCAGGCCCTACCTCTCCCCCAGTTCTCGATGTCGTCAGGTGTAGCAGGTGTCAACAATCTCTCAGCCTGGCGGGTCACTCGGGCTCCGCTGTTCAGTTCGGCATGAACTCCTATTATTGCAACCGCTGTGCCTCCAAAGTTGGCTTCGGGCGATGATACAGGATCACAACGATGCTAGCTATCCTTACCTCCCGAACGCGACTCACATAATCTCCATTTGACTTCGACTTCGACTTCGACTTCGCCCCAAATCCGAGAATGTGGCTGTGCAGGCACAGCCTGATCGAAGAAACACTCTCCCGGATAATCTCCAGACACTGAAATGGGCACAGGAAATCGTGCTTGGAGACATTTCCCGGTCGGCATTGCAACACATGCAGTCATATGCCGAGCACATGGGTGTTTATGACCTATCCTTTCTAGGCACAGCCTACATGTACCCCCTTTCTTTTCCTCTAAGATGTCCTGTTTAGCGACTGTATTGTTTAACCTGTCTTATAACTATATTATACTTAGAGATCACTATAGTCCTAATGACGTACAACTGTTTTGTAAACAGGCTCATTCCCCTACCCGGTGCTTTGGTCGTGTGTCGCCATAGTTCCTTAGGTTGTGCTACACACACGACTGGAATGGTCATTTGACTTGTATTTTTCTGCAAGCTATGCTTACTATAGTCAGCATACGAAGATCTGCTAAGTTATACTAGTATGTGCCAGTTTATCATAGCTGCAGTGTAACCTGTAAATACCTCGTCCGTGCGCCTTAGGGCTTGTTCATTGCAGGTCAGCCAGCCATTCCATTCCTCTGCAGGTACTCATGAACCGCTCAATAACCACAATGGATAGCTCCAAAAAGCAAATCCAATAAGCTGCAACCATTTTGCAGGAGCCCCGCTCGATCGACAACCCGAGAATATTTCGTTCTTATTGCTTTTTTATGGACTTCACTGGTCCGATCTGATGGACATGCAGCCAATGTGATGAATACAGGCGCGCGCAGGTCCACCCTGCACGTCCGATCCGGATCTAGCGGTGTAACGCGCATACTAGCCAACTCAAAGATCGAACTCCCCTCCCAGTGTACACGGGTCTACCCGGGCAATCAGATGGAGCAGCAAGAAGCAAAGAATCCACAGATCCAATGCCTGGACTATTTCCCTGATGCCATTTCCCTGTAATTCAGTCGTGCATTATAAAGGGAAAATGACATATCGCTGCAACAGGAGGGGAATTCCGCTGATCTGACTGGCTGCTGCTGCTCGTCTGGCGTTGCCATTCGTCGAGATATGCAGCTCGGTCTGCTTGCAAGAGGACTATCGTGTGGGAATTACTAGTATTCTATATGTGGAATTTTTTTTATTGTCATCATGGCCTCTCTTGTGAAACATCTACGCTTCCCATTTTCTTTTCTCCGGGCTTTATAATACGACTGTCCATCGCCCAGCCAGTTTATCTCTGCATGTTGATCAGACCAATTCGTTGCCTTGCATTTCGTAAGTTGTGACGATTACCTATGATGTTATGTTCTTCTGTTAATATCTACTCGAGCTAACCCACTGACAGCGGATTCTGAACTCAACTGAACGCCTGGTCGGACAAGCCTATCTCGCAACGAGAGCTTCGGGCTTTTGCAGAGCAACGACGTCTCAAGACATCCTCGGAGTTAACGGCAGATCAGACTTCCCGACGTGCATTATCTAGTTGCCATGCCTTTTCGTGAAAAAGCTCGTCCAAAACGCAGATCCGACGATGAATTTGTCGTGTTTCTTCAAGGAGTAAGCTTCACCGAATCATGCATAAAGAGAAACTCACAATTTAGATTCCTCCACATTGCCGTTGGCAGGAACTTAAAGATTTAGTGCGCCAAACAGCTCTGCATATTCGTCAAGCTGTTGTATATGATGATAGCCACGGCTTCCCCACCGGACTCGGTCAGATTATAGTCAAGAACGAGGATGAAGCGTGGAGAACATATCGTACGTCCTTCTACTGGTCCTTTCCGCCCTTTGATCTTCAGTCTAACCCAGATCAGACCGACTTTCCACCAACGGATGGGATGGCCAAAGTTTGGTTGTTACGCTCGCGCGGACAAGCACACCAACCAAGCCCATCGCTGGACCGACCAGAAGCCTAATGCACCACCCTGGTCATTCCACGCCACCGCTAGGGAATATGAAATATCCTCCATCGCCCGTTTCACCTGAGTATGTCGCCTCCTTCTTGGTTGTTATCAGGCTGACCAGTTAGATCTACCCATGCTAGTCCAACCTTCTCATACCCCGAGTACGGCGTAATGATGGCGCCAATGCCCATGCCCCCGTTCATGCCCATGATGCCAGATCTCGCTCCTATGCAGTTCCCTCCGTCTCCAGTGATGGGTGGGTATGAGCCGCCATACTGGAACATGGGGCCAGGATATCCAATGTCGCCGGTGCAGGGAAGCTTCGACACGAACCACTATCACAAGTCTCCGCCTACCCCAGGCTCGCACGCTGGGGGGTGCAAATACCGAGGAATCATTCTGGAGAATCTGAATGCCTCTACTCAACGCGCCGACCTGGAGAACCTCCTCCAAACAGCCGGAACCGTCGAGCAGAGTCACGTAACAAAGAACCAAGGCCAAGCGCAGGGTCTGGCTACCATGCAAACGGTTGAGGAGGCACAGCGCGCAGCATACATGTTCAACAACATTGTCTTCATGGGCTCTCAGATTCGCGCAACGGTCGACCGACGGGAGAGTTTCGACAGTTCGGATGCTGATTCGGATTTTGGAAAAGAGAGTTGGAGTGGGACTTTCACCCCAGTCAAGGCTGGTCATGTTGATACTTGCAAGCCACTTGTGGTGGATGGTTCGGGCCTTGCGAGTCGGTTGGAGATGTTGTCTACTTCTGCGCCGACATAGCTTATAGTGGACAATACCTCCGGCGTATTACAATTAAATACTTCAACACAACTGTCTTCATATTTGGTCTCATGTCTTGCTATTCAAATCTATTGCCAGTCCATTAGATGCTTACTCCGCCGCAATCAGATACAGATCTCCGTATGTCTCCCTCGAGTCTAATCTTTTGGTAGACATGAGTCGGTTTAATCCCTTCTTATCGTCACAGTGCAAACGCCAGGTTTTTCCATAGTCATCAAAAGCAAATAGCAGCGCTCCAACCAACACACCAATCATTCTTGGTGCAAATGTCCTCCCTGCAGGGCACTGAAATGGTGAAGATCCAAAAGGCATGAACGCTTCTTTTTGTTCCGTCGTCAAAGCCGTCCAACGTCTAGGGTGGAATTCCAACGCATCAGGACCCCAGATATCAGATCTGGTGTGACATCCCTCAATATCAGCAGCCAGGATCTGACGTGAAGCACCCGCACCTTGACTGAATTGATACGCGCGATGCACCCTTCTCGTAGGAGTATAAAGACGAAGTGCCTCGAAGATAAGGTACTTGGCAAGACAAAGCCGGCGGAAAATGGGCTTCTGACTAGAGCTCTCAATCTCCTCATTGTCGTCATATTCTTCAGGGAACCATCTTAGGGCCAAGCCGGGAATGTAACAGCGTAATTTCTTCGGCTGTCGAGAGAATTCGATCATACAATCCTGCCATTCGGGACATTGACTTTCCGAGCCAGATTTGATCTCCAGGAACAAACGTAGGGAAACCCGCCACATTGTCTCAAAGGCAGGTAAAATGAGGTTCAGAGGGTTATCATCTGGAGAAGAAGGATAATATCCAAAGACATTGAACAAGCAACGCCGAAGCTGGACATCGTCCTCGAATTTGGGCACTCCGCTCTTCCGACAAGACTTGGAAGATATCCAAACGCGATTGATAGATTGAGCGAGTTTCAACAAGCTCATATCACACATATTATGTTGCTGTTTCTTATCAAACATAACCCACAGCACCTCTCTCATTGTGAGAACTTGCACCATGCTAGTCACATTGATCCGACTCGAATCGCCTTTCACATCCTCATGCTCACAGGTGCAACTGCAAGTAAAGAGCGGATTAGGCAGACCCCGTTCAATCCATCCCAGGGCAATGTTCCTCGTAGTTGTGGATACGTCATCCCATTGGGAGTGGGACATCTTCATCAAGCTACTAGCCTTTTCGACGAACACACCAGAATGGACGCTATCTGTGCGTGTGAAGGCGTTGTTAATACCAAAGGCGATTTTAAGTCGTTTGTTTGGGTTCGCTCTGGATTCGTGCGGGGAGAGGATATTGCAAATGTTGTTCTGTTGAAATGTTCCGGCGATGATCTGCCGGCATACGGCTGGATCACTGAATATTTGGGGCTTTGGGGAAGGCAATTTGAGCCATATTATGAACCCTGATAGTAGGATGAGGAGTGACCATGTTAGGTCTGGGCATAGAGTTGTAAAGAACATTGACATCATTATTTAGAAGGCTGCGTTGGTTTTTGGGTAAAGTTGAATTGGAGATGGTAGGCATGACACTTTATTTAAATCAACAAGATACAAAGAATGATGCTTTCTAGGGCACTTTCAACAGAGGTTGTGCTACATAATATCGGTGGGGCGGTTGCTTGCATACAAAGAAGCTTTTGCAGGGCACTGTAAATGTATGACAATCTGAAAATCCTCACACAACTTGTTAAATATGCATCTCCCATGATTCCAGATCCATTCAGATGTTTCATTTGAATGGTACGTTTTCATAACTTGCTAGCACTAGAAAGATCGCGTATGCAGCTTTTCCATGGCATCCCCATATGCCTATGAAGGCTGCCTTTTAGAGCTTCATTTACTCTGTTTTCCTTGCATCCTCCTATCTTTGCCTGTGTGTGCCATATTCAGCACAAAGAACGTTTAAAGGTGAAGGGCCAAGAAGCAATTTGCTTCAGAGTCGTACTCTCAACCAACGATCGTATTTAGGACCGACTGCCTGATTTCAAAATGTTTACTATAGCTAATTAAAGCCGTTGAGCCTCGTAGTAATGTATAATAGTTCTAGGATTGAGCTAGCCCTAAATATAGAGAATCGAGATAAGGGAATTTATATTCGACTTTATTGACTAAATTTAAGGACGGAGCCTATATTATAAAAGATGACAATCTCTCGATGTGTGGGTCCATGTGAGACTTCGTGTCGATCCACCCAATCACCCACCAGGTCATGTTTCATGGCTGCGCTGACGGGGTGTCCGGTTGGGAAGTCAGAAATCTACGGGGGTGATCGAGGCCATGTTTGCAAATGAGGGTGCAGAATCCATATGCGTGGGACAAAAGAGACCCACTGATAAGCTCTGAGTTGGACTCTTGGACCTCGTATATCCACCGCGGACCATGACGTGGCAATATCGACGCGGATGGAGTCGGATCCCACTGCCAAGCTTTGACCAAGCTTTGGCATGAGGGATCGCCCGTAGGCATATGTAATGGAGATTCTTTAAATGAGATATTCAATGACAGAAATAAACTAGAAGAGCAGATGAGAAACCGAAGATAATCCTAGAGAAGGAAGTATGGAAAAAAGAGAAAAAAGAACTAACGTCATTGGGTAGAATTGAGAGTTGGAAGTGAACTTGAGCAGTAAGCAAGTTGGTGGTTCGATCACTGCGTCATTAATCCCCCGCACCTGGCACTGAAACAACAATTCACAAGCGATTTGTTCGTTTCTTATATTCCTCTATTCCCCGACTCAGCTGCTTCACTGTTCTCTATTTCCTTCTCAGCCTCCTCTTTCCCTCTCACCCCGCAGATATGGTTCATCTCGCAAGTGTCAAGAAGGACCATGAGGTCGTTCCCTTGGCTTCCCTCAAACTGGATTCCATCGAGACTATCCCGGCAGTGGATGACAGTAACACCTACTCGGACAATATTTATGGCTCCCGCTTTGCTGCTGAACATCTGCCTCAGCATGAAATGCCCGAGCGAGAGATGCCTCCCCAGGTTGCCGCTCGCATGATCAAGGATGGTCAGTCTTACGTGCACGCATCTCTCTCCCCTGTTCTAACTGCTTTATAGACCTTTCTCTTGATGGCACACCGTCGCTCAATTTAGCAACATTCGTGACATCATTCATGGTATGGCCCTTCCCGGGTTTCACCCACATATCCCCGAATTGTGACTGATGCATTGAGGAACAGGAACCGGAAATCGAGCAGATCATGACCGAGTCTCTCAGCAAGAACTTCATCGACTACGAGGAATACCCCCATACTGTTGAGCTGCATAACCGTTGTGTGAACATGATTGCTCGCCTTTACCATGCGCCCACGGATGGAGAGGAAAACGCGATGGGAACATCCACGGTGGGGTCCTCTGAAGCCATTATGCTTTCGGTGCTGGCGATGAAGAAGCGCTGGCAGAAAAAGCGCAAAGCCGAAGGCAAAGATCATTCCAATCCAAACCTCATTTTTTCCAGTTCAGTGCAGGTATGCTGGGAGAAGGCATGTCGCTATATGGAGATTGAAGAACGGTTTGTTATTGCCCACAACCTCATGGAGGCCCATTTGTATATCCAGAATACTGACCTTTTGTTGTGTAAAGCTACGTCTACTGCACCAACACTCGATTTGTGATCGACCCCAAGGAGGCAGTCGACTTGGTCGATGAAAATACTATTGGCATATGTGCCATCCTTGGCTCTACCTACACCGGTGAATATGAGGACGTCAAGGCGATCAATAATTTGCTGGTCGAACGCGGTATTGACTGTGCAATTCATGTCGATGCGGCCAGTGGTGGCTTTGTGGCTCCCTTCGTTAAGCCAGAATTGGAATGGGATTTCCGATTGGAAAAGGTCGTTTCGATCAACGTCTCAGGTCACAAGTACGGTCTAGTTTATCCTGGTGTTGGTTGGGCGATCTGGCGCTCGCCTGCATTTTTGGATAAAGACCTAGTCTTCAACATCAACTACCTCGGCGCGGACCAATCCAGCTTTACGTTGAACTTCTCCAAGGGTGCTTCACACATCATTGGTCAATACTATCAATTGATCCGCCTGGGTAAGCATGGTTATCGTTCAATCATGACCAACATTACCCGCGTCAGCGACTACATGGCATCAGAGCTGCAGAAGATGGGCATGGTTCTCATGAGCCAGACTCGTGGCAATGGCCTGCCTCTGGTGGCCTTCCATCTTCCTCCGAATGCCGATAGGGAGTACGATGAGTTCGCTATTGCCCACCAACTGCGTGAGCGAGGCTGGATTGTTCCGGCATACACCATGGCTCCTCATTGCGATAAATTGAAGATGCTTCGCATGGTCATCCGGGAAGATTTCAGTATGGCCCGCGCGGACAGTTTACTGGAGGATTTCAAGCTTGCTATTCAAACTCTAGATTCTATGGATCAGGCTTTGATTGCCAAGTATCAGATGTATGTACCCCGATCATCTATGAAGACTGTTACCCAGTTACTGATATTCTCAACAGACACAAGCGAGCCCCTCGTCATCGACATGATACCCACGCACACTACAAAGATGAGAAGCACTCGCTCCAGGGCAAGACTGGCAAGACACATGGTGTCTGCTAGATGCGGGTAGATTACATCTGAGACCATACTTAGCTAATAGGACAGCCTCGTGCATTCGAAGCATCTGATTCGAACGTCAATCAGGTCACGATGAAATGTATGAATTTTACTTCCTTAGCTTCGCTTCAATACAATTGGGACTGTTCATTTGCCCCAAAGTGCAAACACTTGATCAAAGTATACACCTCGCCAATGTAGATTCGACGCCCGATTTAGCTCCTTGCAAGTATAGACGTTTGCGTGTAGTTCAATTGCATCATATAGCTAGAAAAGCTTAGCTCTCGAAGGCTGTATTACAGCAATTGTAAACCGAAACGATGTCTGGCTTTCGTTTTATTATGCTAAACCGGTATCACCCTTTATGACAGAGTCTGTATAAATCGACTGCAACGTACGCTGCTTCGTTTGGAGTGGAGTGGGATTTCTCTAATGGGGCATCGGACTAGGCCCGGTATCTACCGTATACTTATACTTGCGTGTTCTCAGCCACGATCTTGGAAACTCGCCCGCAATATCGTGATTCGACTACAGAAACCGTGCTCAAATTCCTCGGTGACGTCATGTATACGAAGTATAGTGACTGTCCTTGAGGTTCTTCTCGGCACTCAATTCTCCCATAACATAAATCATGCAGCGTATTTCTGTTAATCCACAGAATCAATTTCCTACCACGTGGGAGTTCCCATCCCCGGCTGAACAACCCCCAGCCAAAACGACCAAGTTCCATCCATCTAAGCCAGGCTCGGAAAATGCATCCCTCTTCTTCGTGGGCAGGGCTTGTACGATTATGTTGGTTCTGCGTCCAGAATTCAGAGACATAGGCTAATTGAGATAGCGAGTGGCATGGCACGCGGGTGATGACTGACGTTAGTTTTTATCAAAAGTTCATGTCCATACTCCCAGACTCACCTTATCAGCCCAACTTTACTCGAGAACGAGGCGCCACCAGCATACGCCTCACGAATCCAGCCGTTGATCTACACAACCTACCCCGGATTGATCTCGTTCTTCTCTCGTATGCTTCACAACAAGGTCTCAACGCAATTGGCATCGGGCATCTGACATCTTCAGGGACCGCTTTGATCCAAAGCTCGAGGACTCACTGAGGCGCGACCTTCCCATTGTTACTACCCCACAAGCCAAGACACATCTAATCTCGAAAGACCAAGGATCATTCACTTCAGTATTTGCACTTCGCCCATTCGAGCATGTTGATATTCACATTGAAAGCACGGACGGGCCGAAACAGCCTCGACTGCGTGTGACAGGGATGCCAGGGAAAAACGTGACTTCAAAGCGGCTGTTACATGCATTGACCCATGCCGTACGTCGAGGACTATCTCCAATCCGATCTGGTCTAACAACGTGAAGATTCCACCGACCAACGGATGGATGCTTGAGCTGGGCTATGGCACTCCCGATACATCAGATTTTACCTGCAGCTATCGCATCTACATCTCCGGGAACACCTTTGCTACCAAGAAGCTCCAAGAAGTTGCTCGCCGCTACGAAGGACAGCCAATTGACCTGATGCTCGCAAATCTCGGCGGGACGACCATCCCCTCGTTTCTGGCAGGGCGAATAATGGAGCCGCTGGCCTCGACCGTCGACATAGATGCTGAGGACTGTCTCAAGATAATACAGTTAATCCAGCCCGACCTCACGATCCCAATCCACGACGTTGACTTTGACGTATTTAGAAGCTCGTTGGAAGCCTTCCAACGTATGGTTGAGGCAGCAGGATTATCTGACAAGGTTTTGGTTCTAGATCGGGGGGACGAGTATCGCTTCCATGTTAGATGTTAGAGATAACCAGTCTCTAGAATTTGGTACAAAAAGGACAGACTATATGCTCGGCGGCGGATCATAGAGTTATACTAAAACCATTAACTTATATTGCCTGGTAATCGAGTAGATACTTACATCTTATTAATATATGCCACTTCCAATATAGTTCGGTTCACGGAGTACGCATGAACGGTCTGACTCCCGTATTCAGGGATTATCTGACTCCACTGAGTGGATCTTGATAGATTTGAATTGGGGGCCATTTGTAGGCGTATACGAACACCTCCTGTTCTCGCTTCAGTGGCAAGATGTACCTATGTCCTCTACACTGACTATTCATTCTTTCCGATCTTCACCTTTCATCTTTCATCCTTCAAACTGTAGACAAAGAAATGGTAATTTGAGTGGTAATTAAAATTACTCTGTGAGATGAATCAAATGAGCATAGCATCCTTTTGTACGAGTTGTGGCGCATTGTTTACGCCTATATATAGCAGCCAATCACTATTTGGTGGGATCGACCCAGCAGCCTCACTCTCTCCTCTTCTTCGTGTTCACCGCAATGCAGTTATTTAAAAGGAAATCGCCTTCGAACGCTCGCACTCATCATTCTGTGCGCAGTACGGAACACCTGGCCGATCCCCTGCAGGATTCCTCTGTCAGCTCTCTCGGTCGCTCCAACACTCAGAAACTCTCGCGCGACCGACCGACTGTCACTTTACGGCCACCCTCCGTCTCTTTCAAAGGCAAACCCATATCCAACCCCATATCCAATCCGAGTTCGCCCCGAGTCGCGCATACGGACGACGAGAGCGAAGTTGTGGCCCAGTTTCGACCGCATTCCGAGAACCCCTCCCCAGTGACCTTTGAACGCCCGGCGTCTATTGCAATCCAACCAGTCCAACGAGGACCGCGACCAACTCATCCTGCTCATCAGGATCACGACTGGTCACAGCCGCAGCTGCCCAGCCAGCCTGTTCCCCTCCAGCGATCCACCACCGACTTGGACTCGCCGCGATACCAAACCTATCGACCCTTCACCCCCCAGGAACCGGTATTGCACTCCCGGCCCCCATCTCGTTACGAGCCGCATTCCCCAGAGACATATCCTGATGCCATGCAGTCCACACAGGCCCAGGGCCAATTCCAGTCAGAGAAACAATCAGCTCCCACGGACTCGAGTCGGCCGGGTAGTGACACCATGCCAGATCCCGGTCGAGGCACGCCTACACACCGCCGCGAGGACTCTGGGGAAATCGATGTTCGCGATGTCGATGTTCGCGCCTTGATTCAGAAACACGATGAGCTCCGTGAGTCCTTCCTCGGCTTAGACAAAGGAGAATGCTAACCATAACAGAGGCCAAATACTCCAAGGTGAAACGCTATTACTTCGAGAAAGATGCGCAGGTACAGCATCTCCAGAATACGGTTGCACACCAACGCATGGCTGTCTCCCGCACGATCTTAGACGACTCGGAATATCAAAATCGCTTTGGAAGACTGGACGGAGCTATCAAAGACTTGGCTTTCTCAGTGCGAAAGGATTGGAAGGGTCTTCCTAAATGGCTTGAAGGGATGGTTACCGAAGGTGCATTGAAGGTCGGCATGAAGGAAATGACCGCGGTCGGACGAGCAGTGATAAGCCGATGGCTAGTGGAAGAAGTGTTCCAGCGCCATTTCCATCCAGGTTTAGATCCGGCATTCAGTGTGCAACTGAAGACCGTCGAGATGAACCTGCGACGGCAGCGACCGTCGTCCGATGAAGATCGCGAGAACGCCTCTGCTAGACTTTCCTACTGGCGCCGCACAACTCTCGACGGACTGGGTGACTCTATCATCGGGCCTGCTGCCGATGAACACCGTGCCGAGCTGGTCGAGCATCTCATCATGGAACTTGCCACCTTCATGGGAACCCAACTACACGATAACGCGCAGCCAGGGTTGGAAGCAGGTGTGCGCATGATCATCGAAAACTCAATCAACATTATCGAGAAAGTCCCTCTCGAGGCCCGCGATGTCTGCGTCGATTACTTCCCACCAGGCGTCTCGCTCGCCGAACAATACATGAAGGTCGAAGGCCAACTACCTCCGCTCAGCAACCCTCCCCCTCCAGTGACAGATTCAGAGCAGGTCGACGAGCCCGGAGAAGGCGATGCCTCACCTGGATCAACGGCGGCACCATCAGAGAATGTCTCGCCAGCACCAAAGCCACACAAGAAGTCAATGTTCGACACATTGATGGGCCGCAAGCCCGCGCCCAACGATATGGCCCGTCCAGCGGCTGCGTCCGGACCAGAGGAGAAGAATGAGCCAGCCGAGCCAGTACCCAGCAGCCCACGAATCCGCTTCGCAGCATTCCTAGCTGTGGAAGTCCGCGGCAAGGGCCCTGCAACGGTATTGGTCAAGGCGCCTGTGTGGCTAGTGGAGTAGAGCACCTAATCTACATCATTGTAGATAATTGATGCTGGATATAAAATGGGTGGAAGTTGTATATACAGAACGGAAGCTGTCACATGCTGGCATGGCGACTATGATCATGACTGCCTATATTCCTTGATATCCGATTCGTTTGATGTGCCATTGAGTTCGATTTGGCGGGATTTTCTTTTATCGAATCTGTCCATAGAATCTGTGGATTATGACTGCTATGAATGGTTGAGATAAAGTGCTCAACTCGATATTTGAATGAATCATTCGTATTCCATATATCCATGTCCCTGTAAATTCGATATCTCTTTAGTCAATCCCAAGCCTAAAGCATCATTCTGCTAAAATACCAAGATCCAACCTTGCTTGCTGACAATTAATGAACTTGATGCGTCCACGGGTGTAATAGCCAATTCATCTCCAGTGACAGTCCGTTCACTCCAAAGTTCAAGTACGTGTAGCCAGTGGAATGACCGGTTCATACCCCCATAAATACAAGGTTGATATCAATGTAGTCTATTTTTCTGAAAGGGTGGAGAGACGATGGGGTCGTATGACGACATGCAACGGTTAGTGGGAGGGGAAGCTTGGTCGGTGTGGGGAAACGGGTCCGTGAAAGTATATAATGTTAATTTGAAGTCAAGGTTGATCTGAGGGTACGTAGCTTGGAAGATGGCATTGTTGATCAGTATAATAGCTGTGTGGTATGCAAGGGTTGATGCCATATTTGCGTGTTGGTCTGGGACCTACAACTTAATCTATTAAGAGATGGAGCTCGGTGATTATAATAGTTTGCGTTTTGCAGATTATATGCAAGTTTAACATTTGCAGTAGCTCTGATAAAGAGAATCAAGTATGACTATTTTCATTGAAGGAGTAGGATATAAGTTACCCTCCAGGCAACAATGCCATTATCTATCTGTGGATCTATAACGTTACTATCTCAACACATGTATGAGACTATGCATGCTTGGAAGGTTTCATACCGGACTGCAACGCTTGAACGTAATATTCGAAGGTGGCCCTCATTTCGTGTTCTTATCTTGTAAATTAACTTACCACTCAAACATACTTGACTCGAGTGCTACACTACTAACTCTATATGACTCTACATCTCCTACTGATAACCAAAAGTGTAACCCTATGGACAGTCTGATTATATTTACTACTCCAAACGGAGATCCAACAATATACAGGGCGATGACACCCCACCCGGGAAACCAAAAGCATAACTATATACAACAATGAATCCATAATGCAAATTGGGGAAACGAATCGTCCCGGGTATAGCGCCTCGCAATGTGAACGTGAACATGAACATGACCAAGAAAGAATGAAAGCCTAAAATGCGGAGAAAGTTTTGACAATGCCGAAAAATGAAGTAGAAAAAAAAACCAGTGCTCAAACGAGAAATGCAGAGGGAAATGAAACAGATATAGACCAAGGAATATTACAATGGCCTTGAGACTCAGTCTAGGCGGAGACCCCGTTGGCAGTGGCTGCCTGCTGCAACACACGAGGCCAGCGCGAGATGAGCTCCACATCGTCGAGAGCGCCCTTGCCCTGGTTGCGCACGTATTGAGCGGATGCGTCAACGTGGGGTTGGAAATCCCAGAGCGATGGAGTTCCCTTGATCAAGGCAGAGTAGACGAGACGGCGGCGACGCTGCGAGCACAAGACGTCCTGGCGGATCTTCTCCAGATCCCAACGGTTGTTGGTTTCTTCGATGAAGAACGCCAAGATCTTGGCGGGCTCAGTAGTGTTGGGCAATGCTGGTGCAAGCTTGGCTGGACTTGGGGTGCGAGGGGGAGTAGGCGAGGGGAAGGGGTAGTCTGTCTGTGTGATGCGTTGAGGAATCGGCGATGCGTGTGGGGTTTCAATGGGAGTTGGCAGGTTGACTGGTGCTGCCAGACTGGATGGCTTGGCGACTGGTGCACGGGTCGAGTTGAATGGAATAGGCAGACCGGCCGCCAAGTTAATCTTCTCCTCGGGGTCGGTGGCCAGGTCGTACAGCATAGGCGGGTCGATGGCGGAGTAGATGAACTTCCAGCGGCCACGACGAATCATCATGAGAGGAGCTTGAGTGCCCTCTCCCATGTATTCACCGTAGACTGTATCAGTGCGGAGACCTTCACCGCCAGTCAGGTATGGCATCAAAGAGACACCATCAAGTGGCAATCCAGGGATAAGTTTGGCGCCTGCGAGATCGGCGAATGTGGGAAGGAGATCCATGGTAGAGACATTTTCGGAGACACGCTTCGGAGTGAAATGCTTGGGAGCGTGAACGAGGAAAGGCACACGAGCCGAGTTCTCAAACCAGGTCATCTTGTACCACAAGCCACGCTCGCCAAGCATGTCACCGTGATCACCGGTGAAAACAATAATAGTGTCGTCGGCAAGGCCAGTGTTGTCGAGGACCTTGAGCAGCTTGCCAATGTTGGTATCAACATATGTGCAAGCAGCATAGTATGCACGACGGGCAGCACGGATACGGTCATCAGGCATCTCCTTGTTAAACAAGTCAATGCACTTCAGCACACGCTGGGAATGGGCATCCTGCTGGTCGTGTGGGATAGCTCCATTCTTAGGCAACGGGATCTCGACATCGTTGTACAAGTCCCAGAATTCCTTGGTCATGGCATAAGGGTCGTGTGGGTGGGTCATAGAGACTGTGAGACAGAAAGGCTGCTCGGTGCGCTGGCGCACGTGATCATACAAGTACTGCTGAGACTTGTAGATAACCTCCTCATCAAAATCTAATTGGTTAGTGCGGACAACAGGGCCCGCCTCCATGACTGAAGACATGTTGTGATACCAATCGGCACGGATGTCCTACATAATTAGCATCGTTCCACAGACAGGCGGAGAATTGACGTACAGGCTCATCCCAGTTGACGGACCAGCCGTAGTCACCGGGGTAGATATCACTAGTAAGACGCTGTTCATAACCGTGGAGCTGGTCCGGACCACAGAAGTGCATCTTTCCGGCGAGGGCTGTGTGGTAGCCCTCATTGCGGAGATAATGGGCATAAGTAGGGGTATCAGCCGGCAAGTCCGCGGCGTTATCGTAGGCGCCGATCTTCGATGGCAGTTGACCGCTGACCATGACGAAGCGAGATGGAGCACACAGTGGTGAGTTGCAGTAGGCCGAGTCGAAGACTACACCACCTTCGGCGAGGCGGTCTAGGTTGGGGGTCTTAATAGGGGAGGTCTTGTCGTGCAGAGACAACAAGGGCGCGGCCATCTGGTCGGCCATAATGTAGAGAATGTTGGGCTTCTTGGTCGCCATGATGTATTTGTGTGGCAAGTACAAGTATGGGGAGAAGAAGCTTGAGCTGAATGGTAGAGAAGAAGAAATCGAGGGGGGCAAAGGGTGATGATATATGAAGCCCGAGGTATGTGGGGAACAAAGGAAAGAAAAAAAAGAGAAAAAAAAAAAAAGAAGAAAGAGTCCAGAAGAGGTAAAAAAAGATAGCAATGTTCGGGATGTCGGGGTTGAAAGGCGAACCAAAAAAAATAATCAGATAGGCCGGAAAAGGATGTAATGTATCAATGCACAATGTAATATACAAGTCCCAAGTCGAGTCAGACTACATTGTACTCCATACTATGAACGGTAACAGACTACTATAGTTCCCGTCTGCAGCGAAGATCAGGGGAATCAGCTATGACTCGGCACTGACGTACTCCAGGCGAAGTGTGAAGGCATCATTTGTGTCGGCGATGGTGTGATTTGGGGAATGTGGTTCGTAACTGTAACGTTTCAATACCGAAGTAGATGATCTACAAACACACATGAATACAAACGAACTCGGGAAAAACTTGTGAGTACTTGGCAATTGGATAGCGTGAGATAGATAGTCACACGACCAGTTGAGTATTATCAATTGTAGGAAATTGTGTCCAAGCCCGAGGCCGGCACAAGCGTCGGGTCGCCACTTTATGGGCCAGGTGTTACATTGAATGATTCCGTTACAACCGCAATACCAGCAGTGTATGTAATTGGATGATCTATCTCACCCCCTTGAAACCAATAATGCTAATAAAAATACAACTCGTCAAAGCCGAGGGTTTTCTTATGGAGTCTAGCTTCAGTGCAGTTCACACGCGCACTCGACCCCGGAGTGGATAACGGCAGAGACAGCCCAAGTCCATGGCAGCGTTTCCAGCGTGACAGACCCTGGTACTTACTAGCTTATTACAGCCTAGCGCATCCCAAAGCCGACGACCAGCGAAACTCTAGGCTCCACCGGATCGTGTCATTGCTCTTTGAGCCAATCAGCAATCAGGCGTTTCCCCTGGGATAGCCCAATCAAGTTAGAAAGGAGGCTTACGGGCAGAAGGCCCACTTGCTTATCTCGACACCCAATCACACCGCACTGCTATGAGGAAAAAGAGACGTCGCAAAAAGAGAGAGACGGAGAATTCCGCCAGTCCTCTTCTCCTGACGCAAGTACGGAGTATATGTTTACCATGCTATGAAATAGAATAGATTCAAATATGAGACAGAAGAATGTAATGTATTATCGATCCACAATGAGCAATCCCCCTTTCCGAGCACGCCATGCGGAGCGGTCTACGGTCACCCCCGGATTTCCAGTTTACTAAGGAGGCGAAACAGTCACCGCCGTTTCGTAGCATCCACATGCCTCAGCGATTACAGTAGTCCAATTTCTGCTCCACATGCCACGTCTACAGCTCGTCTAAACACGGGATTATTTCTCCCGATGCAGGATGGCGTAGCCAAATCTCCCATATGCAAGCCTTGATCGGTATCTTTTCCCCGAGGTCACAGGTTGTCTGCAGTAGGTCATGGCGTTATGCAGGGAGCAGTAGGCCAAACAAATGGCATTAGGTGTTTGTTCGGCGTAGCCGATAGTACGCTGGCTGGACTTGGTGTCCAAATCTGAAGCACGTTCAGTTTGACTCTGCGACTCGAAATGGGAGGTGCTTCCGGCGGTCATATCCATGTCTTGAAACCCCGGATCACCCTTACTCTCCAGCTAGAACTAAACTCCTAAGCCAAGGAATAAGCCATCGAGTGCAGCTAAATGAGCTCTATTCGCCCATGGGGAGGACCATTGCGCAACCCACTACAATAATGCGAGAAGTTTTTTTGTGCTGTTCGACTAGAGACTCATTAAGCTCCCGGTTTACACGAGCATCATTACGTTGGTCATCATATCCATTACATTTCAGCATTCAGGTGCCCAGGCGCATCTCTGACGATCAGATTAGCCATCTGGCCTATTCTGATCAGATACACACGAGCATGGAAGTATCCACAGTCAACCCGAACTGTTAGAAAGCGGGACGATTCTTCTGGAAACAATTGCCACCGACCTGCACATATCCGCAATGAAGATGACCTCTCAGTTTCATAAATATACCATATGTTGAATGTAGATGGAATGTTTCTAGCTAGTTGTTAATAGAAGCTTAACATTATGTCGTCGATGATGGTCCCACGGGACGAGAAGGCCTCGATCAGTCAATGCCGCTCTAGATCTCGACGGTATCAAATAGAGAACTGATGCAAGTCAACCCCATCAATGAGACAGAAACACTGAGTGGTCGCACCCCTCTTGTTGAAACACATATAATATTTAAATAATTGATGAGGATTAATGCATGTAGCTGCAGGTGGCTATTGCGTATATGGTGAGAAGTCCCAACCTGCACTCCTTGAAAAGCACGTACGTGTAGGTGATTATTGCAGGATGCGGCTTAGTGGTCTACACATACTGAAATTGCACACCTAAGGCAGACTGTCTGATATGAAAGTAGACGTGTGTTGTCAAAACCACGTAGGTTTACACGGAGAATAGAAGATATACCATAAAATGACGGCAACCTTGAAGTAGCTTACTAGAAAGGGAAGGACTTGTTTGGGACAAAAATAAGAAGTAAAGGCTCAAACTTCAAACGGGCCAGATATGCAAAATGGAACACTATACGCCGTGGCGGTATATAACTTCACCTATGCTTGAACAGATCAAATGGTGAAAGGGTAGATGTGGAAATGAGTCTGCATTGTCGGGATTAAGATATAGTCGAGATTAGTCGACCTTAATCGCACTATAAACACGTCTGACAAACGCATAGGCGGCCAAAAATCCAACAGTTCCTGTCAAGAGGCCGTAGACAGCACAGGCAAGGAAGCTATAACTGAAGAAGAGCAAGCTGGACACAAATCCGGTGACGTGGAGCTTGAATAGGTAGTACCAGATACAGTAGGCAAAGATCCAAAATGCGCTGCTGCCACCAGTGAGGAAGCTTTGCCACCACCAATGATAGTTCTAGAAGGTCAGCATGCGAATTTTTCAAAAGCTGAAGGACGTCTTACCTCGGAGCAGAGCTGACTATATGTTGCGATGACGGTAACTTCGACAACAGTAACCATCAAAACGGTCGAAACAGCACTCAAGAACCCAAAGACATAATAATATCCTGTCTTATCCTGCCACAGATTCTTAAACACAAAGAGCAGCTCGATAAAGAGAACAGCGAATGGAATAATACCAGTCAGCAATGGGCCGATTGGACTGCGCAGATACCAAGGCTGGGGTGGAATTTGACGGGGAATTGCATTGGTCTTCAGAGGATGCTCCCATGGCGCCGCACGCACATATCCAACCCAACTTCCAAGGTAAACCAAGGGAACTTGGATGAGAAGCCAAAGTGCAAGGAGACCGATCAGGGTGCTGAATGGAATTGCCGTGCTGGATGCTTGAGCCCAAACAAACAAGTTCAGGATCAATACCAGGCAGAATGCCAAACCAGGGAAAAGCAAAGCAGTCTATAAGAGGTTAGCATGGCACCTCAACACTGTGTTGGGTACATACAATCAGAGTATTCTTCCGCCAGGCCATCCCGCCAAAAGTCTTGTAGAGTCTTCCAGAAAAGTATCCCGAGAAGAGACCAGCAAACACAAACAGGCCCATGCCAACACTGACGAAGCCACCACGGAAGCTGGGGTTCAAAACACCCAAGCAGCTGAGCAGGAGCAGACCTGAAGCCATGAACAACAGCTGCATACCTGATCCGACTAATGGAGCGAGAAGGCCACTGAACGCGGGGATCCGAAAAACGTCACCATGAAGGAGCTTCCAGCCGCTGGTATCTTCAAGGGCCTCATCTTCCGAAGAGAAGTCTGCATCATGTTCCACATCCGCTTCGCCGTCCAAGAGGTTTTCACGTTTCTTCTCGGACTTTCCACTTCTGCGTCGGGAGCGGACCTTGGCCTTTTGATCATTCATCGCACCATCTCCGCGGCCCTTGATGTCGCCTTGCACAGTACGGCTCCAGATGACAAATACAGTAACACCCAGCACTGTAGAGATAGTCAGGGAGTTGATGATTGCCAACCAGTGAGTTATGGCACTTTCGCCCTGGTTGGTGAAGTATAGCTCCCATCGGTTGTTCCACTCCACCTTGGTGTCCTCCCGGAAGTAGACAGAGTAGGTGTAGGGAATCTGAAGTGTGGCGCCATCATCATCGTCATCATCCTCTGGGATATATGACAGCCCCGAATACTTCTCTTGCATTCGCGAAAGATTAGGCGCGATATACAGCTCCTGTCCTTCATTGTCCTTGTGGACAGCCTTAGGGCATCCGCCTTCCTTGCGGCCCTCGGCAGTGATACTCTTCGGGTACACCTCGAATCCAACAATCACCTTTCCTCCCTCGGCTGCGCTCCGCCAGCGGATGACAATCGTGAAGTGGTTGTTGATGAAGTATCGCGACTGGCCGGTAGCCGGAGAGATGTCACGGTAACCAAGCTTGAATCCGGAAGCGTAATACTTGCGACTGCGGTCGACTGTCACAAAGCTGGTTGCTCCTGGCAAGTTATCCGCAATCCATTCAATCACATAACCCTCCTTGATGAGCTGACGAGCCCATTTCACATCCGAGCGGCTAACTACGCGGGTGCAGAGCGATTCACATTCGACATCCTTGCCCATCAAAAGCTCAAAGTCGGAGGTCATAATCCGGTCGCCACGCAGTACTTCTCCCAGGTTAAGTGAGATACTCTGGCCAGAACCGAAGGGTGATCCACCATGTGTCCTGCCACTCGGCGGGCAGACGAAAGGAAGGTCGAAATAGGCATATTGCAACTGAGTATGGTCGGAGAAGATCTTGTTCACGAGGAGAGGGATCGGATCGTTGTCATTGTATCGAGTAACCGAGTATCCTGGATAGAGGCGTTAGTATCGGTCTAGATCAACCAATGCGCCTGGAGCTTACCAGGGATGTAGAATGCGCTGACGCAGGACACCAGCAGCAGCAATCGTAGCACCCACTGATGGGAGCGTGGTCGCTCAAAAGCCATTTCCAATGTCTTCAGAACGTTTGCCCTCCCGGAGTGAAGGGGTAGCTATCGAAGCAGCATGCACAAAGGTATGGGGAAGGACGGTGTAAATTGGGCTTCGGAGTGTCGATCCGCAAAGATTAACTCAGCGCTACTGAGTCAATAGAGTATCCCTCGAGTAGTTGTTGGAGAGATGACAGCTCAACCGCGGAGTAGATCGTGCGGGTGTTTGACAGGCGGCTACAAGTGCGCCAAGGATCACCGAATGGCTTCAGGTCAAGCGAAGATGCTAACGAATGAAACCGGCACTTAATGCCACAGTGATATAGAGCTGTTGAGAAAGGGGTCAGATCGAGGGTGATAAAGTTGCCATGGAGGTCCAGCGTGTCAACACCGAGATTACCTAATGCTCGGCATGTTCTGGTAACTATGAGGGCATACAACACATCCATTGATTCGAATGATAGACTCTCTACGGTATACTGCTCGGAACTAGATATTGCGTTGATTAAAATATCACACTGCCGGTGTTTTTCGATGTACATGTTGGCTTATCTATACAATAACCGCAACATTGGAAGCCAGAATATATACACGGAGCAGACGGCGAGAACTTTTTAGACTCACAACATAAGCTTACCCTTCAAGTGGAGACTAGTGTAGCTTGGACCTTTTACTGTAGTCCCACTGATGCATGCCAAGGTCTGAAATAGAAATTTTATCATTATCCCATATCATTGATCTGACATTACGGCCCAGATAAAAGACTGAAGAAGTAGATACCGAGGATGGCTACCTCAAAAGACAAAGTGTTCAATACATCATGTTAGAAATCGCAAGGCTGTGCTAAAAAGAAGAAACTGCGTTGTTGCAGGGCCCTGTTTGGGAACATAGATAGATCATTGGCTTAGAAGGTACTCCACAGCACCTTGCACACTGCCACCGGACCGGCGTAGTGCCTCAATATTCCGTTCAAACTCAAAGAAACCCATATCGTTCAACTGACGGAGCTGGTCAGCGTACCGCTCCTCTGGAGGTCGGTTGTCTGGAGGCTGAGGGGCACCAAAGCCACCAAAGCCACCACCACCCAGCATCGCGGCCAGAGGGTTTGCACCGGCACCTTCTCCGCCTTGTCCGCCCATACCCTGCATCATCTGAGATAGAAGCGCAGGATCGCGGAGGAAAGGATTTTGTTGGGGGTTGAAAGGGTTCATGCCACCCTGACCAGCACCAGCGTTGCCGAAGAGAGCCGGGTTAAGCAGAGAGGCGAATGGGTTTTGAGCCTGCTGGTTCTGTCCCTCGGTAGTGGATCGATCCGTAGTGCCTTGTGTACCCTCTGGCTGAGTGGTGCCTGTAGCAGCTGGGGAAGGAGCGCCAAAGGGGTTACCTCCAGCTCCAAAGAGGGCAGAAAAGGGGTTCCCAGGAGGGTTCTGAGGCATCTGTCCGAATGGGTTGTCTGAGGCATTTTGTTGAGAGCCTTGGTTTTCCGGGGCAGTCGTGTTGGTCACTCCCGGGGCGGGGAATGCGCTTTCACCACCGCCCATTCCACCACCACCCATGGCCCGTTGCATTTGCATCATTTGGCGAATCGAATTGGGGTCGGTCAACATCCGGCGGAACTCGGGGCTTTCGAACATTTGGCGCACTCCAGGTCCCATGTCGCGGAGCATGGGGTTCTGCTGGATCATCATGTCGATCATAGCGGGGTTCTGCAGGGCTTCATTGATGGACGATTGGAATTGAGGGTTTTCGAGCATGTTCAGCATCGACTCGCTATCGGGAGGAGGTCCCATCTATAATAAGAAAGTCAGCATCCTATAAGGATAGGCAGTTCCACTGATGTCACGATATCACGATATCACTCACCCCACCATCAGGACCAAAGAGGCCTGCACCAGGAAGCTGCGCAAAACCGGCATAGCGCGCACCAGTCAAACCAGCAAGAGGATTGTTTCCAGTACCAGCAGCGAGGTTGGTTGGGACACCAGCCGCCGCCGGACTTGGGGTACCCGTGGCCGCAGTAGTAGGCTGAGCAGCTGCATTCTGGCGCTGTTGGTTACTCTGGGCACTCTTCACCAAGTGAATAGTGTGGCCATCCTTAATTTTGTAGGACTCTAGTGTCTCGTTATCTTTCAGAACCCGACCCGAGTAGATCAAGCGCTGACGCTCTGCGGGGGTATCGGCGTATTCGGAAGTCGAGAGCTTCTGCTTGAGATCCGACACCAGAGTAGTGAGCGGAAGAGTCAAGCTGTATTTGGCGTCGGTCGATGATTTGACAGTGAAGGTGATGGGAGCCTCCTCTGTGGCAGCCGTCTCGTCGGCCATGGTTGAGGTATGTATGATGATAGAGGTGGGGTGGGGTGATCAGGCGATGACAGATAAGGGGGGCCGAAAACACAAGCAAGTAGGGTGAATGATAGAAGATATCTCAAATTCACACGAATTGAAGAAAAAAAGTCCAGGCAAGTGAAGGCAAGAAGACCGTCTATGCGGAGGGAGGTGCTCCAACTGATCCCCCGTTCGGTTCGACCGCCTTCTGCCTGCAGCCACCGCACGTGACAAGTCACGTGGAGTAGCTACCACACCACAAAGTGAGTTTTTCCCTCTTCTTTTCCCCATTCGACTACACGGCATCATCTCTCTTCCGTGGCCCTGTGGATTTGAGGAGTATTTCTCTACCTTGACTCCACCCAGCAGCGATGGGACTGATGTAATATTCATACCCCCTGGACTGCAATTGCATGTACAAAAGCTTCGCGTCTTTTCTACCGGGCAACCGATAGCTAGTCGCCCACTATGGCTACCACTTCGCATATGTTTATGTACTCCCTGACGATCCAGCCTCCAACTGCAATCACCCAAGCCATTCTGGGCCAGTTTGCAGGTACCAAGGAACAGCAGATCGTCACCGCGTCAGGTTCGAAATTGACCATCCATCGGCCTGACCCGGCACAGGGCAAGATCACACCAATCTTTTCACAAGATGTTTTCGGTATCATCCGCTCTCTGGCAGCTTTTCGCCTAGCTGGTAGCAACAAAGGTATGTTCTTTTTATTGCCCTTGCCATCTTACGAGTTCAACTTAGTGATTCTTCAAGCTTCCCGGGCAGCACGGTCCTTCTCCGAACCAATCCCTTGAACGAGGGTGGAAGCCTGCCCTGGACAGCGATGTTGATCAACGCTCTCTTTCGGACTGTGCTGAGACATTTTAGATTACATCATCATCGGCTCGGACTCGGGTCGCATCACTATCATTGAATACGTCCCATCCCAGAACCGCTTCAACCGCATCCACTTGGAGACATTCGGGAAGTCTGGAGTTCGTCGGGTGATTCCAGGACAATACCTCGCGGTGGATCCGAAGGGACGTGCTTGTCTCATTGCTTCCGTGGAGAAGAACAAGCTGGTCTATGTTCTGAACCGAAACTCGCAGGCAGAGCTTACAATCTCTTCGCCGCTGGAAGCACACAAGCCACAGACCTTGGTATTTGCCATGGTCTCACTGGATGTCGGCTATGAGAACCCTGTCTTCGCCGCCCTTGAAGTGGATTACTCGGAATCGGACCAGGACCCAACTGGTCAAGCCTTCGAGGAAGTCGAGAAGGTCTTGGTCTATTACGAGCTTGATCTTGGTCTGAACCATGTTGTTCGCAAGTGGTCTGACCCTGTCGACCGCACGGCATCCATGCTCTTCCAGGTTCCCGGAGGAGCCGATGGCCCCAGCGGTGTTTTGGTGTGCGCCGAGGACAACGTTACCTACCGGCACTCCAACCAGGACGCGTTCCGCGTTCCCATCCCTCGCCGCAGTGGAGCTACAGAAAACCCCGAACGTAAGCGTTCGATTGTTTCAGGAGTCATGCACAAGATGAGAGGAGCTTTTTTCTTCCTTCTCCAAACCGAGGATGGTGATCTTTTCAAGTTGACCCTGGAAATGGTCGAGGATGACAATGGTCAACCCACTGGTGAGGTGAAGAGTCTGAAGATCAAGTACTTCGACACTGTCCCTGTCGCAACCAGCCTTTTGATCCTCAAGAGCGGTTTCCTTTACGTCGGAAGTGAATCTGGCAACCACAACTTCTACCAGTTTGAGAAGCTTGGCGATGATGACGAAGAGACCGAGTTCTCCAGCGATTCCTTTTCAGCTGATCCCTCGGTTCCTTGTGCCCCCGTCTACTTCAAACCCCGCGGGGCAGAGAACGTCAACCTCATGGAGAGCATGAACTCTCTAACACCTCTTATTGACAGTAAAATTGTCAACTTGAGCGAGGATGATGCGCCTCAAATTTACACAATTTGTGGCACTGGAGCTCGCAGTTCATTCCGAACCCTGAAGCATGGACTTGAGGTGTCAGAGATCGTCGAGTCCGACCTTCAGCAAGTACCCTCTGCTGTCTGGACGACAAAGTTGACTCGCTCCGACGAGTTCGACACATACATTATTCTCTCCTTTGCCAACGGCACCCTTGTCCTGAGCATTGGAGAAATTGTCGAAGAGGTCTCGGACACTGGGTTCCTATCCACAGCACCCACTCTGGCAGTTCAACAACTCGGTGAAGATACTCTGCTCCAAGTTCATCCCCGAGGGATTCGTCACATCCTCGCCGATCGCAGGGTCAATGAGTGGCCCGCTCCGCAACATCGGTCTATCGTTGCTGCAGCCACCAACGAACGTCAAGTCGCTGTGGCGCTCAGCTCTGGTGAAATTGTCTACTTTGAGATGGACGCAGATGGAACACTGGCTGAGTATGATGAGCGCCGACAAATGTCCGGCACAGTCACCTGCCTCAGTCTGGGCGAGGTTCCTGAGGGCCGCATGCGAAGCTCTTTCCTCGCTGTCGGATGCGATGACTCCACTGTCCGCATTCTCAGCCTCGATCCCGACTCAACGCTCGAGAACAAGTCCGTTCAAGCTTTGACGTCTGCACCATCAGCCCTCAACATCATGGCAATGGCTGACTCTAGCTCTGGAGGCAAGACCCTCTATCTTCACATCGGTCTTTATTCCGGTGTCTACCTCCGCACCGTCTTGGACGAGGTGACTGGTGAGCTTTCAGATACCAGAACACGTTTCATCGGAGCCAAGCCTGTGAAACTGTCTCAAGTATCGGTCAAGGGCCAAACGGCCGTCTTGGCACTAAGCGCCCGTCCCTGGTTGGGATACTCTGACGTTCAAACCAAGAGCTTCATGCTTACACCCTTGGACTATGTCGGACTCGAATGGGGATGGAATTTCTCCAGTGAGCAATGTGTAGAGGGAATGATCGGCATTCAAGGTCGCAACCTACGGTACGTGATCCATTTATCCCCAATTCACCACCCCCAAAACATTCGATTATATGATGAGAACGGATATCCGAACAATCATGTGGATCCAAATCTTTTATATTTAATTCCAATTGTTCCTGCTGAGATCGAACCCCTTCATCCCTCATGACTTCCAGCCCCTGGATTATGGCATGGTGCTGACTTCAAATAGGATTTTCTCTGTCGAAAAGCTCGACAACAACATGCTCCAAGAGTCAATTCCCCTATCTTACACTCCTCGCCGCTTTGTGAAACATCCCGAGCAACCCCTGTTCTATGTTATTGAATCCGACAACAATGTTCTCTCCCCTGCTACACGCCAGAGACTCATCGAGGATTCTCAGGGTCGCAATGGCGAGAATGCTGAGCTCCCACCTGCAGAGTTTGGCTACCCGCGAGGCACTGGACATTGGGCTTCTTGCGTTCAAGTGGTGGACCCGATCTCCACCAAGTCTGTAGTCCATACCCTTGACCTCGAAGACAATGAGGCAGCCGTCAGCCTTGCCGCAGTTCAGTTTTCCAGCCAGGATGACGAAACATTCCTCGTTGTCGGCACTGCCAAAGACATGACAGTCAGCCCTCCCTCGTCTGCCTGTGGTTTTATCCACATATATCGATTCCAGGAGGATGGCCGGGAGTTGGAATTCATCCACAAGACCAAGGTTGATGAGCCTCCTCTCGCTCTCCTTGGCTTCCAGGGCCGTCTTCTGGCGGGTATTGGCCCCGTCCTCCGTGTGTACGACCTGGGCATGAAGCAACTTCTCCGCAAATGCCAGGCTCCCGTTGTTCCCAAGACCATTGTCGGTCTCCAGACACAGGGAAGCCGAATTGTCGTCAGCGACGTTCGTGAAAGTGTCACCTACGTTGTCTACAAGTATCAGGAGAACATTTTGATTCCGTTCGCGGATGATGCCGTCGCACGCTGGACCTCGGCCACAACTATGGTCGATTACGAAACCACGGCAGGTGGTGACAAGTTTGGAAACCTATGGCTGCTGCGTTGCCCCAGCAAGATCTCAGAGGAAGCCGATGAGGATGGATCTGGTGCCCACCTCGTTCACGAAAAGGGTTATCTGCATGGGACACCCCACCGTCTCGAGTTGATGATTCACTACTACGCTCAAGACATTCCCACCAGCTTGCACAAGACCCAGCTGGTGGCTGGTGGCCGTGACATTGTTGTCTGGACCGGCTTCCACGGCACAATCGGAATGTTTGTTCCTTTTGTCAGTCGCGAGGATGTCGACTTCTTCCAGAGTCTGGAGACACTATTGGCCTCTCAGACCCCGCCTCTGGCTGGACGCGACCACATGATGTACCGCAGCTACTATGCGCCCGTGAAGGGCGTTATCGATGGAGATCTATGTGAACAGTATCTCCTGCTGCCTAATGACACGAAGATGATGATGGCGGGTGAACTTGACCGCTCTGTTCGCGAGATCGAGCGCAAGATTTCGGTAGGTTCTTTGATCTCTCACATTCGTATAACATCCGACTAATCTTCATTAGGACATGCGAACACGGGTGGCGTATTGATTTCTGGTTGGCTGGCGTCTACTGATGGCGTTCTTTTGCTGCCCTATGTACGGGCTTCAGATACCTAAGTACTTGTTAATGATACCGACCATGTGGCTCTGACCGCATACGACTGATACCCAGACCGAGGTCCACCTCGAATTTCCACCTAGTTCCCATCTCCCCGGCCTTGGCCATTTAGACTCCAGTCGTCTCTTGCCTCGCTCGGTCTGCCGCTTTCATCGGCTAATCTTGAGCTGGATGCATCCCGGTCACTATAAGTGCCGGCTTGTACGAGACAAGAAGAAGTGTGAAAACGCGTCGACGCTTTTTGAGTACGATTTGATTCGCATTGCACTACGGATCTGCGTCGTAATTTATCAGTCGGGACATCTCTGTAAACATGTTAGCATTAATGGAACAACTTTGTATTCTCACAATTTTCTTTTCGCTCCAAGGCTTTAAGCAAACCATAGGGGGTACTTGAGCCAACCATAGACAACCTAGATCGAAGGAAGATGCAATGTCGGCATACAAAAAGCGTATTGGCATGTCTCAAGATATACCTTCTCCTGTAGAATATACTTGTTATATCGTTCGTGGATTTCTATATAAAATACCCCACCGTTCAAGTTAAATGGTGATAGTCACCTGATCCTACCCATCCAGCCACAGACAATGCCAGCCCAACATCCACACCGAGATGGGATTGCGCAATTCGATCTCAGGGTTTTCTCCTTTCATTCCGTCATTCCACTCCGACACGCCGAAAAAGCTGCCCACTCGGCCCAGGATGAGCTCGGTTATGGTCGGAAATTTCTGGAGCCTCCCGAAACTAGGCCGAGAATCCGTTTGTTTCCCTCGGGAAACCTCATCGCGACAATGACTATTGAAGTCCAAGACTGCAGGAGGTCCTCAGCAGAATGCTACATGTTTGTAGATCAGATATTCGAGATGCTTTGAAATCGATCCTGATCGGCTAAACTAAGTTCAGCCGACATTCACCATGATTGGCCACTTCGAACACAACATTTGAGGCCCTTTGGCTCTGGTATGCCGAGTGGAGACTCGAAGGGCGTGCATGTCGCTGCAAGGCGCGCTCCACTTCTTGACTAGCTTGTTACGTCTTGTCTCCAGGACAGGCGAGGGACATCGCTTAGCCATGGTCACGAAAGGCATCTCTGGTGGAAAAGTGTGGAAATACCAAGCCTCAGTCTATTCTTGGCTTTAGTGGACATTTCGGGAAAATGCACTTGAACTGGTTGGACGAGTTGAACTGGAGCGGAATGTCAATCCAAGGGCGTGAGGGTCGGCTGCTGGCATCCGTGCAGCCAATCACTTGCATGGCTCTGCACCTCCGATGACTCTCTGGCTGGGCTTTCCTTATCCTGGTTCCTACACGAGCTCACTTTTGGGGAGCTACACGTGGACGTCATAGAAGTCAAATATGCCTTAATCGTGTGGCTTGTGACTCATTGTCCTGATTTGTAAGACCTGAAGGCTGAGATGTGAATGTTCACATTGCTGCATTTCCTATATAAAACGGGAACCTCCACATTGTCTCCATCGCGGTTGTCGACGGCTCCACTGTCTACTTTTTCCTTTCCCCGTTATTTTTCTACTTATACTCCGAGCCCCAAGTCTTGATCTTGTGATTTCTGATCTTCTGATATTCATTTTCGGAGCTGCGTTGCTCCTTCAGTAGGACAAAGCTCCTGTTTCCCTGTGACACGGTGAGACGATGTCGGCTACGTCGATTATCAGCTCGGGCTCAGAGACCCTGGATGCGTGGACTCGTCGCTCGCCGCCCAAAATCCGAATTGACCTGTCGGGCCAAAAGCCTGGTTTGGTCAATTCATACACGACTGCGGAAAGCATTGATGGCACTGCTACCATCACTGTTGAACAAGACACGCGTTTTGATAGCATCGAAATTGTCTTTGAAGGTACATAACGCAAGACCCTGCGTATCAGCCAAAACTAATGCTGTAACAGGCACGTCACGAACAATAGTAGAGCGTGCATCATGCCCTGGCCGTACAGGATCGCAACAGGTGTTCCTCAAGTTGCGCCAACCAATTGATGAGACGGAATATCCCGCCCCTCGTGTGCTAGAGGCCGGTCGTTCATACCAATATCCCTTCACCTTCGTCGTCCCAGACTACTTGCTACCACAGGTCTGCACGCACGCCAAGAACAATGCCCACATTGAACGATCCCACACCCTGCTCCCACCGACCTTGGGAGATCCCATGCTCGCCAGCAATGGCAAGACACTACTGGATGACATGGCACCAGACATGGCACAGATTGCTTACATCATTCGCGTATCCGTGCTGAAGAAGCAACAGAATGGAAACGCACTCAAGTCTCTCGGCGCCGTGGCCAAGAAGATCCGTGTCATCCCAACTGTCGACGAGGAGCCTCCCGTAGAGATTCCCCCAAACTCCTCCCTATGCACGCGCAAAGAGAAGAGCGTGAAGCGGGGGACCCTGCGGGGCAAGCTTGGCCGGCTTGTCGCTGCGTCATCTCAGCCCAAGCCTATCCAATTGCTTCCTCCAAGCTGCGAGCCGAAGGATACTGTCAGCACCGTGGCCACCGTGAACCTGCGCTTCGATCCTATTGCAGATGAGAAGCCACCCCGCCTGGGTTCGATGACAAGCAAACTCCGCGCAAACACCTTTTTCAGCTCTTCCCCATGGGAAGATTTCCCCAGCTCGACTGGCATGCCCTTTGCTCAAATCGGCCGCGGTCTCTACACCGAGAACGTGCATCTCTCCACCATGTGCGTGGCATCAGCACAGTGGACCAAACAATCAACAAACGATTCCCTCCGCCGTGACTCCACAGACTCATCCTCTTCAGCAGGCTCAGTCGATTCAACCGGCCCATCCTCTGAATTCGCCGGAAACACCTATTACACTGCATCAGTCGTCATCCCAATCACCCTCCCCAAATCCAAAGCTTTCGTCCCAACCTTCCACACTTGTCTAATGTCCCGCACCTACGCCCTGGACCTCTCACTATCCTATCACACTCCCGCGGCAAACGTCATCACACCCACCATCTCCCTGAGCATCCCTGTCCAATTCACCAGCCAAACAAAATATGCCGAGTCTTTCAAATCTTCTCTCGGTGTGACTGTCACACAGGAAGAGCTGGATGAATTCTTCCACCCTCGCAACGTCACCTCTCCTGTCAACTTCACTGATAGCCCTGCCAGAGATGTCGTTGTTGATGTGGATCTCGCCCCACCCGAGTATTCGGAGAGAATTGGTGCTCGGGCGTCGCGGACTGTGCGAGCTGCTAATTAATCGGAGTCGACTCCGATTGTTTGTGAAATGTCAACTGATACCCCTAATACCATTGGCTTATGAAAAGTTTTTCCTGCATGGCGTCTACAGCATTTTGCATTTCTTTCAGATTTTCTGTCATTTCTATCATTTCTATCATGTTTATCATTTTTGGCTTTTGTTTGAATATACCCATTGTCAATCACCTGTTCAACGTTTGCACAAAAGCATGTTCCTTATGTTGTTTCTTGTACGTATTTTAAATACTTTACCTTTTATTTGTTTGATTCCACTATATACATCCTTCCAGCCCGGTTAGTGTATTCTCACTACTGAAGTGAATTTCTAGCTTGAGGTACACACAGGCCTGAACCATACCACAGCCATGTGTCCCCACAAGCGCAATCCATTCGAGCAAAGTATGCAGTATCCCCTTCAGGCATCTATTTCAACATAAGAACCTCATAAATCTATTCACTAGACAAAATATCTCCTAAAACACTCCGTGCCATCATGGCACTCAGTTCTCAGGAATCGGTGCATTCGAAGCATCAACGCCAGCATTCCACCGATACTTCGAAGCAGGGTGATCCGCACGCGGGCCAGACTGGCCGGGCTCAGAGTACAAATTCTCACGGTATGTTCCCTTGGGCACGGCATAATCGTCCCAGAAGAGGCCTCGTCGGCGCAACTCAGGAATTAAATGGTCGATGATGTCCTTGAATGAGCCGGGCTTGACAACATATGCCTTTAAAAGTTAGCCACAATACCACCATCAACCCAGTTGACACAGATCTTACCAGGTTGAATCCGTCCACATCGGCTTCTTCCACCCAACGCTCCATGTTATCAGCAACCTGAGCAGCCGTACCAACGGGAGTAGCTCCCAAACCACCAACAGTGATATGTTGTCCAACAGTAGCCTTGGTCCACTTAGCCACCTCAGGAGTAGCCTTCGACCAACCCTCAACAGCAGAGCTATAAACGAATCAGTCTCAACACAACAAAAGCACAAACACAGAAAGGAAAAGCAGTGGCAACATACCGAATAGCATTACTCTCAACATGCCTCAACTCCTCATCATCCCCATACTTATCCAAATCAATCCCAGTCCATCCCCCAAACAAAGCCAAAGCCCCATCAATAGACCCCAAACTGCGGTAATACTCAAACTTCGTGCGCGCCTCCTCCTCCGTCTTCCCAAGAACAGGACAAAGCAAAGCAAGGAACTTGATACTGCGTGGATCGCGACCAAACTCAGTCGCCGCCAACTCCCGAATCTCCTTGACATTCTTCGCTACAACGGAGGGACTATGTCCAGCCACGAAGATAGCTTCAGCATGTTGAGCCGCGAATGTCTTACCAGCCTTTGAAGTCCCTGCTTGAAGGATGACGGGTGTGCGTTGGGGACTCGGTTGTGTGAGATGTGGTCCCGGGACGTTGAAGTATTTGCCTTCATGGTTGATTTGGCGGACGCCACTTGGGTCGGTGTAGATTCCTCGTTCGCGGTCGCGGATTACTGCGTCCTGGCGCCAGGAGGATTCCCAGAGTTTGTAGGTTACTTTGATGTATTCTTCAGCGACGGCATAGCGGTCGTCGTGCTGGTGATTTGTAAGTTCGGTTCTGGAGCAGTACAAGTCAGTGGGCAACATACGTGTGGTTGTTCGGCTTGACCCATGTTACGTGCGGCAGAGTCGAGATATCCAGTGACGACCTGGGAATTATTAATATTTCTTCGCGGGATAGTTGCTTGCGCAAACCAGATATGATACTCACATTCCATCCAAGACTATCCGATCACATCAGTTAGCAAGACAGCTTTGATATAGTATCAAAATGCACATACCGTCCTTTCGTCAAATGATCAACCGTAGACAAACGTCGAGCAAGATGATACGGCTGCTCATAAGTCGTAGTGACTGTAACTCCAAACCCAATATTCTTCGTTACAGCCGCCATAGCCGGAACAACAGCCAATGGCTCATTCACAGGCCACTGTGCACCGGAAATAGCTGCAGGGTCTAGGTTTCTCGGTCCTTTGTAGACATCGTATCCTCCTGTAAAGCAGTCGTTTAGCCTCAAACCTTATCATACACCGGACACTACCAACCTAGAACATCCGCAATGAAAATGCCATGGAATTTGGCCGATTCGAGTAACTGTGCAAGCTCAGTCCAGTGCTCTAAATCATTGAAGCGATGCGATTCGTCTTCGGGGTGGCGCCATAGTCCCGGGGATTGATGGCCACTACCTGTATAGATTGTTAGGGGTAGTGTTAATCTTGAGTTCCTTTGGGTTTGGCGTACACATTTCCACGAAGGCATTGAGGATAAGTGACTTGTGCGGTTTCACATCTGATGCATTTGAAGCCATTTTGTGTTTTCGGTCGGATATTCAAGCTTGAGATATTAAAAGAGGCAAGACTATAATCTACAATTCCAAATTAAATTCAAATCCAAAGAACAAATGAGGGTTGAGGGCCTTTAAGAGAATAGGGACGTCATATAAGTTGCACATGTATACTTCCATATTCTCCATAACATCAAAGTGGGCCGGGATGGCGCGATGGAGATCGGAGGGGCGCGAAGTATACCAGCTGCTCTTATTGGCCCCGACTTGATTATACTCGACAACCCCAGACAATCCGTGGCTGTTCTGGTCCCTCTCGCCCGAGAGATTCGGTCTTTGGTGGTGATGTGATTTCATAAAATTAGGAACCGTTCCCCTTTCCTTACGGTTAGCTCGATGAATATTGGTCCACTGGTCTACCCAGATAAGCAACTTATTTTTGGGAATCTGTAGAACTACATAATCTAGATTTGCATTTCTACGTAGCTTCAGACATTACCATCTATTTATCTCGCTTTTCAGTGATATCAAGTACTTGAGCTGCGAGTCAATCTATCTACTTAGATCTGCACAAATCTTTATCTTCACAACATACGTGTCTTAAACTCAAAATGTAGCCCTTTAGCGCCAGAACAAAGCACCTAATCGCCAGCATAAATGAAGCCATTGTGGACCCTATCGAAATCACTTCTGACGAAAGGCCACGGATTCTACTGTAACGCCCTGTCCATAAGACTGGAGACATTACATCAAACGAACACCCTTAAGCATTGATCGGCCCCAGTCCCATGCTCTCGGTACCATGTGCTGATCATACGCTGAAGTCTGAACTTATATATCATTCCATATCTCGGTGGTTTCCTTCGTGAAAATTTATCTCCCAATTTTCCTGAGCTGTGAGCTCTCTATACTGCATAATGTCGAACTTGTACGTTCGCGAGGGCATTTCAAGTGTCCAGCCACCACTATCGCAGGCTGTTGGATATATTGTTGTCGTCGCGATTGGTGTCATCATTGCCCTAGGTAAGTATATCTATCCCTTGATTTTGAGGTCTAAGCTAATAGTTGCCAGTCATGATGCTCATCACCAAAGTGTTGAAGAAAACCACCGGAGAAGATAACAAGAAGACTGAAATGTATGAATTTCACCGTTCAAATCCCAACACAGACTGACCCAGAGAACAGGTTCATGACAGCAAATCGCACTGTTCGCACGGGTCTTACTGCGTCAGCCGTGATATCGGTAAATCCCCTCCCTGGGACGTCGAAACAATACTAACAAAAGTGGTCAACATAGTCATGGCTCTGGTCAACAGCCTTGCTCGGCTCATCTTTTGTTGGTTATGATTATGGTGTTGCCGGTCCATTCTGGTTTGCTGCTGGTTGCAGTCCGATGATTGTGTTCTTCGCGTTGCTGGGAATCTCTTGTAAACGGAAGATCCCAGAAGCACATACCTCGCTTGAAGTTGTTCGAATTCGATATGGTAAGTTGTCTTCAAGAACCCTCGTTGAAGTTGACATTATCTGACATTGGCCGGAAATTTAGGACGTGTCGCCCATGTTGTTTTCATGATTTTGTGTTTGGTGAACAATATCTTTGCTTGTGCCAACATGTTGCTTGGTGCTGCTGCTGTCATTACTGCTGTGTAAGGATTACTGCACTACCATGATTGTCACCTCGCTAACTCATGATTCTAGTACCGGAATGCACATTATAGCTGCGACATTCTTGTTGCCAGTCGGAGTGACAGTCTATACATTTGTTGGTGGTATCAAAGCAACGTAAGTGAACTTATCCTCTCATGCATAGACCTACTAACACTGGCAACAGCTTCTTAACTGATTATTTCCACACGGCAATTATCATGATCATCGCCTGCTACTTTTCGGTGAAGGCCTTTTCTATTGAAGAAGTTGGATCTGTGGGCAATCTATTCGAACTTGTCCAGGCAGCTGCACAACGTCATCCAGTTTCTGGTAATCAGGATGGGACTTATTTGACTATGACATCGAAGGGTGTAAGTTCAAACCCATATACTTTTTCGAAAGCATCCTCAGTAACTATCTACTAGGCAATTCTTTTTGGAATCCTCCACACCCTTGGCAACTTTGGTCTAGTCATTGTGAGCAGTATATACTTCCTACTCTCAACATTTCTAACTTTCTCTAGATGGACACGAGTTATTTTATCAAAGCTTTCTCCGCCTCACCCGCTGCAGTAGTTCCCGGATATACCATTGGTGGAATTGCCTACTTCGCCATTCCATGGGGCCTCGGAACAGTGATGAGCTCCATTGCCTTGGGGCTCGAGAACCAACCCAATTTCCCAACCTTCCCTCGGGTAAGCAGTTCTCCCCATATACAAACAAACGAAACAACATCTAACTAGGCCGACAACCTATAGAGAATGACCACATCAGAGGTCAGCGGCGGCCTGGTTCTCCCCTATGCAGCAATTACAATGGCAGGCAAAGGCGGCGCAGCAGCAGTGCTCCTCATGACATTCATGGCATGCACATCAACGCTCTCAGCCCAAGTAATCGCCGTTAGCTCAATCCTCAGCTTCGACGTATATCGCGAGTATTTCAAGAAAAAGGCGACAGACCGCGACCTGATTCGATCCAGCCATTTTGGCGTCATTTTCTTTGCTGCTTTCTCTGCTGGCTTTAGTACCATGCTCCACTACGTGGGCATAGATTTAGGCTGGACACTATACATGCTCGGTATATCAATGCCTCTCTCTTTCTCTTTCACGCAAACAACACTAACAACTCCCTCTCGCAGGCGTCGTAACCTGCCCCGGAATCTTCCCAATGATATTCACAATCCTCTGGAAACGCCAAAGCAAAGCAGCAGCCATCCTGTCCCCAGTCCTCGGACTGGCAACAGGACTAGCAGTCTGGCTTGGAACAGCCTCACACTTCGGCGGCGAAGTATCTGTCGCATCAACAGGCGAAGTCCTCCCCTGTCTCTACGGCACGGTGGCGTCATGCATGTCCCCAATCATATACTCCGTCCTAATCACGCTTGTCAGACCGCAGAATTATAACTGGGATGATTTCAAGAAGGAGAAACTCGCGCTTGAGAAGATCGAGAGTGATTTGACTACTGTGCATCACGACCATGTTCCGCAAGCTGGGAATGAGAGTCTTGAAGATGGAGGTCATGGGCCTGAGAGCAAGGAATTGAAGCGATGGGGCCGCATTGCTGCTGTTTGGGCTGCGGCGACGTTTTTCGGTCATTGGGTTATTTGGCCATTGCCAATGTTCGGATCAAGGTATATTTTCGGGAAAAGAGTATGTCTCATTAAGGATGCTGTACGTTTTTGCATTTGCTGATGACTGCGCAGTTTTACACGGCCTGGGTTGTTGTTGCCATTATCTGGCTCTGGCTTAGTATGCTCGTCGCTATTTTCTATCCTATTTTTGATGGTGGTATTCAGCAGATTCGCGATGTCTATCGTGGACTGAGAGGACGGGATAATATCGCTGGTACTGTCGCTAGTCAAGAGAAGGGTGGAACCAGTGCTTCGCCTTCTGCTGGGTCTATCAGCGATGCTACACGCACCGGGGATGTTCAAGAAATCAAGGGTTGATCTTGCAAATGGTCGATGTGGAATCGCTTAGCGGAGAAGGATAATTGATGATGTTTGTTGAGTTCTACAATGTCTTGGTTTAGATTTCGATGATGTTACATGTACTTATTCTAATATTAACGTTATATGTTACGTTTCAAGATTCACTTGGCAAATCATGTACTACAACTATCCAGGAGACTTCTTACAAGATTCAAAAATCTTTCTTATTCAGTAAACTCATCCTGTGCGACTAGATACAAAAGCTAGGAGCAGATCCCATCACCATCAAGGTGATCTAGACAGCCCGCACAATGTAAAGAGTCCCAAATTCCACTCCATGTGTTAGCGAAAGTATGTCCAGTGGACTAAAATATCAACAAAGAAGATAGAAATAAATCAGAAGCCAGCCTTGAGGTTGTCGTACTTGGAGGCAGGGTAGCTCAGCTGATTCTCGCTCTTGTCCAGAGCGCCAGTGCCTCCAAGGTTATTCACAACCTACAAAGGTCAAAGTCAGTAAAATGATCAAATGTGGAATATGGATGAAACATACCGTGGTGACCAAACTGTCAGCACCTGTCTTGTCACCGCTAAGCTCCCACCACATACCACCACCAAGGCCCTTAGACTTAATGTACTCACCCTTTTGGAGCGCAATCTCAGGGGTGTCATAGCTCATGAATAAGCGCGAGCTTGGGTTGTAGCAGTAGCTAGCGCCTTCCTGGTTCAGATTTGTGACCGCACAGCCGGACTGGGGTAGAGCCTTGTAGTCCCACACACCGTCCTCCCAGCTACCAGAACCGACACCGCTGTAAGATTGGCCAGGACCGTTGGTGTTGGTAAATGACCGGCCGTACAAAGGCATACCTAGGACAATCTTGCGAGAGGCCACTCCGTGCGATGTGTAGTAGTCGATCGCTTGGTCCGTGTTAAAGGGAGTGCTAGCTGGATTGCTGTTAGATGCGTGGAGGTTGGCGTCGTGGCCGGCAACGGTATCCCAGCTTCCGGAGTAGTCGTAGGCCATCAAGTTCCAGAAGTCAAGGTACTGATCCATTTGTGAAAGATGCATTTTCTGGTAGTTAACAGGGCCTAGGATTTGGGTTAGCTTTATCAAGATATCTAGGAATGACACGCACCGGCAGGGGATGCAGTGGTGAGCAAGAAATGGTAGCCTCCTGCGTTGGCTGAGCTGTAGGAATCTAAGGCCTAAGAGAGTTCATAGTTAGCAGAGCTATCAACAAGAGAAGCATAAACTTACCCCACGAAGACGGCGGAGGGTATCGACAAATTGGTCCGCTTCATTATCATTGGCAGGGTACTACCTGATATCAGCATCAAATACTACGAGGAAAGATAGAAAACTCACCTCGAAATCAACATCAATACCGTCAAAGCCCAAGTTCTTCAGCAGCTCGACAGAACTGTCAGCAAACTTCTGGCGTCCAGCCTCAGTCGCAAAGGCAGTTCTAAGGTTGGGAGAATAGGTCCAGCCTCCAATCGACAGAAGAACCTTAAGGTTACGGTTTTTCTTCTTAAGTAGGAAAAGCTGCTTGACACAGCCATAGACATTGTTTCCGGTATCAGACCAGGAATCAGTGGGGTAGTGCTTGTCAGTGTCCGACCAAGTGTCCGACAGGACCACCTCACCCGAGGCTTGGGCATTGGCGAAGGCGTAGAGAACATGGGTCAGTCGCTCGGCGGGAATATCCTGAGGCTGGAAGTTGCGAGCGTAAATGCCCTGATAGTGTTTGGTTAGTTACTCTTATCGAGCATATCAGGATGAGACGCATACCCAGTTCACAAAGTAGGCCACGGAGTGATATCCGGTAACATCGCGAGCAGCAATGTCAGTTGCATTGATCTTGGTCAGGGAAGGGATGTAGGCAGCGTTGGCCAGCCACGCTAGGCCTAACAAAAAAGGAAGGACGAAGTGCATAATGAAGGAGTGTCAAGGTTGTATCTGATGAAAAGACTCGGTCCGGCGAGCGTTAGGAAGAGAGAGTTGTCGAGTGTAAAGTCGAGGAAGGGGAAAATGAGACTATTTGTACTCGAGGTCGACAATTAATTCAACTGATCATTGTGACATACAATAAGCATTATCAACCCCCTCAATACAGATCTCAGACGAGACGCTGCAGCGTAACTACAATAGACCAATAACCTCACTACGCCATTCATCGGGCCAATAGATCACAGTGCATTCCGTCGCATTCTTTAGTCTCGTCCACATGGACCGGATGCCTCCTCGGAGTATCAGTAGGAATGAGGAGGCGCCACTTACATGCCTCCAACTCCGAACAACGGCATGGTAGTCGAGATCGCTAACAGCATGGCCATGTGTGTAACATTCTGAAATCAGGGTTTGATCCGTTATGCCGACTCCAATCTCTGCTCGCGTGGAGGGTGAAGAAATCCCAGCCAATCGGCCAGGGGCCTATCTGGGGATGGGTGACATTGTCATCTGCGAGTCTCGACAGTAGCTCGGGACATGCCTGTTCATGCCGGGATTGGATGGTGCAGCAACATTCTGCTATCAGTTTTTTGGAGTTGGATGTAACTGAGAGGTAGTATTCAAAGCCAAATAGATTGATGCCAGTGAGTTAGCGCTTAGGGGTCTAGGGGGCTAAACCAAATCCACCAAATTAGGGGGAACAGGTACAAGTTTCATGCAGGAACCAGGTCGGCAAGATAAGCCAATGTAACACTCAAACCATGCGACCGGGACATGTGCCATGGAGTGAAGGGGTGAAGATACAAAGTGAATCTGGTGATCTAGGGGGCTCACGTGCCTTATACTTGCCATGTATGTATCTAAGTACTTAACTTATAATTTCTTTGAATGTGACTGAGGCAGAAAATGGTAAGAGATCTTCACTTTACAGTGAACTAGCTCGATATAACTAACCAGGATGCAAATCTAGTCTTTGCCCTATACAACTTCGAAGATGCTACATTCGGATGTACAGTACACCCCGACAAAAGACCGATACCTCACATCCGCCCGGATGAGGCTCCAAGAGGAAAAAGCTCCGACCAAAAATGTTCAGGCATTGGTCTCAAGCACATCCCCAACCATAGCTATTCCCAGTCTGGAGCGATCCAAGAACTTCCCTTCGTCAGCAGCGATCTGCGCGGCAGCATCCGCCGCCGTAACCCTAGCATGGAAAGCCCCAAAAGCAGCCTGATCAGGGAAAGTAAGTTCAGCATAGGCATCGAAGTCGAAGTCCGACTGCTGCCCGCTGAGGACAGTGGCCGGGGTGAGGGCGTTCCGTGTGGTGGCGTCGTCAGGAGGGGTTGTGACTATAGTGCGGGCGATGTAGCTTCGTTTGTGTGATGAAGGGAAACTGTCCCCCGCTAGTTTCTTGACTAGATCCACGTGTGCTTCATAGTGCTTTTTGAAATCTTCCAGTGACAAGCCGGGCTTGCGATAGGCGTAGATGATGGCTGTGATGGGCATTGTTCTGATTGGAGATGTAAATTCAAAGTTGGGTGTTGCAGATCGGACTGGTTGTGTTTGCGATGTGGATTTTGTATGGTTGACAGCTATGAAAATGCGAAGAAAGCCAAATTTATTTCTCGGGGGGATTTGTCTCTTTTTTAGGATTGGCCCCCTGTGTGAGAAGTAGCGAAGCAATGGGGCCAAACTGGTGATTTGTGGAATCCTTGGCAGATTTCTGCCTATCACTCTAATGTTGAATCCAATAGATTTTGTGGCTCGGGTCTGGTGAAATTCTACCTACAAACCAAAAGGCATGGGAACGGGGAGACTCGAGCTGTAAAAAGTGTTGCAATGATTTGGCTAATGCTAAGTTAAAGTAACGGGCCTCAATACAAAAAGAGAAGATCGATATGTGTATTATGAGAGGAGCGCATACTCAATATCACCAATGGATTAGACGTGACCAGATGCAAGCATCAAATCCAAGTGGTGGACAAAGATGCATCCTATTCCAGCCACGGCACCTAAACTTGTTAGCAAATATAACTGGCAAAGAGAGAGAAATGTGTGTTCAAACATCAACAGTCGGTGCCTCCCATCCCCTCTGCTTTAAGGACTTCAATCCCAGGTCTTGCTTGAGTTTGACAAGGATTCTGAGGTCTTTGATCACCTTGTCTCGAAGCTGAAGGTGTTGCAGGTTGGGAAAAAGCTCCTGTAAACGGCTGGTTAGCGTAACAAAGAAACAGGTCAAACAAATTCACAAACTCCAATCATCTTGAAAAGCCCTTTCCACATCGCCACCACCTTGTCATAGTCTTGATTGTAGTAACCTTCAACGGACCCAATAGACAAGTGCTTGACAGCAGGACATATGAGTTGAGGGATCAAAATGGCACTATGCGCGGGCGTATGAACCAACAGTGTCAGAGACTGGAGGTTGTGTAAATTGACTCCATCAAAAGACTTGACCTTGTTGACGCTTGTAACAGTTTGTATGGTTGTCGTGAGTATCATATCCGCATACACCTGGCGACGATGTACAGGGACGTAATCAAAAATTGGAGCCAGCCCATGGCTCGTGTATGCAGTGGGTTCAATCCAGATAAGACGCATCGCCTCAGGGTACCAGCTGCGGTTGACTACCGCGCAGTCAAGCAAGGTCAATCTCTTTCGTTTGTGTTTCGGTCCCTCCCATTTTGATTTTAGTGCGTGCCATGCAAAACGGTGGTGACCCGACAAGAACGAGAAGATGATGCAGAGAATCTCGGCGGTAGCAAGTGCACGCTGGCCGGCTGGCGAGAAGGTATTTGCTCGCTTCCATCTTGGACGGAAGGACCTCTTCATTTGATCGTGGCTTCGTTAGGTGGAGGTTGAGTCAGGAGGCAAGAGATGCCAAGGTCGAGCTGATGGAGCGGACGGAATGGGGGAAGGAGAAGGCGCTGGGTTGTAAGAGAGATGGGTGACATGGAGAAAATGAACGATCAAGACAACAACTCCAAAATACAAGGCAGGAACTCAGCTTGCCTGATAGTCTGCCTGAGCAGTGTCTAGCCCAACTACAGCTATACAGCACCAACAAGAAGCAATAATACAATATTGAAACAATCAATTTTTACACAGACCATCCGTAGATCGCTGCCTGCAAGCCCTCCACGGGCCTCATCTATGGACGCCAAGAAATGCGAATTTTATACACAATCATAACACTACCCCTTAAGTTAACATATCATCAAGGCGCTCACCAAGCACCTTCTCAATCTGCTTAACCCATTTCCGAACTTCTCTCTCGACGTTCTCATCTTCATCCTCCATCAACTCACTGATGTAAGGCAGCATCTCGGGAAGAAGTGCAAGCCACTCCTCGCCCAATTGCTCGGTAAGAGCCTGTTCAGTCTTAAGGGCTGCGAGGCGGGTGTGTGGGTTGTCACCACCAGCGGAGCGGGCATTGGGAGCAGATGAGGGACGGAGGTACTTCATCAGGGCGGAGTTGAGCTCCTTGTGGTTATCAGTAGAGTCGGCGGCGATGGCAAGCTCTGTGATTGTAGGAACGACATCGGCGATGACCATGTTGGAGGTGGTTGTGCTGGTTGCGTGGCCGAGTTGGGCGATCAGAGGGCCAGAAATGCTGGCGAGGTGAGAGGGGCTTTGCCAGAATTCTGTATCGATTGTTAGCGGTGTTCATGTAAACCGGGAACGCATGTATAACGTACCATCCTGATCATGCTCAAAAGCGTTGCGGAGCATGCGAAGAGCTGCCAACCAAAGAGACTTGTGGGTCTTGGATGGACCGACGGTGTTGAGAACTTGAACCACGTTCTCCATAATATAGCTGGAGTATCCAGTGACAATTGACTGGAGAGTACCGAAGAAGACCTCGAGGAACTTGTAGAAAGTCGTAAGGCGCGACACCTGAGCTTGCTCATCCTTCTTGGGAGCGCCGGTAGTGGCCCACTCAACGAACTTGAGGAAGATGGGGCGGAAGGTGCTGTCATTCAGCTTGTAAATCATCTTAATGGTAATATCGTTAACCGCGGTCTCAGCCTCGTCAATATCGGAGGCTTCGAAGATCGCAGCGTCACCAAGAGCGAATTGCTCACGGCGCAGGTCAAAGGCCTTGAAGATGATCTTTGTGAGAACAGCGATGTTCTTGGCAATGGTCGACTTGGGGTGCTTCTCAACAGCCAATGTAACAACTTGCAGGATCTCATTGACGGCGGCGGGACCGGCCTCAACGGCGTTCTGCCAGTTACGATCGACAGCGCCAAGAGTAGCACTGACATCGACCTTGCGAGCCATCAACCGCAGAGTCTCTTGACGGCTGTCATCACTGCCCTCCTCAATATCCGCGTTGGCAGACCTGAAAGACAACAGGAGAACCTTGTCCAAATGAGCAGCTGAGATCATGAATGGAAGGTGGACGAAGAGGGCGGAGAAGAGAGTGTAGACGGCATCGTGGAGTCGCGAGTTCTCCTTCTCGGGGACCAAGCTCAACTCGAGCAGCTCCAAAGAGCGCTTCAGTGTATCGGGAAGCGCAGGAATCAAAGACTGACCCAATACCTCAGCCATAGAGGCAAGACACAAGATACCCATGTAGCGAATACGGTCGTCAGTCTGGCCAATACATGATTCACTGGCAACAACTTGAGCAGCAGGGATAATCTTGGAGGGGTCCTTGCGGCCGTACTTGTCGGTGATACGGTCGATGCAGGAAACGGCAGCATGCTTGAGAAGCGTATCGGGAGACGACTCGACAATACCAACCAGGTTGGGAATGAAGTCAAGAACACGGATCTGCGACAAGTTGTCACGCTCTGGGGTCTGGCGGAGACGGGTCTCGAGCAGACGAAGAACCTTGCGTCGGAGCTCATCGTTGGGACCCTGGAGCAGAACTTCAATAGTATCCAAGAAGTCAACAAGAGAGAGGGTGCTGAACAAGGAGCCGAGCACCTCGCCACAAGCCTGGCTGACGGGCTTCATGTTCTGCACAGCCTCGCCGATGCCCAGGACCTGTTCAAGAACACGGGAGAAGCATGCACGGGACAGATCGGCGTCCTGGCCATCTGACTCGAAGGCTGTTTCAAGCTTGGACTTGAGAGTTGAGTGCTTCAGCAGGTGAGCGAGGTCGCGAAGAAGATCAACAGAGACCTTCTGGGGGTCACGTCCATCCTCGCTGCCAATGCCCAGAAGAACCTGAGAAATGCCTGGCTTGGTCTTGAAGGAGTCGGTAACAAGGTTGAGGTACTTGCTGTAAGTGGTCAATTCCACAACAGGAGAAGCATCCGACACCAGGCCGGTCATCAAAGTCAGAACATCCTTGTCGGTTGAGTATCGGTTGGCAAGCATGGCCAGAACAGCGAACAGGAAATCCTGTGTTCCAAGCTTGGTGATAAGAGCATGGAAGAGCCTGAGACGGCGGTGCGAGGGAATGTGCTCAAAGGCAGCAGTAAAGCTGAGCAGGAGCTCCGAAGTTCCGGAAACGACATCCCGCTTCTGGCTACGCAGAGATTGGATGAGAGCAGGGACAACTTGGTCAATGGTCTGATCAATGACCGAAACGGAGTAGTCATCATCCTTGCGGAGAACGCTAGTGCCCATGAATGTGAAGATGGGCATCACACTGTGGAGGACCAATTCAGGAGCAATGACGGACAGGCTGCCCACAAGAAGGAGAGCCACGTTCTGAACCTGCGGGCTGTCGGTCGTACGGACACAATCCACGACCAGATCGGCCCTGATAACAGAGGTGTCGAACTGCGGCTTGACAGATCCCTTAGACTTGTTCACGATGGCCAGGAGACTACCCAGTGTCAAGCTGAGAAGGTAGCTCATGCCACTCTGGATCTGAGACTTGAAGTGATGGAGAGCAGCAAGAGTCTGGAAGAGGCCATCAACCAGCTCAGGGTGGGTTTCAGGGGAAGAGCTGTCAACGACTTCCAAGATGAAAGTCATCTTGTCCATCAATTTACTAAGCTCCGCCTCGTCCTTGACGGTCATGGCGATCATGTTGTTCTGGCTGGTGCGTCGTCGCTTTGGTGCGGGGCCAATAGACTCCACATCAGTAAGAGACTCGGGGATCTTCTGGACGAATTGCTCAAGAACAGCACCAGGGAGCTCCACGCTGCGAAGAATGTCGCGGCAGTTGTTTGCGAGAGTAGAGTTGTTGGATGATTGCCCAAGAGAGTTGTCGAGCAACTTCTCAGATGCGGAGAGCTGGCGGTCTTCGGGGATCTTAGCCCAGAGGTGCTTGATTTGGGCAAAGCACGCTGCGACAAAGGCTGGGCGCAAGGAGTCGGGGCCAGAGTTGACGTTGAGGAGGAGAATATCGACGGCATCCTGTGCCCTTGCGGTAACAATAGCAGCGACCAGCTGTTCTGTCTCGGGTACGGAGATATGTTCCTTGCTGCAAATCTCTTCCACCTCCTTCACACTGAAGCGACGCCATTCCTCAAGCACGGGAAGAAGTTCCTTTGTAAGAGTGGCAGTGGAGACCTTCTCCACGCTGTTGATGAGCTTCAGCAAGCCAAACTTGGGCGCGAACACAGGCAATCTAACGACGTGAGAGCACATGAAAGTGAAGAAGCTGATGCGCAGAGACTTCTTTAGTTCGGATGCACCTGAAGCTTCAGACAGAACATTGCCACGAAGTGTAGCCTCGACTACCCTGGAAACATGGTTTGAATCAAGGATAGACTCCTCCAGTCCGGGGAGCAAGGCACGCTCCAAGACCTTTTGGGAGTCCTTGGCAGAAAGCCATGCAACGCCCGAAGATTGCTTACCCTGACCGTAGATCGTGTCGTGAGCCCAAGGTTTGGAGTTATCACTAGCCTTCAAGTTCTTCTTGTACAAAGAACCGATAATAGCCAAGACGCCGGAAGTCTCGCGGCGAATGCGTTCGGAAGCATCCGAAAGGGCAACAAAGAGGAATGGCAGAAGTGCCTGGGGGTCGAAGTCCGCGGGAGCGGACGTGATGACGGAGGAGACGACGTTCAAGGCACCGATCTTTGTGCCAATTGGGTAGTGACCGGCGACAACTCTGATGAAGAAAGATAGGAATTGAGGAGCCTCGGTCGCTTGAGACTTGCCCAAGATCGGCAAGTTGGTAAAAAGCTCGACCTTTTCTTCCGACTCAACAGCCAATGCGAAGACTCGTACAAGGTTATCAAATTCAATGATAGATTGCTTGCAAAGGAATGAAGACGGGTACAAGGGCTCTCGAGTCAAAGACTCTAGAGCTGGAGTAAAGGCATCCACATCGGGTTGCTCATCTGCTTCTGCCATCTCCACATCTTCAATAGCTGGCGCCGCAACAGGCGCTTCTACAACGGTTTGCAAGTTGTGCTCCAGTGCAGGAATGTTGAACGAGGAAGAAGTCAAAGTCTTCTGGAAGATAGGTCGGAGGGCTGCAGAGTGGTTAAATGCTTGGACCAACTCAGCAAGTTGTGTTTGCGCATCCATGGACATCCCGCGGGTCTCATCGGAGCTAGAGGCAGCTTCGAGAACCATGCTCATAGCCTTGCCGATCTCATTCTCACCGAGCATGTTACGCTCGAAGATAGAGGACAAGAGCAAAAGGTGAGCATTATCTTGCTTGTCAAGATCATTCAAGCAGCCGGCGACGATGCCAAGCAAGAAGTTGGACGTTGGGCATTGGGTGGCTACTTCAGCAAGCTGGCTCATGGGGTTCTCGAGGCGCAGCATACTCTTGAACACCTTCTTTGAGATACCAACAGTTGCCTTTTGTTGGGCTAGGAAAGATAGACAGATGAGACCAGAGTTCTTGGTGTCCTCAGTCCAGGAACCAACAATGCTTTCCATCAGACCATCAATCACCTGGTTGGAAAGCAAGGCCTTTTGTGCTAGAACCACACAAATCATATAGCAACCGACAATCAACTCTGACACTTTCTTCATAGTGAAGGCAGTGCTGAGTACTGGAAGGACTCGCAAAAGGATGTCTTCATGCTTTTGCTGCTCAGCTTCTCTCCTGCCTGAACGAGAGGCATCTAACATTGCTGAAACTGCTTCTGTGACGACTCCAGCCCAGAAAGCGAGCAATGCATGGCTCTGTGCCTGCTGCTGACACACTTTCAAAACGTAATTGTTTAATGCGGAAAAGAAAGCCTTATTTGTAGCCGCGCTATGAACCAGCGGGTGCCTCGGCGGGTTGATGAGACTATTCTTGTATGGGTTGAGAACTTTGAATGTCGGCGTAAGGTCGTCCGGAAGAATCGATAGAAGGTTCAAGAAAAGAGGTGTCGTATGGTATGGCAAAAACGTCAACAATACGGCGTGCGTATTGTGCTCATGAATCCTGCGATGATTTGTCAGTTACCCTGTTGCACGATCGTGGCCTTCCAACGTTGCCTCTGCTCACCTGAACCGACGCACTAGCCAATCCACGGCCTTTACTGCGGGGCTTAACTGCAGTCTTCCGCCAACCAAAGCGAGAAAAGCTTCAAGCACAGTGTCCAGCTCCTGGTTCTGAGAGACGTTCATCTGACTGCGATCCTCCGCCTTGCTCTGCTCACTGAATACTGTGCGCTCAAACTCCGTGAATCGTGGGTCCAGCGAGCACAATTCTTGGAAGCCGTCATAACAAATATCATAGATTGTATCGAAATCTTGAGATCCGGCGACCTTCCGGTCGAAAATCAGGGATTGTGAGTGTGATATCCTCTGCGCCTTCAGGTCAAGCTCGTGAGACGACTTCGTCGCAATCCGCGACAGCTGGGCGGCAAGAGAGGACGCCATTGCGGTGTCTTTTTTTGTCGTTGCTTTGCGGCGGGTTTTGGGCGTCTTTGAGGTCTTGTTTTATGTCTGGTTGCTTACACAAAACAGCAGGGACCCATTCCCCTTGTCAATTGTCTTGTCGCCTTCCTGTCCTCCGAAAGACAGCGGGTCGAGTGAGGTAAGTCTGAGCTGTGTTTAACGGCAAAGTCAAGCGGCCTGGAGCAAACGGTTGACTTTTTTTTCTGCCGCCCAGCCCGACCGCCCACCGGCACTACGTTTCTCCGGGTTATCAGCCCCGGCCGCTGCGCGATAAGAGATCGAGTTGACCACCATGAGCTCGCAGGTCAGTCCATTCTCATTTCGGCCCTGTGTCCTTACTGATCGTTTATGAAGGACAATGTCCCGCGCTTCTCCAGCTTCCGACCCCCACCTCCACCTCCTCCGGACGCCCCCACCGGTAGGGAACACCGCCGTCGCCATCGCCAGCGCGTAGCCCAAACTGGGTCTCCGCTGTCTCAGCCCATCCGCCGAGATGATCGTCCTTCAGAGACAGTTAAAGATGTTGGGGTAGAGAAGCTTGATGAAAAAGTCGACTTCGTTGTCGATACGCGAGGCGATCGACAAAATCTCATCTACGGCACGACATATCGTTATGACGTCCCCAACTATCGTCGCATTGGTAGCGGGCTCGTGATGGGTGCTCCCGGCAAACGTATTGACATTGCAACCCGAGACAGCGACACTTTAATTCTGCGTGCCGACTCTGGCGTGTCCGCTCCCAAGCTCCTCTCCTCCGCCAAGCTGCCACCCTTGTCTCCCGCTCTCCCTATTCGCGCGCGGTCCGACAAGCCATCTGGTACCGAAGATCAAAGCGACTTCATCTCACTTGAGCTCTCACCTAAGCAACCATCCGCAACTGAGATCGATGTCACTGATGAGAGTCAGTCTTACCGCTCCATCCTCGGTCCCAGCAAGTCTGAAGAGGCCACCGCCGAGGACGACAATGGCGATAAGCTTACTCGAGTCGCTATCGAGCAGGAAATTCTGGACCGCAATGCTGAGCTGAGTCGCCAGACGGAGCTAGACCCAGAGAATGTTACTGCCTGGCTTCATCTTGCTGAGCACCAAGAGCGCGTCATTCTTCCCGCGAGATACAACGATCGGCCCTTCAACTATGCAGAGACGAAGCTTGTGGCAGAGGCTAAACTCTCCGTGTATGAACGGGCATTAAAGGTGAACGGTGAGAACCCTCAGCGCGATCACCTTCTGCTCGGCCGCATGGAAGAGGGCGCGAAGGTCTGGGACTCCAACAAGCTCTCCAAAGAATGGGAAGAAACTTTAAGCTATAACTCCGAGTTCATTAGCCTATGGGTCGAGTATCTGGCCTTCTGTCAGACAGACTTCGAAAATTTCGACTTCGATCAATGTTTCACCTCTTACGTGTACTGCCTGAGACTCCATTCGAACGTTGGGTCCGGTTTGCACAACAGTCACATCAGGACTTATTTACTCCTGCGCCTGACTCTTTTCCTCCGGGAAGCAGGCTTCATGGAACTAGCCGTCGGTTTGTGGCAAGCGGTGCTTGAGTTTACGTGCTTCCGACCCTCTCATCTTTTTGACAAAGCAAAAGCTTTAGAAGAGTTCCAAGCTTTCTGGGAATCTGATATTCCACATATTGGAGAGCCGAATGCCAAGGGTTGGAAAAATGGAAATTCCTCTACCACCATTCTTGACGATTCGATTTACGAATACGAAGCTACCTTGCCAAACTTGTTTCCAACCTGGGCATTTGCAGAGAGGGAATACGCCACGAAAAGTCGCATGCCTGCACGCAGTCTGGATTTATCCAAAGAGGACGAAGCTTTCCGAGTGGTCCTTGCCGAAGACTGCAAGCAGATACTGCCGTACTTCTGGGATTTCAAAGATAATATGGATGACCTTATTGATGGATTCCTCTGTTTCTGCCATTTGCCTCATCTAACTGTCCCTGAAAATATGCAAACCACACGACTATGGAGCGGCGACAATTTTCTGCGAAATGAATACATGGACAATTCTCGAAACACACTCGATGACTGGATTACTCCTTCGAAAAATGCTGAAACGGCAGCAGTTGCCCCCTTCGCATTCCCACATCACAATTTCATTCACACTACAGAGACGCTGTTTGCCGATCCGAAATTGTGGTTTTCGGCACTGGAGAAATGGGGCGTGACCACCTCCAGCAACACCTCAGTGATTGATCCTGGGTTTGTACGATCGACTCTCCATACTCTTGTCCATGAGTTTCCGGATGACGATCAACTGGCCGAATATGCCATTGCTGTGACTTTTGCATGTGACAAACCCCTGGGCAAAAAATATGGCAAGCAACTGTTGAAACAGCGATCATCTAACTTGAGACTATATAATGCTGTCGCGCTGATGCATTGGCGGACGGGCCATTGTGATGTTGCTCATAGTATCTGGTCAACTGCTTTGTCGATGAGCGAGACTTTTGAGGACAAACATCTCAGCTCTGTCCTTCTGTGGAACTCCTGGATATGGGAGATGCTGCATGCTCGGGACATGTTCCGAGTCGCGTATCTGTTGCATGCTATACCTTACAAAAAGGTGCATATGCTGTCATACGAAACCGCCGATGAAAGGGATCTCAATCCGACCAAGTTCCTTCGAATCCAGCAGGTAAGTGCCTACTGATTATAGTTTCGCATCCACGCTAATCGTTTTTAGTCCTTGCTCGCAGGCCAAGACCGTGCTTTCGCGTACAGAAAGCCTCAAGCATTTGTGGCCTACACTGATTGTCTTGCTATCCTCCGTTTCGCCGCAGGCCACCCACTTAAGCAAGTCCTTGAAGTCTATGAAGATGCCGTTTCCTATCTTGTAACGTTACCCCAAAGCGAAGAAACCACAAAGGTTTTCGCCGCGGAGCTGCTTCATCAAGCTCGCGCCAGAATCATTTACTACTATGTGGAGAATCGAACCGGGCAATTTAGGCCTGCTGAGGTTCGTGAGAAACTTCTCAGCAGCCTGCAGGTCTGGCCTCACAACACCATGTTCTTGTCGTTGTTCAAATGGAATGATGCTCGCTTGCGTCTCATGGATCGCACTCGGGACATCTTTGATATTACCAGTCTAGCGGAGGGCAGGGCCTCCCAGGAGATCAGTGGATCTGTTCACCGTGTCCCAATCACGACTCACCTGTTGAGCATCTACACCGAGCTTGGTCGTCCCCTCGTTTTCGGCTCAACTGCCCATTCTATTCGTGCGGCCTTCGAAAGAGCAATCGGTGACGGTTTCATCCCAATGGGCAAAACACGTCTGAAAAGGGGCCTTTACGATCTGTCCAGCTCCAGTCGTGCTCAAAACAACCTTACCATCTGGAAGCTTTACATATTCTTCGAACTGTACAGCGAGCACAATATTTCTCGTGCCCGGGATATCTTCCTTCGCGCCTTCCGAGCGTGTCCCTGGTCCAAGGAGCTTATTATGATTGCATTTGAGCACCTGCGTGCCGACCTTACCAGCCAGCTTCCCCTGTGCCAGGTCAATACAAAGAACGAGTCCAATCCTCCAGGCTTCGACACTGCTGAGCTCAAGGCATTTTACACAGATGCTCATCTGCGAGGAATCAGAATTCACCACAATATCAGCGGCTACTTCTACCGCGAGGGTGAAGAAGACGGTATTGACCAGGATGGCCAAGGTGCCAGGACCTTCGATGCTGAAAACGGCCAGCCGCCAAAGAAGATACATCGAGGCATGAATCACTCAGGCGCTTTCCACCATCTTCCTACTGTTATGGAAGAGGATGTTGTTAGGATGGAGACCTCTTGAGATATTTCCTTTGCTGTTTGTACGCCTACGGTGGAACTGAAGGAAAGTCGATGGACAGAAGGCAAATCTGAAAATTCTGCACATGTATGTTAGAGTTCCAAGGAATACATTAATGCAACCCACCGAGGTTATGATTGTTTTGTGTTGTGATACCGTTCCTAATGTCTATCTGTCTTAGCATCTTTGCCTTTTCTAGCGCTATGAACACTGAACAGTCCGGCTGCTCTATTAAGCATAGATAAAGGTATGTTCTGTTGGTAGGACTTTCGTCTGTAGTAATCGCCGATGGTATTGATCTTCCAGTGGATAGTTTCAGACATTATCGGAGACCAGATATTTATTACTCCAGCAAAGGGATTATCAAGTCTATTGACACATATTCCTACACTTCCTCAATCCTTGCTTAGCCACACATCAAGACTGTCCGCTATGTCCGATCCATATCCGATGAGCAAACAGCATGATGCTCCTGTCCAATATAGCTCCAACGCAAAACGGGTCACCAGAAGCCCATTGAGAAACAGTAAAAGAGAAAATTCGTGAGTCATGTCAATCATATACTGAAAAAAAGGAAAAAGGCAAAGAGTACCAAAGCACAACTAGAAGTGCTCCTTCCAGAATTTGAACTTGACGTCCTTTGTCGATGAAGACTTGGCAGCATCACTAATCTGCCTGGCAGCAGTATTAGGACCACAGAAGTACACTCCGATCTCTGTGGTGGAAGCACTTTGCAAACCGGTCATGTAAGACTGATTCAGCAACCCAAGCCGCATAGCCGTGAACAGGCGCTTGAAATCCGGACGGCCGAAGTTGGTCCGACTCCGAAGTTCTGTGAGAGGGTCAAGTGCCTGGCCAACGGAGTTGAGGTAGATATTTGCAGCGGTATCAGCGTCTAGACGCTGTGTAAGGTATGTGTGGATACGCAAGAACTCGGTTCCTCCCTCGTTGGCCGCGGCATTGGCGGATTGGGCCTCGAGGGAAGAAAGAAGAGCTTGAAACCATTCGAAAGAAGAGGTATCTTTACACACCCAGATGAACTCGACGCGACGCAATCGGCGAGGCGGGTTCGGGCTTGAGCGGAGATGCCAGATGTTTTTGAGGATTGATGCCCAGGGTGTAACACCAATTCCGGTGCCTATCAGCACAGCAATTTCGTTTTCGAATACATCTTCTGCCGGTGCACCATATGGTCCATCCACGCGGATTGCAGGCATGGTTTGTCCGTTTTGCAAAGCGACCTCGTACATACCGTTCGGGTCGAGACCTTCAAGGTCTTTGGCTTGGGCAGGACCGCAACCGAGAGCGTCTCCTAGTGCTCGTGTGAAGTCACCAACTTGGCGAACGTGGACACTGAGGTAGGGATCGAAGGGACAGGAGGTGATGGTAAATGGGTGCCATTGGGTGCTGGAAACATCAGACACCTGAAGGAACAGCCATTGTCCGGCCTTGTACTTCATGCTTGACTTGTGGAACTGGATCTCCATGGCGGCTATACTAACGGATTAGCTAGGGACAAATCAGTGCATTGGGAGTGAACTATACCGTAAGGATGACGTATCACTTTTGTGATTACCGTCTCACGTCGAGCACGAATCTCCCTGTAGATTCGCTCCAAGAGATATAGAGCCCCGACCACTATCTCCCATCTCCATCCTTCATACCCTAGGCAATGGTCCCAGAACGGCTCTCCGGCGAATGGGGAGAAGGGGTCCGCGGTATCTCGCACGAAGCATCCAGTGGCATGGGTGTAGAGAGCAAGCATGAACGGAACAAACAAGTGATGCGCGTACCAAAAAGTCTCGTAGGCTTGCTGGCGAATGCGATGGTGGGCGGTGGTATACATGAGCATCATGCACAGAAGCATGACATGTCCAGTGATACCACTTGCTTGGGCAAAGTGGATCTCAACTGCTCGCTCAGGGCGGATTTGATTCTTTTCGACGTTGTAGAAGCTAATATAGTTTAGCAAAGGAAATATTGGTGGGTGTACGATGAAAGAACTAACTTGACGTAATGAGCAGCAGTATGGATAGCTGTGAAAACAAGCATGGAATAGGCAATCTGCCGATGGAACCATGCAGACTCATCCAAAGGTAGCCATCGGATCTGGGGTCTCAGCCATCGAAGAATGTTCCGACACATGGGGAAGAGGATCAAAGTGCAATCAACGGAAAGGACAAGGCCTGCACCTCGTGATATCCATACTGAGTACTGGAGAACATTAAGAGCAGATAGTCTTGGGTCTGATGCTTGCAAATACCTATAGGACGTTAGACACTAATTGAATATGCTTGAGGCCGGAATACATACCATCCCACTGCAAACAGACCAATATGTAGACCCCAAAAGAACAGATGGAACAAAACCTTGGAGACAGTCAAATCGACCCTCTTGACCCAGGAATCGGGTGGTTTGACGTCCATTTCGAGCTTTTAGGTAATGTCGACCAGCAACGAGTGATTCAGGCAATAATAGCAATCAAAGGAGTGACGGGTCCGGATAGTTGACCAGCAACCCGGTAATAGAAACTGAAGTTTGTCAGAAAGCGAGATCAGGAGATCCCTTTTCAAGACAAAATTTCAGTATCAATACTGTAGATTAAGCGGCTTCGAATTTCGTCGGCGTCGTTGGTCCTCCATGAACTTGATCCAAACAACGACCTTGAGTGTCAGCGCCTCGGAGATGATATGCCTTGCGTTTGGCGCAAAGTTCTAACAGTCACAGCTACTGTTAGATGATTATATTGTGGCTTGGATATTGAAACTGAGTCGCGCGGCTCGTCGCGAAAGCGCCGGTTGGCCTTTTGAGGATTGCCTTAATAAGTGGCCTTGCCGTCAAGTACAAGGGGACACTGGGTACTCAGGGGAAAATCCGAAATCTTGCAGGTTGGTTCAGGTTGTTCAAGCATAGTTGACGTCAACCGATGGATAAAGACAAAACCGAAGAGAGTTGGAGGTTCAGAAATCCCAATGTTGTGGTTTTAGCTGCAGGGGTGAGGGGGGGCGATCTATAATTACATCGCTTCCAGCGCGCACAACCAAAGGTGGGTTCTCATCCAATAGACTATTTGGGAAACCTATGTCTGTGCTTTTTAGAATATCTCCTTGAGGACAATGCTCAGTGTGATAGGTATTCAGGATGTAAGTCTGGAGGAATCTTCCGAGTTTCTGGGGCTTGTGAGAAAGACCTTCGTCAATTTTTGCCTCTTCTCCTATCTCTGTTGGTCTTGGCATGTACAGTCATGGCTTTAAATTGTGTTCATGGACGCCGTTAATATATCACTCTGCTATTTTTACTGACCGTTCGTAGCAGGCACACCAATCATGACACGCATATTGCGCGCCTAGAAACTACCGTGCCACGTTCCCCGCGCCACTTGCCGAAGCGAGTCTAGAGGAGGGAAAATGATCGCGTATTAGGTTCATCCAATCTGATCTTACTTGCATTCTTACACCACGAGAATTTGGACGGGTCGAAGCCGAAGTTGAATAGAAATTGGCCCGAGGTGCCAGAGAGGCTGGTGAATGGCCAAGTCAAGCCAGAGAAAGAAGGTTGCAGGGAGACTAGCCTATCACAATCCTCCTGCAAGCGCTTCCTTTCGTCACACGGGAGCTCCGAGGGTACAAGGAGTCGGTGAACACGCCTGTCATTCGTATCAGGATCGCAAGTGAGCAGTAGTGCAGGCTTGAGTATGGCCCAAATATAGACTCTTAATCTTCTTTCTTGATTTTCCCATTCCCCGTTCTCCAAAGATATGAGCATCACATCTCACCTTGACACTGCGGGTGAATGGCAGATTGTAATCAGGGCTGGGTTGGTCATCTGATCCGATGAATTCCAAAGTTCGCAGGTCTCGATCACAAAGCCCCTTGATGTACAGTAGATTCTGGAATTGCAGCCCACACGATCCGAATATCCTCAAGACATTCGAATCCAAAGCCCTGAAGGCGTGTGCCACGAGCTGCAGCTCATCACGCCAAGGTCAGCGGTGTGGACTCTGATTCGTGCATGGCCGCTTCACGATCCGCTCCGTCACATCCCCGCTGCCAATCACGCAGCCATATCGACTATTGAAGAATTGCAGAGGGAGGAGATGTCATGGAATAGAGGACCTTAAGGTCGATGATTGGCTGAGATCGCATAACTGCATCCGTGCGGATTACTAGCCCTATTATTCTCGCCTTGCAGCAACCAGGACGTGCAGCGATCACTTTTGGCGCTCCTCCGTCACATCCTGGTCCTGGCAACTTGTTCCGAGTACTCTGGGTTATCAGAGGGGTCGCATGGTCGTCTAAGTATAGATTCTTATACTTTGACCCGCCTGCAACCATGCCACTCGGGACATGGTTTTTCTTCCCCAGATCAATACAGTCATGCCACGATAACACATTTTGACCCTCACCACATTACGATTCATGTCCTTTACGATACTCAGCTAAACAAACTACTCCATGGCTGGCTACTTTGCTTCTACAATGAAGTAATTCTGTCGCACATTCTGCCGCAACTTTCGGGACTCGCGACGTTTGACGCCCAGATTAGCTTTACACCTTTCATTGCACCAAGCGACTACCGCGCGATTCCCTCCGAGACTTTCGCTGGACGAAGCCCCGTACACAATCCTCACGGCCGAGCTCATAGCCCGACAAGATGGGCAGGCTCATTAAGAACCACTGGGGGCGGTTAATAATACTCACCGCGGCAGCTTGTACGTGCCTACTGAACCGAGTCTACCTCGGTGCTGAAGCTAACAATTTCAATGAACAGATCAAGTTGCCAGCGCCATCGAAGGTTTCATTTGGCCCAAGGTATTCTGGGACTTCGTCTCTAAGAACCTCGACGCCGCAGTTGCACCAGTCCCAGTCCTCCAAATCCTAAATCTCATTATGGGCCTCGTTGGCATCGCCTGGGAATGGCCTCTCAAATCACTCGCGGGATCAATACCACACCGCAGCATTGAAATCCGTCTCATCATATACCCACTCAGCGCTCTACTAGCCGCTCTACTCTACCAAGGCACCGATCCAGCGATATATTATCTCATCGGGATTGGTGTCTATTTCTGGGCCTATAGTGAAGGCGAGGTATGTTTGCATTTCTCTACAACTCAAGCGCTTTCATGCTAAACAAAGATTGGATAGGTCGTCTGTCCGGAACCTTGGACCTTGCCGAAGCGCCCTGGGCTATTTAAAGCATAGCGATATTGTTCGGTCTGGTGCATTGAGTGTATCAGACGCTAACCATGTATATAATTTGACCTATAATGAACATAATATATGGACAATCATATTGTTGATCATGCGTAGAGGCTGAAGTATATTTCGCAGGTGGGCCTGTAGATTCTTGACAACAACCTACCACTAATTAGGAGTCCGTAACATCTGGGTGGAATCTCAACTAGAAAATGAACTCAATAATCCATGAGCATAATAGAAAGGTGTACGCACAAAATGATTCTAACGTTAACGTTACTTCGTACACTGCATTGATAAGGCAGCAAGGCACCAAGCTTACATGATATCTTCTCTCCGCACCGCGATTTCACTGGTCATCGTAGTACCAAGTCCATCTACCTCGACTTGAGAAAAGGGAAAAAGCAACCCTCCTACACTTCAATGTCGGGGCTGTCTTCAATGTTATGCTGTAATATATTCTCGAAATCGAGAACTACCCGTTGCGACTGACACCAGACCAGCCTGAGCGTGCAGGACAACAAGATGCCTCCACGGACCCAGACTGAGGAGCCCAAGCTGGAGGATGTACCAGTCAACAAGATCACCAGTTTCAATGGAAGTCTGCGGCAGTACCTACACGGGATCAATGCAACGCAAGAAACTACAGGGACACAGAGCACCGGTATATCAAATCGGCGAACCGACACCACCAAAGACGATCAAAAAATATCAACAATCGACACCCTACCACCTAGCACAAGCTCCAGCCCCAAGCGCAGGAAGGCTATCACAAACGGTACCACCACAACAACCAAAATCACCCGGTCCCGATCCTCGTCAAACCCAACCGAATCCCCTCCCAAACGCAGACGAAACATCCCCCAACCAACAACCCCAACAGCGGGCCCAACAGCAATAGAATCCGCTCTCCGCGACACAATCCCCGAAAACCTTCTCCTCCTCCTGGTAGGCGTAAACCCAGGCATAATGACCGGAATAACGGGATACGTCTATGCACACCCATCAAACCTATTCTGGAAACTGCTCTATTCCTCAGGAATAACACGCGTCCGCCACATACCAGCGGACACCTACAAACTGCCCGAACTATACAGCGTCGGCAACACGAACCTCGTGGAACGACCCACCCGCGACGCGAGCATGCTCACGCGCGCGGAGATGGACGCCGGCGTGCCGGTGCTTGAAGCGAAAGTTGCTGCGCAGAGGCCTGAGGCTGTTTGCCTTGTTGGGAAGAGTATTTGGGAGGCTGTTTGGAGGGTTAGGCGTGGGAGAGCGATTCGGAAGGAGGAGTTTCGCTATGGGTGGCAGGGGGAGGCGGAGAATATGGGACGTGTTGAGGGTGAGGGTGGATGGCCTGGTGCGCCGGTGTTCGTGGCTACTACTACTAGTGGGCTTGCAGCTGGGATGAAGCCTGCAGAGAAGGAGGCTATTTGGGCAGAGTTGGGGAGGTGGGTTGTGCGGAGGAGGGGGGAGAGGGAGGGGTTGAAAGTAGAATCTGAGCTGTGAGTATGTTAGATGGTGATGCTTGATTTGCTTGGTTTGCTATATAGATGTCACGACGAGCTACGACTGAATTGCTTAAAGGAATACTTGGTGAATCTACGACTGTGATGGCTTTGAAGTTTCAAAATATTTGTAATTTGCGTGACGAGTCAAGTCGCTCATCATTCATTATCTCATGATATCAGGTACAGAAGCCTGTGAGTCTCAGGATGCAAATCCGGACACCGCCAACGAACACTCCAAGCCCATTCCAGGGCAGATGCTCATAAAATCATTGGAGAGTGACGAGATGTCTGTTCAAAAGAACCAATGCATCGAATAGGCATACAAGGTGTGGTTGGAGGATATGGATATCTCAATGAGAGGTCAAGGTGGGTAGAGGACGAGATATATCTAGGGCGTGCTTCAATGAAGACACCCATGCCCGTATGGTCTGTTATTGACCACGTGAAAGGTAAGAGGTCAGATCTAGTGGTTGACCATGGGTCCCTTGGAGTCGTTCTTGCTGCCCTCACGTTCGCGGGCCTGTATGGTAGACAAGTTAGTATAGACTCTATCAATTGCCCGCCAGTTTGACTCTTACCGGGGAAGCCTGGTACTCGCCGCCTTCTAGGATCTTGGTCATGCAAGCGTCTTCGTTGTCTGTGCCGAATTCGTTCTGCAGCATGCTCTTGCTGGCGGTGTCAAGGACACCTTGGGCTCCGTGGCTGAATGAGAGGTTAGCGATTGAACAATGACATTATAGCCCTGAGCCTTGTTGAGGGAGGATATACATACGAGTGAGTGACAAAGATCTTCCAGCCGTTTAGGACGTTAGCAAGGGCGATGCTGCGGTCGTTCTTCCACTTCTGGAGGATGTCAAGATCGTCGACGAAGACAATGAAGTCATCGGACTTGCCCTTGTAGAAGATCTTGGAAGCGGTTTCGTTACCACGAGGCATTGTGAAGAATGTGTGTTGGAGATTAAGAAGAGAGAAAGTTGGGGAGAGTGTTTGAGAGAGAGAGAAAATGTAAAGAAGAGAAAAGTAGACGAGGTTTAATAGCTGAGCTCAGGTGATGATGACTGGTGACGTCACCGGGCTGATGTATAGCTCGCGTGTCACTCTGGGACTTCAGTTTGTCCCTTGTTGCAGTTTAAAGACGCAGTGGATATGCTAATTACGGGTCTTGTTACTAATTAGCTACTTTTCTACAGTTGTTCCACGGTGAATTGCCAACTATTGCAGCTGTCGACGTCATAGTACGCTCCATGCCCGTTGCCGGATCCGCTGTGACGCCAAACGTGGGGATACTCCCTTGCGAACAAGGTGGCAAGTTGCAAGGTTCAATGGCATGCATTCCAATAAGGTATAGCATGCAAGCCACAGTTTTCGCCAAGTTAACAATATCCCTTGATCCCAAAACTCCACCATCTCAACTCCCTAACAATAATTGCTTCACTCATAAGAGTGGGGCTTGCGCGACTGCTTTGACGCCAAGATACTGAACAAATTCATAGGAGACGACCATTTTTTGGGAGATGACGGGGCCTCGGAGCTTCCGTCTTGGCTCCATTGTTTCTCGCTGCGAGGTGAAGGACTCGTCACCGGGGACTTGGGGGACTTGGGAGACTTCTTTGGAGATCCCCTGAACCGGAGCGTTCTCGACCGTCGCGGTGTTGTGGGTTTCTGGAGCGACTGGAGCTCGACGTCCTTGTCATTAAACACTTCACTGCTACCTGCGATATCCTTGCCCTCCTCGTCATCATTCGATTCAAACCCACTAGGAGCTGGCCCTGAACGCGAGGTTCTGACAGAGCTTGACCGTTTGGTGAATCCGGTATGAAGACTCAGTCGTCTCATGATCGAACCACGTCGGAAAAGATCCCCTCTCCCAAGGACCATTCCGGGCAGTGGAAGAAGGTCTTTGGTGTACACGTCTGCAACCAGACGCTCCAAACGGATACGATCAATGCGTCGAGCTGTGAAAACTAATGCTCCAGGCGAAGCTGGTATCTTGGCTCGTTCAATCTCGCCTTCCACCGGTGTGGCCGGCTCTTCGGCGTTGCGCGGGCGATGCGTCTTCTTGATGACCACATGTTGGACGTGGGACCTGCGTGAAATTGACATGGAGTCCATGGAGGATCTCCGAGCCAGAGATGACACTGCGTACTGTACACGATTGAGAGGCGCTAAATGGAGGGCCAAAAATGAATATTTCCTTCGTTCCCTCGTCCCTTGTTTGCCCAGTTCGACCATTGCGGCGGAGGCTTTGAGAAGCTCTGTGTTCCACTGCTTTTCTTCCACGGCCGACGATGCGCTGAGTACAAATTCGTAGTTTTCTTCTTCCTGAAACTGAAGTTTCCATGAAAAAAGACATCCATAGCAGCACAGACCTGTTGGGTTAGCTAGATATCCGATGATCAGCTCAACTGAATCCTGCTTACCTTGCCCATTCTGGAGTGTATCAATCTTGACATGATCTAAAGAAATGCAGGCGACTGCTTCCAGTCTATGTAGTTCATCAATTCCTTTGGCCAGAAGAAGATAATGATTGAAAAGAACGCAGACCATGAAATCCCCGGCAGTGGTTTCAGGCGTTTGATATGCGACATGAAGAACACCACAGAGAATCATTGGGCCGAGATCCTTGTATATACCTTCAAGTGCGCCCTGCCCGAAAGCTATTAGTTGAACACTTGAATTACGAAGAGCTTGATTGCATACCAATTGCGGGATTTCCACTCTGCGCTGGAGAAGAATTGTCTTGTGAATGCGATCTTTGTTGATTGGGTTTCCAGTGGCTGAATTGATGCGCGTAACTAGTGTACGCATACTCTCCAAAATTTGTCGAATCCCATCGTGCGAAGATGGACAATCACTGACGGGGGTAGCTCTGAGCAGATCCTGTAGCATGAGAGGATATTTGCAGAGACGTTGGATAGGCTAGTTACTTGTCAGTGGATGCGTCAACCGGAGTACCTGGGCGACAGACTTTTATTAACAGATCGTTCAAGGTCATTGATTTGTTTTCCTCTTGTCTCCGTCGGTCTGTAGACGCAACCGATTTGGATAGCGCCTCGATTCCCTGGTCATATACTGTCCAATTGGCAATTGACCGACGTAGAAGAGCAACGTCTTGTGTAAGGAGCTCATAGTTGCTGCAAAATCGGTCGTATGCAGAGAACGAATGCGACTGCATTGGAAGCATCAGTTTAATTACCTAGTAAAAAGAATATTCTGAGAGGCTCACCAGGTGTTCAATTCCCCGCGCAACTTCAAGTGCTTCTTTTGGCTCTGCGGTGAGCATCTTGAGGCGCTGACTGATAGATGCTTTAAACGTTCGAGTCCTCAGTGACCGCTGTTGAAGCCCCCTCAAACTGCCTAAGTCAAGGGCCCCGAGTCGTTTGGAAATCCCCCGGGATGTAAGTCCAGAGAGGCCTGCCTGTTCAACATGCGGTTCTGACATGGGTGAAATCATTTGAAGCTGGATTAAAAACTGCTCGTGCAATCCAAGAATCTCCTGAATGTTGTGAGATATCTCATGCCTTGCGCTAAATATCGTAAAGACCTGTACAAGCACAGAGTACATCAGCATGGATTCTAGGCCACATATTGTCTCACCGACTTACTCCTACAAGGGCTTTAAGGCCTAGCACATAATCAGACTCCGTGACAACCATTTCTCTCAGGATATGACGCCGTTTGATCGCCCGTGCCTCTGCGGCTTCATCGACATATTGACTAGAAGTTGGACGGGGGCTCTCGTCGGAATCGCGCACATCCGACAACAGACTCTGGTTCACTGCGCTCCGTGTGTTTCCCCTGGACCTTGCCATGCTCTGACTCTCAATGCTCGTTGACGTGGTCTTGACGGTCCCCAGTTGCGATTCATCGGACACATTCGACTGTTGGCTCTGCGAACCATGAGATGATGTTTCCGACCAGCCTTCCACGTATCGTCGTTTGAAGGTCGGGGATCCGTGTCTGCGTCCTTTGAAGCTATCCATCCATTTTTTGAACGGACGAACAGGCTGTCTGTCAGCCGGAGTCATTGGCTCGACGTGTTGGAGCTTCTCTGCGGATTCATCGAGCAGCGCTTGCTTCTCGATCTCAATCTCATCCTCCATGGTGACACCAAGGGTCAGGTCAAATATATTCCAGAGTTGGCATGCAGACAGCGCAAAAGGACTTAAGACAGGAGCGAGCATGGCGGAAAGACCACGGATGTTCTTGCCCTACATCGTTGGCGCGGAGAGAAAGAAGGAAATCGCAGATTTGAATCTCATCCATGTACGTCATGGGGGACATGGCTGGGATTTCAATCCTGTTGCAAACACTTCCATCATGTATAATTGGTGATTGTTCTCGGTCTCTTTGAGGCTTTGCAAAAAGGAAGTTTGTAACTCTGTATACTTCGAGCGCCAAGAACCCGCGCTTATATAAAAGCATCAGACCCACTTGGGGATCTGCCACTTCTCTCTACTCTGTCTTGCTATGGGAATCGTTATGGACGACATCCACGCCCCGACTGTCGCCTCCGGACCTTCGTCCGGGGCTGTCCCTCGCGACTTGTCTAAGCTGTCGATGACCGACCTGATGCAGGAGAAGCAACGCCTGGAGGATGAGCTCAAAGCTCTGTGTGCTGTTCTCGACTCGGTAAGTTTCCCCAGCATGCTTCTGTCGCTGTTACTAACTCACTGCTTTCTTCTAGCATGGCGTTCGCATGACCTCATCTCTAACTACCTTTGATGGCTACCCACGCGATGATATCGACATCGCTCAAGGTGCGCCCCGCCCTTCCCCCGCCTGTCCATACCACATTGCTAAAGGATGACTGAAGTCCGAACAACACGCGTGCGCATTATTCACCTACGCAATGACCACAAGGCAGTGATGGAACATCTTGAGAGGGGCATCCACGCACATTTCGCCAGCCTACAGAACACGCCCGACGCACGCCCAAATACAAATGGCGCTAGCTCTGCTCCACACGCCCAACCAACAGCGCAACCAGCAGCAACTGCAAGTGCTACACCGGGGGCAGCATTTGCCAAGGTTAATACCGTGGTGCCGGGAAGTCCAGCAGATCAGGCAGGACTGAAGGCAGGGGATGTCATCCGAAGCTTTGGCAATGTCAATTGGCTGAATCACGAACGTCTTTCCAAGGTCGCCGAAACAGTTCAACAAAATGAAGGGGTACGTTGAAGTATTCTGGCATGTCGGAATGTACAAATGTCTAACTTTGATTTATAGCACCCAGTATCAGTCAAGGTCAGCCGGACGGACTCTACCGGATCGGGCCCTGCTACTGAGCTGGACCTCCAACTCACACCTCGGCAAAATTGGGGTGGCCGTGGCTTGCTGGGCTGTCATCTAGTGCCATTATGAGAGGCTCAAGGCACCCGTCCGGACCAGAATGACCCGATCACCCCTATGTGTATACTTCATGATTAATGAGATGTCTCCAAGCTTTGCTGCCCGATTTGTAAGCGACCTGAGAATCCTCGTAAGGATTGCCGGGATGTAAAGATGTTGGGTCAGATGTTGGGTAAATCCGCCTCACTGTGCATGAGTGCATGAGAGACCAACAGATAAAAATAGACAAGCGAAAGTTGAACGACCAATGCAGTTTACAGCCATCATAGTACAAAGCAGGCAGCAATGAGTAGCAGAGGTAGCAACAGGAGCTTCATAGTCCGAACCGTTTGAGACTACGTCAGCGCGCCTCAGGCACACAGACACGTGACCCGGCAAAATTTCGTTATTATTCACTGAGGCCCCTTCCTCCACCCCTCCCCCATCATCAACCTTCATCTCTACGGCGCGATCTCTCAACCCTTTCTTGAGATTATTGACATTTCAAAATGAACGCCACTCCCACTTTCAAGCTCGTCCTGGTCGGTGACGGTGGTACCGGAAAGGTAAGCGCATTCCCCTTCGTTTGTTCTTGATGGGAACGTGGTTCAAAGAGGTCATCGAAGCATGGTTGTCGATCCTGACGATGGAGCCTACACACGATACACCTCAATTCTCCCGATTCTTATGAATTCCTCTTTGCCCCGCGACTGTCAACAGCGAATCTGAATCTCTGCCCAACGACCCCGCCTCACCGCGACTTCAATTACTAACGTAGTCAACGACAGACCACCTTCGTCAAGCGTCACTTGACTGGTGAATTCGAGAAGAAGTACATTGCCACCCTTGGTGTCGAGGTGCACCCTCTCAACTTCAACACCGTATGTGCCCCGCCGAAGAGCCCCGCTTCGAATCGTTCGACCGTGTGATTGTGTCAACTAACCCCGACCCGTACAGAACTTCGGTGCTATCCAGTTCGATGTCTGGGATACCGCTGGTCAGGAGAAGTTCGGCGGTCTCCGTGATGGTTACTACATCAACGGCCAGTGCGGTATCATCATGTTCGATGTTACCTCCCGTATCACCTACAAGAACGTCCCCAACTGGCACCGTGAGTACCTCTGCGAACGCGACTGCGACTACTTAAATTCTAACCGATATCAGGTGACCTCGTCCGTGTCTGCGAGAACATCCCCATCGTCCTCACCGGTAACAAGGTCGACGTGAAGGAGCGCAAGGTCAAGGCCAAGACCATCACCTTCCACCGCAAGAAGAACCTCCAGTACTACGACATTTCTGCCAAGTCCAACTACAACTTCGAGAAGCCCTTCCTCTGGCTCGCCCGCAAGCTTGTTGGCAACCCCCAGCTCGTACGTCCCTTATCCGTCCCGCCTCATTTTCGCCACTCAATACTAACTGAACTTTCTACAGGACTTCGTCGCTGGTATCGCTCTTGCTCCCCCTGAAGTCACCGTCGACGAGGCTCAGCTCGAGGCCTACCGCAAGGAGATGGAGGAGGCCCAGAACCAGCCCCTCCCCGACGAGGACGACGCCGACCTGTAAAGCGGTGCACTCAGCAACGGGTCTACGAAGTTTCCGACACGAATGTTGGGAGTCGCCTTACCTCGTTCGCCCCCTCAAGCCCGAGTTTAAACTCGAATTCCGGCCAGTGGGAGGCAGGAAGTATACGACCCCCGGGGTTTCCTTTTTTTAGTTTGGGGTTTGCCTTGCAAAAGCAAAGTCTGTTCTCCGAATCACGATACAATGAAAGCGGATGGGGGATAGTCGTGGTTTGAAGACACGGGCGGCACGATCATGCATCTTTGTTCTTTTTTTAATTCCGAATCTCCTCCCCTTAGTAGTTTAGACTCCTACCATCCCAATCGTCCTTTTTTTCCCTCCCCGAAATGAGCACACCGCAACACAAAAGCATGTCCTCTTTCAACACATAAGATCTTTTTTTCAACACTATTCTACTCATTCCCAATCAGATAGATCTAGATATGTGGAAATCTTTTGATTAATAACCGCAAAGCAAGTAATATCATGTGTAACGAAATGCGCAAGTCTCGTAGCAAATACTTGAACCTCAGAAGCCTTTTTTTCGACGAGAAAACAACACAAGGGTATAGTAAAACAGAAAATCATAAAAAACAGAAACACTACACCCCGAGCATCTTCTAGATGGACATGGGTTGGGAACATAGAAGCAAAACAAAGGCACAAAACACAAAAAATCAAAATGATGCAGGGAATAAAAGAGATAGAATTTAAAACAATGACCATACTCTCCCAATTCTTTCAAATCATGCCCATCCAGTGGAGGAGTGGAAAGCAAAGATGACAAAGTAGTTCATGATGGTCCCGGGGTAGTTGTCTAGCGCAATTCTCGCACGCCCTGTACAGAAAATAGAACCGTTAGCAAAACATCCAATCACGAAAGCAAGGCAAAGAAAGAAGAAACATACAAAGAGATAAGCCAGCTCCCTAACATCCAAACGGGTGATATTCATAGTACCACCCTCATCAAGGGCACCACTAATCAATTCGCGCTTCTGATCCTGAAGATAGACAATACGATCCTCAACGGTATTCTCAATCAGCAAACGATGAACAAAGACCTCGCGGGTCTGCCCGATACGATGAGCACGATCGACAGCCTGGTCCTCAATGTAAGGATTCCAGAACGGGTCGAACATGATGATATGCGAAGCGGCGACGAGGTTCAGACCTGAGTTTCCGGCCTTGAGAGAAACAAGCATGATCTTGCAAGAAGGGTCGTTGGTAAAGTCTGTCACGGCGGCGTTGCGTTCTCTCAGCCCCATGCTTCCGTCGAAGCGGGTGTGGTTCCAGCCGCGGCGGGAGATGGGGACTTCCAGTAGATCGAGGAGGGATGTGAATTGGCTAAAGATGATGGTTTTCTCGCCCAGGCCGCGGTCTTCGTTGGCTTGGAGGATCTCAATAGTCTTCTCGATCTTGGTGCTGGGGAACCAGCCCTTTTCCAGTCGGCGGAGGTATTTTTTCTTCTCGCTTTTGTTTCTGTGGGCAGCAGTTCGTAGCTGGGCGAGGGATTTCTTTGCCGGTGCATCCTCTTCTTCAGTATCGCTGTCGGACTCTGACGAACTGCTTGCTGTGGCCTCGTCGTCTTCGGCATCGTTGGTTGCATCGGTCTCCTCGGTAGGTTCGGGCAACGAACCAGGGTTGTGGACTTTCTGGAACGAAAGTGTATCGGTGAGCTTGCTGGGATCGACAGGGCCTCGACAGTTCTGACACTTGATCAAGGGAGAGATATCGTCATCAATTGCGGCTGGGTTTGCAGCTGCGTTGTCCATTATGCGGATCCAGCACTCAGAGCACACGTGGTGTCCGCAGGGAATGTAGATTGTGGCATTTCCAACGCTGTCCATACAGACAGGGCAAGTTCCATTTTCTTCACCGTCATTTGTTTTGATACGCTCGACAACGGCGGCGGTCAGGAGTTTGGCGTTGGCGATTTTGTCTACCCCGGGATCGCTGGCTGCGGGCGCTTCCGTTCGGAACTCTTTTATGAGAAGCGGATGACAGCAGGCTTGTCGAAGACGGAGAAGAAGAGCCAGAACATGACCGTAGTTACTTCCCAGTGTACCAGCATCCAGATATCGGTTGATTTGGCGTTGAGTGTTTGCATTGAGTTCGTCATACACCTCGCGTTCCTTGTCACTGAACAGCACTTGAACCTTCTCAGTGATCTTTGGCGGGAGTTGCAGGATCGGTTGACCGTCAATTTTAGAGGCCTTCGTACGTCGAAGACAGACAGATTTGACGAGGACTCGTAGCTGCTTCATTACGTCTTCACCTCCCCAGCCCTGTTTGATGCGTTTCGTGAAGTCCTGCACAATTGTGTTAAGTAAATCCAGGCTAGTGGCCGATTGAGTTTTTGAATACTTACCGATTTGAACTTTTTCGCGTTGCTGTAGGGTCGGATTCGCAGGAATCCCAAGAGAGATTGGAAATCTTCAAGGCGGTTCATCATTGGCGTACCAGTCAAACACCAGCGATAAGTGGAGTTCAGGCGACAGCATGCCATGTTAGATTTGGCATTGGGATTCTTGATATTATGTGCCTCGTCGATGATGACTCGATGCCACTTGCAGGCAGGGCTCAGGGGACCAGCCGTACTTTTGAGGTCTCGAATCAGGTCTTGGTCCTTGCCCTCCATTGCCATCTCTTCAGCCCTGAGTAACGTCTTGTAGTTCGCAGTGAGCGTGCCAAATGTCGTGATAACGACATCGTATTTCTTGAGCTCTCGCCAAGGCTTCTTGATTGAATGATAGATCAGAACCGACAACTGATGCGGGCCTGCTTTCACATGGCGCTGGATTTCAAGTCTCCATTGATCCATCAGAGACTTCGGGGCAATGATCAAATTGGGACGTCGATCGACATCGGTGTATGGGCGGGCAACCATAAGCGCTATCGCCTGAATGGTCTTGCCGAGGCCCATATCATCTGCGAGGATCCCGCCTTTGTGGTTGCTTTCTTCCTTGGCCTTCATCCAATTCAAACCAATTGTCTGGTGTTTCATCAATGTGACTCGAAGTGCACCGGGCGTTTCATCCCTGTCTGCTTTGGTTGCTTCGCGGATATCCTTGATACCAGCGAGCAAGTTCTTGATATCTTCAGGAAACTCTTTCTCGTCGTAACCCCTACGATCATGTCAGTGCCAAATAAACCCGTTTCGGAAGGCGAAGGAACATACGCCACATCAAGCTCGTCATCGAACATCTCTTCTTGGTTGCGGACCAAGTCAAAAGCCTTATCATAGGGTCCCACACCCTGCGATGGATACCGTGAACCGTCCACCCAAGGAAGAGACCTGGGAGAAAAATGTGCATATGGCGATTGGGAATTATGGGATTGGAAGGGATATGCGGGTCTGGAGTAATTCTGAGCAAGAAACGGGTTCGGAGGATATGCAGCGTGGAGGTTATTGAGGGTGTCCAAGAAACCAGATCGGCGAGATGGCGGCGCCCCGGCTCGAGTGTTGAACGAATCAGCAGTAATTTCTTGAAGATCATCATCGGAGCCAATACTAGGGTAATAACCAGGGACACGGGGAGGAGAGTCATAGGGATTCGTAGGAGCCTCCATTTTCACTTTCGTCGGTTGGCTGCGATCAGGAAGATTCCACGAAGGCTGATCCTGGGTGCTAGGAAGCAGAGGTTGATAGTGATTCTCCTGAGCCTGCAGCATTCGGGCCATTTCCGCGTCACGCGCCATTTGGAATTCCTTCCTCATATCCCGTTGCGAATCTTCCAACTCCTCTCGAAATTCCCTCAGGACATCGGCCACGGGCTTTCCTTGCATTCGAGATTCTTCCTCCAACGCTTCGGGCTCCATCAATTCCTCGAAAACGAGCTGATTCTCAGCAAGCATGCGTTCCTGGAACGCAATGAGATCATCTAGTTTAGATCTGTGAGAGTTAGGCTTCGGGCACACAGTCCTCTTGGATGGCCCTGGCAATGTGGGCGAGCTGCTAGAAAGCGGACGCGGACGTTTGCGAGAGCTTTCCGGTGGAGGTGATCCAGGAGGAGACATTGATGATAATTGCAGCATTCCCTGTTGAGAAGAAGGGGAGAAAGCCGAAGGCACAGGAGGCCGATGGTGTGTTGAAACAAAGTCCCCTGGTCTTCTAGGCAAGTGATCTGACGGCATGCGTGCAGGTTCAGGAGCAGGCGTGGGCGGGGTGTAAGATGAGGCAGGCTGTGCTGGCGCAGGTTGTGTCGGCGCAGACTCTTCTGGTACAGTTTCACCAAGTAGCCGAGCGACCTGGGACTCCAGCGACTTGATGGTGGCCATCATTTCGGCTGCTGATTCGCCATCGCCCCTGCTCGCCAGGAGATCCTCATACAGGAATTTATGCAGGTCAATGTCTTCAAGAAGGTCTTTGATCTTGTCCTCTTGGGACTGGCCAGTCTCTGTGGAGGCCATAATTCACCAGTCGCGATTTTGACGGGTAAAAGATTCTCATGAACACTCCGGGCGCGTGGCAATTGACCTGACGCTGGCAGAATTCAAGGACGCAAAACGACAGAACGGACAACGCCAACAAAATGGCACAAATGAGTGCCAGAAAGAGTCGCAAGTGAAGGCCCCAAAAGGAGGCTTAAATGAGGGATAAGTGATCTGAGAAAGCGTCAGTTGACCTTCATAAGCAAACTGGAAGGGGAAGCGGGAGTTGGCAGATGGCGATCGCATAGAAAACAAAGCAAAGCAAGGAAATGATAGATCACGTCTCTATCTCCGTGAAGTGGGGGTCTGGCAGGGGTCAGACTAACTGGATAGTCTCTCGAGTACGGTCGATAGGTTCGCCCGGGTGGATCGTGAAGTGAGGCTGAGGGGCAGGTATTGCGGGATGACGGAGGAACTGATACACTTCGTTTTATAGAACAGCGTGCCCGATCAAGGAAGAACAAGACAAGATGCTCCTCTCAACTATTAGATGGTCCCCGGGCGGGTCCGTGTTCGCCTGACGGGGTGTTGAAGTTCTTAAAATGTCATCGTGAGCATTTGGCCAAGGATGCAGGGGTATTCTACACTACAAAGGGCCACTTAGGCACCTGGACTAGTTCATTGAGAGACATGTACTTCAAGGTGTCTCAGCTCTATAATTTTGCATCGCTATATTTAACCTGACTACTCCTACACGACTTCAATTAAATTTCGCGAATTTTTGCAACTTGATATCGACGCGCTCTTATCAGCACGTGATCAACGCGTCAAACTGCGTTGACAAACATGACAAACTGTCAAACCGGTCAAACGGGCTTGCCCTATTCAAGGCGATTTACACCTCAGGTCGCAAATTATAGTCCCAACCTACCCCGTACAACCTCATTGCTCCATTTCAGACAAGACTGTGACTCATATGATGGGCCGAGGTAATTGCCGAATTACATATCAAAAGACAAATAGCAGCACCACATTCCCACGTGGAGCTGGGCTGCATTTAGTTCCTATGTGCAGATAGAGATAGTATCAATCACAACGAAAGAGCGAGGTCTCCGACCGGTAGCCAAGACGTAAATCAAGGGAGGAAACTTGCAGTGTTAGAGAAATTCGCTCATAATGTGTTGAGCACGAAGCTTCTGATCATTGTTCTTGGTTTTCGTTCTGTAAGGCATTATGCACTTGTTTTCTTCTATCATCGATCATCTGCGAACTCCCCATCTCATAATATATCCGCAGACAGACTTAATGAAAAGCCAGCTATCATGGCACCAACACATCCATTGGCTCGACTGTGGAAGGTGAAGTCCATACAGCAGATTCTCGTGAACCATTTGGCAAAAAGAGACCTCGCCGCAATGCGTCTCGTCTGCCACAAGTTCGCAGTTGACCTTGAACCATTTCTTTTTGCGGACATCGAAATCCGGTTCCGCTAACTGACAATCCAAATGACAAGTTTTGCGTATGAGCCCGGCCAGCCGACAGACCACTTGAAGTTCTCCATGCCTATCTCGGCAGTTTCACATCCCTGCAACGATTATTCTTTCAATGGGAAGGCGACAGGGCCGTGTCGCCCCAGTCACTCGTGACAGAGTCAAGTTTCAACGGTGCAGTCAAAGCAAAGGTAGGCCCAGTTTGCCCTCGACACCCTGAGAAGCCGTTGCGACAACTGCGATTCGCCTCTCTCATCCAGGAACACAGACATTCCTTACGGGAGTTCAACTTCAAGAACGTAGCTTTGTGCAGCGGTGCCTCGGACGATGCGCTCGCGCCATTAAACCGACTCCGCGGCAGAGAGGGTTGGAAGCAGAGACAAGATGAGGACGCCGTCGATGTGCCGATAGTGTTGAGCCCAGCTGGGATCAGCCAAAGGCAGTTACAGAGGGTAATCAGTGCTCTACAGCAACAAAAGGGTACCAGGACCCTGAGGAGCCTGGCCCGAGCGAGATCCGAGACCCGCGAACTGCTGGCGGGGAAGCCCGATCATATGAAACGCCTGCTGCGTTCATCAGGGTTCTGGCGATGACGTTGAGGACACGCGACGGTGGTTCTCTTCTCAGCAATGATTTGCATCGGCTAGTGTCGCGGTGAATACCGTATTAGTGCAAACCCCCAAGACACCGCGGTACATGTACATGTGGAGAGTCGGAGGAAATGAGGGAAGGGAAGGACGTGGAAATAGCATAGGACTGCAGATGTGGAGCTAGTAATGTCAAGCGGGAGTTGAATAGCACCAGTAAAACAAAGCCACAAGCCACGGAGATGTTGGGGGAGGACTGGGGAAGGATGGAGTGGATTCACGGGGCCTCGGCACGGCTGGTCACTTCACATGCGCTGAGCTCTTCCTATATGAACTTCACCTGCTGGCATTTTGCTTCTTCACCACAACATCCACCATGTCTCTCAAGAAAGGTATGCTATTCATGTCTTCGCTTCCTCTCCCCAGGAACTAACAACCGACAGATTCCCACCCCTCGTCCGCCGCCTTCGACGTCATCAACCAGACGCTCCAGGCCAACGAGGCTGACCGCAAGGACGCCCTCGAAAAGGCCAAGGCCGTCGTCGCCTTCAACATCAAGAATTCCGACGGCAAAGAAGAGGCCTGGTACCTCGACCTGAAGGACAAGGGCGAGGTTGGACACGGGCTCGCTCCCAAGGGCGGCAAGGCTGACGGTGAGTTGAAATACCCCGAGAGCGCGCGGAACCACCGCACCCCTTCCATTCTCTTTATATGCACATATACTGATTCTCCTTGCCTCTACAGTCACCCTCTCCCTCTCCGACGCCGATTTCGCCCAGCTCGTTGCCGGCAAGGCCAATGCCCAGCGTTTGTTCATGGGCGGCAAGCTGAAGATCAAGGGCAACATCATGAAGGCGACCAAGATGGAGCCTATCCTGAAGAAGGCCCAGGGCGGTGCCAAACTGTGAAGATTTAGATACCCGTTTGACAAAATGTATAAGAATCTCCCCAAGGGTCGATTCCAACTCTATAATTCCTGCGCCTGTGCGAATATACACGAGTGAATGATTTCTATTGCCGGTAGATGAACTTAGTCTATTTCCCTGCGTACATGTATAGTAGTATTCATCAAGTCTCCAAGTTCCGCACATGTCCCTGTCTCGAAACCCGACCCTGGTCCAAAACCACAAAGTAATCCGCATCCTTAACAGCCTCGATGCGATGCGCAATAGTGATAACAGTTGACTGCCGCAGCTCCTGCCTGATAATCTGCTGAATCTCAAGCGACGTCTCCTGATCGACCGACGCAGTCGCCTCATCCAGAATGACAATAGCGCTCCGCCGCAGAACAGCCCGCGTAAGAGCGATAAGCTGGCGCTGACCCTGGCTAAGATTTCTCCCTCCACCTTCGATATATGTATCAAGATGCCAGCCATGCCGAATACACAGACGCTGGAGGATTTCGGTACACTGCTCATCGGTATATTCACCCGTCGGATCCAGATTGAGCCGGATGCTACCTGGAAATAGCACGGGATCCTGCGCGACAAAGGTAACGCGGGTGCGGAGTGCCTGTGTATTGACATCGGCTATGTTGATACCGTCGACGAGAATGCGGCCGGAGTCTGGTCGGATAACGCTTAGGAGGGACATTGCCAGGGTTGATTTGCCGCTTCCTGTGCGGCCGATGACTGCTGTTGTTGAGCCGCCGGGGATGCAGAGGGAGATACCTATTAGGGAGGGTTCGAGATGGGGTGCGTAGCGGAAAGTTGCGTTCTCGAAGACGATGTCGCTGCTGTATTTTGGCCACGCTGCCGGGGGGTTTACCGTCCCCGGTGTTTCTTCTTCGATGTGAAGGAGCTCGTCGACTCGCTCGACTGATACGAAGTCCATTTGGAGTTGGCCGTATTGCTTGCAGAGGGCATGTGTCGACTCGACGAAGTTGTTGGCGGCGATGAGTACGAATGCCACTAGACCCGGTGAGGTATTGGTATATAGAGCCAGGGCCGTGAGGCAAAAGGTTGAGAATGCGGACAAGCCTTCGAAGCGGTACATCAGCCAGCTTTGGAGTGACCAGTAGAAATGATCCATTCCTTGAAACTTATCGACCACGGACATGACTCGATCCTGGAAGCGTGCCTCTGCGTGGAAAGCTCGGACGGTAGTCAAACCGTGCAAAAGCTCACCGAAGTTGGATATCAGTGGGCTTAGGGACACCATTTCGAGTCTACGGAGACTCTGTGATGTGGGAAGGAAGCGCAGGAAGACTAGCACAAATGCTACTGTGAGAGCTAGGGAGAATAAGAGGAACATCGGTGTTGCAGTGGCGATTACCAGCACGGATGACACCCAGGTGATGACCTGGAATGCGATCACCTGGAATTGCTCACTGATGTTGCCGTCCACGACGCCAATGTCAGAGGTTAGACGGTTCATCAGACGCCCAAGAGGGATTGTATCTGGATCATTAGCTATGTACTTGCAAGTCCAATTGTATAGAACATACCCAAATATCGGAAGGTCGCGTGGCTGACACGAACAAGGACTTGTCGGAACAACGACTGTCCAGCGCAGTAGACGATGACTAGCATTAGCAACTGCGCAAAGAGCAGCATCGCCGCTTGGAAGGAGATGATGCCAAAGAATGCCCATAGCCATGGACGGACATCCTCGCGAGGAGACGGAAGTCGGTCCATCGGATTCTGAGGCATGAAGTATATGTCCACAGTTGACGCCGACACCAACCAGGGGCCATTGGAGGATCTATTATCCAGACCTGAGGAGCTTCCCCTGAGCACGGTGGACTGCTCATAGGCCTCTCCCCATCCTTTGAGGAACCAGGATTGCCCAACTGCCATCAATCGGTATGTGGCTAGGACCAGGACGAGGGCAAGCCACCATCTGTACTTTCCAGCCTTGATATAGTTCCAATAGACTCGAGCCTTGACACCTCCTTCGGCACGGTGCTCATCCTCGATGAATTTGTCGGGAACTGCAGCGGTCTCTTCGTCAGGTGTGATTTCTGTTTCAGTATCACTTTCCGTATCAGTAAACCGTAGGGAGGATTCAATGCCGTCAGCCCGGAGTGCCTCTTTATCATAAACAGTCGCATGTCCGTGTCGGATATCGACAATTTGGTCTGCAATCTGGCGAACTAATGCAGTTCGATGCGTCACGAGAACAATGGTGCGGTCTTTCATCAACGGACCTGAAAGGCATTTGCGCACTATCAGCTCAGCCGTATTGTGATCTAGCGCGGACAGGGGGTCGTCCAAAAGCAGAACACGGGATGCACTGTAAACAGCCCGCGCCAGAGCCACTCTTGCTTTTTGTCCGCCAGAAAGACCGATGCCATTTTCACCGACAAAGGACAAATCTCCATGTTTGAATTGAGCTAGATCAGGAAGCAAGGCACATGCTTCTAAGGTTCGCTTGTAGCGTTGATCATGGTAAGGAGCGGAGAACAGGATGTTGTCACGAATGCTCATGCTTTGTAGCCATGGTGTCTGAGCGCAGTATCCCACCATTTCATTCGGGATATGTGATAATCCTTTGAGTCTATCAAGTTCCCCTAGAAGAGCCTGTAGGAAAGCAGTCTTCCCAGCTCCGACCTTCCCGGTGACGATAGTCAATCCTTGAGGAATGCTGACGTCGACGTCAACAAGAACAGGTGAAGCTTTACCAGGCCATGCGAAAGTGCAAGACTGCATTGAGATCGGAGTCGTATCCAACTGCTCAGAGGGTAGACATTCTTTATCCGGCTCTGACATGAAATCCTCAATGCGCCCTAGAGCAATGAACGCATTTATAAGCGAAGTGATGAGGCCAGGAATATCTCGCAGGCGAGATTCCAACATAGTGAACAGTTGCAACGCAGGAAAGATAATGTCAATCCGCAGCTCATGCCCCGCCAAGAAAGTGTAAGCATACAGCGCGACGACCGGGAAAACGCCACTGGCAAAGGCATTGACGAAGCGAATCAAGATACTCCATAGACTGGTCACGATGCGAATATTCAGTTCGTGTTGCCGAGCTTCCATAACCTGCTGGAGCCAATGGTTCTGCCACCCATACCACCGCAGGTGACGGATTGCTTCGACGAACTGGGAGGTTATTTGGAGTCTGGTATCTGTCGCTGCTCGTCTGACTCGCTCCCATCGTAGGAGGGCCCTGGTTATCAGTGCGTTTACTGCCTGCGCAACTAGGACAGCGAAAATACCCAGGAAACAAGAGGGACCGAAGAGTGTCCAGACAAGGACTGTGGCTATCACAAGTCCCAGTGGCTTGTCTATTAAGGAGTCGACCTCCCAAAACCTTTGGGCAACTTCATAAACATCTCCCCGTAACAAGTTGAAGATCTTTCCAAGTGAGGCTGCTTCCTTGGTTTCCTTCTGCTCGGCTTTTTGGTGGGTCTTTTGTGTGATTCGTCGCCAGAGGCTTATCCCTGCTTTACCTGAAGATGTTTGTGTCTCTTGGGTTAAAGTCTCGTCACCTGCCCCATTTGCTTCCCCGTTGAACGCCTCTGGCTTGCCTTCAACCATCAGTCCCAAAATGTTCTTTCTTGATAGGGCCTTCTCATAGACCATCATGATCATTTCACCGCGAGATCTCTCGTAGCATCGTCGACCATACCACAGAAGCAGTACCTGGGATTGTGCCGCAACTAGTCTCAGAGCAAAGGACAAAAGCGCATAAGTCAAGGGTACACGTTTTGGTCGCGTGGGATCTTTCATGGTCTGCAACAGTTGCTGCAACAGTACTGGGGTAGAAAAGTCTGTGGACGTCGTCAACATCTCGTTTAGAGAAAGAATCCGGCTTCACTTACCGCAAAGCATCTGAACTGTTGAAATGGCAGAGACAATAAAGACATCAATGCCATTTGCCCTCAACAGTCGACTGACAACAGACCCCCGGAGACAGCGAAACTTCTCATGCAGACGTCTGTGCTGAAATTCAAATCCAAGTTGCCAAACATCTTGTTCATTTAGTTGCCTTTTGCATCCAGTCGAAATGAGCGGTGCCATCCAGGACACGGTGAGAAATTGCCAAAGTTTCAGATTATCTTCCGGGGTGCGAAAGTCGCTCGATGGCTGTTGACCAACAGCACTGATGTCTATTGGCTGAAGCGATGGTTCTCGGAATGGCATCAAAAGAATCGTTAGGCAAGCCGCAGCCGCTGCACCGGCGGCAATATAGCGAGCGATGGTCTTGTATTTGGGGTTCAGATCTGGATGAGTGGCCAACGATAGCTCAATCGCAAATACAAAGATGTAATACATAAGCATTGATATCGAACATGATCTCGGTCGCTTGGTTGCGATCAGAATCGATGCAGTAGCCTGAACGAGGGTTAGTAGCTGATATCCATAAAAAGAGCATGTTGCTTACCCATGAAAAAGCAAGAACGAATACAGACATATCAATGTCCTGAGGCACGAATTGGACAGTTTCAGCTAAGAGGCCAATAACCGAACAGATAAGAAGCGCGATGGTCCATCGTAGCGGTTGCTTCGGCGCATCTAATGGAAGCTCGCGAGTATCACGTAGCTCCGAAACAAACGGAACAGTCCATTTAGGACGCCAGTGAGAAAAGTACCCCAACACATGGCTCAATGCAGCAAGCAATGCAACGATTGCCGGGATGCACGCCAGATATGGCAATGCACAAGGTGACAGCCACGCATTATGTGAATCCTGGATTGGTTAGCCTGATACCTGATACTCACCGAAGTAAGGGGTCCCCAGCTCATACCCAGAATTGATCACACGTTCTGCTAGCCGTGAGAGGGATCTGATCCATGCTTGATCCGAGCATTGGCAGCTCGTACGTCGGCGATCCAGGTGCTAACGTGGGGCGGGATCAACGTTGCTCCGATCTCCAACTATGGACTTAGGGCATTTCCTTGCATTCTTGGGATATTGGGATATTCGCGTAAAAGGGGGTCTCGACTAAGGGCAGCTGTGGTGCTTCAACTTTGGGCAATGCTACGTGAATTTTGTCGATCAATGCGGGAATTCATCCGCCGCGGGGCCGCCTCGACGCTGGCATGTCTTGGCGCGTGCAGTAGCTATACCGCGTAAAAAGCTATTTTAGATCACAACACAACCATAGTGGACTTTTTCCGGGAAGAAATATGTTTCCTTAAGCCAATTGTGCTTTCACGTATCTCATTCAAGTTTAGAAATTGGTTATAGATAAACAAATGGTTAAATATGCTGCACGGCTCGTTTTAGAACTCTCGTTTTACTGTGCAATAAAACAATAATTCCATGAATCTCTTCAATCGAGGAACCTTCCACGGCGAATCTCTCTAAGGTGTCTATTGTGTTCTTTTGTAGGGTATTGATATCAGGGACTAGGTGCGCCAAAGCTGGCGAGAGAGAACCCAGGGTGAGGAGAACAATGGAAGAAAACATTCTAGAATTGAAGAAATAGGTCAGTCAAGTACACAAAAACTGATTCTTATAATGGCATACGTATGGATAATGATCTCCGCACAGACCGATGGATTCATCAATCTTCGGGTTGAAGCATCCAAGTATGTACGGCAATTGGCTAAGCTAGCCTCACATTGCGTGAGTACCATGGGGGGAAGATCATTCTCTGCCGGTGAATCAATAGCACAGAGGAGGAATGGTCTTGTAATAATATCTTTGGCGGAATGGAAGCGGTGGAGCATATTAAGCTGAAGACCACTGCACCGCGACGGATCATTCATGTCTGGTTTGATATTTCGCGGCAATAGTTCAAACCAGTTATTGAGTTGGCAGTCAAGTTCTTGAGAGACATTTAGGATGTTGGATAAGGACTGGAAATCATATGAAGGACTGTCACTTGATGCAGGTTGAAGACCGAGACTACGCCTCGTCCAGTCACTTCCGTACATAGTGTGGTGTACTCTGTTCAGCAGGCGGCGTACTGAAAGTTCGGCAAGGAAAAGATGTGTCTCTTCGGCCCCGTGGTTTGCAAAACTTGGGAAGGGGGTCAGATCAATGACATGTTCAATGCCACTGCGTGGTAAGTGATGCTCTGCTATCAGATCGCTGCCAAATCAATGTCAACATAATTTTCATCTTTCAGGTAGAGCTAGGAACTAACCACTCGGTGTCGAATGCCGCCCAGGACAGTAAGATAATGCTGGACTTGAGCCCAAGGTTATCTGGTGAAGCCTGACTTCTTTTGGCGGCAGATAACTGATCAGCATAGTGCCAACGAAAAGGAGAGGGCAAACATACCGGCTATTGAGATATTGAATACTGGTAGAAGCCATATGAATCAACTTCCATGATTGCAAAGGGCGTAAAAGAAACCCGAAGTATTTTGAAACGAGTATCAAGCTCTGAGGAAGAGTGATAGTTGGACAGAATGATAGCAAGTACTCATTCATCAGTATCTGCAGCGCAGGTGAGATATAATCTGCCCCTGGTACCCAGTGAGGAGACCTGGACTTTGTCGGATCCACCTGTTCGAGAGCCGCAGATCCTAAAGCGAGTATTGCAAGACATAATGCAGAATCGCAATCAACCTTGAGCCCAGCCCGAACATGGTGGTGATAAATCTCCAAGAATTGTGGCTTGTCAAGAATTGGCATTTCAACGTGCACGTGTCTGAAGTATGCTTCCACCAGTGGGTAAGAGCTCAATTCATCCAGTGCCGGCAACTGGCTCTCAGTAATTGTACCCGGGACAAAGGATAGTTGGTATGGGATCTGTCGGTTTGACTCCGCGCGTATGAACAGGTCTGGTGGGAATTCTCCGAATAGAACCTTCATTTTGTTCATATGCAGCATGTACTCTGTTGTCGTTGTGTGGCCAATAGGGATACTCATGGGTGGAATATCATGTTCGGGTGGCATAAAGGAAGGCTGATTAGTACCGATAAGTCGAGAAATATCGGGATTCGGCCTTGATGGGGAAGACATTATCATTGAAGGTTGAGAAAAATCAGTCTGATCATTTTCGGAAGTGGCCGAGGGAAAAGTGAAGCCATCGTTTCTTGCTTCGCCAGTTTGGGGTGTCGCAGGGAGACGAGACTGATTCCACAAGAAATTCTCAATTGCATCGAGACGTCCAAAGAATTCTGATGAGGAGGTCTCTCCCCTTGACCTGTTGAAATTCAGCAAGTCTCCCAATTCTTCCGGATCTCGAATACTGACCTGGAAGACTCAACTTCATTGTAGATGCACTCCACGCCTGAGTCCTCGCAAAGGCCACAGGAAGGGATCCCACCATTGCAGCGGCGTTTCCTGCTTCTTCATTAGTGTATAGACAATAAATTAAGTAGGACAAACTCACCGCTTTCGACAATGGTTACACGCTAGGGAAACACGCTTACGGCGATCCATATGTGCCCAGCAGAGGAATGTCGAGTAGGATGAGGTTCACGGTGTCGGATGGATCCGCCTCACTTCCGCTAACGTAATCTCCACTTGATGGATAATTCATCTCGACTTGACTTCTCGTGCTTTCTATGGATGTGATCAGGCTCCTGTTTTTGTGTTAAAGAAGTAGTTATCGGTGATCCAACGATGGTACAACATTTGAAACCAACGAATTGCAGACTACTCCCTGCCTTGAAGATGAATTTAGAATGTAACTCATGTTAAGGAGCTCAGAACTGTTAGCTATTCCACTACCTGAACAATTAACTATACCTAAGACTGCTGGTCTCTTGGGACAGAAAGCCTACCTGGCGACTCGGGCCACCGCCGTCCGATCTACAGAGTGGGGAACTGTAAGAGGGACTCTCTGCTCGGCTGCGTGTGCTCCGTCTGATCAGTTCCCTTCATAATCCCTTGCAAGTACACGGGATCAGAAGATCGGCTGACAGAGCTCCGGATACCTCAAGGTAATTGTTGCAGCAAAGTTGGATATTCGAAACGAAGCTGTATTGCCTCCAGATTCGGTGTCCGCATCTTGCCGCTCTGTTCCAGCGATACCAACATCCAATACTTTCACTCCGTCTAAGTAGAATAAGACTAAGCTCAGGTTATTAGTACGATCTGACTCTAAGTATAAAAGCGGCAGCCAGGAATCTCAAATAGGCAACCCCCACCCGCGGCAATACGATACGATACACTGGACAACTTATATAGAGCCTCCCCTCTGCTATTTAGCCTGCTTGCATATCCTTGTATTGCATCATCTTTCACTGCATATCAGCTTCACCTCTCAGACCAAGATCACATCATGTCTACCCAAACCCCCTCTGGAGGGGACCGAGCCTCATTGACATCACGAGTCATTCCCGTTATGACTTTATCAGAGGGCTCCAATCCACTTACTCGCCCTCTTGATCCTGTTCCTTTCACATCTGCCCAGGAGCGGGCAGCAGCCCGATTCCAAGTCAACGGAAATGCCGTCGTCACAGGCGGGGCTGGCGTTCTCGGCTTGATCTCCGCACAAGCTCTCCTCGAACACGGGCTATCTTCATTATGCCTTATGGATCTCCCAGGAACACTCGCCACGTCTGATGAGCAAATTCAAGCACTCGTATCAAAATTTCCCTCGGCCAACATCAACAAGATCCCTCTAGATGTGACCTCCATGGAATCCATCGAAGCCGCCTTCGAGCAGGCAAACAAAGCCATGGATGGAATCGACGTTCTCTGCTGTTTTGCCGGGATACCGGGTTGCCAGCCATCTCTCACAGTGACACCTGGTCAGTTCAACCGAGTAATGGACGTCAATTTGAACGGGTCATTCTTCTGCGCCCAGGCCGCCGCAAAGCGCATGGAAGCCTCAGGAAGAGGCGGGTGCATCTTGTTTACTGCTTCCATGTCAGCTCACTATACCAACTACCCACAGCCACAAGCTGCATACAATGCAAGCAAGGCTGGGGTCGCGCATCTGACTCGCAACTTGTCTGCTGAGTGGGCGGTGCATGGGATCAGAGTTAATAGTATTAGCCCTGGGTATATGGATACCATCCTCAATGCTGGTGCTGGACTCGCGGATATTCGGAAGATTTGGGATAGTCGCTGTCCTATGGGTCGGATGGGTGATCCTGAAGAAATCACTGGGGCTGTTGTGCTTCTCTGCAGCCAGCGCGCTGGTCGGTACATCACTGGTGCTGATATCGTTGTTGACGGTGGCACCTTAGCTTTCTAAGTCTCTTTCAAATGGCGGGAAGTGTTTGTATTTGATGGTAGATGAGATGCATAAATTATCATATTTTTCTGTCCTTCCAGTCTTCGTATGTCATCTTGTAAATCATGTGCAGCGCAAGTCAAATTCTATGTCTAAATCCAAAAACCCGATAGTCCTTGAGCTTTGTCGGCTTCCATAAAGAAACCCCCTTTACCGGCAAGTATAACCACCATCAATCCGAAGATCCGCACCAGTAGTGTAAGTACTAGCATCACTAGCGAAATACACATAGGCACCCTTCAACTCCTTGGGATGACTTTGCCGTCCCATGGGAATCAAGCTCCTCCAAGTGTCTTGCATTTCAGCAGGGCAAAAGTCGCCAAGACCCGTCTCAATATAACCAGGCGAAATAGTATTGACACGAGCAAAGTCCCTCCACTCATTAGCCAAGGAACGAGCCATATGAATGCAACCAGCCTTGGCAACGTTATAAGAAGTCTGCTCCTGAGGATAATTGACAATGTGGCCAGACATAGAAGCAGTAATCACAAAGCTGCCCTTACCACGCGCCTTGAAATGCTGACCAACAGCCTTAGCGCAGTAAAAGACAGAGTTGAGATCTGCCTGAATGATACCCTCCCAATCTTCAACCGAGCCATCGAGAACACCAGCATCAGCGGTGCGACCGGCATTCGCAATGAATGAGTCGATCTTGCCAAAGTCGGAGATGACGTTCGTGACGAGGTCTTGCACTTCGTTCCACTTGGCAGTGTCGCATTTGTACGCTTTGGCTTTGACGCCGTATTCTTCTTGTAGGGCTTTGGCGTTAGCTTCTGCCCCTTCGCGGCGTGAGAAGTAGGTGATTGCGATGTCGGCCCCCATCTCGGCACAGCCGCGGGCTGCTTCCAGGCCGATTCCTCGAGGGCCGGAGGCACCTGTCACGACCACGACCTTGTCTTTGAGACTGAAGAGGTCCATGAGGGAACTGGCTGCGGGGATTTCGATAGGCATGGTTGGTGTATAGGGAGAAGAGGATCGAACAGAAATAGAAAGAAGTTGAAACGTGAGATTCTGTTGGTATTATCTGAACAGAGATGAGGAAAATCACACACCTTTTATATCTTTCAATTGCTCTTGGAGGGGCACAATGCGACGGTGAATTAACCTCAATGTCTCTACCCATCTCCACCCGGCGGAACATAGGCGGCTTCATCCCGCCAGGTACCCCACACTGGGTCTCAAGCACTATAAGTCTCTGCCAATCAAATACACAAGGAACTGAAGGGCATCGTCACCTTCAGAGTTGAAAATAATAGCTTTACCCCGAAATTACCCACTCACGGTGGAGCCACACGGAAACGCGCTACGAGTGGATGACCTCAGTAAAGAGAATGTTAATATTGAAATCAAACACACCAACAGATCAGAAAATAGCAAAAGCATTCGGCGGACTAGCGACACCGCCAACAACCTAGAGGCAATTAGCGAAACCCAACGACAAAGATAAACAGATAAACTTACCTTAAGAGGCATACTCGACAAGAAGAAACTATACCGCCCAGTCTGCTTACAATGCCTAGACAACCCCTCCAAATCAAACATCTCCCCAATAGGAGTACCCCAACCAGCTAGCACCCACTCATGCAAATTAAAGTCCGAATCAGCATGCGCACCGCGAATAGGCGCCCGCTCAAAGCTAGGCGCATCACCGGCAACAGCAGCGAACTGCTTCTCCCACAACCACCGCACCATCTCCTCCGTCGCCTCAACGCCATTGAAATCTGGAGATGGGCGAAGCGCCAGCTGCTTGCGCTGATCGTTGTTTAATTTATTGTATGCTTCTGTGAAACCGCTGCGGATGAAGAGGATGTCGCCTTTTTGGAAGTTGAGGTTGTAGTCTTTTGCTACTTTTTGTAGGTTTTCTAGGGTTATGGCTTCTGATGTGAGAGCTGAGACGGAGATTGAGTTCTTGGAAGCCCATTCGGCGTAGTCGAGGAGGATCCCGCGGCCTGTTATACCGCCGTGGTCACACATAGCTGCGCGGATTGAGTTGTTAGTAGTCAACTTAAGGGATTGGTGAGGATATGGTGCATACAGTGAATGCCGATTGTATCTGAGCTTTGAATCTCTTCTGCGGTATGTCCATTATAGAATTGTCGTGACTTCTGGTTTGCTATAATACCGAATAGTTAGCAGTTGCAACAACCGTCATAGATAGCACCAAGAATAGCCAACCATAATGCCTAAACCCATCCCATTGAGTAGACCCCTGGCTATTGAACGTCAAAATATCATCAAAGATACAATTAGGAGTCCGAAGCACGATTTCCTGTTTGAATGGATCGCGATTGAAGCTAGGATGCGAAGGCATGCTCAGCGGCCAGTCGAGTGAGACCCGCACGCCTGTTCGGATTTCTTTCGCAGCTTCAACTACCCGCTCGGGGGTGAGCAGGTTCAATGTTCCCAGTTGGTCATTTTCGCCAAAGCGACCCCAGGCATTTCCTCGAGGGCCTTTCGGGTCCAGTGGAAGGGCTTCGAAGGGAATTGGTGAGTCGTCTGTTTTGGCCATGGTGTTGGTCTTGGAAGCGCATGAGTCTTAGTTTCAGGGAGATAGCAGATGAATATAGACACGTATCTCTAATTGAACATGAATTGTTGTTGAATTGTTGCGCCTCGGTGTATCTTTATGCGCTCATCCCGAACCCCCACATCCCCGGATCTCCGCAGTCGGATAAGTATCCGATGGTCGGTGATGCTCCGTACATTTTAAGCATTTTAGACTCTTCTCGAAACTTGCGAATATATTATATTCAAAGTAGATAAGTGACTATATACACAATAACTCTACAGAGTAAAGTATGCAATAGTGGCAGCGTACGTAGCCAAGTTATCACTAACCTTGGCCAATGCAACACCATCCTTCACAATCATATACTGTGTGCCAACAGTACTGAGTGCGTATACCACCAGTCCACTCGTGGTACCTTCGATACTAAATATCATACTCTGACAATTCTCGGGCAAGGGGAATGTGGAGCATGTGGTGCTGTAGTTGTTGAAAAAGCTGTACAGACCCGCTCCGTAGACGATGACACTCTTGCTGTCGAGGACCCGGAGGCCGAGAGCGTTGCAGTTTCCACCGAGACATGAGCTAAAAGTGGGATCTCTGAGAGCAGTGTTGGTGGGGTATGGACTGTTGGCGGCATTGGGGTTGGGTTGGTAGTATCTGTATCGTTAGCATTGCATACACTTATCTTCAGGCAGGGGATGTAGCATAGATAGGAAGCACTTACGGTGTTTCTGTCTGGATAAATCCGGCCACTATAGAAGTTGCACCGGAGAACTGATACTGATACAGCGAGTGATGCTCGGAGCCAGTGCCATACCTTGTAACGAGGTTAGCAATGAGACCCAAAAATTGTGGGCTTCATATGAATCACTTACAGCCAAACATTCTTGCCTTCCACCAACAAACCACGTCCTGTATAAATTGAGATCTGAATATCGTTCCCAGTATCAAGATCATGGTCGGCGGTCCAGAGCCACACATTCTCCAGATAGACACCACTCGCAACGCTGGTAATATGCATGGACATATATGCAGCCTCACAAGCGGCGGAGACAGCTGCTGAAGTTGGACACTGAGGAACCTGCTGCTGAGATCCCTTGAAGCCACCGATGCGAGTGTGTACATCCCACATTCCAGACCCTGACGTGGCAGCCAAGTTCCATTCAATCATTTTAGCGCCTGGTGTTGAGCCCTGGGTGCTGAGTATCATGTCGGACCATTCCACCGAGCCAGATTCTCCGGACTTGCCGATTTGGATGACAGGAACGGGGTTTGTAATGCTAGACCATGTACTCCCGCTGGCCATGATGACCGGGAACGCCTCGCCGACAATTTTAGAGCCAGGGGGAACGTAAAGGGTTCTGGTGACCTTGTAGGTTCCCTGGTCAAAGAATAGAATCTTTCCGGAAGACGCAGCAGACGTCAGGGCGGATTGGATGGCAGTCGTATCATCAGTCGAGCCATCTCCCGTAGCACCCGAGTTTCTGATGCTGACAAAAGAAGAGACTGGTGATTGGGAATACTGAGGCTTGGTCTTGGTATAATACTTAGTTGATCCACTAGCGAGCAAAGCACTGGGACGCGTAGGTGGCGCAAAAGAGCCCTGGAAATTGCTCGGCCCATTAGGAGTATACTTGTGTCCTTGACCCCAGGCACTGATAGTAGTTGAGCCTGTGGTGCCGGCAAGAACGGTGCCGCCTGCGCCCTTGACTGCAACAGGGACATTGTTAAGGACGATGTTTTCCAGAATGAGACTTCCAGAGGAATTAGTCGAGCTTTGCCAAGCGGTGGTCACAAAGGTCGGGGTGTTTTGGATAGTGCTATCAATGACAATTACCGAGCCAACTAGTTGGTTTCCAACACCACCATTGCTGATTGAAATAGCAGTGCCGCAGTTGATAATGACGAGACCTTGGTAAGTCCATCCCCAGTCCCAAATCTGAGAGATTGCAGTTACTGCATTCTGGATGATCATGTTCCGCATTGTGAATTGCTGGTTGCCGACATTGGCTCCATAGAGACCACCAGTAATGGTAACATCGGTCAAGAAGCCCCCGGAGCCTGGTTTATATTAGACAATTTCAAGAGATTTTGTATTTGAACATACCATTCTCAATAAAGATACCCTGGTGTTGAGTCCCGGAAGCCGAGCTCATCACGATTTGAACATTCTGAATGCTGGTAGCTTGACCAGTCGGCCAGTGAATACCAGTTGCGGCAGTGCCAGCAGGAATTGAAGTCAAGTCCAGTTTAAAATTTCGAATCTGTCTGAAAAACACATTTGTCGATATCCAACCCTGATTCCCATCGTTTTGGTATTGGTCACCATCAATCAGGCCCAACCCGGTGAAGCCTGCAGTTGCTTTTAGAACGGGCATGGCATTCGCATTACCAATAAGCTGTGTAAAATAGTAATCAATAATCGATGTTGAGATCAGGTATGTTCCAGAGGGGAAGTAGACTATTGCGGGAGTTGTAGTCGAGGTCTGTCTGCCAGCCGGGCCAAAACGACCACCAGCGCTTATGGCTGCGTTGATGGCTGCAGTGTCGTCGGTGACTCCATCACCTATCATGGTTGTTAGTGACCGGCATAACTGGATGGAATCATGACCATTGGGTGCTCACCCTTGGCTCCATAATCTTTCACATTGCGGAAGACAGTGTAGCCAGAGGGGTTTGAGTTGAAGGCCGCTTTTCCTTGGTGAGCAATGTCTGCCAGCCAGTATCCTGTATCTGCAGCTGCAGCTGCAGCTGCAGCTTCGACGATAACATCCTGAGCTACTGGGGCATCAGACTCCACGGGGGCTGCAATCGAGGCAGTTTCCGTGGGAGCATCAAAAGCAGTATACTGTTCAAAAGGGCGCATAGCCGCACTGATCATATCGTCCATCTCGGGGATCTCTAGCAGCTGCGAATTGACACATGCCAGCAGCGAGAGGGTGGTGATCACAGTAGCACAATACATGTTTACCTTCAGGCACTGGGAGTGCAATTCCGTGAGAGATAGGATGTGGGCCACTAAGAAAAGCGCGGGGGAAATCACCGGGCACGCATGCCCCCTTATGTATGGCCATATCTCGGACAGGCTAGAACAGACTCAATCGGAGACGCGATCTAAGAATGCACTACGCGTGACAAAAAAGGAGGTGGATCCTCTTCCCTGCAGCATGCTCAGTCCCGAGGGCCAAGAATCCCACCCCGAGATACCACTCGAGTCTAAGAAATAGATTGCGAGTGACTGTATACAGGGGTAACCATTGGCAGAGCACCATTGTCTGAAGAAGTCCGTCAAATTGCCACGCCGTGCACTTGCCTCATGATGCGCAAGTGGAAATGAGCAGTAAATGGCGCCGATCTTTCCCCCCACAAAAAGATCTCCCCTGTCTCTCTAGCTGCATGTCAACCAATAGTCAATCAGAGCCACACATCACATTGTGCAGCAGATAAGCTAAATTGTTAGTTGGACGGGACATTTCCGAATAGGAATGGAATGTGACTAGTTGCAGGAGTTATTGCAGCCACATTTGAAGAAATGTGAGTCAGGGGTCATGTCCCGTGTGACAGACAGGGAGTTCAATCTTTATATTCATGTATAGTTTCCGTCTCGGACATAAGTAGTAAAGTGATGTTCGTGCAGACTTTTGACTAACTCTGATTAACCTAAATAGCATTAAGGTCAGGAGACCCATGGAAAGGCCATGCGGGGGAAAATAAGTCTCTCGCCAATGATTTTATTCATATCATGTCACACTCACCGGGCTTTATTTAACCTGGCGCGAATGGTGTTACCCTTCAAGGCATTTTGGGGAGAGTTTGATGGGTTCCTTGCTTCGATCGGTCAATATAAATTCCAGGTGCCCTCGCGCCAAGCAACAATAAGGAGTGTCATGATCTCATGTAAACCATCGTTTTGCCAAGCAAGTAATGAACGGGGTGAGCCCCCAAATGTCAGAGAGAAGCGAGAAATTGACACTCTTACTATACTTGCAAGGTTGACGCTCCAAAAGATCCGGGAACTTGTATGCAAAATACGCGACATTTTATATATGTTGAACACAAGCGCATCCTGTTGACTGTGTATTCTATTGGAAGTTGGTATTCCTACTCCCTGGCGTCATAATAGGACGATATGAGAGGTTATACCTACGTAGAAGTGACATGTGTTTGCCGGGGGGGATATTGTTTATCATTTTCAATACAGTACACATATTAGCGTCGAGTGTCTGCAGATAGCAGTACAATACTCGTATTTGCCTGTATACGCAATACGGAGCTTGAGCCAAGACCCTGGCACGTGATCCATGCATTTTTACCGCCTTGCTACTCTCGAAAAAAAAAAGTAACAAGTGAACTCCATCGCGTGTTTCGAGATTCGACTTGTATTAACAAGGTGTCCAAGAGGTCTTCGCTTTGTCCTCGGCTCAGCATCTCCGGATTCGAAAACTCCCTTGCTGTCAGCTTCCTGCGCGACGGCTCGCGAACGTGTCACGAAACCTCGAAGATCACCGTGCAACCTCATCGAAGGATCTCAGCAACAAATTGGGGTTTGCAATCTGGAGGATTGAGACCAATCAACCAGAGTGTATTCGGCATCGCGTGAGCTGCTTCGAGTTGGCGCGGTAACCGAAATCGTCTTCCGCCGAGGCAGAAGTGAGCGGCAAGTGAGGAAAGTCCTCACGGGATTCTATCGGGAATCAACTTGCATTGCGCTTGTTTATCAAGGTCAGCGTCGAGATCAAGGATATTGAAGTCGTATTCGGACTTCGACTTACCGGTCTCCGTCGACGGTGACTGACGCATTTTGAAGATGTTGAAACGCAATGCCCAGGGTCCTCAGGGGTCCAAAGATGGCGATGGTGGTTTTGGGATGAGCACACCGGATGACAAGCCCTCCAGGGCGACCGCAGCCCAGATGGCGAGCAGGAAGTAAGTGAAACTGCCGTGCCGAGCAAAGACCACAAGCTGACGAAAGACGTGCTTGAACTTCTAGGATCAAAGATGTCCGTAAACGTCGCGCTCCTACGCCAAGTGGAGGCGCATCTGATGCACCTTCCTTCAATCCTTTTGCCTCCGCTGCCCCGGCCGCCCCGGCTCCTCCATCCTCTGGATTCACATTTGGTCAAAGCCAGAGCTTCCCTGGCGCAAGCTCAACGCCAGCGCCTAACCAGGGTGGCATGTTCTCTTCGGGGGCGAACGGCCAATCCGGCTTCAGCTTCGGTTCCAACCCTACTTCTTTCGGATCTCCACCACCGAGCAATCCGTTTTCTGTGAACACATCATTTGGGGGAAATTCTCAGCCGAGCACCAATGGATTCAGTTTCGGGGGTTTCAATGCTGGAGGCCAGGGCTCTCAATCTTTCCCTGGGTTCGGAGCTCAGCAAAACACGAGCACGCCAACGAAACCTGGGATGTTCGGGCAACAAACTGCACAAGGGACCGCTTCCCCTGCCGACGATAGCATGCAAACTTCGCCAGATGCCAAGCCGAAGTCGATGTTCGCATCGCAGCCAGCTGTCGGAGGACCTCCCCCTACCAATCCATTCGCAAACCTCTCGGGCCAGGGTGTATCCAATCCGTTCGCACCACCCAAGGCAACAACCACAGATCAGACGGCTTCCAAGCCTGCAGAAGCTCCGGCATTCAAGCCTCTCTTCGGAGCAACTCCTGCGGCATTGAAGCCATCCGAGGGAGATAAAGACAAGCCGGCAGTGAATATCTTTGCACCAAAGACAACCACGACTGATGAGACGGCTTCCAAACCTGCGGAAGCTCCGGCATTCAAGCCTCTCTTTGGAGCAACTCCTGCGGCATCGAAGCCATCCGAGGGAGATAAAGACAAGCCGGCTGTGAATATCTTTGCACCAAAGACAACCACGACCGTTGAGACGGCTTCCAAGCCTGCCGAAACTTCCCCCTTCAAGCCTCTGTTTGGTGCTGCAGCGTCGAACCCCTCAGAGGGAGAGAAAGAGAAACCGGCCGTGAGCAATCCGTTCGCGAATCTCTCAACGCAAGCTTCAAATAACACCAACCTGTTTGGCGCAAAGACGCCAACAGAGGAAACACCGGCAAAGCCTGCCGAGGCTACAAAGCCTTTCGGGTCCTTGTTCGGGTCAACCACAGCCCCCAAGCCCTCAGAGCCTGCTGGCAACTTATTCGCACCCAAGCCAGCTGGAGACGGGTCTGCACCTAGCAATCCATTTGCGAACCTATCAGGTCAGAGTTCGTTGAGTAATTTGTCCTCGCCAAAGGTCACTGGGTCTGAGGAGAGTGCTGGGAAGCCTGCGGCGGCGACTCCCTTCAAGTCCTTGTTTGGTGCCCCTGCGGCGTCGAAGCCTGCGGAGGCTGAGAAAGAGCAGACGAGCCAACCGGCATTCGGCAACATGTTTGCACCAAAGCCGGCCGCTGACAATGCGGCTGCAAAGCCTGTCGAGGAGACTCCATTCAAGCCGATGTTTGGTGTATCTGCGACGCCGAAGCCTTCAGAGGCCGAGAAAGAGAAGCCAGCAGCCAGTAGTATCTTTGCCCCGAAGTCCACAGATGGAGAGCAGACTCCTGCGAAGCCTGCAGCGGTCCAGCCGTTCGGGTCTTCGTTCGGGGCGTCTTCCGCATTGTCGAAGCCTGGGGATGAGCAGACCACCCCCGCAAAGCCTAGCAATCCATTTGCGAACTTGTCAGGACAGACACCCGCTGGCAATCCTTTTGCGCCTAAGCCAGTGACGACGGAGCAAAACGAGCAGACAGCTGAAAAGCCCGAGGCAACTCCATTCAAATCCCTGTTCGGGTCAAATGCAGTTTCAAAGCCGGCTGAAAAGGAACAATCAGGCGCAGAGGACAATGTCACTGTGAATGGAGAAAAGAAGGCCTTGAATGACTTGGCCAGCCCTGTCAAACAGAGCGCGAACAACATGACCTCAAGTTCATTCGCTCCTTCCTCTGTTACTGCTTCTGGCGTTCCTACCTCTCACTCCAAAGCCAACGCGTCCACATCTCGTTTACCTGGCACGTCGTCTTCAACTTCTTCATCTTCCCCCTCCTACATTCTTCCGCCGGATATTCTTTCTGCTACGCTTGATTTTTCAAACCCAGACAGTCTTTTACCCAGACCTAACATACCTGTTACCTTTGATCTCCCTGATCCCGACGAAAACATGCCTTCCGGTATCAAAGACTCAGAGTGGGACCGTAAGAGTGTCAACAAGCTGGTTTACTGCCGCTACTTGACTGAGTCTTTCAAAGCCGAGATCGCGAAAATTGATCCTCAGACTGATTGCCCTGACGATATCATTATGCTTTACGCTGAAATGCGCCGCCAGATGGGTGTTCCAATCGGCTCGAGTGAAATGATCGAGCATGAGATTATGTTTGGCACCTTGCGTCCTAACCCCGACTATGTTAAAGATGCTGCCCCTGCTACTGCCACCACAGTCCCACAGGCTTCCGCTCCTGTCGCTGCTACCGCTGCTCGTCCTACGGCCTCTGTTGCTCCTGCTGCTTCGCCTCAGCCAGTGAAGGGTGATACTTCTAACACTGTCAATGCGTTCGCCCGATCTTTCTCGTCTCCTGCTCCCGCCCCTGTCTCTGCTCCCACTGTCTCTTCTGTCACCTCTTCCGCCTCCGCTGCGACCTTCCCTGCTCCTACTACCACTTCCTCCTCTGCCACCCCAGCCATCTTTGCCTCCGCTGCCGGGCTTTCCCCGACCCCGGCCACTCCATCTCTGTTCGCCGCGCCATCTTCCACCCGCTCTTCCCTTGCTCCATCTTCGTCTGATTCTCAGAAATCGACCTCCATGCCTTCTGCTCCCAAGATCGATGGTAGCGGTTTCAGGCCCTCAGCTCAAGCAATTGCGGATGCGCAGAAGACCAAAGGAAAGGCCGAAGAGTCCGACTCGTCCGACTCAGAAGATGAGGAGAAGGCTGCTTTCCGCGCTAAACTCGCGGCTGCTCCCAAGATGCGCACTGTCTATGTTCCCGGCCAGGGCTTCAAGAACGTCCCAGATGACAGTGCTTCTGCTCCTGCGCCCGCTGCGCCCGCTCCTGCTGCCAATCCCGCCCCTGCTTCTTCGCTTTTCGGAGCGGCTGCCAAACCTGCCGCTTCTAGTTCCCTCTTTGGGGTCCCATCTACTGGTGCCAATTCGTCCGAGTCTTCTTTGGCATCTACTCCTGCTGCTGCCAGTCCAGCTCCTACTTCTTCACTGTTCGGAACAGCTGCCAATCCTCCCGCTTCTAGTTCGCTCTTTGGGGTTCCTGCTAGCGGTTCCAGTTCCGCTGGCTCTTCAGTCTTCGGTACTGCTCCTCCTATGACCAGCTCAACCTCTTCCATCTTTGGCGGTTCTACCCAGCCCGTTCCCGCTACTCAAAACATCTTTGGCGGGCTGAAGCCTACATCACCCAAGCGCAAGGCTTCGGCCGACGATAGCGACAGCGAGGATGATTCCTCAGCCAAGAAGTCCAAGCCTTCACCTCCTTCTGCTCCCACCGGTGGTAGTCTCTTTGGCCGTGTTTCCACACCGACTCCGTCGGCTACTGGACAAAACTTCACATGGCAGCCCAACACGCCAATTCAGTTTGGCAACTCGCAGCCTGCAAATGGTCAAAACAGCGAGACTACTGCCGCTGCTCCTGCTACCAGTTCCGCTCCCGCTGCCAACCCCGCCCCTACTTCTTCACTGTTCGGGGCACCTACAACGGCCACTCCTTCCGCTGCTTCTCAACCCGCCACTGCCACTGTTGATGGCAGTGCCGATGACGAAGAGGGTGAGCCTGGCGAAATTTTCGACCTAGCCCAGAGCAACGGCGGCGAAGAAGAGGAGACGGTCGTATTTGAGGAGAAATGCCGGGCTTTTAAGCTCACTACCGGCTGGACCTCCCAGGCCAATGGGCCTGTCCGCCTGCTCAAGCACCCCGTCACAGGGCGTGCGCGCATTGTCGTCCGTGCCGAGCCTAGTGGAAATGTTGTGCTGAACACCCTCCTGAAGAAAGAGTTGGTGTACTCAATGACCACAAACAGCGTTCAGCTGATGGTGCCGGTGGAGGGCGGCACGGCCTCACAGTGGGCCATCCGAGTAAAACGGGAGAAGCTCAATGAGTTCTTCAATCTGGTGCAAGAGATCAAGAACTAGATCTTTTTTCATCTTACTATCATCTTGTCCTCCCGAAAGGGAGTGTATGTTTATGTCCAAGCGCATGGCCCCGGTTTAAATTTGCATTTCATTTCTGTACTTCTCTACTTTTATCTTCTGTTTCGAGCCTGGTTGGACCGGCCTGCGCGTAGGCCAGCCAATAATCAATCAATCAATGTTCCATTTCTCTCTCTCCTCCAGTAATCCTCCTGGTTTCTCACTGCAGTCAGATCAGGCCCCGTTTCCAAGACCAGCTTCATCCTCAATTGATGCTTAGTGGCAGTAGGCAGCTCCCCAGCTGTCATATACAAATATCTAGCCGAGACTCTCTTTCCTTAGTCGTGGTGTTACATTGTGAGTACCCAGTGTCTTCGGGACCCTACTCCATGGCCGCAAGGGTTTCAGGTTCATCGTCGTACTTCTCTTACTCTACGTGTTGAAACTGAGCTAGAAGACCTGTCCGGTGCATGAATTGGGCAACGTAGCGGGTTGCCAGCGGCTGAGACGATTTCATCGCATTTTGTCGAATTATTCAATCAGCTTGCTACAGTCGGTCTCAGAGTTCTCTTAGTGGATTTCCGTACGTCTGGCATTGTAGTAAGACATGCTTTGGCGTTTGAGAGCCCTCTCTGCGGGCTCATCGGAATCCACTGCATTGATCGGGACAGGAAATGCTTCAATGCAATACGCATCATGTTCTCGTTTAACTACATCGACAAAATTGTCGTTTTACAAGGTTAGTAGATCTATCAGAGATGGGCAAGTATAGCCAATAGCTCGTCCATTGCAAGAACAATTGAGTATATGGCAAGGATTAAGAGGATCGTAGTGATTGTTAGAAGCGAACTTCCAAGGACCTACCTGCCTCTCGGTCTAGAACTCATGGGTATTGACACCAGAGCCTTGCTCGTGCTATGTTTGAAACTGGTGCGAGATTCTGGACCAGACGGCCATGTCCATATAAGCCAATAATTCTCAGACGTTCTATCTCCGCACTTCACGATGTCTACGCGAACTACAACATAGAAACAGTATTCAAGGGTGCCCCAAAGGGTAAAAGGTATTTTTTATTTTGTAAAACCCGACCAAACCCCAGCTGGGAACAATCATAGATGCAACGGACATGCACACATTTAAGCGTCGTCGACGGTGGTGGTGTGGAGACCCTTGGGGTCCTTGACGTTGACGGCCTGGACGTGGGAGTAGAGGCGCTCCTTGGCGTTCTCCTCGTCGTTACGCTTACGGGAGATGCGGACACGGATACGGAAGGGGACACCCTTGATGCCGGCCTCCCAGACCTTCTTGTTGAGCTGGGGGTCAACGCGGACGTCCTTGGTGCCCTGTATCACAAGAAAGTTAGCCATGTCTCCCAGCTAGAGAGCAAAAGTGGTGACAGTTGAGTCTCGCTCAAACTTACCATAGCCTGCTCGGCAAAGGCGCGGATCTCCTTGATGGCACGAGGAGCACGCTTCTTGAAGCTGACACCGTGGCACTATAATTCCGGAAAAGAAGTTGCAATCAGTCTTCCGCCCGAATGCCATCTGCAAGAGAAAACTCTGCGCGATGAATGTTTGTGGTCTTTCGGCCATAGTGGACTTCATAAAACTAATTCTTCTTTTGTGTTCCGGGTTCGGACATGTGTGGATGCGAGCGAAGACTTTTTCAAGTTCTTCTCTCGGTTTGTCTGCGTTGCGACAAGACAACAAAGTAGCCATGTCGAGCCATGGCTTCACTGCAGTATTTCTCCGCAGATCATGGCGAGGATGGGTGGTGCTGATTGAGATTGGGTGTCCCCTCTCTCTCCCCACACACACTCATACCACACCACACACACACACATTCTGATCCGTAACAAATTCCATATTTCAGGAAAAAGGTCTTGTTCTCTGTCCATTATGCCTCCAGGTACGCATTCGCATTCGAATCGTTCGCAGGTAGACTGTGGGGGAGGGTTTTCAACATACACGCTTGTGGAGGTTGATGGTGTACTCGCGCGACACCACGTCGGCGATAGCCGAGCGCTTGTTACCGGACTTGACGTTGGACATCTCTGCGAGAGGTTAGACGAGTTGGCGAGGTTGAGTTGAGGGGAGACTGACTGAAGGGGTTGGTCGACGTAGGGTGATGGTCAGAAGCAAAAGTTCGCTGGTCGATTTTCTTCTTTCGTTGTGTGGCTCTCGCTTACCGCTGTGGGCTGGCCTGTGATTGGTGGGTGGTGGATCCATTTTGAATGTGTAGTGCCTGATATCTAAGGCATTAATTACCTTATCTACGTCATCACGTGCCTTGTTATATAGTTACAGCTGCATGTTCGAGTCTCGGGATCGCCACATTCATTGCTATAGTCTATGTATTGCTCCCTTTAAGTTGCTTGATAGCATATCCCATGTACTTCCCACTATGTCTACTCCTGACCGGCACTCACATCAGGGTAAAGGTCAAATCGTCGCTGAGTGTAGATCGGAATGCTACTCCGGATGTTGGCGACAGCATCATTGGTCAAGTCAGCATAGACAATAGTCTCCTTCTCCTCAGCTTCAGAGAGAATGTTTGCGCTGGGATCGGCGACCAAGCTGTGGCCATAAGCATTATAGGAAGCATCAAGGTCACGCGCCGGACTGCACAGCGCCACATATGACTGATTGTCAACAGCACGGGCACGGCCAAGCAGCGACCAGTGGAGAGGACCAGTGGTGGTGTTAAATGCGCCGGGGTAGACAAGCAGGAAAGCGCCCTTGCGGGCGGCAATCATGGCAGCTTCGGGGAAACGAATATCGTAGCAGATGGCCAGCCCGATCTTGCCGTAATCCGGAAGATCGATAACGGTTAACTGGTTTCCAGGAGACAGCACATCACTCTCCTTGAACTGGATCTTTCCCGGGATGTCAATGTCGAAGAGATGCGTCTTGCGGTGGGTGCCGATCAGCGCGCCCGATGGCGAGAAGACCAGCGACGTGTTGTAGTATTTCTTGGTGGATGGCTCCAGCTCTGGAATACTTCCTCCAACTAGGTATGCATTTGCCTCGACGGCGATGGCCGACAACGCGTGGAAGGAGGGCGATTGTTCTTTCGTGGGAGGGGAAGGGTGGAGAGTCTCGGCGTATTTAGGAAAGAAGTTCGTGCCGTAGGGCGAGTTAAAGCACTCAGGGAGGACTATCAATCGCGCACCAGCTTTCGCGGCTTCGAGGACTTTGCTCCGAGCATTCGACAGGTTCACGGCCTTGTCCGCTCCTGTATATCTCAATTAGTCGGAAAGAACAGCTGTGGCAGAGAGCCTGGGGAGGTTACCTGATGCGAGCTGCACCAGAGCCAGCTTAAGAGGCTGCTTCAAGAATGTAGTCATTGTTGGGGATATGAAGAAGTTGAGTTGAGGGGAATCGGGAATGGGACATCAATGCGGCTGCGGGGGGCCGGTCATCGTGCCGATAAGCTTTCTCCGACTCTCCGACTCGCCGATGCTCCAAAATATTACAAATCTCAGGCAATTGGGCATATTTTATGTTCTTGTCAATCCGTTGATGCTCTAATACTTGTTTCTGAGGTTGTGGACTATAACTTAGACATGAAACGTAGCGCTGTTACCGCCCTCCTATAGTTCTAATGGACGGACTAGTACCTTGAGAAAGCAAATCGCAATTCTGAAAACGAAGGCAATTCGCTTTAAAGTATAGATTTGATTCTAAGAATTAGACTTGTGATAGCTATCATCTTGGAAGATACCTAATGGACATAACCATATCTCGCACACTAAATATAGTATTAGCAAAACATTATCGGTGTGAGAACATAATTTTGTTCGATTCATGTTAGCCACTAGCACATCTCTTTTCTAGCACATCCGGAAAACACACGCATATGCCCAAGAAATGCGTGTGGTAAGACTCTATAGCCTATACAGTCATGTGAATACAAAGGCTTCTATATACCTGTTCACTTTGCATTTCCCCTTTATCCTAAACTGTAACCTGTAATACAAATATAAAGGCATTTGAAATGCATCATACATTCCACAGAAATTACCTTATTCTATAATTACTTTCGACTTCGAAGAAACTAGGTGAGTCACATGATTAGGGCCAAAAGTGCAGGAACGGACTCCGCTTCCGCTTCCTCCGTCTGTCACCTTTGGAGGTCACTCGAGCACCCATCAGCTCATATCAGAACTTGATGCAGCCTTCTGTGGGGTGCATTGCCAAGTCTCCACCATGGAAGATTTAGTTGGCCGCCATCCAAAAGCATGTTTAACCTGCGCTAAGGCTAAAGTTCGATGTTCACCAGAGGCCAATGGGCCGTGTCAGCGGTCAGTATACAAGTAGCTCGATACTAGTGCGTATACTAACACCTCTTAGTTGCCGCCGCTTGGGTAAAGAATGCGGCAATCAACTACCAGGGGCTCATCGGCGCTCAAAACAATCAGGAACAAATGGCTCGTAAGTTAATCCTGGCATTCGGAATGCTAATTCTGTACCATTCTGACAACAAATTAGCGATGTCGCTATATTGGAAGCCAAGCTGGACCGCATGGTCGCTATGCTGTCCGCCCGAGAACGGCTAGAGGCTGGTTCAGCTCCAAGATCATGTTCTGGTAGGGAAGAAAGTGTCGCGTCTCCCAGTGATGTCGACGGCCAGCTATTGATGGAAGTGTTCATGAATAGAATGCTGCCTCTCTTTCCTTTCCTGGTGATCCCCACGCATGTCACCGCGGAAGACCTGCGTCGAGACAAACCATTTCTGTATATGAATATTTCAATGATTGCATGTCCGAATGCTCCACATCAACGCAAAATCGCTGATGCAGTGCAAGAATATGTAGCAGAGCACATCATCATCAAAGGAGAACAGAGTCTGGATCTACTCCAGGGTCTTCTTCTCAATGTGACCTGGTTCACCACCGTCAGCCGTTTCCCACGGGGTGCTGCTTTCTCTGACACCAATCCTGACGTGCTCAGATACGAGACAGATGCTCGCCATGTTAGCCGAAACATTGCTCAGATTGATAATTTTGTGCACCTTCTTGTGGCTCAGTCAGTGAGCTTGGGTTTAAACCAGATTCCAACCTACCAGAAAAACCTCAACTATCCGTTGACTTATATAAGAGAAACCATACACGGGGACAATCACAATCCTACACGCACATTGGAAGAGCGACGAGCTTACCTTGGGTGCTACTATATGACTACGATGTATGTTCTTGGCCGATTCTAACCAGACTAAATTTATGCTAACCGCCTCAAGGCTCTCTGCGTGTGCGAAAGACTTGGGTACAATTATTCGCTTTACAAAATATACCGAAGATTGCTGCGATGTTCTGGAACAGGCTGCAGAATATCCCTCCGATGGTTATTTGGTTCAATTGGTTCGAGTAATGAATCTTGCAGAAAAGATTCACAACACTATGTATCGAACCGAACTTTATTTTTCATCTGCTCCATCTCCGCCTCTTGAACTGAGCATACGATGGCTCGAAGCTGAACTTAAACAACTCAAAGCTCGAATGCCTTACGAGGAACCATACTCGAGTAAGTGATATCAGCATTTGGGCAATCGGGTATAACTTAGATCTGATGGGTATAAAAACAGCCATTCTCTCATTCCACTACAACACGCTGGAAATTCACCTTTACCGAGTTGCCCTGAGTCCAAATCAGTCCGAATCTCACTACGGCGACTATCCTCTAGCGAGATTAGATCTCCTGTTCCGGGCACTGGAAGCAACAACTTCGTTCTTCAGAAACATGTACTCTCTTCCCGCCTCCCTTTTCCCTTATTTTCCATTCACTGTCATGAGTCAATTCGGAAAGGCGATGATCACCCTTTCCCAACTCTCCCTTCACAACCATGCAGGCTGGGACCGAACCTACGTGGAAAACACGATAGACTTCAACCAGGTGATCAACACTATGGGAGAAAAGCTTAAAGAAAGCCGACCATTCTTCGAACAGGTTCTAAAAAAAGAGTCTGGTCCAGCGGAGCTGCCTGAGATTTTTGAAAGAATGGTCCTTCGAGGGAACGTGATAAAGCAAATGCATCAGAAGAGGAAAGACGCTCTAGAGCAGACCACGCCCTCGGCAACTTTGGATCCCATGGATTACGACTTCATGATGAATGCGCCTTTCGATATTTTATTTCCCTTCGGTGAGATGCCGATCTATACGCAAAATGTTTAACTTCCCAGGCCCACCAGGCACTGGGGCAGACGGAACGGACTCCGTTCCCCATCTCCCAACTGTGTACAAGCAAATACAAGCCTTTTCGTATTTTCAAACTATAAAAGAGGGCTCAGGGCCAGGGATTTTCATTTTGTCGTACAGTAGTCAATTGACTTAGTGTGAACTATCCATCATTGTGCGAAACATTTATCGCCTTCACCATCATGACTGTCCCTCACAATAACTTACGATTCACCTCGAATCACCTCACCAATATCAATGGCTCACAGGGTATCGTCCCAGAAAAATCGGCCCCATCAGGAATCTCAGTCTTGGTCATCGGCGCCGGCGTGGCTGGCCTTATGGCCAGCCTAGAGTGCTGGCGCAAAGGACACGAGGTCCGAGTCATTGAGAAAAGCGCCACGCGAATACTATCAGGCAAGTCAAATGCAACGTCCGGTTGCAAACCCTATCATCTAACAAAAATCCAGGAGACAGCTTCACAATCGGACCAACTGCCATCCGTGCCGTTCAACAATGGCCAGACATGGCAGAGGAGAACGAGAGAATAGCCGACAGCCCATGGATTTCATGGCACAAAATCAACGGTGAAAGAATTTCAGGCCCCGAACCTCTCAGGTTTAACCCTACTGTAAACAGCAGCGGTCAAGTTGAAGCTCCACATCGGGTATACAGGCATAGCCGTCCTGCTTTCCATAAAATGTTATCGGATCAAGCCGAAAGGATTGGAATCATTGTGGAATACGGCAAGAGAGTTACCGGATACTACGAGGTAGACGACAAAGCGGGTGTTACTTTGGAAAATGGAGAGAGGATTGAATCTGACATGGTTATTGCTGCTGATGGAATCGGAAGCAAATCATCTACGGTGACCATGGGTCGAGAGCTTAGAGCTCGTTCTTCTGGTTGGGCGATGTATAGAGCTGCGTTTCCTGTTGAACTGGCAATGGTAGATCCTCTGGTTCGAGAGAGATTCCAGCTGCTGGAGGATGGGACATCCGTGATGGAGTTGTGGATGGGGTAAGAGCGCGATCCTTCTACTGAGCCATACTCGGAACTGTACTGACAATATCCAGAAATGGACAGCACGTCGTATTCGGACGGAGTGAGGAAACCATGACATGGGCAATGACCTATGCAGTAAGCTAAGCCAAATCACTCGAATAAATCACTACTAAGCCACTCGCAGGACGACAGAGACGAAACGGAGTCATGGTCAAAACTCACAGACCCAAAAACCGTTCTCAAAATGACAGCTACTATCCCAGGATGGCCCGAAGTCGCAGACCGAGTGATCAAGCGCACTCCCCTTGACCGTCTTCACGATTTCAAACTGATGTGGCGAGAGCCACAGCCCTGTTGGGCCTCGCCTAACGGGCGTGTCGTACAGATAGGTGATGCAGCGCATACTTTCCTTCCATCTTCTGGTAGTGGTGCTACGCAGGGAATAGAAGACGCGGTTTCAATTGCTGCATGCTTGGGTCTTGCTGGGAAGGATAATGTTCCCTGGGCTTCGAAGGTTCATAATAAATTACGGTTAGTAACAAACTACCTATCATTCAAGGCCTGGTCTAACATTATGTTTAGATTCGAGCGTGTTGTATGCCTCCAGAAACTGGGCATCGTCAACCAAGAGTCCCGGTACCGATCCGTCAATTCCAAAAATGTATCACAATCGAAGTCTAAGGGTTTATTGGCCACTTGGATCTGGAGACATGACCCGGAACGCTACGCAGTCGAAAACTACGAGAAAGTGCTCGCGCATTTGGTGGAGGGTGTCCCATTTGCTAATACCAACATCCCACCCGGTCATGTCTACAAACCATGGACTATTGATGATCTGCTGGGCGCCAAGGAACGAGGCGAGGAGATCGAACTTGATGGAAATTGGGATTGAAGTTCGGACTTGGTTGTATTAGTTGGTACTGTACATTGCATCCATTCAAAGTGTGCAAAGTGTATAAACAATTATAATTACAAAGCCATAGCTCCAACCATGGCACCCATAAGAGCCACAACTCCAAGCACATTGGACGCAGGCATGGCAGCAGCATTACCCGTAGGAGTGCTACTAGCCGCCGCAGAAGTAGAGTTCGCAGCCGAGCTAGGCGAAGCAGTAGTAGTCATCGAAGCAGCACTCGAGCTAGACGGCGCAGCAGTAATGCTAGGAGTCTGCGAACCAGAAGCAGAAGCAGTCGTAGAACCAGAAGAGGAGTCGGACACCTCAGCCTGAGAAGCAGTAGAAGTTGTCGCCGCAGTCACAGTAGCAGAAGTTGTAGCCGCAATGGTAGTGGTAGAAGCAGCCTGCTTTCCATTGGGACCCCAGCCCTCAATATAGTCAGGAGTGACTGTAGCAGTGCCCTTGTATCCTCCACAACCGGGTTTATCGGTCTTGGGGGGCGCGCGGCCGCCGCCGCAGTCGAGGAACGAGCAGATTTCGCCGGTGTCTGGGACGTACCAGAGGTAACTGGCGTAGTAGTCGATTACTATTTCCGAGGATACACAGCCTTCCAGGTCTGTGCGGGCTGTTGCGAGGTTGGCGAGGCTCGTTAGGCCAAGGAGGAAGGGGAGAGTGAAGGACTTCATTTTGGGAGATTGTGAGAGTGACTGGTGGGTTTAACGAGTGACGGCCAGTCAAGTTATTAACGAGAGACGAAGAAAAGAAGGGGTTGCTAAATCTGGCAGGGAAACAGGGAACGCCATGGCTTTTGTAGGGTCCCTTGATTTTAGTCTAAAACATAACGCCACCGGCTTCGGATTTTTCTTGGGGAGATTAGTCTTGGCTAGACGCGATATTTAGTCAAGAAGAGCCTCAGGGTTTGTTTATGGTTTATTAGCTCATTTTTAGTGGTTTTAGCAGGTTTAGTGTGTTGCATGTAGTTAGTCCGCAGTTCTTTGCCCCTGGAAAAAGCGCCGATGTTCCGATAGGGCTAAGAATAGCCCCTTTTTTCTTCTCCTTTTATTTGCTCGACCTGTTTACTTTTTAACTTGTCTCGGTTCTGATTCTTTATTGAAGAGAATAGTTTATCCTTTTACTTGACCAACTTATAATGTGAGCAAATGTGGTGGTATCTATAAAATCTGTCATGGATCGACAGCCGAAATCGGTACTTCTAAATGGATACATACTCTCGCACATTAAGATTTCCTGATTTCATACTGCTCTACGGAGTGGTAGCATCTAGTCAAATACATACATATCCATCAAACCTGCTGAGCGCGAGCAATGAAAACAGTCTTCTCAATAGCCTTCCCATCGTGAACAAACTTGAGAGGCTTTGGAACGACCTTGTAATCAAACCCACGCAGCCCAGCCTCTTCAAAGATTCTCTGCATATCCGTGCGCGAAAAACCATGGGTACTAATAGTCCCCTTGGCTCCGCCAAACCCATGAGGTCCATGATCCTGCACAACAAGATCAATAACCAGAAAGACACCCCCCGTCTTGATCCAACTCGCCAGCCGCTGAACACCTAGTCCAGGGTTTTCAAAGTGATGCAGCGCCATGCTAACGGCAACAATATCGAACTTGGGCAAATCCGCTAAACTCTCCTCGACAACGGGGGCGAGTAAATCTCCTGTGCGGCCGACTATCTTCTCGTTGAGATGAGCGGCTTGGGCATTCTTCTCATATTCCACAATCATACTTGGGGATGTGTCCATCCCCGTTATGTGGGTGAGGAATGGAGCTAGAGCCTAGGGTTTGGTTTGTCAGGTTCTGTTCACTCCAGGGCTGCTGAGGACGGTGATGATGAATGAACTTACAAGTGAGACTGCACCAGTTCCACAGGCATAATCGAGCATGGTAATTCCCTTTCCTTCCTTATTTTCAGCTTTGCCGGCCTCGGTGTCGATCCATTTGTCACTGAGCCACATGCGGTGCAGTAGGAGTTGCTCAGCAAGGGTTCGCAGACCTTCGGCGAAACGTTCCTGGTATATTGGGGCCAAGTTGCTAGAAGAAAAATTAAACAGTGTAAGTTTCGCTTGGTCTGGTTGGTTTGCGAATAGGAGCTGGCATTTACTCGAAGTATTTGTGCATCACATCCTCCTGAAATGTATCCGTCATGGTGGCGCAGGGTTGGAAATTCCGTGTGAAGTGTGAAATCTGAAGAACAACCTATGAGTGTTTGAAAGGATGATTGATTGAGAACAGAAAAGTAGTCCTGTTGAATGTCTACTTTTATATGTGGCTCGGCGACATACTCGGATACTTTTTGGTCCTAACGGACCGCCAGGCAAATTGTCGAGCGGACTAAACTATAGTGTGTCCTGACCCAAGCTAGGAGTCGTATTTGACAAATTAATCATGCAATATCGCCCGAGCTTGTCAGATTCAGCGGGGTTTCGTACCTTGTAAAGTTGGATGCAGTAAGTTATGTGAGTCACTTACAAACGTGTGTTTGCTTATTGAGAACAATTAGGGCAACCTTGAAAGGTTCCAACCCAGTACTTAGTCTAAGCTAGATCAGCTTTACTTCTGGAGTACTTGTCGCTTGGCAATCCCTTACATGAGACAGACAGCTTTAACTGAAGTCTTATACTTGTGCAGCGATATATATTGTTGCTAGAGGGTAATCGGGACTGCAAATAACCAATGTGGTATTTCTATTAGCTCAAAAAACACACTATATAAGTACCCGAAAAACGAAAACAAGTATATAAAAGAAAGAAAATTATGATTTATAGACAGACGTGAAGTCGAAGGCCGTCGAAGCCAAGTAGGCGGTGAGTGAGCTCTCCAAACTGCCCAAGTGAGGACATCATATCAGCTCTCCAGCATCAACACCTCAATTTCCGCATCCCCCGATTTCCTCCCCGGCTTTACCGCGAGCTTCAATCCATCAACTTCTATCCTTGAATTTACGACGAACATCCCAGCTCTCCGCCATGGAGTCTAAGATCCCCGATTTCCTGGCCGAGCAGCAAGCACAAGGCAGCCCGGAGACGCAACCCTACTTCCTCACCTTTGAAGACCTGTGGGAGCGCAAGCTATGGCACCAGCTTACTGACTCATTGGTCGAGTTCTTCCGCATGCCAGAGAGTGCCCCTCAGCGGTTAGCCATCTTTAAGACCTTCGTGCTCAGCTTCGCCGACCGGATCAACCAGCTCAAGTTTGTGTCCCTGGGATTGATGGCAGCGACAGAATGCGCAGGTCAGTTCTTTTCAGTCTAGCTTGGAAGCTGGGATATCAATGAACTACTTCGATCGTGTTGATACTGACCATTCTCCAGATGACCAAGAACGACTGGGTTTCCTCACATCCCTCGCCAGCAAGGTGGACACAGCCGACACACAGGATGCATACGTCTATGCGCTCGCCGATGTGGCCAATGTCAAGTTGTCGTTGAAGGACCTGGAAGGAGCACAGAAGGACCTGGCAACCTGCCAGCGGGTGCTGGACACTTTCGACTCGGTCGAGACCGTCGTGCACGCCTCATTCTACAAAGTGAACGCGGACTACTACAATGTACCTGAAACCACCGTTCCATCACCAACACGAAGCTAACCCTCCTTTAGGCCAAGCAAGAATTCGCCTCCTTCTACAAAAACGCCCTTCTCTACCTTGCCTGCATAGACATGGAAGAACTCCCCGAGCCAGAGCGCGCATCACGCGCCTACCACCTCAGCGTAGCAGCCCTGGTCTCCGACACAATCTACAACTTCGGCGAGCTACTCCTGCACCCAATCCTGGACTCCCTGACCGAGACCCCTCATAACTGGCTCCGCGAGCTCCTCTTCGCCTTCAACCGAGGCGACCTGACAGCCTACGACGTGCTAGCCGGCAACATCAGTAAGAACAAGTTGCTGGAATCGCACCGCGTATTCCTGTACCAAAAAATCTCTCTGTCCGCACTAACGGAGATGGTCTTCCGTCGTCCGCCGCACGACCGCTCGCTCTCCTTCCAGGCTATTGCGTCCGAGACGAAGGTTCAGCCCGATGAGATTGAGCACCTGGTCATGAAGGCTCTGTCGCTTGGTTTGCTGCGTGGATCGATTGATCAGGTTGCTGGTGTTGCGCAGATCCATTGGGTTCAGCCTAAGGTTTTGGATATGAAGCAGATTGATGGTATGCGAAACCGTCTTAAGGACTGGGATGCTGGTGTTAATCAGCTTGGTCACTGGATTGAGGGTGTTGGAAAGGATGTCTGGGCTGCATAGACTCTTTGCTTTGTGCGGATCATTACTATTATAATGAATACAATGGTGTGGTCTATGGAGTCTTATTCTGTACTTGACGATTGTTAGAACAATTGGATGCAACCATACTAAAACAGCATCGAATGACCGAGTACATTTGGCTATAGTATCATTGACTATACTAGGTTTCCAGGGTTCGTACATGTAGTCAATTGAAAGAAGAACAATTGATATTACATTTAATATCTAATACGGACAATAATCACAACCATGGCGAAAGCCATCCAAAGCATCATGCCCAAGTCCACATACATAAGTAGTAAGTAGACCCAATGAATCAAAAATCAAAACATCGACGACCCCAAATGCACACAACCAATCAACCAAGCAGGCCACCAAACACACCAAACAACAACTTGAGTCCACATCCCCCAAACATCCCATCCAAACGCAGCCTGCGTAAGAACAGTCTCAACGTCAACACCGGCATACCAACAAACACCGACCAGAACCGTCGGCGGGGAAAGCAGATTAAGGACCACCAACCCGAGCGCCGAAGTAATGCAACGGAAAGGCGCGGAGCCCTGGATGCGGGAGATGAAGGTGAGCGGGGCACAGAGGAGACCGATCATGAAGGAGAGGGAGAAGTTTAGGGTTGCAAGGGTTGAGAGGGAGAGGCCTAGGAGGAGGAGGGAAAAGGATTTTATGAGGTGGTATTGTTGGGGGATGATTGGGGATTTGAGGGCTAGGGGTGTTGAGAGGAGGGAGGAGAGGAGGAGCGGGAGGGTTATGTCTACTATCATGAAGATGTAGGTTGTTGTTTTAAAGTACTAAATGGTTGTTAGTGGTTGGTCTTGCTTTTATATGAAAGCTGGGTTGGGGAGAACTCACCTGGTGGAAGATGTTGTTGAAGATCCAGAGGGGAGCAAGACCGAGTAAATGTAGACCAACGACGAGCGAGAGAGGAAGAGCCAGTTTGCGTTCTGCAACGGCATTGGACTTGGCCTTCTCGTCGGATGGCTTCTTGGTCTCGGTCTTGGGCTTGGTCTCTGGGTAGTAACCAGTGCGCATCCACAAGGCAATAGCCATGATAGTGAAGTTACCAGCGATGAGCATGGCACTCGGGAGATAAGTTCCAATGCTAACAAAGCGCTGGGACTGCATGAGCAAGTAGAAAAAGAAACTCTGGTGCAGATGTTCCAGCAAGTTGTTCAGACTGCGACAGAGACTCTCGATTGTGCGGCCCAGAGCCATTTCGTCTTCCCAGCCTTCACCCTTAGGTTGTAGAGTAATAGCATCGATGTGGTATGGCATGAAGCTACTGTGCGCGCCAGTGGCATATCCGAGACCCTGCTTGGTCATGCCACGGAACATAGTCTGCAGGCGATGCTCGTAGCTGTCATCGTGGGTCCACATCTCTTGTAGGTTGGCTCCGATACCCATCTGCCCGCCTGCAATGGCGACGGCGGTGTTGAATAGATCGAGGTTGGGTAATTGGCCGTTGACACCGTCGTAGACGATATGAAGGGACTTGAAACGGTGCTCGAATGGGTATTCGATTACCAGAGCTCCTTGTAACGCTCCACTCTTCAAAGGAAGCGGTTGCACTGATGCTGGATGCATATCATGGTAGGCATCGATCCAAGCCTGAGTTCCGCTCTTACTGTCGGGAGTGATCAGGAAAATGATATCCTTGGACCATAATGACCATCCTGAGAGCTGTCAGCATTTGTATCTCGACGTGCATATACACAGAACCCACTCTTGAAATATCTCGCCAGAGTCAAGGCCAGAGTAACACCATTTAGATTCAGCTCGTCGTCAGCCGTCTTCCATGCTGCAACCAAAACAATGGCCTCTGTGGCATCACCACGCGGCGCATGGATAATAGCATAGGCATTCTCTCCTTGATGCGTGATACCAGCAGAAGTATACTCGTACTTCTGAGTAGCCACCTTGAGCCCAGCAGCTTGCAAGATAGACAGGACCTTGTCCGAGACCCTATACAGCATCAGCGAATTGTCCAGCTCTCCTGATCTAATCAACCTACGCCGCGGTCACTTCCGCCTCATCCTTTTGTCCGCCCCGTTCTTGTCCTTCATTCAACAATCCTTCTAGTTCCCGTTTATATCCACGGAAGATATTCTGCTCGCTACCGGTGAAATAGGCATGGACCTGGCCTGGTAGAAGCGCATTCTCGGAGATGTAGGTGTTTCGGGAGTACTCGTTCAGAGGCAGGAGAAGTAGCCATACTACGCCGACGACGATACAAAGGAAGGAGAGGAGATTTGGCAGGCGAACAAAGAGGAGGTGAGGATTATTCCGCAGATTGCGGATTGCGGCTGGCCTGGTGTTAGCTGTCTGCCGTGGAGGACAGGTGGTATCCTAGCTGCAGGACTCACATTTCAACGCCATTGGCTTCTGATCATCGGGAGATATCTGTGCCGCGAAGGCGAACCCGATCAATAAAGCAAATCGATTGTTTGAGAGTACAGGCCACCGAGCGGAGATCGAGACCTGGAGCTCCGGTGTTTATCGCGGAGAAGGGGAATTTACGACGGACGATAGAAACCAACTGCGCAGTTATGGACTATGCACACGCTATGCTATCATCCAAATGCCCCCAATTCTGCAAATAAAAAGACTATGGTGAAAAAATATACAAAGAATTAAAAGAATCAAGCTCCAAGGCGTTGCGATGAGCCCAGGTAGCTCAGGGGTGTTTGCTCGCCGGCTGGGTTGGTGGTAGGGAGGACTCCGTAGCGACCATAGGTCTTTTGGTCAACGGAGACATAGTGAGGCAGACGTCCAAGGAGGTTCAACTTGCCCTCAATCCAGCGGAGGATCTTCTCGGGGGGAACGAAGACCTTGAGGTATCCCAGGCCGACTGGAGCCGTTAGTGATGGTGATGGAATGACCAGGGAAGAAACTCACGTAGGTAGCCGACAAGAATTGCACAGAGATGACCGAGGAAGCTCACATTGGACACCAGGATCGACACAACGATACAGGCGAACAGAGGCGACGTCCAGGTGGGGATTTTGTAAGGGCCGAGACTGGGTATTGTTAGTGGCGGCTTTGCGATTCCTGCTCGAATGATCGTACCTGAAGTTGGGGTGAGACTTGTAAGTCTTGATGGCCTCGGAGCCCAAGAGCAGGAAAACCCAGATACTGGATATCATTAGCCTCCCAAATATTAGTATGAAACAACAGAAGCATACCTTGCGCCGACCACAGAGGTATTCCTGTGAAGCATAACCTTCTCAATCAAGATATAAAGACCAGCGGGAACAGTCGAAAGAGCTAAACCGCAATATTAGCACATTGACCTCATGATCACGTCCCCGAGGCACTCACGTCCAACAAACAAAGCAATCGCAGTCAGGGTGCCATGCTCAGCCTCGAAGCGCTCCAACAACGGGGCAACAGCCAAAGCATTAACCAGGGCATGGAAGAAGCCGGTATGGATGAAAGGGTAGGTATTAAGCCGGTACACTACGGTCAGTCAGCATGCATTCAATGCGCCCCCAACCTAGGATCGAACATACTAGTCCCCAGACCAATTTCCTCTGGAATCAAAGCGCCCCATTGCACAACACTCCACATCGTTTGCAACTCGAGCACCCAGAAGGCCAGGATGATCAGCAACACTAGTCGGGTGAACAGCGGTAGACGGACGAGATAGGTTCGTACCCGACCCGGATTGAAGGGTAGCGGGGGCAAAGCGGTAGGAGTCACCATGTTTCCTAAAGACTGTAATTGAAAGGGATATAGTCTATCCGGCACCCCAAAACAGACGATCGGGTTGGGTAGAAGCGGACTGGAGAGTTGGCGCGATTGGGGCGAAGCGATCGCGGTCGGTAAATATGAGAGGGTAAAGGTTCACGATTCGACTGCTAATTCAAACAATGACTGTAAGATGTGTTGCTTGTTAGATTTTTGTTCCCCTCGCACGTTGCACGCTAGAGGCTGACTTCCGGAGATCCCAGGGATAACTCACGAAGCGCATGCGATCTCTAATATTGGGAGTCGACGAAAATGAAAGGAGACAGAGTCGGACCGAGATAGAATAAAATCCTGGGTTTGGCAGCCTAAGAAAGACTGGCGAGAACGAGGTCGACCTTGCCGGGCTAATTTGAGTGACTTGTTCTTCGGACGCGTGCATCGGTCACGTGCTGATCTACACTACATCTACCGGGGACTTCATGCACCTTCGACGATTCTTCGTACTGTATGGAGTATGATATTGGAAGTATGCTATATGTTCTCTCTTTACAGGTACTGGTTGAACCAAATAACAGCCTGTCCAAAGGCCTGCTCCTTAGCCCACTTCTGCTTGGGGTCGCTCAGATCAGCGCGCACAGCGAAGCCGTGGCTCACGCCGCTGAACAGGTTGATCTGCCAAGGCTGCCCAGCCTTGATGAGGGTCTCCTCAGACTCGTGGCGGAGCTGGGTGGTGAAGATCTGATCGACCTCTGTTTGGATAGATTAGTTGATGGTTCTTCGGGTATTTAACAAGCAACATACCAGCAGCAGCAATGGAGAAGGGGCCCTTGATAGCGCCGAGCTCCTCGTGGGTCACGAAAGAGGGGTGGGCAGAGAAACCAACGTCGATCTGGTTGGGCTTCAGGTAGCGGCAGACGTACTAACAGCGATATTAGCATTCGGCCACATCACAATGCTTGGAAATTGGGTCTCCGGATCTCGGCTACACATACCTTACCGCCGAAGCAGTAACCAACAGCGGCGACCTTCTTCACACCCAGAGTCTCACGGACGTACTTGATAGTCGACTCCACAACAGGGTCCACGGCACTGGGCTGGTGCTTGGGCAGCCAGCTGGGGAAGTCGACCTTGCCGGAGTCCATGTCGGCAACGCTGATCTTGTCACCCTGGAAAAGATCCGGGATCACAGTGAGGTAGCCATTATTGGCGAACTCGTCAGCGAGGAGCTGGGAGTTGCTGAAGATACCGAAGATATCGGTTAGAAAGACAATGGCCTTCTCGGGGGTCTTGTTGTCCTTGGGGTAGACGACGTAGGTGTCGACTGGGCATGGTTAGTGACGGTTCCTGAAATGACCGATATCAAGTAGATGTATTGGATTGCTATCTTACCGCCGTCGATGTTCTTGGTCTCGCCGACGGGAGTACCCTCGTGCTTGAAGCCAGACGCGCAGCAGGTGCTAGGGGGATTGGAGGCCATTTTGAAGTATGTATAAGACTAAGAGAATGTTCGGAAAATAACGTAGGACAGCCCCTCCTATAAAAGCTTAGCCGTCTCATGCCGTCGCATCCATGTTCTCCAATCAACCTCTGTCCGAATCTCCACTTGCCCATTACCCCTCGTGGTAATGTTAATTACTAATGAATAACTGCCGTTTGTACTCTGTGTACTATCTACTAATCAGGAATCTGGAGATTTTAGGTGTTAGATATATATGCTACTTATTCTTTATAACTATGAACTAAAAACTAATAGCATGCACCTGATTGCCGTACTCAGACTTGGATATGCTGTTATTGCCGTTCGGTAGTAGACACGGAGTTAAGCTCTAACTCCGCATTCACTCGGACTTTTGACGTCGAGCATAGAATTGATCTGTGCTACGTGATCGCGGATAGTAGATGAAACAAAAACTGGATAACGATATAGCAAGACAAGCAACCAAAAAGAAACCAAAAAGAAACGTCCCCGGGAAGGCTCGAACTTCCAACCTCCTGATTAACAGTCAGACGCGCTAACCAATTGCGCCACGGAGACGAACTTGTTGCCACGAAGGCCTCGCCTTAAATCCCATTTCACTGCATTCACCTTCAAGCATTCGCACCTCCATCAACACCCCAAGTCGCACCCGTAACATATCCAGCCTCATCACTCAAAAGAAAAGCAACGACATTCGCAATCTCAGATGCACATCCAAGTCGACCGAGCGGCACCGCCGGAGCAGTACCCTCAGCACCACTCTCCTCATTCGCACGAAGCATAGGAGTATCAATAGGACCACTAAAGTCAACCAAACCAAACTAGATCAGCTCTAATTCAAAATGAAATCCAACCGGGCTAGACTTACGGCATGACACTGTTCACACGGATACCCCGTCTACCACCCTCAATGGCAGCACTCTTAACCATACCAATCACAGCATGCTTGCTGGCACTATACACCGAGCCCTTAGCGAATCCCCGCTCAGAGAACATACTCGCTGCATGAACAATGCTCCCTGGCTCCTGCAGCATACCCGGTTTGAGTGCTTCGCTAAGGAAATTGAAAAGACCTTTCACGTTGACGTCCATGATAAAGTCATACTCCTTCTCGTCGATCTCCCAGATTTCTTGGTGGCCTAGCTTGTGGCCTGCCGTTCCGGCGAAGTTCGCAATGCCGTCGATTTTACCAAATGTGCTCTTTGTGGATTGTAGGAATGTCGATACAGCTGATCGCTTTGTGATGTCGACTGTGTGGGTGATCACCCTGGTTTGCTGCTCTTCGTTGAGATCAAGGAGGAGGTTTGAAAGTCCGTCTTGGTTTGTATCACATATGCTCAGGCGTGCACCCCGGTTGAGCAACATTTTTGCTGTGGCTAGGCCCATTCCCGATGCGCCTCCAGTGATGATGATGACTTTGCCTGTAATGGACGACATGTTCGTAGTGTGGAATTGATACTAAGTGAGAACAAATATTGAAAGCATCTCTCCTGCTCTTATATATTCTACTAAACTTTGACATAATTTGGTTCACGCAGATTGATACCCCAACGCGAACCATATGATTCGCGGAGAGTGCCAAGCCCATGCAAGTTGATGACAGCGGAGCCAAGGCATCTGCGCTAGAGCCAATCCGCTTACATACAGTGGTGTAACATTAGTATTTGACCTCCAGTACTTGGGGCCAGGACCCACTTTTTTAATACTGCCAGCAGAAACCTCCAAAATTGAATTCAATTTAATAGCTAGTATGCCACCCATTATACTTAACGACATCAGCTACCCTGTGAGGCATTGTCTCCGATAGATGCTTAAATAGATCAATATCTAAACTTTCCCATGCTTCCTGCGTAGCTTCTAGAAGCAATTCTAGCGTAGATACGTTATTAGGAAGCTGCACAAGCTCAGGATGACGCTTAAGAATTTCGGCTTTGAGTAGCGCCCAGATGTTCTCAATTGGGTTTAAATCAGGCGAATAAGGTGGCCATTCCATGATATCGCATTGAAGCTCACTTAAAGCATCCCGTACGATATATGCCGTGTGAATAGGCGCGTTATCTTGCTGAAAAATAGCATTAGAATCAATGCTATTAAGTAGCGTAGGTAAGACACGCCGATAAAGCTCTTCATCGTACGTGAAGAAACGCCACCTCTTCGAGATAAGGGATCTCCGAATAGTGGAATAAGGCCTAATCGACGCGGAAGACCGGAAAAAGCAGCCCAAAACATCTGCTTAATTTGCTTCCCTCGCGCTAGAACCATTTGAACCTGATGGCCCTCTTTCGAATGCTGAAATAGCTGATCCTTCGGACGCGTAAAAGTCTATTCTTGACGCTGGCCAATACCACGTTCAACCGTACATTCGTCAGACCAATAGACGCGGGCCTAATCCTCCGACGTAAAATGCTGATATTGAAGGGCCTAGCGTAGACGTTTCTCAGCGTGTGTAGGCGTTAAGGTCGGCCGCTGCGTTTTCCTCCATTTTCGAAGGCCCATTTCGTGGGTTAGACGCCAAATTGACATACGGTGGACCTTAAAATCAACCTCTCCGAGTAGATCCTTGATCAAAATTGAAGGCTTTTTTTGTATAGTATCGTAGATATAGTCACGATCCTCTTCAGTAAGCTTCCTCGGTTGGCCTGAGCGTGGAAGACTTTGCTGTTTTTGACGCTTTGCCTCTTGGGTAAGGGTGTATTGAATAGTTGAGCGTGGAATGTCGGGAAAGCGCTGCTTCTTAATAGTTGTAGCACCCCAGCCATTTGTAGCATGTAATTCGCAGATCTTAGCCCGGGTAAGGCAGTCAAGCTCTGGACCTTTTTTTCCGCGTATTGGAGGCATTATTATAGAGAGAAATAGTGAGAAACGCGTAAAAATTATAGTGTATATACTAGTGCGTTGAAAACGCGAGTGTTGACGTACTAATAAAGTAGGCGGTCCTTAAAAAGCGGTCAGGGTCCCGAAGTACCGGAGGTCAAATACTAATGTTACACCACTGTAACTTTATTGTATCCACGGTATAACAGTTTTGAGATTCATAGACATGACATTGCATTATTTCTAACATCTCTACCACATATGTAGGCAAGAAGCCCCCATTATTACCACATTAGACCATCAAACATATCACATCGAACATCATGTCCTTGAACAGATGCCAGGACATTTTCGGGGGACAGGAGACAAATATGTCAAACTATACGCAAGGACTCCAATATATCTCGAACAAAAGAACAAAACCTCAGTGTAATAGGGGTATCAAAGGGAAACCAGTGCAGGCTATTCACGGGAAGCGGAAGGTAGGCTGTGGGCGCTGGGTACGCTTCACGGCCCAGGCCTTGAGGGCAACGCATAGGATCTCGTAGGCCATGATAAAGGCGCTGAAGCCTAGGCCGACGGTGAAGGTGAACATCGCGTCGATCTTGTAATACTCCATTGCTTCGATCACATTGCGAGTCTGGAGCGGTTAGTATTGGTATTCTTGTAAGACGAGAGTGATGGGTTTGTGCACTTACGCTCATCATGAAAATGAGGCCTCCCGATATCAGACAGAAGGAGGTGATGATTTCTGTCGGGGGTCGAGCTGGGAGGTATGAGGTTGGTGGCTTGAGGAACAGTAGGACGTAGGTCATGCCGCGGGCCAGCGCGAAGCCAATTAGCATGTTGCCCCATTGCTTGTGCACCATTGTCGAGGTCATGCTAGTTTGATGGTGCGAGCCCATCATCATGCCTAGTAGCATGATGATTAGAGCTGGCATCGGGTTCAGGGAGACGCGCTGGGACCTCGGTAGTTGCCAGGCTTCGTCTGATGAGCCGAGGGGGGTTTGAAGGATGGTACCGTTGAGCCAGTCGCGAATGCGAGTTGACTCGAAAAGCATACCAAGCTAGGTTTGTTAGCCATTGATCTCTATATAGAGAGGAAGTACGTGTATGGAACTTACCAGACCACCGCCGAAGAACAGCACGGAGATCGAGACGTGCTCGAGATCAGTAGCAGACCATTCACGACCTGCATTGGATAGGTGCTCCAGGAAGACATTGGTCACTCCATAGAGGAAAATGACAAAAGACTCCGTCGCCTCGGCAGTAGGAACCTTGGCCTTCCAGGCACCAACAATAGACGCCGAGGGCTTCTTGTTCCAGGCCCAGCCCAGATCTGCCCAGCAGCCGACATAGCGTCCGAGAGTGAGAACACCGTACCAGAAGAAAATGCCACCCTTGATCCAGTGGGCCAGTCCGTTGAAAATCTCACGGTCTCTCATGATACCACCGTATGTCACAGCGCCGGTTGCTATAGCGACAAACCCGAAGGGAAGAATGATCCGATCAATGACATTATACACGGCCCTCAAGCCACAGAGAGCGCGACTGGACATCATATTAGGCATATATTCAGCGAGGAAACGGCCAACATTGGTCTTTTGGAACCAGCCGCGTGAGCCGGAGACCTTGGCAGGCAACTCCTCGGGCTTCTCAAAGCCGTCATACTCAGGGGACCATCCGGAAGATGGCGATCCAGGGCCACGGATGGAAGGTGAGTTGCTGTCAGTTCCCTGGCCGCTGTCGCGAGACCAGCGGTACTCGTGCACAGCACCATTGGGGTAAATGTGTTCATGCTCATCAGTCGACACAGGCAAGAAACCAGCGCGTTCATACTTGGGCGTGGTTGACTGGCCGCGACCAGCATATGCGAAGATCAAAGCCAGGGCAACCTGAACTGTAATCACCGATGTGATGATCCAGCCAATCTTGTGGTGTGCATTGTTTTCGTACAGGTCCGGTGTCTGGTCGTTATAGATAATTCCAAATAAGAGACCGAACGCGTTGAACACCAAGAAAAGGAGTTGCGATGGAAGGGCCAGGCGTGAGCGCGCAATACTGAGCATGACACCTATTGACAAGAAATCAGTCTCATCCTCTTTGTCCAGGTTTCGCGAGCTACTTACCGACTGGAAGAACAAAGCACCAGCCCAAAACCATCAGGGTAATGTGAGCTATAATCGAGCTGGAGTGCTTCCCATACGCGAAATAGCTCATCGGACCATCAGGGGTAGCATGCGCCGCAGTAGTAGTAGGCTGTGGTACCGCAGTGCTGGCACCCATATCCATTCCCATGTCCATTGATTCATCATCGCCATGAGGAAGCGCGGTCGCAAGCGATGCGAAGACAATTGCCGCCAAGGCGACTCGAGTAGCTATATGACGCATCGAGAATATGAAATATGAAGATGCGAACGGGTTCGCGTCACTGTTATGTGCAGAAATGCAAGTTCAGAGATGTAGAGCTCCAACCAGAGGGTCGAAGCTCTATCGAATCGTGACGTAACGATGCTGCCAAACACGGTAACAAGGCCGGAGATTATGCTTATGTTTTATAGTCCTCCACGATATGACGGACTACTTGATGTCACGCACCTACCTTGTTAGTGGGTTGTGGTGAAGATGATGGTGAAGCTGTAGGGCTGAGGGAAGTATACCGCGACTGGGTCCGGGAGGGAATGCAACATATAAGAGTAGAGATTTGCAGGGCGGGGCTTATACAGAATTAATAAAGCGATGCAGAACCAGGTAAATAGTTTAAAAAAAATTAATTAAAAAAAATGCTGATTTCCAATGCTTCGGCATTAAAAGGTGCGTGGAAAAAACGCACCAAGGACCCCTCCGAGGCCGAATCCTATGATCTCCGGTATTTCCGTTAATCTTATTCTAATCTTTTTGCATAGAAGTACATAAACAGCAGCGTAGCCAAGGCATTATAGCTAATATATCTAGATATTCATCTTCTGCCTCGACTTTACAAACATGACCGTAAGGTGAGGGCGAATGCACAGGGCTGTACGGAGTAGACTAGAGGTCTTGGCAATATAATTACTAAAATTTTTAGCTCGGGAGTCTCGGGTGTCTGTTTTGGACACTGACTTCATATTGATTGTATGACTGCGTCCACTGGAATTTGCGCACTCTGCCAAGTATGTACAATTAACTTCTACTTGCATCGGATTGTGACGTAGTCGATCGCTGCCGTATTGGGACCTGGATTCACCGCTGATCTCTGGTCTCTTTGAAGAACTTGTTTTCCACTGTACTGTACTCCGTAGACTACTTTCGTGGATCTGCGTGGATATCCGCTTAGTTCATGCGCCTTCAAGCCTTCTAGCCCTACTGCGATCCCAGCAATTTATGACATTTCACATGTAAGTAACAAAAATGTAGGCTGAGATCAATTCCCCCAATCAGCGACAAGATGATCCTTGAGTAAATCAAACTTCCCTGTCAGCTGCTCCTTTCATATCCCTGTCTCGGCCCTCGCTTTCAGCTCTCCGAGCCGCACTTTTGAGTTGGCCCCATTCTGGTGGGTACAGTATGGAAGTAGTCTCTACGGATATATGATATAATATCTCGGAAGTTGTACGGACCTACGGGAGAACGGCATGCTGGACAGGAACCCGGCATCTCTCTAACGTACTTTTGAGGTAATTACCCAAGTAGGAGTCCGCTCGTAAACTCATGAACCTGGCACGATGATGTTATCCCCGAGCTCCGCCCTTGCGTAAAGTTTACCTACACACACTAAGATTATCATTAACAATCAATTCCACTGCTGATAAATCTCTCGTGAATATGTACTGTATGCATCGCATCATGTGGCCCCAATCACCAGCTTGCATGTACCGCGAAATACCAATAGCCTCACTCCCAAGCGCGCCTCATGGCCTGTGCAACGTACAAAGTGCGACGTGCAACACAGTTACTGCACTCCAGATTCCACCTCCCAGCCAAGCCGATTTTTCCCTGAAGAGTTCTCTCACCCAGTCGAGGCCAAGCCCGAATCCGCGGATCTTGGCGGTCGGCATCCGCGGGCATCCGGCTCTAGACCTGAAAGGCTGGTATATCCACGCACTGGATCTGCGACTAATTAGCACGGAACGCTAAGTCCGATGTGTTTCCGAATGCCTCGTGTTTTTGAGCTGTCATATGACTCACTCTTATTCATGGTCATGGCTACATCTGAGGCCCGAGTGGCTGGCGACGGCGTACTCGACTGGTCTATTCGGGTGCACTGTACACTTGCGCTGCACGCTGTACAGTGCTATAGATCATACGGTGTGACCTACAGCCACTTGCATGCCATGCATTGTCATCCATTTTGTATGTCCCAATGGCTTCGCGGGCAGTAAGCACATGTATGGGGCTAGCCTATGTATACTTACTGTGTGCTAGGCCAGAGGTTATCCGATATTCCAACCCGAGATCAAAACCTACTTACTGTAGTACCAGTTAGAGATGTCAAATTTCACACTGATAGGGATTCAAATCTCCGATTCATTTAACATCAAACGATCGACATTCTCACAGACTCGAAGGGTATCACCATGAAGAGTATAGCTTCGGAAGCCCGGCACTACAACTTCCGCATTTCGGGTCTGATCGAGCCGTTCGCCAGGGGTAATTGGCGCCCAATGCATCGTGCGAACGTTTGGGATCAACACGGGTGCATTTCGGAACGGTTATGAATGCTACTATGTGCATAAATATTGATCACTTAAAGGGATGGCATGTTTACCCCGGATATTACTAGGGTTTGACTAGACTTGGATTACGTACCTGTACGGACAGGTGCTATAACAAAGCTGAGATAATTGCATGTCAGAAACGGTTCATCCATGTTCCTATTGCGTTTCAACATAGGACCCGGTGTGGCTTGAACAATGTAAGATGATATTGCCGACTGAGTTTTCCTTCCAGTCAACTGAACACAGCAATGCAATTATACCAGACATTGAACTGGTTCTGTACTCCTGTTATTCTTTCTCCAAATGTTAATCTCAATGAGTTGTGGACCTTGCATTCCAAGGTGTGGTCCTTCAAAGCAGTGGAGTGAGCAGTACAGTCTGTCTTGTATTCCCGGATCACATTTAAAAGCCTAGGATGGCTCAAATAATGCAGTAAAAATAATGCCAAACGAGGTCGAAATAAGAAAATCAACTGCGAAGTATACAAATTGTGGCCTGAGGCATCAGGCTTACATGATCACCCCATAAGCGAGTCCGGGTGGCCCGTGCCCTCCCCGTTCGGGAAGCACACAACGCAAAATTGAACCTAAGCCTTCGACTCTTCAACACCCAGCGCCGCCGACTCTCGTCTCGTCAACAACCCCGTCAACTCCCAGGTCCCGCCTTCAAAACCTCAAGATGACTCACGAGAGCGTTTGGTACAGCCGCCCCCGCAAGTAAGTCAACCTTCAAGCGCACACAGGCATACCCAATCTCGAAAAAAAAGATCAAGCTGACTGGTTCCCCGATAGGTACGGCAAGGGCTCCCGCGAATGGTGTGTTCACCCTATAAACCCCGAGAATGGAAGCAGACGACTTCGAGAATGAATGGAGGAAGCGATCAACAATAAGGAATGGGATTTGCTAACTTGTGTCCGATGAACAGCCGTGTCTGCTCCCACCGCGCCGGTCTCATCCGCAAGTACGGTGTATGGAAACCTCTTTCCCGGCATTCATTATGAATGTGTGATTTGGCATTGGATCCAAGTGGCTAACATGGATTACAGATGAACATCTGCCGTCAGTGCTTCCGTGAGAAGTCCACGGACATCGGTTTCAACAAGGTTTGTTCACCCTTCGCTCGACAGTTATCCCAATTCGAAAACACATCGCGCATCGTACACATCCACGACATGAGAATTCAACAATGGAACTCGCACAATATCACCATCCACCACCAACACATGTCCACACAAATACACATACAGGACCCCAAACTAACAATTCAACCTTCACAGTACCGCTAAGCGAACAAAAAAAACCATGTCCATTTCTGACTCCCTCCTCTCGAACCGTTCACATCCACGAAATCCATCTACGTGCCCGGCTCGACTACGGTAGCGTCCAGTGGAGGAATGTTTCAGACGAGCTCAAAAATGGCGTCTTTGATGTTTTGATGCAATGAAAGATGTCGGAGACGATGTCTCGGATGTGGATTCTTTTTAATTCACTTTGGCTCGAGTGGAGGTTTTGGGGGTTGTTGTGAAGAGTCGTGAAAAACAAGGATGTCATGTTATTCCCGAATCCTGGTTTTTTTCTTATCCTATTTCAATGACGGAATTTTTCTCTGGGATTTTTGTTTCCTCTTTTCTATCAGCTCTGCTTGAGATGGGCTTGAGGGGTCTGGATGGGGTGGTGATGGAGTATTGCTTGCTCTGTTTCTCTGCCTTGTCTTTGGTCTGTGGTTGTAGATCTTGGATTGCACGAGATGGACGTTCTAGATGGCTGTGCCTGGTCTGGTGCCCGTGCATGCTGCTTCGTAGGGCTGTAAGCAAGGTGGACCCGTATACTCGGTCTCTATATTCCCTCTAGTACGACCTACAGTCGAGAACCGTTGAAGACCTTCTGTAGAAATACACTACACATCAAGGCAAAGTGAGAACAGCATGATCAATTTCATCGATAGTAAACAAGTCCCCAGGTTCTAAGTCTGTACAATGCATATCAAAAAAAGCAGAAAACGCCATCCCATAGTTCCATATTGATCTGCAGTAATTCTCCTGTTAGCCTAACGTCCCATAAGCGTTGCCTATCGTCGCCCATCAGAACGAACAGAACGAATGCTGTAAAACAAGAGATAAGCATCCTGGCGGAGGACATCGGCAACGCTGGCGACGGTGACCTTGTTGTCATCCATCAATACCCACTAGAAATGAGTATATCAGCATAAGCACATATCAGAAAAGGCATTTGAATGTATGACAAACCTTGTCACCTCCAAGACGAGTGTAGGCAAAGTAATGACCGGTATCCATTGTCCCTTGGTGGACGATGACGGTCGAGAGTTCGTAAATGTACTTGGACATATCGACGGGCTGGTTATCCTTCTTAACGGTGTAGGGCAGCATGTTGACAGTCAAGGGGAAATCAATGTGGCCATCCACCTTCTCAGATGAGGCCGAGGTGTGTTCATAGCGCTATAAAAGTTAGAATGTGGTGTGAGAGGGTCAATGGCATGATACGAACCTTCAGCTGCATGCACAGGATAACAGGCAGCTTGCGAATCTGCAGACGCTTGGATGCGCGCTGGGGGGTATTTCCGCATTTTTCGCAGTGGTAAGCTGCATCTGCGTGGAGGTCTTCGGGAGCAGTGAAACTCTCGAGACAGCCAATCAGATTAGCAGTAGAAGAAGTAGTCGCGCGACCTAGCTTGCGCTTCTTGTTCTGGAGCTGGATGTCAAGACTGAGGTCGGCCATTGGGTCGTGGGTATTAGTTGTCTGGCCGCATTTGTGGCACATGACGCTGCTGCGTAGCTCGCCGTAGAACATCTGATGGAAGAAACAGGTGCATTTCTTGTCGTAGCTCTCAGCGTGGCCGGGCGTGCAGGAGTGGAGACCGTTGACTAGGAACTGAAAGTATTCGTGTGCATCTTGCTGGCGGTATCCAGCCATTTCCTGGAAGTAAAGAAGTTAGCTGGTTGTTCTATTCGCTCATCTGAATGTCCACATACCTTGGACGCATCCCAACCGTAATAAAGGAGGGTAGCAGCTGAGACGGCCTCGGCTCTCTCGCCGCTGTTGAAATCGGTGAATACCTCGGCGGTCGCACAGGCGAGACAGGATGGCCTCTGGCACGTGTGGACATCATGACCACCTGCCAGGAAATAGGCATTGAGAGTCGGGTCGTGAAGAAGGGCTTGGAGGATGACGGCTTGATAGCAGGTCTGTCCCATGTTCCATACGCCACGAGCGCCTCGTTTCATGCATGGATTCTTGTAAGCGTTGTTCTTGACATAGACCTCGGAGGCCGAGTCCTCAGCCCAAATCGCTCGACCTTCTATCAGACGTCAGTCTCTGAGAAACACAATGTACTGGGTTGCGGAATTGCCTGGAACTCACCACCAATTTCAAATTTTCCAGACGGACCACGGATTCTGTCCAGGCCATGGTCATAAATGAAATCTTTGCAGCTCTCACAGAAGACATAGCGACTGCGAGATTCCATGTCTGATGTGTATTAGCAATGAACAACATTGAAAGATGATGCCAGCATACAAAATTGATGTCCAGTTTCTGCGGTATGCGCCTTTCGTTTGGTGCGCAAGCAAGTCTCTGAGCAGCTCAAGCAGTGGTATTTTGGCTTCAAAGACTCGACAGTTCGAAGACCAGTCGTTGGTACAGCAACCGTCTCGGTCTTGGAGTACGGAGCCAGCATCTTGTCATGCTTACGAAACTCATTCTTGAACTGGGCAGCAGTCTTCTCGTCCTTGGAGAGGAAGGCCGCAAGATGTTCTATCAGAAGTCAGCGTGGAAAAGGAGCAATGCCAGTTCCAGTGCTTACCGCAGCCGAATGCTGCTTCGGAAAGAATTTGCACAGAATCGAGAGTCGCCATATTGGATGAGACGATCAGGCACTAGAGGGCAAGAGAAGGAAAGGAATGGAAAAGATGAAAAGATGGAGGGAAAGAGATGATAGGGACGAGATTCAGATGTAGCAAACAAGTGACAATGCAATGGCACAATGCAAATAGGGCCAACCTAAGCTCCCTCTATTCAGAGGCGCTTCGGAGGTTGAATGCGAAGATCCAAGGGAGAGGCTGGATCAGAAGCAACCAGGTACAGCCTCAAGGACTCCCCCTGAATAGGGCCAGCATTGCAGCTATAAGAACAATGTCAGCTGCGATCAATACCATATAGACCAAAAGGGCTCACGATGGCAAACGAAGGAGAGACAATAGCCGAATGAATAGCGGATTTGTAGCCCACACGTCACAAATCACTTGACTTGGGCTGAATGGCACAGTCTATCCAACTTATTCAACAATAGACAGCTTGCGCAATGGATGTCTCTGGTTCTTCGTACTTGGATGATTGTCGGAGGTTGCGGGCGGTGGTTTTTCGCCCCTCCGATTTACCGCCGGAGATTGGCAGAAGTGTCCATCTATACATGACATGCATACTTACAGTAGTCTATATGCTATTTGACTCTGCGCTTACATGGAGTCTCTCTTTCATGTTGTACAACCTGTCGCGCTTATATGGTATGTGGCTTAATAATGTTTATCTCTCCATGTGGGAATCATAAGCTTGTAGATACAGGGGGTTCTCTAGATAGGCCCATCCGAGCATAGCTCAGGTCCAATATAAAAGACCAATAGTCAATAGTCTATCGCACTGTCGCGATAGACTATCACCTGAACTTGCACATGGCCTGTCGCATGGACAAATGCGCTATGCTGCTACGTCTCTGGGGATGGGCACTTCTCATCATAAAGAGAGACTCGTTACCTCGTCCCAGTTCCCCTTCCCCGAGGCAGCGCACTCGGTCGAGCACCGCGCGCAGCACCGCGCGCAGTCCCTCTGGTCGTGTACCGACTAGTCGCCCCTCCGCGGGCAGTACCTCGCGACGCGACGCGCCCAGCCGCACTGTACTTGGAGGTCGGTTTAGAGGAGACAGTGCTCGGGGGATTCTCAACAAAGGTCGTATCGGTAGTCCTGCAAGGCAAGAATAGTCAGCAAGTGTTCTCTAGTATGAGCTGTTCTCTAGTATGAGCATCGTCCAGCTCAACGGCCAACCCACATAAAAGTCATCTCGCCATCATCAGCCGGTCGCGTAGGCTCTGCTTCCTCCTCTAGAGAACCGATTAGCAAAACTGCATCATGAATCATGGATATGGTTCTTATTCCCTTAATACCTTTCTCTTCTTCCTGTTGTTTAGCTCTCTTAAAGGAATCGGCAATGGGCGCCTATTCAATGAATCAGTACCAGTCACGCATTATTCCCCCGTTGTACGCGTTTTCAATCATACCTCTGGGAAATCAACACAGAAGGCATTCATATTCAATCCGTAGAGGAAACTGGCGAAGCTCTCGCTGAAGCGCGTCAGGCTCTCGTGCATCAGCTGCAGGTGCATGAAATTGGCCTCCAGATCTGCCATGGAGTCGGCCAGCTCGGCGAATTGTGGTTCCAAGGCATTTATGGCTGGTTGTGTGTATCCCGCGGTGCCGATGCTGTTTCCATATCCGTGTGCTTCTCGTAGTGAAGAGCGCGAGCTTGGGCGAAGAGGGGTTGTTGGTCGTGATGAGGGCCGAGGGCGCGAGGTTGATCGTGGTCGGTCCATTGTGTGTTTATGTGTGAGTTGAGAGATTGTTGGTTAAGCAGATCAAGGGTCTTTAAGTATGGAGGAGGAGAGCGAGGCAATTTGATTATCGGACTTGGTGATTTGCGGAGGGGTGTTGATCTCCGGGTTGGGCACACGCGACACTTCTAATGTTAACTATAACGTTAACGTTGAGTCGATTGATGTACTCCGTAGTAATTGAAGATTATATAAGGAGAAGTTCATAGTAATTGATTTGTAGTTTGTTAGGCGAAGATCTTCCCCGCATCGTCATCTTCATTTGCCTCCTTGGTTCTTCTTCTCTCACACTGTTCCGTCTACACACTTCACCACAACCACCCTGCATATGCGTGCTGGCTCGACTCTCTGTCGTCTCCGTTCCTCGGCTAAACCCTTCCCTCGACGTTCATTTCGTTCGTACTCCACATACCCGACAGAGCCCAGGAAGGCCGCGTCTTTTTGGACCCTCTCGTTCACCCTTCTAGCAGTTGGAGGAGGCGCCTGGCTCCAGGACAAATACTACAACAGCCCAAAGACAACAGAAGTTCCCTCGCCTCGGCTTCCTCGACAAAACCAATCCCTGAACTTCATCGGTGTAATTGATACCCTCGAAACGATGCCTGCCGAGCCAGCGCCCGGAACAGTCGGGAACCTCACCCCAGAGCAAGAGGTCAAGCTGAAGGAATTCTGGGTCCTAACCCTGAAAGTCTTTGGTGTAGACCTGGGAGACATCGAAGCCCCAAGCCGCCAGTCGACCAGCGAACCCGCCGCCTCCAGTCCGGCGCCGGACAAGAAGAAATCCAAAGGCAAATGGTCACTCTGGGGCAGCCGCGATGAAGACGACAGCAAAAGCGCCACTCCAGAGAGTGGCGCCTCTCCAATCATTGCACCAGAAGGCGACGACAAGTACGGCCAGTCAAAGGAATACAAGCAAGCACTGGAAGACATGAAACCAGAAGAGATCCGCACGGCATTCTGGGGCATGGTCAAAGGCGATAACCCGGACGCGCTGCTCCTCCGATTCCTGCGTGCGCGCAAGTGGGACACGAAGAAGGCGCTCGTGATGCTGATTTCGACGATGCGCTGGCGACTGCAGGAGATGCATGTCGACGACGACATCATGTTCAATGGCGAGGCGCTTGCGCTGAAGCAGTCGCAGGGCTCTGACCCCAAGGAGAAGAAGAAGGGTGATGATTTCTTGACGCAGATGCGTCTTGGCAAGAGTTTCTTGCATGGGGTTGATCGGGCTGGTCGGCCTATTTGTGTTGTGAGGGTTCGTTTGCATAAGGCTGGTGATCAGGATAATGAGGGTCTGGAGCGGTTTACTGTTTATACGATTGAGACTGCGCGCTTGTTGCTTGCTCCGCCCATTGAGACTGCTACTATTGTCTTTGATATGACTGACTTTGGTATTGCTAACATGGTATGATTCCTGCTCTGTTGGTTTGTCACTTGTACTAACCTTGTCTAGGATTATGCTCCTGTGAAGTTCATGATCAAGTGCTTTGAGGCCAACTACCCCGAATCCCTCGGAACAGTTCTCATTCACAAGGCACCCTGGCTCTTCTCGAGTTTGTACCCCCTCCTTCATACAACTCACTTCTATTCTAACATTACCACAGGCATCTGGAGCGTAATCAAGGGCTGGCTCGACCCAGTTGTCGCAGCCAAAATCCATTTCACCAAAAACCGCCAGGATCTCGAAAAGTTCATCCACCCCAGCCAAATCATGAAGGAACTCGAAGGCGACGAAGACTGGGAATATAAGTACGTCGAGATCCAGGGCGAGGAGAATCCCAAGATGGCCGACAAGGAAACGCGCGACTCGCTGTTGGCCGAGCGTCAACAGCTGGCCAAGGAGATCCAGGATATCACGATCGAGTGGATCCGCGCCAGCTTCAAGAAGGAGACTGCCGCTGTCTCTGCTGCTGAGGAGAAGCGCAATGGGTTGGTTGAGCAGCTCCGGAAGCAGTACTGGGTTATCGACCCGTATGTGCGGGCTCGTTCCTTGTATGATCGCACTGGTGTTGTGAAGGGTGATGGGAAGATTGAGTTCTATCCCAATGCTGAGAAGAAGGATGCGTCTGCATAAGTTGGGATTGATTTGGTATTTGGTTTTGATGGTCATGTTGGATATTTAGAATCTGGTTGGCATTTTGTAGTATATACAGATACAGATATGGGTTTTGGGTAACCGGCTAGAGAATATACAATAGTTTTTGTTAATTTATCGGGGTCGTAAATGACGAGTGGGTTCAATTGACTATTGGTTCATTGGACATCTAGGAACTGGGATGGAACAATTCCATTTTGTCATTGGCTTTTACCTCGATGTCCAAAAAGAGCACATTACATCTTGGACTTGATCTCCTCGTGGAGAGCCTTGAGCTTGTCCATATCTGTTGCCTGGGTAGGCCAGCCAATGCCCAAACCCTCCTCCTCGTTGGGCTTGGGGATCTAAATATCTCGTTAGTACATAACGGCCATCTCCAAGCTCCAAAGGAAGCATTTATCTTATGAATATAACATACCATGTGGAAGTGAACCTAAAACAGAAGCATCAGCATTATACAATATCAAAGAGGGCAATTCAAACTTACATGGTCAACAACCTGGTGCGCAATCCGGCCATTGTTCTGCAGGATATTGAAATCAGCGGCACCACTAGCTTTGGCAATCTTCTTTGCAACGGGCTGTACAAAATCCGGTCAGCCATTTATTCTCCGGCGTCTCGTCCCAGGGACCTTGGGGGCCATCCAAGACCCCAGTGATGTAACCTCGCGTCAATCACGAGCAGAGCTTGGAAACATAAACCTCCTCTCTCCTTTTCACATTATCCGGGTTTATGATCCGATGCACTTACCAGAATCTCAACCAGGTCTTCGTCGGGGAGATCAGTCAGTTTAGCGCCGTGGAATTTGGGAATGACGAGCTATCATCCTGTCAGTTTGATATTCCTCATCTCTACTCTATATCCTATGAGCGCTAATGGAGAAACCGAGTCACGAGTCTGGATGACAGACGCACATCGGTTTCACCAGGAACGCAGTGAATACGGATGCGGGGGAAGGAAAGGGAGTTCGCACCGCATGGCCACGGCTCAGTGGCTGGATATCGAGGAAAGCAAAGACCTTTTCACTCTCGAAGAGCTTTAAGGAAGGGATATCACCTATACAACGGGGAAGGTGTCAGTTAAATCACTTGAACAGGTATGACGTCTTGTCTCGTCCACGGTGAGGATGCGCGAACGAAGACTCGTGAGCGGTGATGGGATTAGACATACCCTTGATGATTTTGCAGAAGATACAGGCGGCAGAGGACATGGTGAATTGATATGGTATAAGAGGGAACGGTGAAAATGAAGTATTGTTGTTGTCTACCTAGGTAGGTTGTGAGCTGTCGGGCGGTAGCTAAGCTGATTATGCGGGGTCAAATAAAATAAATAATTCGCGCGAAGCTCGACTCGAACATCGACCAACTACTGTGGGGGCACTGCCTAATTGGGCAAACCAGGGTGTTAAGTAGGTCAATAGGGACTGCTACCTGAGGAGTGGGACAAGCTAGTTCAGAACTCATTTCTTGCCTTTTACCAGAGATGACCGTGGTTTGCCCACAAAACTCCTCTTACAAATCTTTGGAACCACCACGCGACAAAGCCGTCGTTTTTTTATTTTTGTCGGTTTTATTTTGTTGGCAAGACAGTTTTCATCTGTTACTTTCTGTGGATTTATTTGTTTTTGCTGGGGCTGCAGCAGGACGGTTCGAGGTGCGTGTGTCTAGTAGATGCGTGCCCATATGTGAATGGATAGTTTCCCGTCATGACTGGACTAGTTATTGTGCTGCAGGATATGCTCTTCAGTTATTCTGTTAGCTGAACGAGATGTTAGAAAAGGATCAATCTATTGGAACAGAATAGGTGATCATAACATTTAAGACCTGTATACTCTATACATTGTCAATATATAGATAAATACCTCCTTAGTAGGCAGTGAACCTCCCAGATCTCCAAATACCTAGATGAATATCGAGGATATTACATAGCAGTAAGCTAAGAAGCTCCAATGGCACTGTCTAACCCGATGGAAAGCCGTGCGGATGGAGTGAGCCCATATTGATATATAGCCAGAGCATAGTAAAGCTGGGGAACATCCAATCACAGGCCCCGTGTTGTCAGATCATAACGGTGATTTCACCAACAGGGACACCACAAGGAGAAAATACACAAATTGAGCAGACCAAACACATTGTAACACCATAAAAGGCCCCTACACACAATCTTAAATCAATTGAAACTGCATTGAACCTGAATTGCTGCTGGTCCAGAAACAAAGTGTGCATTCCGAATCAGGACTAGCGCACCAGTCCCGTGCGGTTCTTCCGACTCGACGCTGCGAAAGCCCATCGCACATCACCACGCCCTTCTTGGCAACACTCCGCTCCAATTCGCTGGTCTCGAGAGATACACTTCATAAGAGACCATGCAGAAGTCCCGTACCATCAACTCTGCCCTAGCGCGGCCATTCGCGCCCCGGGTTCAGGTTCAGTTCCAGCGCCGCAGCCTCCAGGATGTGGCCATCACCCGCACTGGCAAGCCGCTGGTGAAGGTCCAGGGTGGCCGGTAAGTGATCAATTGAAGCTAATAGGGTCTATTGTTCTTGCTTGCTAACGCGCTATCTGTATAGATCCTCGCTTGGAGGTAGCTAGCCTTCCCACTTTGATCCTCGGCCCATTGCTCACTCGTTTCTAGGTCACACTGCGACCGTCTTCGGTGCCACTGGTTTCCTTGGTCGTTACATTGTCAATAAGCTCGGTAGGTTGAGGCTGCAATATCGCAATTGGATCGTGACTGATGGCCCGCAGCTCGCCAGGGATGCACCGTTGTCGTTCCTTACCGTGAGGAGATGTCGAAGAGACACTTGAAGGTCACTGGTGATCTTGGCCGTGTTGTGTTCTTGGTATGAGCTTGCTTGTATGCGTGCTTGGAGGAAGTATCTAACTGTTGTAGGAATACGACCTGCGCAACACCCAGTCCATCGAGGAGAGCGTTCGTCACTCCGACATTGTCTACAACCTTGTCGGCCGCCAATACCCCACCAAGTTAGTGAATTAGTATATATCGCTGAATAGCTGCTGACGATATCAGGAACTTCTCCTACGAGGATGTCCATGTGGACGGTGTTGAGCGCATTGCGGATGCTGTCGCCAAGTACGATGTCGACCGCTTCGTTCACGTTTCCTCCTACAATGCCCGCCGGGACTCGCCCTCCGAGTTCTTCGCTACCAAGGTCAGTGATCTGCGGAAGGTCCGAACAAGAAACCCGCGTGCAAGAGACTGATGAATACAGGCCTGGGGTGAGGAGGTCGCCCGCAACATCTACCCCGAGACCACCATCGTCCGTCCCGCTCCCATGTTCGGTTTCGAGGACAACCTCCTCCACAAGCTTGCCAAGGTTGGCAACGTCTTCACTGCCAACCACATGCAGGAGCGCTACTGGCCCGTCCACGTAAGACAGTCCCAACAGCACTAAATGACCAACTAACAAATATAGGCCATCGACGTCGGAACCGCTCTGGAGCGCATGCTGCACGACGACACCACCGCCGGTCAAACATTCGAGCTGTACGGACCCAAGAACTACTCGACCGCCGAGATCGCCGAGCTGGTCGACCGCGAAATCATCAAGAAGCGCCGTCACATCAACCTCCCCAAGCCCATCCTCAAGCCCCTCGCCCACTACCTCAACAAGTATCTCTGGTGGCATACCATGTCCGCTGACGAGGTGGAACGCGAGTTCCTCGACCAGGAGATCGACCCCACAGCCAAGACCTTCAAGGACCTGGGCATGGAGGAGACTGCCGACCTGGCCAACCTGACCTTCCACTACCTGCAGGGCTACCGCAGTGCTTCCTACTATGACCTTCCTCCCGCCACGGAGCGTGAGGCTCGTGAGGAGAAGAAGTACCTGCACGTTCTGGACGATCAGTAGTTTGTGTTTTTAATGTGTATATAAGCCGATTCCTAGACTCAATCTGATTTCCTTGTGTTTGGAGTGGTTCGGTAGATTAGCAGACCCTGCCTCCACACGGATTGCAGGGGCCAATGCCTTGTCATCCCTATAGCGTTGGCAAGGACTGATCCCAGAATTAGTTGCTTTCATCCCACTATGGAGTATCAGAGCAGAAAAGTTGAACTAAATGAGGATAAAGTCATTGCGCACAATTCCATTGCATAAAGCAATACCCAACTAGCAACAGCCAGCAACAGCCAGCAACATATACATACAACAGTCAACAATATCCAAAGAGAACCAACCAAAGACCGGGTAACACGAACCTCGGAGTCTCCCCGCAACCGATAAGATATCCAACCTCCGATTTTCAACTTCACAACTCCAACACTCACACGATGCCCCCAATTCTCCTTCTAAAAACGAGGTCCTCTCCTCACGACGGCTACGAAGAACTCTTCTCACAAAACTATGATCCAACCTTCGTCCCCGTCCTCGAACACCGCTTCCACACGGAGAACTTGAACAAAGTGCGGGACCTATTTGTCGCTGGCGCATTCGGGGATACCACCCCCAACGACCAAATCAATGGCAATGGCAATGGCAATGACACAGAACATAAGAACCGAAAATACGGCGGTCTAATCTTCACCAGTCAGCGCGCCGTAGAAGGATTCGCAAAGATGATCGAAGATGAGAAAGATAGTAAGAACTGGACTACACTACCCATTCCTTCTATTCCCTACACCTAATCCCCCGAGTCTCAATGTATAGAATATATACTAAACCACACTCTAAATCAAATAGCAACCTTCAACATCCCCACAACCCAACCCCCATTAATCCTCTACACAGTCGGACCAGCCACAGCCCGCAGCCTGACAACCCTCCGCAACAAACACCTCCCAAACGCAACGATCTACGGTGCCGATGCGGGCACGGGTGAGAATCTGGCGCATATGATCCTTGAGCATTATAATGCGTTATACCCTGCTGGTACCTCAGCCTCGACGTCCAATTCCAAACCAGCACTCCTCTTCCTCGTCGGTGAGGTTCGGCGGGATATCATTCCCAAGACATTGATGAACCCCGAACTTGCGGGTGGGAGGATTGGAGTTGAGGAATTGGTTGTTTATGAGACTGGGGTTATGGGGTCCTTTGAGGGGACTTTTAGGGGTTGTTTACAGAGGATTCGAGACCAGGATCGAGATCGGGATTTTGGTGTGGTGAAGAGGGAGAATGTGGTTTGGGTAGTGGTGTTTTCGCCCACGGGGTGTGAGGCTATGTTACGGGTTCTGGAACTAGGGCCGTTCTCTTCTTCTGGGTCTGCATCTGTATCTAGGGATATGGGAGAGAAGGCAGGACGACGGGTCTTTGTTGGTACGATTGGACCTACAACGAGGGATCATCTACGACAGGAATTCGGGTTTGAGGCGCATGTTTGCGCGCCGAAGCCTAGTCCTGAGGGTGTTGCGGAGGGGATTGAGAGGTTTATGAGTGAGTTGTGAGGGTTTGTGCTAGATTCTCCGTGGAGTTATGTATATATTGCAGAGAGCATTTACTTATGAGTAAAGATGTAACTTATTATAACGATACGCTTACATGGATACGGTTACTTGAATAATCATATTGGGAGTGGCCCTGCTACCTCTAACATGATATCAAATTACACGCTGTCAAGTCAAAGTGCATGCAGAATAGAATAGAATGACTCTGAGATACTCGATAGATCGGTTCGAATATCCGAATTTACCGCATGATTTCCTCGTAGATCAAGACTAAATAGGTTAGTACATATTAAAGTAACGAAAATTATCCAGACTCACCCTTCAACTGCTCCTTGCTCAGCGCATCCTTGTTCTTGTCGAAATCAAAGAATCCATCGGGAATAGGTGGCGCAGTTGGCTCATCATCGGGATCGTGGTATGGTTCGAGGTAGGGGTGGCGCAGGGCATCCTCGACGGAGATACGCTTGGCTGGGTTGAAAGCGAGTAGCTTCTCGAGCAGGTCCAGAGCCAGATCGTTGCTCTTGGGGAAGAGGGCACGGAAGGGAATCTTCTTCTTAAAGGGGAGGGAGCGGATGTATTCACGGGCACGGCGGGATTTGATGCCGTAGTAATCTTCCATAGTGGGTGTGCCAAGGACGTCCAGGATAAGGGTCAACTGGTGGTGATCTGGAGAGGGTTAGTTATGCTTCAATTGAGGAATGGGTTATGTCTGAAGCATACAATCCTTTCCGGGGAATAGAGGCTTCCCGCTCAGCATCTCGGCCAATATGCAGCCGACACTCCACACATCAATGGCCTTGGTGTATTCCTTGAATGTCAACATGATTTCGGGCGCACGGTACCAGCGCGTAGCCACATATTCTGTCATGAATCCGGAATTGTCGTCGGTGGAAGCGGCCGAACGTGCCAGACCGAAGTCGCAGACTTTCAAATCGCAGTTGGCGTTGAGCAGGAGGTTGGAGGGCTTGAGATCTCGGTGAAGAACGTTGGCGGAGTGCATAGCCTTGAGAGCTCGCAGGGTCTGGTAGATGAAGTATTGGCAGTGGTCGTCGGAGAGATCTTGTGTGCGGATAACGCGATGCATGTCTGTTTCCATCAGCTCCTACAGGTTAAAATTAGCACCGATCTTCATGCATGCATCTTTTCTTGATCGCTCGACCGTACTTGAATCAGATAAACTTCGTTGAATCCCTCGTAGTTGCGGGGTCGTTGGATGTCCAGGATGGAGATAATGTTTTCGTGGTTAAAGTATCGCAGCAGCTTCATTTCACGCAGTGTACGCAGGCAGAACATGGAGTGGTCGAATGGTGTGATCTTCTTGATGGCAACCTTCTGACCCGAGGGCTTGTGAATGGCAGAGCTAAATATGTCAGAGGAGCTGTGGAGAGAGACTCGCACCACTCACCAAACAACTCCGTAGGCACCTTCGCCAATAACATCTTGGATTTCATATTGATCGGATACATTGAAGGAGATCTTTCGAGATCCTCCCGCGGGAGGGTTCTGCTGTCCCATGTCGACGGGGTTAGAACGCTGAGGCTGAGGCGTTTGTGTATTAGCTTCAAGGTCTTCAGGGAACATCCATGGGAATCGGAGCAAGAAACGACGTAAACAATCCATGGGAAACGAAATGGGGGCCGGGGAAAGGAAACAAGGTTGACGCGGGCACACGAACGGAGCAGTCGCAAAGAAATCCAAGCAATGGTAAAATACAGTCTCGAGCTCAAGACTTGAGCTCGGGAGCGCGGAGCAAGCAAACGCAGAAGGGAACCGATGGACAAGTCTTACTTTCGTTTGCGCAAGTAAATTGGCGCTCAAACTCTAAGGCGACGGCGTAGAGAAGAGAAGCAGAGGAATATGACAATATGACCGGTAGGTGTCCAGATCCCGAAAGACCGGGAAGCTCACAGGTCTAAGAACGTGGCATGGTTAGTGAGATTCAGCCAAGACGCTTCAAGCGAGGGTCATGCGGATCCCTTACAGAAACGTGGGAGAGGGAGATGGAGAGACCGAGACAGGAGAGAGACAGAAGAAAGGAAGTGAAGCTGGAGAAACAACTCACGGGTAAGGATAGTGGGGCAGAAGCTGTGGAGGCTAAGACAATTTGGAATTAATGAACCCGGAAGAGTACTAGTAGATGGAGTAGAGTAAAAGTACGGAGTAGTAGGGGGAGATGTAGATATTGGGGGGAGAGAGAGATGCTAAAGAAAGATATTAAGATCTAAGAAGTTGATGTTATCCCCCTGAACCTTGGGTCACCTCTCCCCACCTGAGGGGTACTTGAGGGGTACTTGACCGGCCTGGCCAACCCATACACAAAGGCCAAGTATTCTGCAGGTACCCCCCCCGCCACAGCGCCAAAGTCCTTCTTGTCGCATCATATTTGGCCTGGTTTCAGGGCGCTACTGCGTGGGAGACGAAACTTGTCACAATCACAACTCTGGCAGTTGGGCTCTGATTGGAGCATAGTGTGGTTTCACTAGTCTCAAGGGGAACCCCACTGATTGGATTTGAGGCAACTATTAGAGGCACTAAGCTCCATGTAAAACAGTCTATGTTACGGATAGGGGCTAAAAATGATCAGAATATAATTTATAAAAAAAATGCCAGCGACGAGGTTCGAACTCGCGCGGGTTGCCCCACCAGGGTTTTATTCCGAGGAATCTTAAATCTGGCACCTTAAACCACTCGGTCACACTGGCCAGAATAGGGTTATTTTCCATTTTTAACATCATCAACCAGGCTCTGGGAGGCTGAAAAAGGTACCTTTCTCCACTATTTACGGATACTCAAATGGATATTACGAAGGATACGGGAGTACAAGGAGACACACTCATAAAAACTCATTGACTCTTAGATAATCCCAGAGCCTGTACAGTAGGCTATAACCCCACCATCTACTAGATAAATCCAAACATGCCACTCAATTTTCCCAAGGTGATGGTACAGGGACTCGCGGTGAATGGCATTTCATAGGGCGGACGACATTACTGCACGACCTGAAGTCATCGTCAGTGCTGGCTGACACCGCCAGAGCAAAGGACTCAAACCTTCTCCTGCAAGGAACCCATCCACTGGTCCAGGCTGACGCTCTGGTCGGCACGGTCCTCGACCAGCATGGTCAGCGCCCAGAGGCGCAGACCCGGCTCGCCGTCTTCCCGCACCACATACAGGTGCGGCACGATCATGCTGCCCACACCCTTGGCCCGGTGGTCCCGGCTCTTTTCCACCACGGCCCGAACGCGCTGGCTGAACTCGTTTTCCACGTCGGGGAGAAGCTGCTTGCCCACCCTCAGCTGCGTCTTGTCGGGCACACCAAAGACGTCCTCGATGAGCTGGGGAACGGCGTCGCGGCCAACCCAGAGGAACTGGGTTTGGCCATCGTCGATGAGGTACAGGCCGTAGGGAACGATGCGGCCGGAGGACAGGTTGACGGCAGGGGGGAGGACGATCTCGCCAGTCTGCTCGTCGGGCACACCAGCGTTGTCGGGCATGTCATGGAGGGAGTACATCCGAGGGTAGATGTATTGAATGAGGAGCGGCAATGGCAAGGTCGACAAGAGACAGAGTGCTGCGGAGCGCATATCCGTCGGAATCTGGGCAGACTTGCGAAGACCAAGCTAAAAAAAAGTCAGTATAGGAACATAATGGGAGATGGGGCAAGAAACTCACATTCTTCATCATTGCAAGGAACAGGACGGGCAAGGCTCTCAGATTGGCAGGGAACTGGAGGCCACCGCCGCTGACGCTGCCACCGGCGAGCTCCTTGCGGTATGTCTGCAACAGCTCCACCATCTTAGCCTGGAGAGCTTCGCGAGCAGGCTCGAGGCCGCTGCTCAATGTGCGCTCGACGGCCTTGTGACTGAAGAATGTAGCGATGGCCTGCTGGTCGGCCGAGGCGTAGATATCCGCCAGGTTGGTGGTTGTGGGCAGGGCGAGGGTCAGCACACGAATACGACGTTCACCGTTGCAAGTAGTGTGGAGGACGGCTGCCTGCATGCAGACGACGGGTTTGGTGACAGTCTCATCAATGGCCACCTCGACCACGTAGGCCTGGTCACGAGGGAAGGCCGGGAAGGCACAGAGATCCGAGCTACGGTTGAAGAAGTTACCGTAGAAGGTGCTCATGCGCAGACCTGTGGTAGCACGCACACGGAGAACAGCCTCCAAGCCGATCTCTGAAGACAGGTAATCGGAGAATTCACGGGCGTACTTCATGGCATCCTCCTTCCGTGCAGCACTCCAGCCAGGGTAGAAGTAGGTTTGACCACCAGTATAGCGGGGCAGGTTGCTCAGAGATGCCACATCCTGGTATTGGGATGAGAAGAGGAACATGTCCACGGAAACCTGTGCCTTGGAGCATTCGACTGCAAAGCTCTTGTAGAAGGAGTTTCCTGTTTGAAGCAGACTTGACTCTTTGCTGGTGCCCAGCACCTTCTTGTCTTCTCTCATTGTGAGTGCTCCGTGACCGATGTTAGGCAATGACGCACTCAGAACAGTCATCTTTCCTCCAACAGGAGAGATCAACTTATAACCGGCACGCAATGCCGAGCCCATGGCGCAGCTGTTGTTCTGGGTGTTCTGGAACATTTCCTGCAGCTTGTCAAGGAAGACCTCGATGTTCTCCCGACATTCGCTCAGGGTCACCAGGAGATCACCGGGGATTGGGAGGAAAGGTTCATCCAAGTCACTGACAACCAACATCCGGGGATCCGAGGTCTCTGAGTTGTCCCGAGGGATGCTGAAGTAGTGCAAGCTTGAGTCCACTGCAATGAAGCCGAGGCGTGTGCGGCGGTCTGCGTTGGGAATGCGGTCGAGACTCTCCTTAATGGTGCGTGCGGTGGTTGCCAAAAGACCGCTGGTCACAGACGAATAGCTCACATCGATCAGGAAAAGGTAGACGAGGGGCTGCGGTGGGCGGACCATATACTCTTGCGGCGCGACGAATTCCACCATGCTGTGATTGAGGTCGGGGCGCAGCGCACGATCAGCAGGCTTCTGCAGTGTAGAATCCCAATCAAAGGCCTGGGGCACATCGTTTGTCAAGTTGCACATGTTACAACGCCAGCGGTGGCCATGGTCGAGGAAGGTAACAAAGGGGTTGATATAGGAACGGCAGCGACGGCATCGTGAGATCACTTGGTCGGGAATCACAGGAATGGGGTCCTCGGCGTCGTGAAGAGAAGCGTAGGGTTGAATGACGAGAGCGAAAGGCAACTTGGATTTCTTCAGGAGAGAATTAGTTGTTGGCACTGCGTTCAGCGTAGAGCGCATATATTTCGTAGGGCAGTTAGCCTCGGGAGACGGGTAAACGCTAGTCTGTCAATTGTCAGCATCTCGACCGTTTGCACATGGCACGTAACATACTCCCGGGGGCAAGATAATTGGTGGAGGAGGGTAGTCCAGTTCAGCAACATTGAATGGCTGAGACCGAAGGTCTGTCGGATAAAGCTGGTTGAGCTGGACTTGGGGTCGCATAGGGGCTTGGGCCACGGGTTGCGGGGGTGGCATGTGGTGCGGCTCGACCATGCCCATTGCGCCGAACTGCTGTGTCATCTGCGAGACATCAGGAACAGCAGGCGCACCGTACGCTGGTGCTGCGGCCTGCATCTGGTTGGGGTCTGCACCGTAGACGGGTTGCTGGTATCCTGCGGCCTGTGGCTGTTGGGGGTAAGCTCCGTAGGCACCCCCGGCCGTGGGCTGTCCACCAAGCGCAGCATTGGCTCCGGAACCGAAGTCAAAGGCTTCGCCAGCGTATGCTCTCTTCTTCTTTCCACCAGCTGCGGGTGGATGCGCACCTTGCCCAGAAACCGGGGACTGTGTGGGTTCCGGGGTACCGTAGGCGGGTTGGCCATACCCTTCCTGGGGAGGATAACCCCCTTGTGGTGCTGCCATAGAGGTCGGATAGGGTGTGTGAAGGTAGACTGGAAGATTGGGGAGAAGGAAAGATCGCACCCGGCACGGACTCGGGTTGTTGATACGAGGTGGTTACAGCTCCTGGACCCCCACAATCAGTTTTTCGTCGACCAAACAACTTTGGAGGGGAGAACAGCTTACTCACAGGAAAAGCTGCACCGACAAAAACAGTGAGAAGAAGGGACGTGACAAGAGGCTCACCAAAAGAAGCCAAGGGAGTGTGGGAGAGGCGGTGATGGTTTACGGTGGCCTTTAGGTTGCGTTGCTCCAGCCAATCACAGGCCAGATACCATGTGACGAGGGGATGTTGACTACACAATTATAGTTCAGCTCTTGATACAAAGCTGCTGGAATATAATATAGACAATTGATAAATAGCCGATCCTATGGGTTTACATTGTCGAGAGCCGGTCAAATTGATAGACCTTGACCTCAATATGGTGTTCATGGTTACAAGATCTTACTATAGATTGGGGCTATAACATACATTCGTACATATGCTGCAGGCAATGCCACTCACTGAATGATATTTCGTCTCTTTTGTCTTCTCTTTTTATGTGAAAGGAAACCGAGATCTAAGCAACACGTTGGTTTACCGATATATATCGCAGCTCGCTCTTATATAGTCCACCCTATGACGACACTTTTATAAACTACAACCGGGTTGCGAAATGATTGAATAGGGAGACTTATACATTATTTCC